ACCTAGCACCCGCCGACCTAGCGCCCGCCGACCTAGCACCCGCCGACCTAGCGCCCGCCGACCAAGCACCCGCCGACCTAGCACCCACCGACCTAGCGCCCGCCGACCAAGCACCCGCCGACCTAGCACCCGCCGACCAAGCGCCCGCCGACCTAGCACCCGCCGACCTAGCGCCCGCCGACCTAGCACCCGCCGACCTAGCACTCGCCGACCTAGCGCCCGCCGACCTAGCGCCCGCCGACCTAGCGCCCGCCGACCTAGCGCCCGCCGACCTAGCACCCGCCGACCTAGCGCCCGCCGACCTAGCACTCGCCGACCTAGCACCCACAGACCTAGCGCCCGCCGACCTAGCGCCCACCGACCTAGCGCCCGCCGACCTAGCACCCACCGACCTAGCGCCCGCCGACCTAGCACCCGCCGACCTAGCACCCGCCGACCTAGCACCCACCGATCTGGCACCCGCCGACCTAGCACCCACCGACCTAGCACCCGCCGACCTAGCACCCGCCGACCTAGCACCCGCCGACCTAGCACCCGCCGACCTTGCACCCGCCGACCTAGCACCCGCCGACCTAGCACGCACCGACCTAGCACGCGCCGACCTAGCACCCGCCGACCTAGCACCCACCGACCTAGCGCCCGCCGACCTAGCGCCCGCGGACCTAGCACCCACCGACCTAGCGCCCGCCGACCTAGCGCCCGCCGACCTAGCACCCGCCGACCTAGCACCCGCCGACCTAGCACCCGCCGACCTAGCACCCGCCGACCTAGCACCCGCCGACCTAGCACCCGCCGACCTAGCACCAGCCGACCTAGCGCCCGCCGACCTGGCATCCGCCGACCTAGCACGCGCCGACCTAGCACCCGCCGATATAGCACCCACCGATCTGGCACCCGCCGACCTAGCACCCGCCGACCTAGCACACGCCGACCTAGCACCCGCCGACCTAGCACCCGCCGACCTAGCACCCGCCGACCTTGCACCCGCCGACCTAGCACCCGCCGACCTAGCACTCGCCGACCTAGCACCCACAGACCTAGCGCCCGCCGACCTAGCGCCCACCGACCTAGCGCCCGCCGACCTAGAACCCACCGATTTAGCGCCCGCCGACTTAGCACCCGCCGACCTAGCACCCGCCGACCTAGCACGCACCGACCTAGCGCCCGCCGACCTAGCACCCGCCGACCTAGCACCCACCGACCTAGCACCCGCCGACCTAGCACCCACCGACCTAGCGCCCGCCGACCTAGCACCCGCCGACCTAGCGCCCGCCGACCAAGCACCCGCCGACCTAGCACCCACCGACCTAGCGCCCGCCGACCAAGCACCCGCCGACCTAGCACCCGCCGACCAAGCGCCTGCCGACCTAGCGCCCGCCGACCTAGCGCCCGCCGACCTAGCACCCGCCGACCTAGCACTCGCCGACCTAGCGCCCGCCGACCTAGCGCCCGCCGACGTAGCGCCCGCCGACCTAGCGCCCGCCGACCTAGCACCCGCCGACCTAGCGCCCGCCGACCTAGCACTCGCCGACCTAGCACCCACAGACCTAGCGCCCGCCGACCTAGCGCCCACCGACCTAGCGCCCGCCGACCTAGCACCCACCGACCTAGCGCCCGCCGACCTAGCACCCGCCGACCTAGCACCCGCCGACCTAGCACCCACCGACCTAGCACCCGCCGACCTAGCACCCACCGACCTAGCACCCGCCGACCTAGCACCCGCCGACCTAGCACCCGCCGACCTAGCACCCGCCGACCTTGCACCCGCCGACCTAGCACCCGCCGACCTAGCACGCACCGACCTAGCACGCGCCGACCTAGCACCCGCCGACCTAGCACCCACCGACCTAGCGCCCGCCGACCTAGCGCCCGCGGACCTAGCACCCACCGACCTAGCGCCCGCCGACCTAGCGCCCGCCGACCTAGCACCCGCCGACCTAGCACCCGCCGACCTAGCACCCGCCGACCAAGCGCCCGCCGACCTAGCGCCCGCCGACCTAGCGCCCGCCGACCTAGCACCCGCCGACCTAGCACCCGCCGACCTAGCGCCCGCCGACCTAGCGCCCGCCGACCTAGCGCCCGCCGACCTAGCGCCCGCCGACCTAGCACCCGCCGACCTAGCGCCCGCCGACCTAGCACTCGCCGACCTAGCACCCACAGACCTAGCGCCCGCCGACCTAGCGCCCACCGACCTAGCGCCCGCCGACCTAGCACCCACCGACCTAGCGCCCGCCGACCTAGCACCCGCCGACCTAGCACCCGCCGACCTAGCACCCACCGATCTGGCACCCGCCGACCTAGCACCCACCGACCTAGCACCCGCCGACCTAGCACCCGCCGACCTAGCACCCGCCGACCTAGCACCCGCCGACCTTGCACCCGCCGACCTAGCACCCGCCGACCTAGCACGCACCGACCTAGCACGCGCCGACCTAGCACCCGCCGACCTAGCACCCACCGACCTAGCGCCCGCCGACCTAGCGCCCGCGGACCTAGCACCCACCGACCTAGCGCCCGCCGACCTAGCGCCCGCCGACCTAGCACCCGCCGACCTAGCACCCGCCGACCTAGCACCCGCCGACCTAGCACCCGCCGACCTAGCACCCGCCGACCTAGCACCCGCCGACCTAGCACCAGCCGACCTAGCGCCCGCCGACCTGGCATCCGCCGACCTAGCACGCGCCGACCTAGCACCCGCCGATATAGCACCCACCGATCTGGCACCCGCCGACCTAGCACCCGCCGACCTAGCACACGCCGACCTAGCACCCGCCGACCTAGCACCCGCCGACCTAGCACCCGCCGACCTTGCACCCGCCGACCTAGCACCCGCCGACCTAGCACTCGCCGACCTAGCACCCACAGACCTAGCGCCCGCCGACCTAGCGCCCACCGACCTAGCGCCCGCCGACCTAGAACCCACCGATTTAGCGCCCGCCGACTTAGCACCCGCCGACCTAGCACCCGCCGACCTAGCACGCACCGACCTAGCGCCCGCCGACCTAGCACCCGCCGACCTAGCACCCACCGACCTAGCACCCGCCGACCTAGCACCCACCGACCTAGCGCCCGCCGACCTAGCACCCGCCGACCTAGCGCCCGCCGACCAAGCACCCGCCGACCTAGCACCCACCGACCTAGCGCCCGCCGACCAAGCACCCGCCGACCTAGCACCCGCCGACCAAGCGCCCGCCGACCTAGCGCCCGCCGACCTAGCGCCCGCCGACCTAGCACCCGCCGACCTAGCACTCGCCGACCTAGCGCCCGCCGACCTAGCGCCCGCCGACGTAGCGCCCGCCGACCTAGCGCCCGCCGACCTAGCACCCGCCGACCTAGCGCCCGCCGACCTAGCACTCGCCGACCTAGCACCCACAGACCTAGCGCCCGCCGACCTAGCGCCCACCGACCTAGCGCCCGCCGACCTAGCACCCACCGACCTAGCACCCGCCGACCTAGCACCCGCCGACCTAGCACCCGCCGACCTAGCACCCACCGATCTGGCACCCGCCGACCTAGCACCCACCGACCTAGCACCCGCCGACCTAGCACCCGCCGACCTAGCACCCGCCGACCTAGCACCCGCCGACCTTGCACCCGCCGACCTAGCACCCGCCGACCTAGCACGCACCGACCTAGCACCCGCCGACCTAGCACCCGCCGACCTAGCACCCACCGACCTAGCGCCCGCCGACCTAGCGCCCGCGGACCTAGCACCCACCGACCTAGCGCCCGCCGACCTAGCGCCCGCCGACCTAGCACCCGCCGACCTAGCACCCGCCGACCTAGCACCCGCCGACCTAGCACCCGCCGACCTAGCACCCGCCGACCTAGCACCCGCCGACCTAGCACCCGCCGACCTAGCGCCCGCCGACCTAGCACCCGCAGACCTATCACCTGCCGACCTTGCACCCGCCGATATAGCATCCTCCCCCCTGCCACCTCAATACCCTCCCCCCTGCCACCTCAATATCCTCCCCCCTGCCACTTCAATATCCTCCCCCTGCCACTTCAATATCCTCCCCCTGCCACTTCAATACCCTCGCCCCTGCCACTTCAATACCCTCCCCCCAGCCACCTCAATACCCTCCCCCCTGCCACTATAATATCCTCCCCCCTGCCACCTACAATATCCTCCCCCCTGCCATTTCAATACCCTCGCCCCTGCCACCTCAATACCCTCCCCCCTGCCACCTCAATATCCTCCCCCCTGCCACCTACAATGCCCTCCCCCCTGCCACTACAATATCCTCCCCCCTGCCACCTCAATACCCTCGCTGTGGCTTAGAGCAGCATGCAGCAGCACTCTGGGAGGGACATATTAGAGGCTATCGGTTAGCCAGTTAGGCGTAACGACCATATCCTTTTGCTCGGTTTGCCAGCTCCGGATTGCACCTGGTGCTTCTTCATTTAGTGCACCTGATGCCAGCGCTGCTAGGGAGAGATTAAACAGGCGCAGTTGGTGCCACGACGACTGTTGCACTTTTGAGTCATGTGGTGACGACCAAACGACGTCAATGTCCGGTCCCTCCACAATTGAACGGGGTACAAATACAAAGCATAAAGCTATTTTACTGCGCTAGTCTTGGGTACAGTGTAACTCAACATAGCGGGCGTTAGTGAGAAAGCAACACCCCAACCGACCCAAATCTCGAAGCAAGGACCGTAGGACCTGAAACAGCATTGCGACAGAAATGCGAAGAAATTTTGCATTCTGCTTAGCGGCTTTGTTACCTCTTCTCGTCGCTGCTGTGCTGCTGCGAAATGAAGCCTTTGCACGGCCAGAACGCTACAACACCGCCGCTCTGCATTCCTTACCTCGATCTTCGTCTCAACAACCAGCGCAAACCACTACGCCTGCCGATGATGCCTGCAACAACGTAACTAACAGCGATTTCAACCCGCACGCACCTCCCGCCACGTCGGCTTCTGGCCCCTGGTTTGAAGGCTGGTATGCGCGGGTGTCTGATGCGGCCTCGTCATCCTCATTTGGAATTGGAATCGGCCACTTTCCAGGTAAGGGGCGACTGGAATGTGCATAACAAGGCTTGATTGGCCGGGGTGGGTATGGTTGAGACCTGAGAGGGGTGAGGGGTGTCGTCATGCCCCCCCTGCATGTGCTACGGGCTCCATCGCACTCCTCGTACGGGATCTGCTCAAACCAGCCGATCACCCTGTTGCGTCATGTGCTTTGCTGCTGGCAATCATTCCTTCCCCGTGTCCGCGTGCCTCCTGGCCACGAAACCTGAAAACGCTTCTCAACGTCCTCGTTTCTCCTGCACTCTTCCCAACGTCCTCCCAACGTCCCCCCCAACGTCCTCCCAACGTCCCCCCAACGTCCTTCCTTTTCCTGCCGTTCCACCCAGGTCAGGACCTCTCGGACCCGCCAGCCGCCTGCTTCATCCTGGTTTCCTCAGCCGGACAGCCCCTGCGCACCTACTCCCGCAACTTTGACTTCCTCAATGTTACAATACCCGTCAACAGTACGGCAGGTTCTGTTAGCTTCCAACTGACAGCAAAGGACGATCCGAGGGACGCGGATGCACTTGCATTGGCGACTGCTAAGCTTCTGGACCCTACATCCGACTCCAATGACCCAGCCGCTATGAGTTCGTTACTTGATTCATTGCATGGGGACTTCTGTTACTGGCGAGTGACCCAAGGGTCGGTCCGAGTGGCCGCCAGCCTCGGCGGAACGCGGCTCATGCTGCGCTCCGAAAGCTCTTCAGGAACCGTTTGTACGGCAGCTGACCCATGGGGCGGCCCTGGCGGCTCCGCTGCTCCCGAGGGCTGGTTGTCCCGCCTGGGCTTCCTGCTACGGCTGCAGTACGACGTTTTGACCCTCCGTACACCCGTACAGTACTACCTAGTTGAGGCGGCAGACGAGAATTCAGACAAGCATTCAGACGAGGTGGAAGATGAAGCGCATGGCCGCTCTTCAGACCCCAGTTCAGCTGGTCACAGCAGAAGCACTGGCAGCAGTGGCAATGACAGCGGCAGTAATGGAGCCGGTGGTACGGTCAACACTGGCGGCGCGGCGACACCGCAGGGTCCCTTGGGTTGGCGTGCGGGTTTGCTGCACCTTGAGAAGAACTGGGGCGCCTCCTTCCCGGACCAGTGGGTGTGGGCGCAGGCGCACCGGAGCGAGGCGGGGGAGCAGGTGGGGGCAGCAGGGAGGGGAACAGGGAGGATGGTTGCGGTCATTGGGTTGTGGGGCACGCTGCTTACATCGTCATCGCTTACGACGCCGTCATGCTTCGCATTCTTTGCATCCTTCCACACGTAAGACCGACCGACTTATGCCACTCCTTACCGTGTACGCTGCACCAGCACCAGGAAGAGACGCAGCAAGAGAGAAGCCCCGACCCCGTTCCCCCACCCTGCTGCTGACGTGATGTTGACGCCTTATCCCTCAGTCAGTTAGTTGTTTCCTCTTTACCCTGCTGCTCCGTTCTCCCCCCCAGGCTTCATTCGTGTTGGCTGGGGGCCTGCTCCCACACGTCTTTCAACCGCTCATCCCGCCAGTACGGCAGTTCGTCCTGTCGTACCACCCGCCCCCGCCAGCGCTGCCATTCACCCTGGACCCATGGGACCCCCCGCTCTTCAGTCGTCTCGTGGCTCGCGGCTGTGATGGAGCGCTGTCGCTGATTCTGTACAGCGCAATGCATGTCGTACATGTGGAGGCGGAGGCGCCGCCGTACACCTTCCAGACGCTTCCGTGTCCCACGGCCAGTGGATTCAGGGTGAGGGGGGGAGGTGTCACAACAGGGGGTGGGATGCGCGTGGGTTCCTGCTGAGATGGATTCCGCCGTACTGCTACCCTACCCGTAATACGGCAGTAGTACGGCAGGACTAGGATTGCTACCGCACATCGCTCCTGGGGGCCCGCTACCTTCCCCGCCAAGCGCCGGTACCTCCCACACGTCACTACTGCCCGCCCCACTGGCTCCCCCTTCCGCACGTCCCCCCCCAACACGACCCATGGTGAAGCTTCGTCATACAGCTCGTCCGTTTTCTTCATATCTTTGTCCCACGGCTGTCAGTATCCTCATTTCACCCCTCTTTCCCCCCAATACACCCATACACACACACACCCCAGAACTTCAGCGTGGAGTCCTTCTCCGCCCGGCTGCGACTGCGGGTGCTGCGGCGGCCCTTCCCGCTGGCCCCGCCCGCCTCCGCCGTGCCTCTGCTGGAGGACGTCTTCCGCGGGGGCGCACTGGAGTTCGGGGGGGCCTACATGTGTCCGGAGCGCATGCCGTGGCTGAGGGGGGTGAGGGGGGATGCAGCGGAGGAGGGGGGCACCAGCTGAGGGGGCTTCGACTGGACCAAACCGTGTGAAACCATAAAAGGGCTGAAGGGGGCGGCAACAGCTGAGGGGGGGGCACCAGCCGTGGGGGCGCCAGCTGAAGGGGGAGGTATCGAGAGAGATATCGTAAGGGGCGTATGTTTGATTGGAGAGAGCAGCAGGTGGTGTGTGGCATCGGTGGGGCTGGGAAAGGGAGGGGTTAGTACCCTTTGTTGGGTGGTTGTGGAGGGAAGTGGTGGTGGTGTGGAGTGATGCGGACTTACGGAATGGGGGGGGGGCTCTCGAAGGAGATTGGGTGGAGAAGGAGGGGTCAGGAGGGAGAGCGTGCGTGGCGACGTCGGAGGTGGCGTTGATGATGATGCATCCTCTGGTGTGCGTGACTGGAGGGAGAGAGACGAGAGTCGCACTGATCCCGGTTATGTTTTGTGTAGGCGGGTTGGAGTATGGCGGCGGGGGAACACAGCGGGAGTGATGCACATACGCCCCCTTGTAACGCTGCTGCTGGTGCACCTGTCACATGGGATGTGCATGGTATGTGTAAGGAATGAGGTTGTGAAACTAGGAATGGGGGCAGCATGCAGCAGCAGCAGCAGCAGGGCCGCAAATGCAGCAAGTCAGTGGCACATGCGCGAGCGTTGCAGTAGGGTTGGTTGCATAGGTTGGTTTACCGTTTATGGTTATCCAGCGCACTGTACGATAGGGTGGCGGTTGTCTTTCTTGCGTATCCGGAGTAGCAGGGACCGCTACCATTGACACAACACGGTATATAGCTGCGAGCTACGGTGGTGATGATGATGGTGGTGGTGGTGGTGATGATGATGGTGATGACGATGGTGGTGGTGGTGGGGCACGTATCGCTGTCTTCCCAGTGGGCCACCCCCGCCATCGTGGCATTTAGTTGTGGTGCGTGAGTGATATCGGCTTGGACCCTGACGTGGAATGACACCACCTCATGGCTACACACATGCAAATACATGGGGGACCATACCCGACTCCTCCTCCTCTCTACCCCCACCCCATTAGGCCATTAGACCGCCCGTGTAACGGTGTAAGTCCATCACCTCTTCTGTAATACCCCCGGTCTCCCACCTGAAGGTGGGTGCTTGCAGGCCACGCTAAGCCACCACCACCACCACCACCACCACACCAAATCAACAGCCAATCAAGCAAGCATGCGGAGCAACTGTGCTGTGCACCCACTGCGGCTGCTGCGTCCAATCCGGCTCCACAGCTGCCACCCACCGCATCTGCCCCCCTGGCTCCTGCCTGCGCCACGCAAGCCCTTGCTTGTCAGGAGCACAGCCGCCTTCACGTCCCCACGGCGCTTTGCAGCCCTCCCCCTTGCTCCCCTGCCTCACGCAAGCTGCTTCACCAGCCGTCAGCCCATGTGGCCATGTGCCAAGCCGTCAGCCCATGTGCCCGCCAGCCCCCCCCCTTTGCAACCCATGTTGACGCCTTATCCCTCAGTCAGTTAGTTGTTTCCTCTTTACCCCCCCTGCGCCCCTGCCTCACGCGAAGTCGCTGCCAATCACACCCAGGTAGTCCTCCTTCATGGTGGCGATACAGAACTGGAGCGGGGAGGGAGGGAGGCGGGGAGAGAGGGGGAAGGGGACAGAGAGAGCGACAGATGGGAGAGGATCGGGTGGGTAGCCCACAAGGACTGCAAGTGCGGGAACCACGACACGGGCTATACACGGCATGCGGCTCTGCCCCTGCAGCACACCCCCTTCCCTTTACTCCTTCCCTACCTCCACACTTTTCCAGCACTACCGGCATTCCCCTCCCGCCCCCCCCCTCGGGCTGGCTCACATGTTGCAACCCATTCACCACCTCCCCCCCACTCACCACCTCCCGCTCCCTCCCCCCACTCACCACCTCCGTTGGGTCGTACTTGATTCCCACGATGCGCACCCGCACGTGCGTCCCCCCCTGGATGCGTGTGATGGAGTCGGAGGACACCCAGCTGTTGTCGTCAGCGGAGTCGAACTCAAACTCCTCGGGGATCAGCTGTGGCGGGGGCAGCAGGGGGGGAGGGAGGTGGGAGGGAGGTGGATGGGAGAAGGGATGGGAGGTGGGATGGGAATTGGAGGCACGAGGAGGAGGAGGAGCAAGGGACCCTTGTGGACATGCATACGGTAGCATCCCGGCTCCCATCGCCAACCACGAGGCGAGCGTCGTACTCTTAGCTTTCCCGTGTACGGTAGTCGGTTTTCTTCATCCCCGCCCCCCTCCATGTAGCTCCTTTAGCACATTGGGTATTCTTCTTTGGTTCCCCCATGTATAGCCCCCATGCAGCCCCCGTGTATAGGCCCCATGTAGCCCCCGCATGTACCCACATGCTGTGTGACGAAGAGCTGCAGCGGCCCCGCCTGCGCGAAGAATCCCATCTGCATGTGAAGGTAGTGGGAGGGGGGGAGTGGGGAGCAGTGGGGAGGAGTGGGGAGGAGTGGGGAGGAGTGGGGAGGAGGGGAAACCCGTCTGCATGTGTGTGGTGTGGTGTTGTGGCAGGCGAGGCGAGGGGGTGTCGTGGAAAGCAGGGGAGGGAGGGGAATAAGGGGGAACGGCGGGAGCAGGGGGTAGGATGGAACGGTGGATTGGAGCGGGGACGACCAGGCTGGGGCGGTTAGGGTCAGAGAGGAACCAAAAAGCCGTTCCGAAGCACAGGCCGTTGTTGTTGCAGCGTGTGGCTTACCTTGTTGACGTTGGTGACAACCGCATCTAAGACTTCTCCCTTGTACGGGCGGCATACGATGCATCCGTACGTCACTTCGAACGTGGCGAAACCTGATTGGTCCTGGCGGATACGACCCTGTGGAAAAAGGTGAGAGGAGGTTGGGGGAAGAGGGTTGCGATAGGGTGGTTCGGGAGCGTGGTTAACGTCATGTGGCCGGGCCATGGAGGCGGTGATAAATGCGGAGGGCGGGGCGGAGGCTGTTCGGGGCGTACGTACCCGCCCGATGTCGTCCACTTTGGTCACCGCCACCACATAGCCGTACTTGCCGGTGCAGGTGCCCTCAGTCTGCATGAGAGATTCCCAGGTTCGTGGCAACATTGCCAGGAGGCCCAAGCCAAGGGCTGCCGAATGAAGCTGACTAACCTCCGCGATAAGCTTCTCCCGGATGACCTCACGCAGCTTGGGCCCGAAATGCTTTGGGTGGATGTCTAGGGACTTGCTAAGGGTCAAGTAGTAAAACATATTGGTTGGGCCCTGCGGGCCCGCCCTGTTATATGATTCCTTGTTGAAGGAGATCGGCGCAGGGAGTCGTGGAAAAGCGGCAATCAAGAGAAGCTTATAGGTGAATGTAGATGGCTGCAAAGAATGGTGCTGCTAGCTTTTTATACTACGCTTAATATGTTACCCATCCACGTGTAATTCGTTCAAGGCCAGTCAAAGCAAACTGAGTGCCAACCAGAGCTAGCCAGGCCCTATGCCCCGGGTCATGCATTAGCAATACTCAAAGGATGCTTTGCTATAGCCCGGAAAGGACAGAGAGCTGATGAAATGGAACTTAGCGTGATATCTAATAAGCTTCGGGATTGTTGGTCGCTTTACTTGTTCAGCGGTTTCGGTTAGAAGTTTGCTTTGTTACCATGCGACCTGCACCGTGGACCAAACCTCTGCTCGCATGCTTCTGCTTCTGCTTTGCTCCTGTAAACCCAACTCGCTAAGCCATCGGAAGAATGCCTTGTCGTCCCGCATTCACCAAGCGGGCTGGCTTGCGCGGCGACGCGGTTGATGAGCTCTTTCGCAACGAGATTAAGACATACAGAAAGACGGTCGGCAATACACGGGAGGAGCGGAAGCTTAATGAGGACCGCGCCTGGCAGGACATGCTCCTGCGTGATGAGCTTAGACAACCCGCACCTGAAGTAAGGAATCCCGGTATTTGGTCCGAGCGCATAAACGAACCGCACACATCTTCGACGACGTTCCCAGCTCGGCTTTGCTCTTGGCAATTCCATCTCCCGTCTCATGGAACATCCTGAACATCTACCCCTGGCCATATGCCCCCCTCCCTCCTTTCTAAACCCCCACTGCCAGTGCGAGGCGCTCATGTCTCAGGCGCACTCCCTGGAGGACGCGGGGCGGCTGGCGGAGGCTGCCGCCATCTACCATCGCATCCTCACGCGTCCCGACCAGGCCGCCAACCACCACCTGCGCAGCCACCTGGCAGGACTCCTCGCTCTCATCAATAGGTGCGAGACAACAGCGGGTGCTGTTGCATCCTCCGAAGCTGTTGTTTCCCCATGTAAACGGATCCCCGCATTCTCAGCTGTGCCCCCACCCCCCCACCTCTGCAGGCGGGAGGCAGCTGCCAAGGCCCAAGCCCGCACCTCCGAGCTGCAGCAGCAGGCCACCGCAGCACAGCAGCAGCGACTGCAGCAGGCGCAGCAGCAGGCCCGCCGCCGGCAAGCTGGGGAGCAGGCGGGCCCGCAAGCCGGCAACCAGCACCCCCACCCCCAGCAGCAGCAGGGACAGCAGCCTGTACGGCAGGCGCGGGGGGGCCAGCCCGGCCGACCTCACACTGCACCTGCGTACGGGGGTGGCGGTGCTGCAGGCGGTGGCGGAGGTGGAGGTGGTGGGGTTGCAGCGCTGGTGGGAGGGGGTGCTGCGGGGGCGGTGGGGGTGGTGTGTATGGAGCCGGGGGTGCCCCGAGGTAACAAGCCGGTGGGCCCCATGGTGCCGCTGTCGGCCGGGGCCTACCGGGCGGAGCTGGCGGCGCAGGTGGGGGGAGGGCTGCAACGGGGGGGGGGGGAGGGAAGATGGTGGGGTCAGGGGCTGCAGGAGGGGAAAGGGGTGGGGTCATGGAGAAACCAGCAAGCGTTCGGTATTGGGGGGGTGGGGTGCGGCGCTGCTGCTGGTGGCTGCTTGGCGGAAGTACTTGGTGCTCTCCCACCACACTGCCCCTGTCCCTGACTCCCTGTCGCAGGCCCAGGCGGACCGGCAGCGGCGGCAGGCGGAACTGCGGGAGGTGCAGCTGGCGGAGCAGCGGCAGCTGGGGGCGGTGGCGGCAAGGGTGGGTGGGGTGGGGGTGGGGCGGTGGCAGCGAGGGTGAGGTGAGGGTGGGGCGGTGGCGGCGAGGGTGGGGGGGTGGGGGTAGGGGCCGGTGGGTGAGGGGCGGTGTGGGTGGGTGGGGTACTTGTGAACTGGTGACACCGCCTGACACCCCACCACCGAGGGCAGGAGGTATGTTCTCAGGGTTGGGGGGAAAAGCAAACGCAGCATCGTAAGGAATGCTGCCGAACAGTTTCGGGGTTATGGGTTCGTTACCCCCTGCCCCTCTGCTGTGCTGCCGCCCCCCCAAACAGGAAGACGTGGCGGAGTTCCAACGGCGGGTGGTTGGCGCTAACGACCAACTGTCGTACCAGAACGAGCTGGATCTGGAGCGGCGCGCGCGGCAGGAGGACCGTCGGAGGAGGTTTTACCTGGTGGGTGGGACTGCGGTCCGGGGACCGGGGGACCGGGGCTCCAGGGCTCCCCGTCCCTCTGTTCTTCCCGGCTCCCCGTCCCTCATCCCGTTCCCCCTCCCATCACCCGTCTCCCTTTCCCCCTGTCAGGAGTGGGAGGAGCTGCGGGCAGCCAAGGAGGCGGGGCTGGCACCCGGGGGCCCGCTAGGGGGAGCGGATGAGATACAGCGGCGCAGGGAGCAGGTGGGGTAAAGAGGAGGCAACCTACTGACCGCGTAGGGGCAGGTGGGGGGCTGGGGTGGCTAGGACGTGAGGACTGGGTACCTGGGCTCCGCTCCTGCGATGTTTGGGCCCATGCGTCCAAGCATGCAATGCATTCTGAGTCCTTCCGGCAGCGGAAGGCTCCTGCTGCTCCTCCTCCTAGCCCCTCCCCCACCTCCCCCTCAATGCCTCCCCCTCTCCCAATGCCAGTCGTCGTCAATGTCCTCAATGTTACCCCCAATGCCGAACTGCCGTACTGTTGCCCGCTGCAGATCCAGCAAGCCCACGCGCACCGAGCCCTGGCCCGTAACGCCTCCGAGGCGCCCCAGGACCCGCGGGCAGTCTACCACCAAGCCCATGGTCATGACCCATGGGTCATGGCGGAGGAGCTGGCGGCGCCAGCTGGCGGCGGCGGCCGGCCGGCTGGCGCCGCTGTTGTCGGCGGCTACCAAGCCTTCCAGCAGGCGTACTGCCACCAAGCAGGTGTCGGCGCCGCCGCCGCGGGCTTGCGCCGCCGGCCTGCTTCCGCGGGGTTGGTGGCGGCAGCGCAGCAGCGGCAACGGCAGCAGGAGCAGCAGCGCGAGCGGACCAGCGCGGCGAACGTTGAACGAGTGATGGCGGTTGGAGTGGGGAAGCCGCCACAGCAGCAGCCGCATGCCGCTAGACGGGCTGCTGCATGGGCGGAACCCGATGGCGGCGGAGGCGGAAGGGGAGGCCGCGGAGGCGAGTTGAAGGCGCCATTCGGTCGGCCGGACGTCGACCAACCCAAGGTGCCCATTGACCCACGGGTCGTTCGTGCGAGGCAGCAGGCCTACATAGAGAAACGCCGGAAGCAGCAGCCTGGCCCCCCTGGAGCCGCCCCGCCGGGTTCCGTGCCCTGGGGTGGAGGCGGGCGGCAACCGCAGCAGCGGCAGTACCAACAAGGGGGGGTTCAGGTGGTGCCGATGCGTGCGCGGAGGGCTGCGGCGCATACGCCAGAGCCACCGAGGGTGGCGGAGGGGGCGGATCTCAGCAATTGGTGGCCCCCACCGCCCATGCCGCCGCCCTAGCTGCTGCTGCTGCTGTTACTGTCGCCGCGGTAGCTAGGGCTGCTGCGGGTGCATGCGGCCGCTGTTGCTTGGTGCTTCAGAACTGTTTATAGCTGCGAGTAGTTGCGAGAGAGACATGGGGAAAGAGAGTTGGAGCAGACTTGAGTGCTTGTCGGCATAGGTATATTATAGGGAGAGCGGGAGCGGTCGAGTGGGAGTGAATGAGGGGGCTGGTGTTTTTGTTGGGTTCCTGTTTTGGGTTCCTGTTGTTGGGTTCCTGTTTTGGGTGTGATATGTGATATATGCTGCGGTGGACGCCTCCCCCTGCAGGGATGTTTGACGATCCTCTTCTGGCATCCAGTTTTGGATTGCGACGCACTAGCGCGCGAAGCGCAACCATTCAAATCACCAACCGCTCGGCACTGACCCCCCTCTCTCCCTCCCTCCATGCGACATGAACCCGGTACCGACCTGAACCCTGTTCAGAAGTACACGGTACAGCCGCAGCCGCAGCCACCACCACCCGACGAAGCAGTCCACCCAAACCCGTCTCCTGGGTGTCCTGTGATCACCCCTGGAGCACAGCCCACACAGCCGGGTGTGCCTGCCTAGCAGCCGCCCTCCTTTCCTGCACATCCTGCAATCCTACCCTTCTACCTAGCTCCTCTCCCTCCTCGATTCGTTTGGTGTTTGTGTCCTCTTTCCCCCCTCGCCTTCCTTGTCTCCTAGTCTCCCGATCCCCCGACCCTGCATCGTGGCATCCTCAGGGCAGTGCCGCTTACCCCCAACTTCCATCGGTGCGACACAACCGTCCACACCGGTTAGACACCTTGGCAGGCGCATTCATGGGCCTCCTAACCCACTTCCTGACCCCTTTCCAAGGATTCCCGCAGACACTGCTGCCACTACTGCTGCCAACACAAATTTCAAGAAACACACACAGCCGCCAACACCTTCTCCCGCCAACTACCTGTAGCCTTGCGCCGGCCGCCCCTGCCTGCCAACTTCCCCTCCTGCCACTGCTGCTGCACCTGCTGCCAACCTCTCACCACCACCACCGCTCCCCCAGCAACCCTTGCCTCCCCCTGCACACCCACCTACCGCCACCTACCTCCGCCGCCCCCTCCCTCACATGCTGCTGCCACCCCCCACCGCAAACGGTCCAAAGTCGCCCGCCTCCCCGGCCCCCCCGCTCCCTCCCAGCCCCGCCATGGCCATGCTGGGGGAGGTCGCGGCTGCCAGACCCCCGAAGTCGTACTTGGACCGCTCCCGAGCGGTTACCTTGGACAGGTAGGCGCGGTCGGTGGAGACCTGAGGGTGAGGTGGGGGGGGTGGGGGGAATTAAAGAAGTGAAACAACGAGTCCCAATCCCATATCCCGACTCATGCATCTGAGCGCATTCGAAGACACTATCCTAAAAGTACGCAGCTCAAATGGGGGAAGATGAGGTTGTGGATTGGAGGAGCAGGCGGGGCAGGGAGCGTGGTGTGTGTGTATGGTTTGCTCGGGACGGGCAAGCGGGGTCGTGGTGGTGGTGGTGGTGGTGGTGGTGGTGGTGCGCGGGAGTGGGAGATGGATGGGGTCGGGAAGCGTTAAGGAAAAGGGTCGAAAGGCACTGCGGTGGGACCACCCACCCACCCACCATCTCCTGCGCCTGCTGCAGCCTCCGTCCCAGCTCCAGCACCTCCCGCATGCGGCCGTCCAGCGCAGCAACCCCCGCCACGTTGTCCCACCCGCCACCACCACTGCCGCCACTGCCGCCTGCTGCTGCTGCTGCTGCCCCCGAGGAGGAGGAGGAGGTGCGGGTGTCATCCGCGAATCGCACCATGCCGCTGCGGCCGTCGATGCGCGCGTGGATTTGACCCGCGGCAACCATCCTGGGGGTGATTGGGGAGATGGGTTGGGAAGGGGAAAGGGGAGGGGAGCGGGTGGTTGGGAAAGGGGAGGCGGAGTTCAGGAGGATGAGGCTAACCCTAACAGAGATGGGTTGGGAAGGGGAAAGGGGGGGGGGAGCGGGGGAGCGGGTGGGTGGGTAGACGGAGGCGGGGTCAGGGAGGCTGTGCCCAACCCCCCGCACATGCCTTGCAGCAAAGCCCCCGCCCTCCCATTTTGCACCCTTCCCTCTTGCAGCACAGCGCTCAGTTGAATGCCGCCTTCCCCCCACCCCTCCTCATGCATGACGAGCGGGGGTGTTCCCCTTCCGCCACTAACCCCTTCCCCCCCTTCCCTTCCCTCCCGCCACCCCTCTCCCCACCTGAGTATCCGCTCCTCCGCCTCCGCCGCCCCTCCCGCCAGCCCCGCATGCGCCGCTATGTCCGCCAGGCTGAGCGTGAGGAAGGTGGCGGTGAGGCGCTGGATGGCGCGAACAGCCAGCGAGGACAGCACCTGCCGTACCAGACCTAAGTTGGTATCCTAGAGGGAGAGGGAGAGGGGCGGGGGGAGGGCGGGGGTAAAAAAGAATACAAAAGCACATAAAGTGAAGTAGAATTGGAGAAGAGAAGGGGCAGAGGCGAGCGGAACACATCATCTTCCGGCAATCACAGTACGTTCGTTCCTACTCGCCGCCAGTTTTCTGAACACCCTCACATATACCCTCTTACCCTCGCGGCTCAGTTTGTCTAATCACCCTCTCACCGCAGCGAACAGCGCCGAGTGCTGCTCCACCACTCGCCTCAACCGTTCGGCGTTACGCGAGGCGGCGGCGGTTGCAAGGTCGTTGTACGGCCGGGCCTCGGACTCGATGACGTGCCGTACGGCAGGGGAGGTGAACTTGGGTAGCGGCAGCAGCTGGCCTGTGGGGGGGGAGGGAAGAGGGGGGTGGGTGGTGAAGAAGAAGCTATGTTTAGCCGAGTTTCGTCGCCCCCTCCCCTCCCCCTCCTCACCCGCATGCAGCAGGCACACCAGCACCCCCCTCCCCCCCCCTCACCCGCATGCAGCAGGCACACCAGCACGTACTTCTTGTAGGCTGCCGCCACGATGGCGTTACCAGCCACTGCGGGGGCGGTCAGGCACTGCAGCAGCAGCTCAAGCGCGCGGGGGTACTGCTTGCGACCTGGGGGCGGAGGGGGGGGAGGTGGAGGTGTTATATTGACCGTCAGTGCCGAGCCACGAGCCAAGACAGAACGTTACCAGCAGCAGCGGGAGCGGGAGTGGCTCCAGGAGATGCGCGACTCCTCCCCCCTCGCTTCCCTCAGCAGCCTCACATCTCCCACCCCTCACCTCCACTCCCGCCCCACCATCTACCACCCTCAACCTCCCTTCGTTCTATTCTTCCTCTCCCTCTCCCGCCTCCCGCCTCCCACCACCTCCACCTGCACCTCCCTTCGGCTTCTCCTTCCTCTCTCTCTCCCGCCCCACCCCATCCGCACCCCCCCACCCCGCCCCCATACCCACCTATGCACACCATGCCGCCGTAGTAGCAGTACAGGAACAGGTCGGTGGGGGTGCATCCCGTCTGCTGCGGCGCCACGTCGAAGATGTCCTGCCGCAGCACGGGGGCGGCGGCGTTGTAGCACTTGGAAAGCAGGCAGCTGGGGGCGGGGGGTGGGGGGGAGGAGAGAGGGGGAGAGGGGGGGGAGAGCGGGAGAGGGGGCGGGTGAGGGGAACGTAAGCGGGGGTGGGGGGGCGGAGGTGGGGAATACACACAGCACAGCGGCCATGCCCCCACGCCCATGCGCCCACCATGCCGTACACCGCAGCAGCAGTGGCCCCCATCGCCCCTCCCCAAAACCCCAACCGCACCGCCCCCATGCGCCCAGTCGTCGGTTTTCCTTATTTATACCCCCATGCACCCAGCCCCCGTCATACATTGAGCCTCCGTCATGCAGCTTGTCAGTTTCCTCTCACCCCCCCCTTACATGTGGCACAGGTCCGCATGCACCTCCCCCCCCCCCATGCACCCCCCCCCCTCACATCTGGCATAGGTCCGCATGCACCTCTCCCCCCATGCACCCCCCCCCCTCACATCTGGCACAGATCCGCATGCAGGGGTGTGAGCACCTCGGGGGAGGGCTGCAGCGCCGCCAGACCCGCCCGCAGGGGCAGCACGCCCCGGCGGGGGGAGTGGGCGGACAGCAGATGGTCCTTGAGCCGCCGGGAGACGGAGCAGACTGGAGGAGGGCGGGGGAGGGGAGGAGGACGGGAGGGGGAGAGGGGAAGGGAGGGTAATGACACAGCATGGAAGTGATAGGGACGAGTGCGGGAGGGTCGCTGTCGGGGTTCAGGGAGGCGGAGAGAAACCGTAAGGGGGCTGTGTTACTCGCATTGTAACACCTCCATACCCTGCCGCCTGCCCAGCCCTTTCCATGCCCTCCCGGCCCCTCCCCCGTGAAAGTCCGGTACCCTCCCGTGAGTACACCGTCATTCCCGTGTTGCTTACAAATGTCAGGTGCCACTTGAATTTGGGCTGGCTGGCAGACCATGAGGAAGCGTGTCACATTGTCGATGTAGCCAGCATCCGGCACCGGCAGGTTAATCTTGCCGAGGTGATGACTGCAAGCAAGACGCCAGCAGCTCTATGACGTAAGGCATAACATGCAAATGGATGTGCCCAGCGATGACTGCCATCAACGCCTTAGCAAGCGCTCCCGCACCAGATCTGCTGTGCATTGCACTCACAGGAAATATGCATAGCCCAAAGAGTGCTCCGCTGGATCTAAAGCTTGTAGCGCCGCTGCAATGTGTTGACTATTTTGTGTGAAGACAGTTTCAGCATTCTTAAGTACGCTATGAAGTTGGCTCAGGTCATTAGGGTTAGAAAGCGCCTGGACCTGCGCTACGAGAGCTTCCATTTTCGAGTAAGCTTAGCACTGAAGGAACATACGAAAGGATAAGCGTCGCCTAGCGAATTATGCCTGGTTCAGAGGTCACAGCTAGTAGCCAATACGATCAGCGCGGATAACCCAACAGTGTCCGTGGCAATAACGACTTGTTTTCAAAGACAAGACGGCATGCACACGGCAGTCAATGGCAATGCGACCCAGATCGATGGGCCAGCAACACCTACAGATCGAGCTTTATTTTTTCCGTAAAGCTAAACAACATCCAGCGAACTGTTTGTCACTATACACTACACATGACGATAAAGCATCATCTTGCAGCGTGGGTATATTAGCCCAACTTCCATGATGCCAACGGAAGGGAAGAAAGGCTCGCCGGTGCTAGCTGAGTACCATCGCGGACACTTCGTCTCTCGCTTAGGAGGAGGTTCGAAGGACGGCGTTGACCGTGGTGCTGCTGCGGATGGGCGCCATGGCGTGCACTCCTTGCTTGCAAACATTACCTCTGTGCTGCGTGCGGCATTTCTACCAGAAGGCTTCCCCGACTCCGTCACTCCGGACTACATGGGTACGTCTTAGCGGGCTGCGGCACAGGATCAAACATGGTTTCGATGCGCCATGCATGCACCAAGCCCAACTTTGTACACTCTTTACTATCGGCCCCTTACACAACACTTCGCCATTAATATTATCCGCAATCCAGGTTTCCAGACCTGGGACACGGTGCAGGCGCTGAGCTCCTACGTGCGCGGCATGTTGACCAGCCAAGCCATCCTCAGCGGCGTGGGCGTGGGGCAGCAGGTAGGAGGGAGCTTTTGGCAGGCTTAACGCACCCGAAAAAGGCGAAAAGGAGCCTCCACCACCACCACTCGACTACCGTACTCCAATCCACTGCTGCCACCCTTGCCCCCCTGCATGCTCCACACAGGCCTCCACACCCCTAGCAGCCGTGTTCACCTTCTTCGTTCGAGACCTAGCGGGAATGCTGGGAGGCGTGGCTTTCGCTTACATGGAGGTACGGCAACAGTACGACAAGCTAGGTGTGTGTACGGTGTCCTCTCTGCCGTGTCAATTTCCTGCCGCTACTGCCGCCGATGCTGCTACCGATGGCGCTACCGTATACCGAACTGATGCCGATCTGTGGCTTCCGTTGCAATCCGTACGGCTTCGGGGCTGCCTGTCGTACCTCCAGGGTTCCGGGTTCGATTCCTGTGCCAAGCAGTGGCGGCTGTTCGCTGACATTGTGAATGACTTGGGTGAGTCCCCGCAAGGGAAGATGACCCATGGGTCACTTGACAGCGGTCTGCATGTATTGTACGAGTCGCCTGCCCACCACTGCTCCCCGCACTGCCCTTTCCTCGCACCCCTGTACCATACGGTAGCCTCGTCAATGGGATTGGGAATTTGAGAATCCCAGTGCTTCACTTATTCAATGACTCGTTGGGGGATTCCAATGCTTCATTTCTCCAAGGCTTTGATGCTCCTTCTTCTTCTGCCATTCTACCACCCGCCCCTGCCCCCACCCCTCCCTCGCAGGCATGACCCTGGAGCTGTCCTCCCCGCTGCTCCCAGCCGCCTGCTTCCTGCCTGTCGCATGTCTGGGCAGCATCGCTCGCAGCGTCACAGGTACGGATGAGGTGGGGATTGGGCAGCTGTGCCCCTCCTCCTACTTTCCAAGCACGGTTACTTGTTCTTACTTTCCTCTACCTTCTCTTCCTCCTCCTCCTCCGCCTCCTCCTCCTCCTGCCCTCCTGCCTCCCACTTACACGGAGCTTGTCGTCTGGTTTGCATCCGCATTTAACACCACATTGGAAATCCTTCTTTCTTTGCCCCCTGCTCTCCTCCCCCCCTGCTCTCCTCCCCCCCTGCTCTCCTCCCCCCTTGCTCTCCTCCTCCCCTCAGGTGTGGCGGGTGGCGCAACCCGCGCAGCGCTGACTCAGCACTTCGCGGTGCGCGGGAATGCAGCCGACGTGGCGGCCAAGGAGCAGTCGCAGGCGGGTGCGGGGGGGCCTGCGTTGAGGTGTAGGGATGAAAGGGCGTTGATAGGGCGTGAGGGGGGGGGTGAAGGGGTGCAATCCCCATGTTACGCTTTTTGCGCCCGCTCTGCAACCACTGCTGCTGCTTTATTTCGTTAACACACCCCACCTCCTGCTCCGCCTCCCCCCCCCGCCAACCCCGCCAACCCGCCGCTCCATGCCTCCAGGAGACCGCCACCACCATCCTGGGTATGGTCCTGGGCATGCTGCTCACCCGCCTCCTCGCATCATCACCCCCCACCTCCTCCTCTCCCTCCTCCTCCTCTTCCTCCCTCGACGACATTGCTGCTGCCGCCACCACCTCCTCCACCTCCTCCTCCACCTCCTCCTCCCTCCGCTCCGCTGCCGCCGCCTGGCTGGTGTTCGCCGCCCTCACCGCCCTGCACGTGTGGGCCAACCTGCGGGCTCTGCGCTGCCTGGTGCTGCCGGGGCTCAACCAACCCAGGCTGGAGCTGCTGGTGGAAAGGTGGGAGAGGGGTGGGGGGAGGTTTGGGGGAAGGGGTCGAAGACCATACCGAACCATAGGAAACCACAGGTTAGGGCAAAGCAACATACCAGGGGGGAAGATGCAGGGGAGGGGGATGCCGGTAAAGCATCAGAAACTGGCAGGGAAACTGTCACCAGAGCGGCTGAGGAGTCGGGAGCAGGGGCCAGGCGGTGTTTGGGCAGCTTCTCCCACGTCTGACTTCTGCTCCCTCCTGCTCTTCCCATGTGGATCAGATGTTGGCCCAAGGGGCCAGCCGGGCAGCTTCACAACGCCCGTGTGGCTGGCCCCTGGTCCACCCATGTCACACACAGACACACACCTCTCGCGGCCAGTTTTCTGCACACACCCCTTTTCATCCGCACCCTCCCACACATCCATTCACCCCTCCCCACCCACCCTCCCCACCCACCCACCAGCTACCTGCGGGAGGAGGAGGAGGGGAGGCCAGTGCCGGGCCCCGCCGCCCTGGCAGCCCGGGAGGACCTCACCCCACCGCCCTTTCGGTGGCTGAGGGAGACGGCTGCAGCGCTGCTTGCAGGGGGCCGACCCTGCCACCACAACCACAACCAACACCACGTCTCCATCCACTTCGGCACCCGCCGCCCCTCCTCCCTGTTGCAGCACCAGCAGCACCAGCACCAGCAGCAGCACCAGCAGCAGCAGCAGCGGGAGGGCGGGCAGCAGCAGCAGCGGGAGGGCCGGCAGCAGCCTCCCCCCTCATGCACCAGAACAACAGCTTCCCCGCTGCAGCGCCTGCTGTCACGTCAGGGCCACCGGCGCTACCTGCTGCTGCTGCTGCTGCCTCAAGTACACCGCCACAGCAACCACCACAACCGCCACCACAAGAGTCGTTATGAGCTGCATGTTCTGCTGCACCGCTGTGCGAGCGGCGCCGAGCAGCTGAGGGCCTTCGTGCACGCATCCTGCCTGGCACACTTCCTGCGTATGCAGCAGCAGCAGCAGCAGCAGCAGCAGCAGCAAAACGCACAGCATGGCGCAAAGCATAGCGCACAGCAGCTAGGCGATGGTAGGGAAGGGTTGGGAGCAGAAGGGCCAGCAACGCTGCTAGGGAAAGCAGGGAAGCATGCATCGAGGGCTGCTGAGCGAGCGGAAGAAGCAGAGCGCAAAGCAGAAGCAGCAGTAGTGGAGGAGGCGGAGGCAGCAGCGGAGGAATGGATGGTACGGAAGTACGATAGGATGGTTTCGGAGTGGGAGGCGGCAGGGTGGCAGCTGCAGCGGGTGAGCCTGCCTCGGCCCGCTTGGACAGCGGAATGGGAGGTGGAGGGGGGAAACGGCATCGGCGGGGAGGAAGAGGTGGAGGAGAAGCAGGAGGAGGAGGGGAAGGGGACAGGGACAGGGAGGGTGGAAGGGGAGTCTTGGAGCAGGAGCGTGGGTGGCGATTTGGGTTCTGGGGAGGGCTGGGGCTTGCATGAGGATTAGGGGGGCAAAGAGGAAACAACTGACTGACTGTGTGATTAGGGGGGGGGGGGTAACGGGGGCGTGTCAGCCGTATATGCGGCAAGGGCTGGGCAGGGAGTAAAGGGACCGGGCAGACTGACAATGTGCTGGTCTTTCTTGCCGGTGCCCTTGGTTAACTACATGGCATCGCCTCACATGACACGTATGGCTTGTAGGGGGTAGAAAGGAAAAAGGTGTGCATCAACGGAGGCGGGAGTTCGTACTTGGGTAGGGTAACTGGGTGGCTGGCACGTGGGGTTCAGGTGTGCGAGCTGGAACTGAAAGGCTGTGTGCAATCCTCCTCTGCCACGCAGCCAGCAGAGGCATGCAGCTCTGCTGGGCTACAGAAAGGCGGTGGGCATCCCGCGATCCCTGCTGTGCATTGGGTGAATGAATTAATGAATGACCGTTACAATGGTTCTGGTTCAGTGGTTTATACGACGGCACCACGCACACCGAAGACTATGGTACCCTAGCATGCTGGGATGGACCTAGAAAATCCAACGCTACAGTTCTGCGGGATGCTGGGATTTTTGTAAAAACCGAACGCTGCGTAAAGACAGCCGCATGGGGTACAAAGGACCCTCATTCGACCGCCATAACCCCGAGGCCACTAGTCCGGCACACACCATTAGGACGCGCTATCAGCACGTATGCTGCGACTGTCGCTACTTAAACGTGCAACACACACACAAGCGTAATACGTCACTTGACAACCCCCGTAACCGGGGACAAGACAATGCAAGCTAAAAATGCAAACCGGTTGCTAGCTAGCCGGGGCAGGGGCCCAACAAAGGCCGCATCTGGCCATTAACCTGAACGCAACGGGCTATAGCATACATCCCACCGATGTACGGGAAATGTATAAGGTGCAAAGCCATGAATACAACCCACGCCACGAACAGCCCCTATCCAACATCATGTCTTCATATGGGATCTCAACTGCTTTACTTAGCAGACACGTCTGGGAGAACCGGGGGCCAACAAGACTACTGCTCCTGCCTCTCCTCGACTTGCCATGGTGTGTAGCAGCTGCGGCACCTACAGCCCTCCCTTCTTTCGCAGTAACTGCCGACAAAATGGTAGTGTAGCGCACTGCAAGGGCACCAGCGCGCTTCCATCTCCGTCACACGGTAACTAACACACAAAAGAATCCACAACACGCATACATGGAGGTCCTGTATCAGCATCGCATGGCACAGGTTTGGCGCCGAAGCCACATTGCGGCACTGGACTCTTTTTTCAAAGCCGCAACCAACTCTGCCCTTCGGGTACCTTTTTGTGATATTGAGGAGACACCGGCCAGCAACATAGTCCTCATCATAGTCCCCCAGTCAAAGGGTATCTCGGTTGCACCCTGAATCGTACAGAGCTTCAAAGGAACAAAAGCGCGCCTCCTATTCCTGCACGAATGTGGCACACAAAACGTACGACACTGTATAATGATCACCTAATCCAGATCTAAGATCTCATCGACAACCTCATCGCTTCCGTACGCTTGAGCTTAGGTCAGCAATTCCATGGAGAACTCCGAGCTCATGAGCCATGAGGTGTCGCGCGTGTGCGTGCTGCCCTGAGTCAGCCGCAGCAGTAATCGTCGTGCGCAAAACTGAGCAGCATGGAACTTGTAAGATAACCAGGGACACAAGAACGGGAAGGCTTGCTTGGAAAGGACGCATGTATGCAGCCGCCCTAGTGCACTGGAAACCTCCCGCCAACCCCATTCAACCCCGAAACCGCCACCCCTTGCCATCCATGCACCATTGCGCTACTTCTGCGGACCCGAAACTCTTTCCTTTAACATGATGCAAAATGACAAGGCATAAACACGTTTACGCCACAACCCAACCGATATCCCTTGGCGTCACGCGCCTGTTAATTAATCGCCCGGTTAAGAACACCGTCACAAGCAATCGTGCCAGCAGCCATCTCAGTGCCACGTGCACCATACGGGTTGCACAGAGGCGCGCAAAGGAATTGCTACTGCACAGGACGGGCGCTGCCCCCCTGTTGCGTACCCTCATGCATGACCCCAACAACCAGACAGCAGAGCGCATCCTGCGACTGCGAGTGCGATTTCCCCCGCAGGTATTCCCAGGGCTGCGATGCTTGGCGAGCCTGGGAGTAATACCGTTACTCCTCTTCATGTCTTCAATCAACACCCCCCTGGACCCTACACGCGTACGTAGGTAACGTAGCTACCCCCATTATGCTCCCTCCGGAACCAACGAAACAACAACAAAGCGGGACAGCAAAAACCGGGCATGCACCCAGATGCACCTAAAAGAATAAATGGGCAGGAAAGGAAAACTGGTGTGGTCGGCGATGTACGACTAGGAGTACTAAGAGCCCCGGCCACAAAAGCCTTGGGGCGCCTCAAGGTGTCCATGTTTTGCTGTGGATGTATCGCATGCATGTGCACAGTTGGCACGGGATGAAACCGTCCCAGTGGGCTAAAAACGCCCCTGTAGCCTGTTTCGGACACACTAATATACTAATATTTGTTTGCGTAACGTCTTCTGGTCACTTTTCAATGCACGCACGGGCTACATGGTGCCTTAAGGGCGCTGTCTTCTTCGCAACATGCTACAGCAATAGACTGCCACCACACATGCATACAACACACACTGCAGCCGCATTCAGCGAAACATCATGCATAACCCTGCTCCTGGCATTGCCGTTACCCCAATGCTACATCTTCTGTTGCTACTGCTGCAGCTGCATCCTCTCCGACCTCGCTCCAGAAGCCTCTGCCGCCTCGGCTGCTTCAACCGCTGCGACTCCTAACTGCGTACGACGGCTCTAACCGCTGCTGGTGCTGGTGCTGCTGCTGCTGCCACTTTACTCCTGCCGTGACGATTGGCCTTGCTGCTGCTGCTGCTGCGGTGACGTGCGCTGCTGCCACTCGCAGATCCCACTACGCACGCTCATGTTGGGAATGAGGCGGGTATGCTCCATGGGCAGGTTGCTCACAGGGCTCATGGGCCGCCCTCGCTGCTGGCTGCAGAGGCCTATCCAGTCCAGAATGGCGCGGCGCTCGTAAGTGTAACCGTCAGCAGCCACCACAGGGTCGGACATAACCGCCTGCAGCAGGGGCCATGCATGTCGTACAATTGCCCAAGATAATATGTCGTACACAAAGTCAGTCGCACACAGCGTTACGTGTCTCACATGCATTAGCAGCAGCAGCAGGTTGCAATTGCACAAGTGTGGTGAAGTGTGTATTGGCATGAGGCCTGCCGACAACGTTGGAGGCAAGCACTCCAAGGGTTACATGACTCGTGAGTGTCGTGACCCACATGAGACGAGAAACGGCAAGGAATGCAAGGGGTGGAATGCTGGAGAGGGTAAAACTCAGCAAGGAAATGAGCGAGCGAGCAACCCCGGAGGCGAGGCGAGGCTGTGCACTAGTAACTAAAGCCGTTTTAGAGCCGTTGGTCGGTAAACTCCCTGTGCCGTACCTGCGTGATCGGGCAGCGGAACAGATTCGGCGGAATGCCGGCATCTGCCGACGACGGGTGCGGCGCCCCGGTCAGGGAGGTGTCATCTCCGCTCAACCGCTCACCGTGTGTAGTGCGTGTCGTGTGTGTCCTGCAGATAACGCAGTGCAGTGCTACCGGTAAGATAGAGGTGTTTCCCGCTGGGATGGCAAAGTGCAGTGCCCAACATGGGAGTCCATCAACACCACCACGGCATTCCACCTGCTGCTATCTCACGTCTCCATTCCTGCCAGGGGCCATACATAAAACCCGTTTCCACTGCAATACCTAATGGTACACATGCACAGCCACTCTCTTCTGGCTCCATCGCACTACCTCATCGTCACGCTTAAGCAAAGCACTTACCCAGACACGATAGAGCATGGAGCTAGGGGCGACGCGGATACATCTCCGTCCCCCGTGGCATGGCTAGACGAGCGACAGTAGCTGTCCGTCCCCGCCGCCTGCAGCACGAGCGTCTCAACTTCTGAAGCGGGAGCAATTGCAGCCCCTGCACCTGCAATGCTGGACTCGACCTCCCCCGCAGCTGACACCGGCTCCAACTGTATCGTAATGTCGCACAGAGATGTGCAGCGAGGTGCTTGCTGTTGTTGTAGCCGCAGGAATCGCCAAGATGACGACTGCTGCTGCTGCCGTTGCTCCTCCATATCGACGGTTTGCACACTCAGCTGCACCACCTGTTGTTCCTTTAAGAGCTTCTCTTGCTGCCGCTTCCGCTGTTTCTCCTCACGCCGTTGCTGCTTCTGCTGCTGTTTCTGCTGCTTTCGTGGGTGATGTGCCGCGGTTTGCGGAGTAGGCTCCGGAGCCGCGGACTGCTCTTCCTCGTCAAGCAAGGACACCTCATGAATCTCCCCACGCCAAACGGACGAAGAAATACGCTCCTGACGGCCCGCAGCGCTGCTGCTGCTGCGAACTTTGGAACGAGTACCCGCTGTTGCTACGTGGGGATCGACAGGCCCGCCACTACCAGCAGTGCAACCGCCATCGCCTTCATTCACGTCTTCCGGGATCACATCTGCTGCACCTGCGTCCGACCACTTGTTGGGCAACTGCGTCTTCCTCATATGCTGCCGCAGGTTCAGTTGCGAGAGCGCCAGGCGCAACATAGCCGCAGGGGAGGCGCGAGGGCTTGACCTAGGGCCTGTAGCAACTGTAGCTACAGCAGCAGCAGCAGCCGTACTGGCTGTAGCACCCGGAACAGCCGCTGTAGCACCTGTAGCACCCCCAGCACCAGCCGAAACTGCTTCAGGACTGATCCTAGCTGCAACGCCGCCTGAGCTAAAACGGCTTAGCACGCTAACGCCGCTAAGACCACATACACCGCTGTTCATGCGACCTCCCAGTCCGCCACCTGTGCTGCTGCGGCCAACACCCGCAGCAGGGTGCTGTATGCGTTGGTTGTTGTTGTTGACATTGAGGTTGTGGTTGTTGACATTGAGGTTGTGATTGCTCATGCTCACGTCCGACAGGCGCTGCAGGTCCGCGAATGAGGAGTTGGTGGTGGAGGAGGTTACGCGGGAGCTCCTGCTGTTGCCCTGAGCAACCGTTGGCAGCTGCCGGAGGCTATGAGACCTGGGAGCACCGCCGCCGCTGCAGCTGCTGCCAACACCGCCATAAGCGGCAGCTGTAGCAGGCGCCGGTGCTGCTACAGCCGTGCGGGCACCCACATTGGCGTAAGCACAACAGCCGCTATTGCCACCACTGCCGCCAGCAACAGGTGCCGAATAGGGACCGGCAGCAGCAGCAAACCTGCCACCACCACCACCGGCTATAACAGCAGCAGTAGGAGGAGGACAAGCATTGTAGTAGGCTCCATGGAAGTGAGCTGCGCTCCTCGGCAAGTTGTTGTTGCTGTGGTTGTTGATGTTCGATGGCAGGTCTGGTTGGAAGCGGCACGCAAACACGAAAAGTACGACGCCCACCAATAATATCATGCCAAACACACTTCCCAACACGCCCCCCGCGATGGCTGACGCGGATACCGACATGCCGCCACTGCCGCCGCCACTGCCAGCTGAACCAGCGGCTGCGAGGTCAGGTAAGTCCGCATCATCACCGTTTTCACTTAGGAGTCCATTCCAGTCAAACATTGAGAAGGGTGTAGTTGCTGCACCCGGAATAGCAGGTGGTGGTGAGGGTGTTGGGATCGTGGAGGTGTCTGTGTGCTGTGCGGAGGATGGCGGCGGCGGTGGTTGCACAGCCATGTCTTGCTTGCTGGTGCTGGGCGGCGGGGAGGTCGGCGTCGTGGTTTCGGGCTGCGAGCTCTCCAGCAGGAACAGCCGCTTGCGGGTGAAGGGCTGTGGTGACAGCGGCGGGCTCATGTTGGGCGGGTTGCCGAGCGCTGATAGGGCTCGTGTCTCTGCGGTTCTTGTCCCACGCCCACCTCCTGCGCCTACTGCTGCTGAACCTCGACTTTCATTGAGAAGGGACTCAACAGCAGGGGAGGTGGCGTCGGTGTTTGCGCTGGAGACGGTGCTGTCGGAAGCGCCAAATGGGATGGGCGCCGCAGCGCCAACCGCTGCTGCTTTTTTGTGCAACATAGAGCCCAGGCTGTCGCCCGAGTTAGCAGTAGCAAGGTTGCTGTCCGAGTCGGTAGTAGCATGCTGGTCTCTGGTCTGTACGCTGTCATGGCCCAGCTGGCCTCCAGCAAGGAAACTGTGCACACAATGAAAGTTACCGGGTAGTAGTAAGTTGGGCTTAGTAGACTTCCAAGCACTGTGGGAAGCTCAATACCGGTTGAACGAGCTGCAATTGCGATACCACCAGTGGTACCGAGGCACCTGGCACTGCTAACCAATTTGGAGGGCCCCAGCCGACCCTGCAGCTGACAACGCACCTCTTAAGGCACTTGGTGTTGATGGGCCCACATAGGGGGAGCTGGCTGGATGCCGGTGCTAATGGATATTCTCCTGATTTCACAGACGCGCCAGAAGAGCCAAGCCGAGCTGTGACGAGGGGAGGTGGCCATGGGAGAACTTGTTAGGGCACAACGTCCGCATTTGCTAGCGCCAAGGATTTATCACAAACAGTATCGGTTATGGTGTGTAAGGCAACGCAGGTGATCAGTGTTGAAATTTGAGCGATAGGACTGCGGCTGTCCGTCTTGTGAGCAATGCTACACGGAACTTGGCCAAATTGACTAATGCAGTGTGCATATGGTGTGCATTTGAATTTTTGCACTAAAAGCATCCACAGAAAGCTGTAAACAGCGTTTGGAACCCACCAGTCACTTGCACATGTCCACGGAGGGCAGTGGCGTCTGCCGATATGAGCAAGGTAGCCAAGAAAACACAGCTGCAGACGACTGCAGATAGTGGCATAGCAGTAGAAATCACTGCGCTGCTGCGACGTCGGGGTATCGGCGCCATCTCTTTCTTCTCTTTCCTTCAACTTTATGAGGTCCAGAGCTAATGAATGTAAGTGAACGCCTGTGTCGGTGGTTTAAAGTGGATGTTTAAAATCAGGCCAGCTAGCAGACAGACTAGATAGCTGGAGTTCATGAGCGCGTGCAGCAGCGTAGGTTGCGAATGTGGTGCAGACGTACCAAATTAAAGCGAAGCGGCCATCTTAGAGTAACACAGACATCAATTTGAGGAAAAATAGAGACGTAAATTTACAGTGAACCGTCAACTAAGATACTATGACACTAATAAACGCTAAAGTGTAATCCGCCAAAGGTTAGGTCAACTTACGCTTCAAGGTATTAGGCGACAGTGGTGCCACTTTCTGTCGTTACAGTCTTGCTGCTGTTACAGTCTGTACGGACAACGTAATGGGTTGCCTAATGAGCCACCGTTACGGTGGCCGCAGTTGCCGGCCTTTGTGAATCAAATACCCTGGTGTATTGAAAGCAAAGAAAGGGTTATTTTGTAGGACATGTTGGGGGCCCAGGCTGTAGGCAAGTCGGCGACTGTCATCCACTAGCCATCTCAGCACTGAAAGAGCCGTGAACAACTTGGCATTTACGCTTACATGGCCACGTCAAGTATGCATCCTTCGTCTCTAACTGAGGCGACTGCTCGTCTACCCAACAACCCACTAGCGCAAAGAATAGGCACCTCTATGCACTATTGAATCCTCCATTGCAAACGCTTATAGGATTGCTGAACTCCTAACAAAGGTGCCGGTGTCATCGATTACCTACAAGGCTTGGACGAGCGCGACGGCGAAATCTTTCCGTATCCTCCCTATTTCAGTAATAACCCTTGCCGGAATCTCCATAATCGTACAATCAAGCAAGTTGGAAGTAAGGTATGGTGTCCACAATATGCCTTGCCTGGTCGGGACTGGGACAATGTCGCCATGTCGGGCGGCAAGCAGTGGCTATAGCTTAGTGGAGACTCCGGTACTCGCCCAAACGTCGCAAGAAAGCATCCTGGCTCGCAAACCAGTATCTATAGAACCTCGGACGTCCCCAATGCCCCACGGACCTATGCCAGCCTACCCAGGAAACGGCATTGCCCCCCAGGGCAGTGTTATGTTGGGCGCTAGAGTGGCAACTCGCTTATACCCAGCACCATAGAATCCTGTCCACAACGCCATCTGAAACCCCTACGAGGACCGCAACCTGCAAACGTTCTCTCCTTTGTCCATGACAAAGCGTCTTTTCTCTGATGACCCTTCGTGAAGCAGCACACACCACCGCTGCGACGAGGACACCAGACACCTGGAATAGCATAATAGGTACCGCATACCACATATAGAAGACCCATTGGGTCCACAACCAGCAGCGCCCCCTCAACACAGGTTGTTGGCGGAGATGCAGGCTATGCAAACAACCGGTACATGCATGCATCGAGCATCATGCATAAGCAAAAGCATGCGTGTCTACTGAGATTTGCATGGGAGGGGATCCCGCTCAGATGGTGCCAGCATTGCACGGCTTCAAGTAAAGAATTTAAGCGACAGAAAAAATCATAAATACAAGACCTTTTCTTGATACAGCATGCGTACATAACCCGCATAAGCCGTACACATACAATAGTTCGTACGGCACACACCATCACCCAAACACATGCACCGCATCCTGCAATACCAGAATATCCCACCTGCCAACTTGCTGTACTGCCAACTTGCTATACTGCCAACTGTACGGCTATGTACACCAAACTTCATACGCCATTCTCCGCCTATCTGTCCGCATAAGCTGACCGTGAAATGCAGTCAACCGCATCCCTGGGGCATGGGCGCGACAGGGCTATCTATCAACACCCCAACATACACGCGTGAACGCACTGACTTCACCTAGAAAGCAGGCGTACCGGTAGCCCCCGGCCATCCTGCTCCGAACGCTCACATCTGTACCCCCCTTGTTCCTTTCACTCCTCATGCCGCCTCCTGCTCCTCACCTGCTCCTTGCGTCTTCATTCACCTCTTAAGTCCGCGAGGACACCACAGCAGAGGATGCTGCCCCTGCTGCCGTTAATCCCGCTGTCACCGGCGCCGCCGGAACGGCTCCCTCGGGGACGTCTGCAGGGGGCACCTTGCGCGCCCCCTCCCTCCAGGCTGGCACGTACTCCTGTGTCGTGTGCAGAACATGCAGTGTTGCGCATGCCGTGATGCGTTGCGTGGCACGTGAGGGGTGCGCCAAGGGTGAGGCGAGGGGCAGCACGCAGCAGGGCCTAGGGCCAGGGCTGGAGAACTTGAGGGGGTCTAAGATCCCACATCTCTCCCATCCTTTCTCCCCCATCGTAACCCTCCCTGCCCCACCCAAATAGTGGAGCCCCATCACACGCTTCCCTCGCCTCCTCGTTTTTACCATTACCTATCCCTCACAGTACAGACAGCCTGTTATGAATAACAACCCAACAATCAGTACCCACTTACATGGGGGCTACTAATGACGCCCCGTGACGCCCTTATACACGCGCTACCCCCATGCATCTTGACCCCCCCCCGATTCCTCCAAACGACCCGCCTCACCCCACCCCTGTGGTTTCCTATGGTCCGGAATGGTCTTAAATGACCCCGCCTCACCCCACCTTGAACAGGTACTGAAACTGCTTGTCGCCAGCCCACTTGGGAGTCAGGCGGTACAGCGCGTTGCGACCGCGAACCGCCCACCAGCTGTCCACCATCGCCAGCTGGGCCAACTGCGGTCGTACGACAGTGTACGACAAGTTACGGCAACAGTACGACATTGTGCGGTAATGTACGAAAGTGTACGACAAAGCAGTAACGACAAAGGGGGCCTTGCTAGGAATCATGTGGAATACCTTACCACAGCACGTATGCGGTACAATCGATAACGCATGCCAAGAAACATAACAAGTACGTGGTTCCATGTGAAAGGGGCTTAAATGACTCGACACTTTGTTCAGTATTGCGGAAGTTGTCCAGCTGCTGGTGGGAGGTGGGCCCCAAGAGCAGTTAGTCGGGAAAGCGTCCGTACACATCAGACGCAAACCCGCACGCCCCCCCTCCTCACTCCCCACACGCATACGCACCTCCGCTGACTGCTTCCACACTCGGGCGGTCCGCGGGGCACGTGAGGCCTCGTAACGCCGTAACGCCGCCGCGACCCGCCGTACTGCTTCCGCCTCGTCAGCAGCTGCAGCACCAGCAGCTGCAGGCGCAGTGTCGCGGGCAGCAGAGGCGGTAGCAGTCGCAGCACCGGCGAAAGCAGCAGCACCAGGAACAGCAGCAGCATCAGTAGCATCAGCAGCAAAGGTCGTTCCCAGCTCGTTCGCCAGCTCCAGGGCATCCTCGATGGCCATGCAACCGCCCTGTGCGTGGGTGGGTGGGGAAGGTAAGGAAGGGGTAAAGGAGGAAGGCATGGCTAGAGAAGGAAGGAAGGGGTATAAGTAGGAAGGAAGGGGTAAAGAGGAGAAGCGAAGCACTTTAATGGGGCAAGGCCCGCTAGGGAGGGAGGGTTGTGCGGATGTAGTACAATCGGACACATGCAGTGCGGGTCGTACAATACGCCTTGTGGCAACCTTAAACTGCGCCCGCGGGCCGCCTACTGTGCGACTGACCGCTACTGACTACTTGGTGAGCCGCCTACTCGCCAAGCCGCGCCTACCCATCTACCCCGCATTGCCCTCCTCTCCCTCCCGCGCCCAGTTCCTTCCCCCATCTGTCCCTCTGCCAGTGCCTCTCAGCAGCGCAGTCCAATTAACTTCTACCGCCGCTTCTACCCGCCCAAATGGTGATGCCTACATGTCATACAGCTCGCCAGTGTTCCTGTTCAACCCCCTTTCCTCCCTCCACTCCCTCCTTCCTCCCCTTCCCTGCAAACCATGATGATGCCTTATCACACGGTCAGTTAGTTGTTTCCTCTTTACCCTCCCTGCCCCCCACCTGTCCCAGTGTCCCCCCTCCCTGCCCCCCACCTGCCCCAGTGTCCCCCCTCCCTGCCCCCCACCTGTCCCAGTGTCCCCCCTCCCTGCCCCCCACCTGCCCCAGTGTCCCCCCTCCCTGCCCCCCACCTGTCCCAGTGTCCCCCCTCCCTGCCCCCCACCTGTCCCAGTGTCGCCCCTCCCTGCCCCCCCACCTGACCCAGTGTGGGCAGCATGCCGTGCGCCGCATCCCCAAGCAGCGTCACCCGGCCGCTCCCCCAGGGGGCGGTGGGGGGCGGCTGCTGGAACATGCGGGCCACGTGCACCTCAGACTGTGCGGGGGGAAAGAAAGGGGGGTGATTCGCGATCTTCTACTTCTAAACAATTGCAGAGGTCTACAGTTCGTTGCGAGTAAGTAAAGCCTATACGGCTGCACGGCACCCCCCTTACCGACTATACGGCATCCCCCCCTCTCCGACTGTACGGCACCCCCCTTACCGACTGTACAGCATCCCCCTCTCCAACTATACGGCATCCCCCTCACCGACTGTACGGCATCCCCATCACCGGCTGTACGGCACCCCCCTCACCGACTGTACGGCACCCCCCTCACCGGCTGTACGGCAGCCAGCAGGTCCCTAACGGGCTGCGCAAAGTCCCAGAACAGGTCCCGCAGCGCCGCCGCCTCATCGGAGCTGCCGGGAGGCTGCGGGCGCCAGGACTCGGGCCGGTTGTCGAAGGCGTACCTGGGGGGAGATTGGAGGGAGGAGGGAGGTGGGGAGGTGGGGAGATAGGAGGGAGGGCAGGCAAAAAATAATTGTAAATGAGACCGTGAACTGTGCAATCCCCCAGGCAGGCCGGGTGGTATCACGCACCCTGACCCACCAGGCCACCAGCGGCTGCTGCAGCACTCGCAGTCCGCCCGGAGCCGACTCGTCGGGGAGGGCCTTGGGGGGGGGGCGGGTGAGGGGAGGGGGGAATGAGGGCATGGAAGAGCGTAGGACATGAAAAAGCGTGAGGACATGGGGACATGAAAACAAGCGTGAGGACATGGGGACATGAATGCCGGGTTTTCCCTAATTTTTGTCCCGCTCAAGGAGAGTACATCGACGGTCCACACCTCCGCCTTAATGGTGAAAAGCCCGATGCGGCGCCCGCTGCCCCAGTACTCGGCCCAGCTGTCGCCGTTGATGGACTGATATGACATGAGGGGGGGGGGATTATATAATAAGTGCAAACAACTAGAGTCCCTAGGGTGGGGTGGGTGGGTGGCGCCCGGGATGGGTGCGACGAGTCGTGGCGGTGTCCCCGGAGGCGGAAAGGGACCCATGGGGGTGGGGGCGGAGGCAGTGTGGGAGCGGATAGGGTGGGGGCGGAGGCAGTGTGGGAGCGGAGGCGGGTGGTGTTGGGCAGCAGGGCCGCAGCTAACAGGGCTAGCACCGCGGGGGTGACACAGGCGGAGCAGGGCATGCGACCGACAGCAGCAAGACGGAGGAGGGGGGCATGCGACCGACACACGGCCCACCTTGAGGAATGCCTCCGCGCCGCCCCGGATCCTGCTGAGCGGCAGGATGCCCCGCCAACACACCGTGCCGCTGTACTGCAACTGTACGGGAGCGCCCTGCAGCTGCTGACGGATCTTAGAAAGAAAGGGAAGACGGGGCAGGCAGGGAGGAAGAGGGAGGTGGGGGGGGCGGGAGGGCCAGGGGAGGAGCGGGGGATGGGAGGAGCAGGGAAGGGTGGAGGGCTCTCGATGGGATAGGAGGGACGGCCGAGGAGGAGGAGGGAGGGAGGGAGCAATACACATTTCCTGAACGCATGGGCGGATATGGCACAAGGAAATCCCGTACGACCCATTTGCCGTACTGCATATAGCTCCAAAGCACTATAGATGTACGACGCCGTACACGTACCTTGGATCTGATGCCGTCAGCTCCCACCAGCACGTCACAACTCTCCACGGAGCCGTCGTCGAAGGCCACCTGCGTGCAAGGGGTATGGCATGGTACGGCAAAGGGAGGTGCGGCAGGGTATGGTAAGGGGCTAACGGCCGAGGTGAAGGCAGTTGGCAGCACGTGTACCGGAGCAGGGGCAGGAGGTTTCTTCCCGCCGGGAATAAGAATGGACAACTGCTGCTTCTGGTGCGAGAGAGGGCGGAACACATGAGCCTTGTCCAAGAGGCTTATCCAAGAGCAAAAACATGCAGATGGGGACAGTCTTTTTTACGTGGGTGTTGATTTTGCGGTTCAGTTACCGTACTTCAACACACACACACGCCAGTTATTTTAACACACGCGCACACTCGGCCACAGTCCCGCACGTTCCTCCTCGCGACCAGTTGTCTTAACACGCAAACGGGGGCCGCACCTGCAGCTTCCCCGGGGCGCCCGGCGGGGGCGCGTTAAAGGCAGCGAAGGAGCGTCCAAAGGTGACCAGACCGGGAGGCAGAGCGGAGTAAAGGATGCGTTGCAGGGAGCCGCGGGAAATGGAGAGACCGTTGGATTGAATGTCGGTTAGGCCTGGAGGTACGGCAGTGGGGTGTGTACGACAGGTTGTGTACGACAGAGAGGACAAGATGTACGGAAGGACGGAAGCGGGAAGATGTTAGGATGTACGACAGGAAGATTTAGGTGGAAGGTGTGGAAAGGCCTCGGAACGTGTGTGGTCATGAAAAGAGCGGCGCAAACTCCCGTACGTATCGCTCACCCACTGAGTCGATGTCGGAGTAGTAGAGATAGTCGCCCTTCTCGTTGCGAAAGCCGCCGGACATGATGGGGCCTCCCACTTCGTAGATCGCGTCACTCAGGCTGTAGCAGCTGCTACTGCCGCCGGTTTCAGTGCTGCTACTGCCTGTGCTGCTGCTGTCTTTGTTGGCGGCAGTAGCAGTAGCAGATGCGGCGGCAGTAGCATCGCCCGGTGCGATCCAGGAGGACCGCAGCAGCCGGAGAACCTTCTCTGCGTTGGCCTGGGGGAGCGGATGAGGGTAAGGAAAGGGTCAAGAAGCTTAGTAAGATGAGAGCATGAAAGAGGAGGCCGCGAAGGTAAGGAAAGGAGGGAGCAGGGGTGCTGCAAGCGTGCTTGTGGTTTGCCGCCTCACAGCCAGCGTTCATCCGTCCACAAAAATGAAAGCACACGAACCCATAAGAACCGTTGTGTTCCTTTTCGCAAACGTTAGCGTCCAACTGATTAAAGCAGCTTGCGGGCTTCGCGCACCTGGATTTGGATGCCGCCTGGACCTGTAAGCGCATCATCCTTCTTTCGGAATTCGTAAATGCGCACACGGGCGCCGGCCTCCAGCAAGGCAGACGCAGCTGTCAAGCCACCTATGCCTGAGCCCACGATGATAACGTCCAAGGGGCTGCGTGGTTGCGCGGAGGATGTACACTTGCAAGTTACAGGTCGCCGGGATGGCGAAGCCAAAGGGGGCCGCGGACGGCGAGATGAGGCCATGTCCGTAATGTTCCGCATTAGGGACGCCATTAGGGGTGCCTCGCTAACGAAGTGCTCGCAGCGTTGTCCGGGCGTCTTGAAATGGCGCGTTAAGTGCCGCGAGGGTAAAGCGCCAGGTTAATGTCCCACGATTACGAAACCGGGAACGTCTTATAAGTACCAAGCGGTGTATAGCTGGAGCACGTGAGATTGCTGATAACACAATTGCGTCCAACCTCTGACGGTACTGCTGCTGGTAGCATTGTTGCATCTACCCGCACTATCGAACTAGGCAGCATAACATTCAAGAAGTATGTAATCTGTAAGTAATAATTTTGCGTGACCGCGCACGAGTGGAAGCCTTGGCGGGGTTCCATCAGTGTGTCGTATCGCAAAGCGAGTTGCGCGGGAGTAACGCAATTATCGCATATGGCTTGGAAGCAATCCATTTGAGTTAATAATCAATAAACGCTACCAGAAGGTCACGCTATCCGCAGCAACCGAGATACCGGTACTTCGATGTTAGCCATGAGCCATGGAGGCGCAGCAGGGCGGGTCAACTGTGACCTGCCATCATTCCTTATCTTTTCACTTGCCCATACACTCCCTTACCTTCTTAACTAAGCTTCTCTTCTTTTTGTTTTCACTCCAAATTAGTCCAAAAGGTGCTGCTCCGAAATCAACCATGCTGTGTTTCAGGCAAGTCCTGTGCTGTGCAATGCTGTGGCAACCCCTTTCCGGAATCACCCGGCTGTATGTATGGAATAATATGTTACTGGGGTTACGCAGTACATAGGGCATTGCCGGAGCACCGGCTTCCCTTGGGCGCAAAGATCTTAGCTTACTAAGCAGGATAGCGACTACCCAAAGGCCGCGAGAGCAAGGGATTCTCTACAGTGGATTGTTGTTTGTGTCCACAGGCTTCACGGTTTTCCCCTGGAATGGCAGTATACGTTGTGACAACACTGGACAAATCAGGTTGTACACGCATTTGATTACCCCCGCTAGCCCTTGAAGTGATGGTTGAAGTGCCGGGCAGGCCAGGGCAGGGATCGTACAGCAGTAGCATGCGGCCGTTGCCACCAAGCGGAAGGGAGTGTCAGCCTGTGTACATAGTGACAGCGGTGCTAACACGTGAGAGTTAGCAGTTATACGAAGTACTGCATACTACCCAGGTGGTAGCTGAAAGCAGACGCGAGGCCCACTTGTAAACAGCATATCAAGCCGCAGTTCCTACTTGGGGTTGGTCTAAACGGAATGGCAGTAATAACTGCGAAACGGTATGCAAACAAATTGTTGTTTATTAGATTACCGGTATGCGCATCCACGTAAGACTTTGGCAGCAACGAGGCAGGGCCGTTGCTTGCTTGGAGCCATGCAAACTCGAAAGTATCATATAACTGAACGCTTAGAATGCTTTAGCAGGTTATGGAGGACATGGTCAAAAGCCTACGTAGGCCCACCCAGGCCTCCTCGAGAGGTACGACATTCCTTTCGCGGCGATGTATACCAGCACTTTTCCACTGAATGTTCGGGCTACTGTTATGCAGGTAGCATCAAGGGGAACATAGGAGATAGAAGGGATATTGCGCAGCACCTTACTAACAGGCAAGATGGAGTTCTTCACCATCGGTGCTGTTATAACGCTGTGCGCGCATGTTTGGGAAGCAGTTGACATGATCGAGGATAGCAAGCTGGGTCTGGACCATTTGGCACAGCAAGTCCATAACGTTCAAGACAAGCTCATCGAAGCTCAGGACCTCCTTCCACAGGATGAGTTGAAGTCGGAATCGGTGCAGAAGGCGATCAAGGTGCGTCATATGAGAATGCCTGCTTTTGGCTGTCTATATAGTGCTGCCGCTCAGCCGTTGTCCACTTTTCTACTAATGCTTGCATACCCTATCGGTACCTGCCGGCCTGCATAGCAAACTCGTGCTTCACCTGGCTTGTTGTCAAACTGCAATTTCCTAACCCTATTGCTATATAGGGTATTCAGGATGCGCTTCGGGAGTGCCACAAAGTCGTCTGTAAAGTCACGAAAACCAAACCACTTGGCAGGTTCTTCATGGCAGGTAACCTGAGCAAAATGCGGCTCAATCAGTTTGTTTATCACCTGCATAGGGTTAGGCTAGGCCCAATCGTAAATTGCCAGTTGCACGCGTCTCGGACATCTACCGGTACACATGCTACCTTGAACGGTGGACCGCCTTAAAAGCAACAGTAATACACGAGAAGCCATTTGCTGCATTTATTACAATATGTACCGCTACATCGCTTGGCAAATGCATTGACGCATTGCGCCTCGCGTCGCGACTCTGTCGTTTATCGAATCCCGAACGCCAACTTTTTACCGTAATGTTCTTCCTTCCGTTAACCTGCAGGCAAAATCCTTATGAAAATCAAGACTGCCGGCACTCATCTGTCCCGCAGCCTGGATAACCTTATGGCCACCCTGGCCATCCGCGACCGCAACGACATGCGCCACCTTCGGGACCAGACGCTTGAAATCTGCAATGCGCTCCTGAACATGCGGCTAGAGCAGCTCAACGCCATGTCCAGGGCGGAATCGCAACTCCGGCGGGAACTGGAGGTTTCTCCCACGCAAGACTTCCAGGCAACGTTACAGCAGCACCTGAAGCTCGTCGGCCTCGAGGTGTGTGCCTCCTTATCAACGCACACCATGCAAAATTGCAAAGCACTTGTAAAACCCCCTTCCTGTCTCAAGAGAAGAAGCTTTCCTTGTGTTCCTTCTTGTGTTCCTTCTTGTGATCCCAGTCGTCGCTGGCGACCTTCTAGCTCCTTTACCTTTACCTCTGCCGCCTGGTGTGCTGGATGCAGGCAACCACTGCCTCCCCTGAAGACCTGGAGGAGCTGCGGTCGGAGCTGGCGGACCTGCGGGCTCAGAAGGAATACATGGAGGAGCAGTATCTGGCGCACATTATCAGCGCGCTCCAGCTGTCTGAGGCGGCGAGCTGCAGCGCCGGCTGCAGCAGCAGCAGTGGCGGTGCCAGCATCAGCGGCAGCAGCGGCCTTTGCAGCGGCGGTGATGCAGACACTAGCAGCAGCAGCAACAACAGCAGTTTTGGCGGCGCTAGCTGCAGCTGCAGCAGCTTTGCCGGTGTTGCTGCCTACGCTGTTGTTGCATCTGTCAGCGGCGCCGCCTCCGACGCCGCTGCTGCTGCTGCAGGCACCGCACGAGGCAGCTGCGGTGGAGACGCCGGCGGTGGCAACAACGATACCGACCGTGCATCACCATCGCCCCTCGTTGAGACGCGTAGCGGCCTGCTTCGCTCCCAGCAGCTAGCTGCCAGCATACGTCGAACCGACAGCTGCATCCCCAGCCGGTGTGCTAAGGAGGAGGAGGGCGAGCACGTGCTAGCTCCCCCTGAGACGCCAAAGCAGCAGCAGCTGTCGGAGCCGGCGTCTGAGCCCACGGCCGCGCCCGCGCCATCGTCGCTGGTGCAGCTATCGAAGAGGCACTTGGCAGCGGCAACGGCGATTGTGAAGCCAGGGGGCAAGGGTGACACCGACGCGGCGATCCGGGCGGTTGGTGAGGAGCCTGGGGAGCGGGAGGACGTGAAGCAGCCTGCCGCTGCATGCAGCGCTGGCAGGGGTTCACCGGTGCCGCCGGCGGATGGAGCAGTGGTGTTGACTGAGGAGGAGGTGGGCTTGGGGCGGAGGGTTTGAAGGGTGGGATCCATGCATGAAACAAAGGCGTTGGTATTGTTTTGGTCGGCCGACATCATGCTGTTGCCGACACCACTGTCGCCGACATCATGCTGTTGCCGACATCACTGTCGCCGACATCATGCTGTTGCCGACATCACTGTCGCCGACATCATGCTGTTGCCGACATCACTGTCGCCGACATCATGCTGTTGCCGACATCACTGTCGCCGACATCATGCTGTTGCCGACACCACTGTCGCCGACATCATGCTGTTGCCGACATCACTGTCGCCGACATCATGCTGTTGCCGACATCACTGTCGCCGACATCATGCTGTTGCCGACATCACTGTCGCCGACATCATGCTGTTGCCGACACCACTGTCGCCGACATCATGCTGTTGCCGACATCACTGTCGCCGACATCATGCTGTTGCCGACATCACTGTCGCCGACATCATGCTGTTGCCGACACCACTGTCGCCGACATCATGCTGTTGCCGACACCACTGTCGCCGACATCATGCTGATGCCGACATCACTGTCGCCGACATCATGCTGTTGCCGACATCACTGTCGCCGACATCATGCTGTTGCCGACACCACTGTCGCCGACATCATGCTGTTGCCGACACCACTGTCGCCGACATCATGCTGTTGCCGACATCACTGTCGCCGACATCATGCTGTTGCCGACATCACTGTCGCCGACATCATGCTGTTGCCGACATCACTGTCGCCGACATCATGCTGTTGCCGACACCACTGTCGCCGACATCATGCTGTTGCCGACATCACTGTCGCCGACATCATGCTGTTGCCGACACCACTGTCGCCGACATCATGCTGTTGCCGACACCACTGTCGCCGACATCATGCTGTTGCCGACATCACTGTCGCCGACATCATGCTGTTGCCGACATCACTGTCGCCGACATCATGCTGTTGCCGACATCACTGTCGCCGACATCATGCTGTTGCCGACACCACTGTCGCCGACATCATGCTGTTGCCGACACCACTGTCGCCGACATCATGCTGTTGCCGACATCACTGTCGCCGACATCATGCTGTTGCCGACATCACTGTCGCCGACATCATGCTGTTGCCGACACCACTGTCGCCGACATCATGCTGTTGCCGACATCACTGTCGCCGACATCATGCTGTTGCCGACATCACTGTCGCCGACATCATGCTGTTGCCGACACCACTGTCGCCGACATCATGCTGTTGCCGACATCACTGTCGCCGACATCATGCTGTTGCCGACATCACTGTCGCCGACATCATGCTGTTGCCGACATCACTGTCGCCGACATCATGCTGTTGCCGACACCACTGTCGCCGACATCATGCTGTTGCCGACATCACTGTCGCCGACATCATGCTGTTGCCGACATCACTGTCGCCGACATCATGCTGTTGCCGACATCACTGTCGCCGACATCATGCTGTTGCCGACATCACTGTCGCCGACATCATGCTGTTGCCGACATCACTGTCGCCGACATCATGCTGTTGCCGACACCACTGTCGCCGACATCATGCTGTTGCCGACATCACTGTCGCCGACATCATGCTGTTGCCGACATCACTGTCGCCGACATCATGCTGTTGCCGACACCACTGTCGCCGACATCATGCTGTTGCCGACACCACTGTCGCCGACATCATGCTGTTGCCGACACCACTGTCGCCGACATCATGCTGTTGCCGACATCACTGTCGCCGACATCATGCTGTTGCCGACACCACTGTCGCCGACATCATGCTGTTGCCGACACCACTGTCGCCGACATCATGCTGTTGCCGACACCACTGTCGCCGACATCATGCTGTTGCCGACACCACTGTCGCCGACATCATGCTGTTGCCGACACCACTGTCGCCGACATCATGCTGTTGCCAACATCACTGTCGCCGACATCATGCTGTTGCCGACACCACTGTCGCCGACATCATGCTGTTGCCGACACCACTGTCGCCGACATCATGCTGTTGCCGACATCACTGTCGCCGACATCATGCTGTTGCCGACACCACTGTCGCCGACATCATGCTGTCGCCGACATCATGCTGTTGCCGACATCACTGTCGCCGACATCATGCTGTTGCCGACATCACTGTCGCCGACATCATGCTGTTGCCGACATCACTGTCGCCGACATCATGCTGTTGCCGACATCACTGTCGCCGACATCATGCTGTTGCCGACACCACTGTCGCCGACATCATGCTGTTGCCGACACCACTGTCGCCGACATCATGCTGTTGCCGACACCACTGTCGCCGACATCATGCTGTTGCCGACATCACTGTCGCCGACATCATGCTGTTGCCGACATCACTGTCGCCGACATCATGCTGTTGCCGACATCACTGTCGCCGACATCATGCTGTTGCCGACATCACTGTCGCCGACATCATGCTGTTGCCGACACCACTGTCGCCGACATCATGCTGTTGCCGACATCACTGTCGCCGACATCATGCTGTTGCCGACACCACTGTCGCCGACATCATGCTGTTGCCGACACCACTGTCGCCGACATCATGCTGTTGCCGACATCACTGTCGCCGACATCATGCTGTTGCCGACATCACTGTCGCCGACATCATGCTGTTGCCGACATCACTGTCGCCGACATCATGCTGTTGCCGACACCACTGTCGCCGACATCATGCTGTTGCCGACACCACTGTCGCCGACATCATGCTGTTGCCGACATCACTGTCGCCGACATCATGCTGTTGCCGACATCACTGTCGCCGACATCATGCTGTTGCCGACACCACTGTCGCCGACATCATGCTGTTGCCGACATCACTGTCGCCGACATCATGCTGTTGCCGACACCACTGTCGCCGACATCATGCTGTTGCCGACACCACTGTCGCCGACATCATGCTGTTGCCGACATCACTGTCGCCGACATCATGCTGTTGCCGACATCACTGTCGCCGACATCATGCTGTTGCCGACACCACTGTCGCCGACATCATGCTGTTGCCGACATCACTGTCGCCGACATCATGCTGTTGCCGACATCACTGTCGCCGACATCATGCTGTTGCCGACATCACTGTCGCCGACATCATGCTGTTGCCGACATCACTGTCGCCGACATCATGCTGTTGCCGACACCACTGTCGCCGACATCATGCTGTTGCCGACATCACTGTCGCCGACATCATGCTGTTGCCGACACCACTGTCGCCGACATCATGCTGTTGCCGACACCACTGTCGCCGACATCATGCTGTTGCCGACACCACTGTCGCCGACATCATGCTGTTGCCGACATCACTGTCGCCGACATCATGCTGTTGCCGACATCACTGTCGCCGACATCATGCTGTTGCCGACACCACTGTCGCCGACATCATGCTGTTGCCGACACCACTGTCGCCGACATCATGCTGTTGCCGACACCACTGTCGCCGACATCATGCTGTTGCCGACATCACTGTCGCCGACATCATGCTGTTGCCGACACCACTGTCGCCGACATCATGCTGTTGCCGACATCACTGTCGCCGACATCATGCTGTTGCCGACACCACTGTCGCCGACATCATGCTGTTGCCGACATCACTGTCGCCGACATCATGCTGTTGCCGACATCACTGTCGCCGACATCATGCTGTTGCCGACACCACTGTCGCCGACATCATGCTGTTGCCGACATCACTGTCGCCGACATCATGCTGTTGCCGACATCACTGTCGCCGACATCATGCTGTTGCCGACATCACTGTCGCCGACATCATGCTGTTGCCGACATCACTGTCGCCGACATCATGCTGTTGCCGACATCACTGTCGCCGACATCATGCTGTTGCCGACATCACTGTCGCCGACATCATGCTGTTGCCGACACCACTGTCGCCGACATCATGCTGTTGCCGACATCACTGTCGCCGACATCATGCTGTTGCCGACATCACTGTCGCCGACATCATGCTGTTGCCGACACCACTGTCGCCGACATCATGCTGTTGCCGACATCACTGTCGCCGACATCATGCTGTTGCCGACATCACTGTCGCCGACATCATGCTGTTGCCGACATCACTGTCGCCGACATCACTGTTGCCCGTTGCATGTCTGCTGCAGCTGCAGACGTCGTTGCTCACCATCCTCTCGTAACAAATGCATGCACGTGAGGATGATGAGCAACAACCTCTCTCTAGAGCCCCGCCATCTTAAGAGCCCCCCCCGGTACTACCACAACCTGCTCGCACGCTCCACACCTGCCTGCTGTGTTGGGCCCGCTGCGGGTGCTGTGTGCAGGGCAAGCTGATGCGGCTGGTGGACCAGGAGCCCGAGGAATACGCCCTTCTGGACGAGAGCAAGCTGGAGCACATCAAATACTACGTAGACCGCAATGTCGCGCTTCTCAAGACCAGGGACGGGGTAAGCAGGCAGGACGGAGGGAAGGAAGGAAGGAAGGGAGCGACGCCATGCATGCGTGCGTGTGTTCGGTTCTGCATGTGTTAAAAATAACTGGCCGCATGTATGGGTGTGATGAGGAAAGTAATGAGGCAAGGATGGAAGGAGGTGCGGGAGCGGGTGGCCGTTGTATGGCCTATCGAGATGAGTGTGGGCTGCGCGGTCCATCCATCCACAGCATCCCGGGTTTACGCAACACGACATTGTTGCGCCTTCAGGACTGTTGTCATCATTTTCTACCTCGCTTGGGCACCTCGCACAGCCAAACCTGCTGCAACCCCGCAACTGCAAGTGAACTCACTTCGTATGAACCGCTCCTTTGACCTTTGCCAACTGCGCATGCATGCTGGTGCTGAATACAGCGCGGTTTCACGCCGCTGCACCTGGCTTGCTATCGCGGGCGGGTGGACGTTGTCTCACTGCTGCTGAGCTACAAGAAGCACATGGAGGTGGACGCTGCAACGCCGGTACGTCACGCTGCTGACCATGCATGGTCATGTAAATGGGGCTCGAAGATGACGTGTATGTTATTTGTTTGACCTGCTTCAATCGCTGTGACCCACGGGTCACCTTTGCAGGAGGGTATCACGCCGCTCATGCTGGCATGCGGCAAGGGCTGCTTGGAGGCGATTGAGATGCTGTTGGAGGCGGGCGCAAACATGGAGTGTGAGACCAAGGTACCGAGAAGAGGCGTGCAATGCATGGGCCTGCCTGGCTTGCTTCGATGCTTCGAAGTTACATGCCTAAGCTGTACACGATACCGGGAGTTGGCCGGTTGTTGACCGTTGACCAAATGGTTTGGTTCTTGGGTTCCTTCATCGCCGCAGGAGGGCTGGCGCGCCGCCCATTTTGCCAGTTTCTCGGGCCACGTTGAGACGGCCATCGTGCTGCTCAGGAAGCGGGGCGCCAACCTATCAGCGAGGACACGGGTGAGTATAGATTGAGTCTGTTGTGTGTGCGTTTGGCCTGTCTTATCGCCATGTTGTGGTGGAGCCCTTCTTACTTGACATGTAACGTTTGACTACCGTAGCCTGAATGCTGTAAGGTAGGGCAGTCTGCATGATCGCTGCATGTGTCTGTAGTATTGCATAGTCGCCGGACCGGCAAACGGAGCGGCAACCTATTTAGTATGAACCTTGCCCCTGCCCCCGGCCCTTACCTGTCCCCTGTCTGCTGCCCCCCACGACCCCCGATACCCTGTTGTCGCCTGCCCCCAATCCATGCGTGCAGGGGGAGCTGTGCGGCATCCCGGCGGGCTCCACGCCGCACGAAATCTTCCGCAAGGTCGACGGACACGTGGGCTCAGGTGCGTGCGTGCGTGTGGCTACCGTTCCTGGGTTTGCGAGTGAGCGTGGGAAACAAGCAAGGTAACACGCATGGGGGAGTGTGCTTCCGTGTTCTGCTGTATGTTGTCGCGGAGGCTAGGTTTGGCGCGGATGGGCGTAAGTAAAGCAGCTTGAAGGGTACATTAGCCAACACGCTAGGAAGATGTTTGTAATTTGCATGCCTGTATGATGCGCGCCTGCCTACAGGCCCAGCAATACCGGCGGTAAGGGCCTTGGCGGCTGGCAACTGAAGGGGCGCGAATACGGGCGGCGCCAAGAGGGAGAAGCTGTGGGCTGATGTGCTGGAAAACAATTAAGTACAGTAAAGGTGTTTGGATTTAAGGTACATAGTATTAGAAGATGGCTAGGTCGACCCTTATATGGGAGCTACTACGCGTGACCCATGGGTCATCCGTTATGGGGAAGAAGCCTTCGTATAGCTTTCTAGGCACCGCTCATATGCGGCATTGCACTTCGTGGTTGGGTGCATGCTATGCTGACCGCAAACAGCAATCAAATGTGCATGCAAGGCACCATCCTTGCGTATTGTGTGGGTGTAGGGGGTGTTCATGCTTCAATCACGGTATAGCTCCACTGCCCGGTCTGCAACCCCCGTGGCCTGGTTTGTTTCGTGATCGCCCAAGCAAGATTTGGAGGTGCTTTAAGAAGATCCCATCGTCGATATCGTACATGTGTTGCATGCTGTGTTGCGTGCGATGATCCGCACTTTCCTTCGACCCAGTGTATACTAGGATGAGTGGTCCATTAACACGTTAACGGAGCAAACGTGGATTCTCATTTGGGACTTGGCTGCCCAAAGTTTGTTGCCCATGTCACACATGGCGCAAGGGCAAAGCAGCATCTTTCGCCGGCTTCATCATATGTGCTAAGACCTACCAACGAAGGGCTACCGTTCGTATTCCGCCTGCCTGCTTCGTATGGTACAAGGGAACGACACCTCATCTTGCTTGGTCCACGGTGTTACGCTTGATGAGCTGCAAGAGTGTGGGGTGCGCATATGTGCTAATGTGCCTACCTCCGGGTACTCCTTCTGAACTTGTGTCGGCGACGCAATGTGGCGATAGATACCATACTCGTCTCTTCCCCGTAACTGTATTTGCAGGGCGGGGCTCGGCCAGTCAGGGCCGCGCCAGTCGGTTTATTTGTTTCCTACTACGCAGCTTTGCTGTTTGTATGGCTGTATGCGTAAACGGCGGGCTGCTTATTATGAATGGGTGCCCCTCCTTGGGTATCACCGAAACGCAATAAGCGCCTTTCTGTCAGGGCGGGGTGGCTGTTTCTAGGACCGCCCGACCGGGGGTTTGCAGGGAGGGCTAGACAGGCCGAGCGCGGAGGCACCACCAGTCGCATACACTGGTTCCCGGTACGAGTTTCAACCACGCATGCATGCAATGGGTATATGAATAAAGAATCGTTATCAGCCGTGTGCGACTGCTGCTGTATGTGATAGCCACCTGGCCACATGCACCCAGCAGACCCCTCTACCTAAATGTACATGGCGCACTCCTGTTTCTTTGAACCACCCCTACCCCAACCAGCCAGGTCGCGTAGTCGCTGTAGCAAAGCAGCAGCACAACTACTTGCCTGCTTACAAACACGGTAGCGGCTTCTGACCGTAAATCTAGGATTCGAACCGCAACCTGCAGCCTGCAGCTTGCTGCACCATCCATCGTACTCATTCTTATACACCCGTACAGCATCCCCGCAATATGGCCGCCGCCTTCCTCAGCATCAGCACCGTCATAGAGCTCTGCAAGTGCGTCGTGCAGAAGACGGATGCGGTTGCATGGCTAAAGCAGGACGTGGCTGTGGTCAGGGGGCATGTGTGTGCGGTGGAGGGGATTCTGCGGGAGGCTGCTGCTGCTGCCAGGAGCAGCAGCAGCAGCAGCAGCAGCAGGTGCTACTTTGGCGCAGGCGCAGATGACCGGCTGGGTAGCAGCAGCGCAGTGGCAGCAGCAGTTCAAACACCGCTCGAGGTGCGTGCTCGAAATGCCTGCATGCATGCACGCCCAGCATGCGCACTGGAACGTTCGTTACGTGTTTGGTATAGCTGCCTGCTGTGAGCTGGTGCCCTGATGGCTTTGCTGCTGATGCAGCGGGCTCGAGACTGCTGCTAACATGCCATGTATTTGGCTGCAGCAGCAAGGTTCCTTCGGATGATCCAAGTTAAGTAAGGTCCATGCATCTAACGCAGCAGTGCAACCCGCACGCCCGGCTTTTCCTTGCTGCAGGAGATGCGCAGGGCGCTCTTGGCTTGTGGCCGAGCCTTGGACAAGATCCAGTCACATGGCAAGCTTTACAGGTTCTTGTTCGCAGGCAAGCACCGCTCGTTCGTGCCTTATTACATGTATGGTGGCGGCAGTAAACCGTTAACGCAGCCAAGCAACAGTACACGTACGTTGCTTGCTGCGACGCTACATGCATGCCCTCCTGCTGTCCGTGCAGTTGTCCTGTCCAGCTGTCCAACCCCAAAACCACCACCGCAGCCACCACCATCAGCTCTCATATGATTCCCTCCCCAAATGCCTCCATCCCTGCTGCCTCCCTTGCAACTCTCCGTTCCCTTCCTGCTGCAGAAGAGCTGCACATGCAGCTAAAGTTCGCCGGCAGCGCGCTTTCCAACAGCCTCCAGGCCTTCCAAACCCACCTAGGACTCCGCCACTGCGACAGCCTGCGCGACTTGAGCGGCCGCGTTACCCGTTTGGCCCAGCAGCTGTCCAGCATGCAGCTGCAGCAGCTGCAGGCGCTCCGGCAGCAGCGAGCGGAGATGATGAGTGAGCTCACGGACATGCGGGCAGTCCAGCAGGCGTCATTAGCCGCCCTCGCGCAGCGCCACCTGCGGCTAGTGGAATGCGAGGTAAGTAGGAGCGTGATGATGAGTTCCGCCGACAACTCGCGTGTTGCATCTTGCATGGGACCATGAACACGTAGTAACGGCGCCGACATGCAGGAGATGCATGACACCTGACACTTTCGCAGGCATGTGCACGTGCGAACAATGCACGGTATCAAAGTCGGTAACCCATGCTGCAATGCGCTGCGGCTGCGGCTGCGGCGACTGCAGGCCGACGTGAGCGCCCAGGAGGTGGCGGAGCTGCGTCAGGAGGTGGATCAGCTGAGGACCGCCAAGGCCGACATGGAAGCGGACTTCATCGCCTGCTGCATCCGCTTGTTTGACGTGATGGAGGAAGGGAGGGGGCCGCCGGGCGGCTGTAGCAGGAGCGGTTGGGGCAGCAGCTGCAGCAGTAGCTGCGGGGGCAGCGAGGATAGGAGCTGTAGCAGCGGAGGCGGCAGCAATTGTGGGTACACCCATAGCAGCAGTGGTGCTGCTAGGAGTTGTAGCAGCAGCGGAGGCAGCAGCGTGGATGAGGTCAGCCTCTCTCTGAACGGATCGAAGGGAACGCACCTTGAGAACGAGGTGAGCTGAGCGGCTGGGGCGGACATTGGGACGAGATTCCTGACAGCAAGGACTGCATCTTGTTCCTCAAAGGTACGCCTAGCTGTTTGCTTTCCTTACTTCAGTTCAGAAACAGAGTCGTCGTACGTAAACCGTGGCAATCGCCCTGGCGCTCAGCGGGTGTGCATTGCCACCGTCCCATGGGTCACTCTCACGCATCCTTGGCCAGGCGCCAAGCCGTTCGGCTTCCGGACGTCCTATCACGTTGCATGCAAGCCCTTCCGTTCCTAAACAGGAGCCGTGTCGGTGCCGCTGCTACTGCTTGCGGCGTTGCTTCACACCTCTGCACCACGCCAGCATGCAAGGCCGCACGGATGTTGTGGAGTTCCTGCTGCGCCTCCGCTGTGACGAGCAGCTGGCGATGGTGCAGGTCGACGCTGTGACGCAGGTAAATCCGCTGGATATGATCGTATAAAATCCGCTGGTCATTGCCGCCAGGAATGTACCGGTATCTGTCAGGCTGCCGAATCCAAGGGTCTTGGCTATCGTGTTGCAACAATTCCGGCCAGGCCATCACCACCCAGCCCAACTGCACATGCTCGGCGGGGCGCTTGCTTGCCTGCCTCTCGTTTTCCATCCAAGCAGGAGGGCCTTACACCGCTGATGCTGGCGGCCGCTGCCGGCCACACGGACGTTGTACGGCGGCTGCTGGAGGCGGGGGCAGATGTGGAGCTGCAGGATGTGGTGAGTTAAGAAGAAAGAAATACGAGAAATGCGCATTTGTCGTCCTGTTCACTCCCTGTGGTGCATATGGAGGTACCGTTACCTAACTGCTGGGGCAGAGATGGGCATTCGGGGTACCGGCATTCACCCCTGCGTATGGATGCTGCTTCCAATCTACTTGGCGCCCGTCGCACACAAGGCCTAACCGTTGTACGATAGCTACTACCGGCAGCTATGAAGGTTTTGTTAACTTTCGCGTGCCTCTCCTCCATGCATGTGCTACTGCTGCCGTACCCGGGTATATACACCTGTACTGCTGGCTCTCACCTGACGCGGTGCTCCCATTTGATGCCGTACCCATCGGTTACTAAGGCGGGTTGGAGGGCGCTGCATTTCGCATGCTTTGCTGAGCAATCAGAAGTGGTCATGATGCTGAGGAGGAGGGGTGCCGACCCCAGGGCTCGAACGAAGGTAGGCTGAGAATCGCGTCCCCCGCCGTTCCGTTTAGGTGACACCGGTGCTAAAGGGGCCTCCTTGCCAGTTTGCTAGCTAAGGCACATAAGGCCTTTTAGCGGGCGCAGGCTTACCTAAACGCTTGCGTCCTCTTCTGTCCATGCAGGCGGCCAGCAGGGGCGTGCCGTGCGGGTCTAAACCCCTCGACATCATCGCAATAAAGGAAAGAGGCCTGTTGTGTCGTCGATTCCACCTTACCAGCGTCATCTGGTAGTCGGGCAGGACAGGGGAATTATTTCCCGTGATCGGAGTGATGTTTTGCTGTCAACTTGTCGTGCATGGTGCATCGCTGGTGATCATGTAGAGGTAATAGGGTTAGTGTTATACTAATGTAGCTGATCCTAGGTTTCGCTCCTGGACGCCTAGGAGCTCCTCGCCGTCTTCAGGAATCAAACGCGATCTTGGCCGGTGTTGCTATCGTTAACTGTGAAGGTTCACTGACCCGTGGGTCATTCGACTCATTCTAGAGTGCAAATGAGGAGGTCCGCATCACGTCAACATGGATGTGGCGTGAGGAAACGAAAGAAGAAAGTAGCACCGTATCCCTGTGAATCTAGCATGTATTGTTACATTGCGTCATTAAGTTCGTTCGTAATTGAATCCCACTTCCAAGCCAGTCGGGATTCCGTGGGAAAACACCACGCATTGCGTTGGCTATAAGAGTTTGTGCGTGTCAGTGTTTGATAACGCGAATTCGCATGTCAATGTGTAAAACGAAAGCGCCGTCAACCACACTCGGCAACTTCCAATCATTGTCGTATTAGTAAGGTACGCCGCCGTATTTATATAACTGTTAGGAGTCGGCCTACATAATCAAGCAGCATCATGGACGGCACGCAGGAGGTAGCAAAAAACGAGGTCTTGCTAATCAAGTCAAACATGCTATACTGTCGGCTACACTCTACGGCACCCCGTACCTCGCCCCCGGCCTAGGATAACTCCACAATTGTACGACCGAAATGCTCCCGGCAGTACAGCCGTGGCACAGTACGACAAAACACACATCGTAATGGCAACATGTGCCAACTTCCATAACAGTAGTAATACTTTACACAACGGTTGACAATGCAGCATGGTTTGAAGACAGAGAAAAGCGCCCCATGCATGCGGCGTCATGCTTCCAAGCAAATCCCCTCCTAGCATGCCCTATTCCACAGGAACACACGTACACCAGGGTCCACCCACGCGTGCCTCGATTGGCAGAATCAACCAAGTCGTACTCCATTCGGATCATGCCCCCGCTGCACTTCTCTCGCAGGTCTGTTCAATGAGTAGGCGAACTGCACGCACACCTATGCCATGCAAACCTAGCCACAGGCAGTGACATCTCCTCTCCTTCCGACCTACCCGACATGCACGCGTCATTAGCAAACTCTTGAGGCAAACAGTGGCCCTACACAACAGCATCTACTCGCACTCGTACAAACCCGACTCGAACTCAATCTCGCCCAGATCAAAATTTGCCGGTTTGCAGTCCCAATCATGAGAGTTTCCGAACCCAGATCATCAACCCCCTTCAGTCCCCGCATATGAGCGAGCCTGACCCAGATCAGCATCAAAGGTCGAATCCGCATAAGACCCACGCGACTCTCAAAACGGAACCGCTGCCGTAATAACATATCCGTGAGGAATGTCCGCACGTTCCGCTCTGCTACATTTCATCCTAACGTGCTCGTGCAGTCGCGCTCTACAGCTCTACCGACTCATGCTCTTCTTCTCAACATTCAGCCATCCCTGCACGTATACTGCAGATCCGGCCTCCCCTCCCCTCCACCTTCACTGTAACTCGCCTATAACAACTATAGCCACACGGGCAAAACGAAGCAGCTTCCCCAGTCTTCCGCCAGATTTCTGCTGCAGCTACGAACGGGGAACACGCCCCAAAGAATAGCTCTAAACGGTATCATGTCAATATTGTGTTTCTCCTACCTACGCGGCCCTCTCAAGGAAAGATGTTGCCCCAAAGCGCATGGGTCAGCCCCCGAAGCGCCACCTTGAGCAAGTAACATTGTACAAGCTGCCACGCTCTTGCGTAGAAGCGATAACCACCCTAATCTTCGGTTTGCGCTTTCGCTCACATATGCGTCAAGGTGATGACACGAGATGGTGAGATGATGCAAGCTGCATCGAGGCTGGTGCCTCATGCATCTCAGCCGGTTGCAGCATCCACAAACGTTGAGCACTGTTACTCCTGCTGCTGTTAACGTGGCGGTTGCTGTTTCCCCAGCAGCTACTGCAATCCCCAACACTGCTAACCGCCGCTGCTGCTACTGCTAATCCTGTCCCCACGGCTCCTGCTACATAGCCGCTGCTGCAGCTTGGCTGCCTGCTACAGCGTGTGCTCACCAGGCGGGCCACGCCTGCCCCTGCTGCCGTGTTGATGTTGTCCCTGCCGCTGCTGTCGCCACCATCCCTGGCGTTCACACGGTCAGTTAGTTGTTTCTACTTGAACCTGCCGCTGCTGTCGCTACCATCCCTGCCACTCACTGCTGCCATCCTGCCGCCCCTGATACCGGACATCTCTCCTGCTGCCCTACTACAGCGTGTAACGCGACTTGGGCAGCACCAGGCTGACCGCGAAGAAGCCCACTAAGAAGTAGATCAGCCCGTCAAGCTCCTCAATCGGAAGTCGCGTGATGCGGCCCAGTTGGGTGAGCAGGTCCTGGCCGTACCAGGCCTGCAAGCATGCACGTACGACAGGCAACGGTTAACCTTCGCACAACGGTTGCCCTCCACCGTGTGCCTTCCCTATACATCTTGTCTGGCTAACCGCCCCGGTGGACGAGGGACAGACAACATCGGTTGCGTAAGATGGCCATCGCCGCTACTTACCAGCGTCAGGAAAGCCACCGCGGATATGAACGCTACAAGACGCCGCTCTCCGAGCTTTCGGCTCTCAGCCTGCAGCAGACGGAGGCTGCGGCTCTGCCGGAAGGGCGGTGCGACATCTCCTGATGAAGCTGCGCGTGAAGAGGAGGAGGCGGCCTGGAAGGGCCGTGGGAGCTAAGCGTCAGCAGCGCGAGAAGGAAGACCCGAGCCATGTCACCCGCCAAGATAAAGGATTGACGTGAACGCACGCAACAGTTCATTAGCATTTGCGATTGTAACTAACAATCGTGTGTATCTGGCAGATATGACAAGCTTCCTGCAAGCTGCCTTGTCGTCCTGTTGGGGAGCAACTTGCGGGGGTGGACGTGACAGCGACACGGCCACTTGTACATGCGCCCAGTCCAAGGGCTACCTACCTCGACACCTCGCACCCAGTCCTTAACAACTGGTACAGGAACTGGTGTGCTCCTGGTCGCGTCTCGCGAGGTGGATGTTGCTAATCCGGTGCGCGTCCTGCCAGCCGACGTCCGGACCACACGCTCACATCGCCGAAAAGAATGTTTCCCAAATCCGCTGTTCATCATGCGGAAATGTGAATTCACATTCGTTGCCATTGTATGTAGTAGCAAGGTCTTTCTACTATCGAGAGTCGGGGCCTCCAATAGGAACCCTTAAGCAAGGATAATCATTGCAGCTTAGCTATTTTGGTTTGTTAGGTGATGTATAGTGGAGTGAACGCATATATAGCAAGCTTTCGTGTCTGATGTCGCTGATGGGATGTTATGAATTGCAGTACGGTACGGTCACGTGAGTTTGACCTGCGTCACAGTCGCGCGGTCGCGTCAGAAGTCAGAAGTCCCGTCGGAATGTCTACTGTACGTCGTATCTACACAAATCCTGTGTGCAAGCCCATCGTAGCTTTACAATTGGCACACTGCATTTGCAGCTGCCGCATCTTGCTATGCTTGCAGTGGTGTGCTTGGTCAGCCAAGTCCCTTTTCCCAAGTCCAATTTATGAATTTATATCTGTTAAGGAGAACGGACACCTCAATCGTCTTGACGGTCGTTCTTGGCACAGCAAGCATATGACATCCGGCGGAAAAAGGAAAGTCGACGAGTCCACTAATGTCATTTTAGGCACATTTGAATACGTTTAAACCATTTTCCCTCAATACCCTATGGATCCACAGTTAGCTTGAGAACCGGCCATGTCGGTCGCATCCATTGAAGTTCCCGCCCTATCCAAACCCCACTCCTCAAGACGCATACGCTGATATGTTAGCCTGAAGCCGAGACCCATAGACAACGGTCTGCTATAAAAAAAAGGTCGCCCAAGACCCTTACAGTCAATGTGTCCATGCCTGCCCATAGCTTAGTGGCCGAACCGACCACAGACGGGATGAGCCTTCCCCGCAATCCGAGTTGCCGCCTTGACCGCACCCCAACAAAACCAAATGGGATGCCCCGTCCTGTCCCATCCCTCAGCTCTGCTGCTGTCCATGCCGCCAGCAGGGGACGAAGTGCCTGCTAGACTGGGCTTGGATTCATTCCTAATCTGGGAAGATCTTGGACTCCAGACCTGAACATGCTAACCTCGATTTGGGTCGGGATGCGGGTCGACATCTGGATCTGGGTCGAGGTCTAGAGAGGGTTTCGAAGCTAGGTCTGGGCTGGGGTCGGGGAACTCAAAGATGTCGGGCCAGTCCTGACATGGGCAAGGAGAGCAAGAAGGAATCGAGCAGGGAGGGAAAAATAATAAATAAGTGCAACAACAAGAAGGAAGCAGCGCAGTAAGCAGATGGATGTAATCTGGACGGAGCGGCTCCAGGACTCCTACAGATGTGAAGTACGGCAAGCGCTCCGGTGTATGCATGGTTCCCCATGCAGCCTCTTCCCTCAGTACATCCCATCCCTCATCAGCGTTCCCATGCTCCCCCATCCGCTTCATATGCACCCAACTCCCACAGCCCCCTCACACACACAGTACGTTCTGACTCGTGGCCTCGTCGCGGCCAGTTTCCTCCCTAACGCCCCCCAACCCCGCACCTGCTGCAGCTCCTCCGCCGCCTCCCAGGGCAGCACCAGCAGCTCGCAGCGGGGCGAGGCAACCCGCACGCTGTGGTGCCGGGGCAGGCGGCGCAGGCAGCTCAGCACGCCGAAGTGGCCGCCCTCCTGAGGGGGTTGGGGGGGTGGGGGGAAACGTGAAGCAACGGAGTCCCAATCCTAACTCCCAGCTCCCGACTCCCTCCTGATGGGGAGGAGAGCGAGTAAACAACCCGTTGCCAAGCAAGGAAGTAGTTGGTAATGAGGCCAAGGCGAGGAAGACACCAATGCATGCATGCATGCCTTGGATTGCCCGCAGCACCCCCTTCCCCCTACTCACCCCTATTAAACCCAGCGTCTCGTACTTCACGCCGCCGCCCTCCCCCTCCTCGCCCTCCTCCTCGCACTCAGCCCCAGCCTCCGGAGCCATCTTCGGACGAGCGGCTGCGAGCAGCTGGAACAAGGGATCATCGCTACCTTCGCCACCACCAAAATTGGTTGGTTGGCCGGTATCACCTCCGTTTCCTCCTCCTTCGCCACCAGGTGCCGTCACAGAGGAAACTCCTCCTCCGACAGCGGCGGCGGCGCCGCCACCGGCGGCAGCAGTGGCGGCGGCGGCGTTACCAGCGGCAATGGCGGCGTCTCCTTGCCCACCTGACGGCGCTCCCTCCGCTCGACCGCTCAACTCAACCCCCTGAGGCCGCCTCCGCCGCTGCCACTCCGCCGAGGCTGTCACTGCGGCACAAGCAAGGACGTCGTCGTTACTGCCGCCGCCGCCACCTCCGCCGCCGCCGAGAGCACCCAGCATGCCGGTTTCCTCGTCCCACGAGGCCGCCCCAGTGCCACCGCCGCCTCTGCTGATAGCGCCCAGCAGCCCACGTCCGCCGCCGCCGCCGCCGCCACCACCAAACGTCAGGCTGCGAAACGACCCTGGCGGCGCACTTTCTCGTACAAGCAGGCCTGCAGTACCGCCACCGCCGCCGACGCCGGCGGCAGCAAGAGCCGCCAGTGGCGCCGCCGCCGCCGCCGCTGCATGTGATTGCGATCGGCTCCTTGTCAAGTTCCGGGCTGAACCACGCGACAGGGAGAGCCTGGAAAGGGCTGTCGCGAACAGACCCGCTTTTTTCAGGCTAGATGTACGGCTGCGGGCCCGCCGAAGGGATGCAACGGAAGCCGCGGAGGCGGCATCTCCTGACGTCAGCGGCGATTGGATGACGCGACGTCGTACTTCTAGCTGGCCGAGCGTGACAAAGAAGATCTCGTTTCCGATCTCTCCCTCCCGTACGACAACATCTCCTTGTTGGTACAACCGCAGCTGCAGTCGAAGTAACAAATCCACCACAAATGTGGGCGGCCGGGTCTGCATGAAGGGTACCTTGCTGATTACGTCATCGAACAGGTGCAGTACGACTTCCGTACGAAGCATGCGGGGCAGCCCTGCGATGTCGTACAAGGGAGCGAGAGACAGATCGTCTCGGGTTTTTGGCTGGTTACACGGTGAACCGCGCAGAATTGCTACAAGCAAGGCCCGTATGCAACAACAATGGGCATAACCCCCTAACCGCTTTCTGACCAACCAAGGCGCCGAACAGCTGGATCAGCGTCCAGTCCGCATAAGCATTTAGCCGCCCTGACAAACCCCTCCCATCCCTATTGCCTCACTCGTCCCTCCCACCCAAACCCCACGCCGCCGTGTCGAGCCGACCCGCCCGCCCACACCCACACACACACCCACGCCCACCCACCCAGCACCACCGCCCGCTCCCCCGCGCTCAGCTGCCGCCCCAGCAGCTCCTCCTGGTAGCGCTGCAACCGCCGACCCACGGGTCCGCTGAGCGGCCGCCGCTGGATGAACTGATACACGTCCTGGCGCCGCTGCTGCAGCTCCGCCTATACATAAGGAACCGGTACGGCATGCAACACACACACACACACACACACACACACCATTACTGGACTTCTATATCTACATACGCTACAATGTTCCTCGGCTCCTGCGGCGGTTCTGTGGGGACTTCATCTTCCGACAATCACAGTATGTTCCTACTCGCGGCCAGTTTTCTTAACACACACACACACACCGCCTTAGGACTTCATCTTTCGGCAATCACAGTACGTTTAACCTCGCGGCCAGTAATTTTAACACACCGCCTTAGCTAACCGCCTTGTGCTGCCTGGGAAAGGCTACCGGTACTTGCTTGCATGCAGGGGGCTGCGACGGTCTGGACGAAAACGCATGCTTCTAGTCCCCTAATGCTGTTGCCGCAGCCCCGTCTCTTGCCTGCTTCCCCCCACCCCTCCTCCCCAGCTGCCCCCACCTGCCTCCCCACCTGCCCCCCCACCTGCCCCCCCACCTGCCTCCCCACCTGCCCCCCCACCTGCCCCCCCCAGCAGCCCCCACCTGCCCCCCCCCAGCAGCCCCACCTGCCGCCCCCCGGTGGCTCCCATGAACGAGGTGAGGGCGCCCATGAAGGAGCCCACCAGCGTAATGCCCGTCAACGCAACCAGGATGGACCAGATCTGCACGGCGCAGGTGTACGGCAATACATGATGTACGGCAATGTACAAAGTACGGCAGCTGACGCAAACACTGTCAACGCAATCAGGATGGACCAGATTTGCACGGCGCAGGTTTACGGCAATGCATGATGTACGGCAATGTACAAAGTACGGCAGCTGGCGCAAACACTGTCAACGCAATCAGGACGGACCAGATTTGCACGGCGCAGGTGTACGGCAATGCATGATGTACGGCAACATGAAATGTACGGCAGCTGATGACTCACCTTCTCCGCCGTTGTCTGTATGGTTATGTCGCCGTACCCCACTGTGAGGAAGGTGTACATGGTCCAATACAGCGCCATCATGTACCTGGGGGGGGGGTGCGGGGTGGGAGGTGGGGGGGGGGGAGCAGGGGGGGGGTCAGAAAGGGGGGGGGGTGAGAAGGGGGGTGGGGGGAACAGGGTGTCGCAGAGAACATACCCCACTGGCAATCAAACACGAAACACCACACCGGCTGCCAACTCAAGGCACAAACACATCACTGTCTCTTGCCTTGTAAACCTCAGCACTATCACACACCCCTCCATTCTCCGATTCCCGCTCCCTCCATCTCCCTCTGCATCCAGTCAGGCAGTCACTACCACCCTCACCACCCGCATCACCCCCACCACCCCCAAACCACCCCCACCACCCCACTCACCTGGTTGCATCCGTGTAGCTCGCAAGCCCCTCCTGCACCACCCAGCTCTGCGCCGCAGCAGCCTCCTCCCCCCCTCCACCCCCTCCGTCCGCCCGCATGGTGTTTCGTGTCTCAACCACCCCAATGAAGTACAACCCGCAGGCCGCCAGGTGTATTATCGTACACATGGCTCCCAGCAGCACCAGCAGCGGCACCTGCCCGCGCCGCTTCAGCAGCTTCACACGGAGGTAGTGCCGTACGTTGCCGGACTAGGCAAAAGGGGGGGGGAGGTGAGGGGGCAGGAATTTGCCGGACTAGGTAGGGGGGGAACATAAACGGGAAGTGCGTGATCACGTGAAGCAAGGGAGGTAAGGGGGAGGCGAAGGGCCAGGAAAGGCGATGCCGCGTACGTCTTGTATCATTTTTTCTCAATTCCAAGCAGCCGCTGGTGTGGGTCGTGTGGGTTTCATCCTCTAACACGCACTGGCCTTAATGCTACAGCAGTGGCAGTAGCGATGACCCAGACGGCGCAGCGTGCTGACCCGTGGGTCACTGAGGTCCGCGATTTGCCACTTACTGCGATCACGTGCGGCAGTCTCAGCAGCTTGGTGAGCCGCAGCAGCCGGAACAGCAGCACACGTCGGGAGGTGTCGCCGACTGCACGCATGCATGCAAGGGTGGGAGGGGGGATTGGTGGATTGGGAATTACCATTCGGAGGGGGCCGGGTTGGCCGGTTCGTGAATCTTTGGTCTGCAACTGGCTGCTGCTTCTGAAGAGCAGTGTATTTAGCTGCACTTTGTGGTGAGCTTCTGCCCTTCAAAGCTTTCCGGTCGCTTGTCAGCAGGGTTGCGTGCCTGGTGCGGAACTCCTCATATTGCAGATATACCATAGCACCCACATAGCACCCAATGAGCAACAAAGGAAAGGAGTGAGCATACGTTCTGCCACGGGTACCTGCGCCGATGTTAATCAGTGTGAGGAAGGGCATGCACGCTGCCAAGTCCAACAAGCCCCAGCGCCGAAAGTAGCGTGTCACGATCTCTTTCCGGCTGGCCAATACCAGATTGAACTCCTCTTTCAGTACGACCGCGGTACGGAGGTACATCAGCACGTCCAGCAGGCACAACACGTCGATTGCGAATTCCGCACGACCTGTGGCGGTGTGCATGGGTGGCGGGTGTGACCCATGGGTCAGTGTAACCGTGACAAACACGGAGGTAAGATGCAATTGCGAAGAGGTCCAGCCCCTCTCCCTTATCCGCTTTCCATCCCACATCCAGGAGGGTGATAAGTGGCTACTGGTTATAAGGTTTTCCTCTTTATCTTTCACACCCGGCCCTGCTCCCTTGATCTGCAACAGAGGGTATTGTGGTGGCAGGGGGGAGGGATCTGAGGTGGCAGGGGCGAGGGATCTGAGGTGGCAGGGGCGAGGGATCTGAGGTGGCAGGGGCGAGGGTTCTGAGGTGGCAGGGGCGAGGGTTCTGAGGTGGCAGGGGCGAGGGTTCTGAGGTGGCAGGGGCGAGGGATCTGAGGTGGCAGGGGCGAGGGATCTGAGGTGGCAGGGGCGAGGGATCTGAGGTGGCAGGGGCGAGGGATCTGAGGTGGCAGGGGCGAGGGATCTGAGGTGGCAGGGGCGAGGGATCTGAGGTGGCAGGGGCGAGGGATCTGAGGTGGCAGGGGCGAGGGATCTGAGGTGGCAGGGGCGAGGGATCTGAGGTGGCAGGGGCGAGGGATCTGAGGTGGCAGGGGCACCCGGCCCCTAGTTCAAGCTCTTTCTCTGACCCACCCTCCCGCCCCCTCCCGCCCCCTCACCCAGCCTGCTCCGCCCCACCCTCAGCTCCGCCACCATCACTATCAGCAGCGGCGTCACGAAGCTGACCCACACGTTGAGCGGCAGGTACAGCACATCCCACAGCACCTGCAGCAGCAGCAGCAGCAGCAGCAGAGGCAGATTGGTAGGTTGGAGCTAAGACGTGGGTGGCATGAAGAGCAAATGGAGCCATGGGGTAACCCACCCTGCCGGCTATCGGCCCTAACCGCGCATGCAGGCCTCCTCGCCCTGCTAGCTCGCCCCACCCGCCCACCCAATTAGCCACACAGCAACCTCTCCGCGCCCTACCATGCACACACGCGCGGCATGGTGGGGACATCGTCTTCCGACAGTCCAGTACGTTTCTACTCGCGGCCAGTTTTCTTAACACACCCCACCCCCACCTCCTTAACACACCCCCACCCCCACCTTGAACATGGAGTACGGGTGTACCGGCTCCATCAGCACCAGTCGGACCATGTTGCCTGGGCTGGGCGGCAGCTGCGGCGACAGGTCCAGACCCGGACCCGCGGACAGGGCAGCCTCCTGGGCGGCTGCATGCGGGGGGTGCGGCGCAGTGGCAGCAGCAGCAGCAGCGGGGGCAGCAGCAGCAGAAGCAGCAGCACCGGCATGGACAGCAGCAGGGGTGCTAACTTTATGGGGCGGCTGGCGGCGACAGAATCATGGTATGTGATGCGATGTGTTGTAGCATGGTGGGAAGGCCCTATGAGAGCTGTCACCGGCCATGTAAGGCCTAAACGAGTCGAAGACCCATAGACCCCTGCTACAGAGTACACGGTATACGGTATACGTCTGCACGTACTATCAGCAACAACAGCAGCCGAAACATCAGCAGCAACAACATCAGCAACAGCGGCGGCGGTGTTACCAGCCGGAGTACATACCAGCCGGAGCGCCGGCGGCTGCTGGATGGCTGCTGGCGTCACAGGGCTGCTGCTGCTGCTGCTGCTGTTGGCGGTGCTGCTGCTGCTGCTGCTCCCCCCCAGATGTCCCCGCCGCTGCCAGATGCAGGTCTTCGAAGGAAACATCGTCGGATTCGAACTGCTCGAAGGACAGCTTGAAGAAGGCTTGGAGCTTTACCATGAGGGAGGCGTCGCGTATCTGTAGGGATGCAGGGCAGGGCAGGGGAGTCAGTGGAGGGTTGAGAAGCTTGAGGGTAGGTATTGGCCCAATGCTATTGGCTCTCCTTAACCTAATGGTTGCGACCCATCCTCCATGTTTCACTAGGGGGTTGATAATACAAACATGGCCCTAGCTAATGCTCCTTCCTTGCTCCTAACCTATTATTACCCGCTTCCTTCGTTCCTTCAACTCCTTACTTCTCACCGTTTGGGATGTCCGTGGCAGGGTGCCCCGTAGCCGCGTCCATACCCACTTGACTGCTGCGATGGGAGCTATCATCTCCTGCGGGGCGGGGCGGGGCGGGGCGGGGTTGGGTAACCGGTAATTGGGTGTGACCCATGGGACGGTGGGCGGTAGGTACGAGCGAACAGCCAAGCGCATATCGTACACGTACCGTTAGCGAGGAGTGCATGCTGCTGCTGTCTCCCTGGGACGAAGACAGCATCGAGACGCGGCGAGCGTCACCTGCCGCGTCAGCTGCCTCCGCCTCGTCCCGGCCTCCCTCCTCTCCGGCGCCTGCTGCTAACCCTGCTCCCGCCGGGGCTGCTGCGGCTGCGGCTGCGGCGGAGCCATCGTCCTTCCCAACTTCCCTCGCGCCCATTCCTTGCTGCTGCCGCATTTCAAGCTGCTGCGGGTGTTGCAGCTGTTGTTGTGGGTGCTGCTGGTCTGGTGCCATGCTGTAGCTTTGGCTGCTGGGGACTCCTCCTGCCCCTGGGGACGTTTGCTCGTTAGCCCCCGCAGGATACTAAAGTTCCTGATAAGCCACCGCTTGGGCCGGCCGGCTCAGCTGCTTGTTAGGTTTAGTGTTTACAGGGTGGTATCAGCGTTGAGGAGGACAAACCGGTAGCTTCCGAGCGGCGATTTCCGATTGGGAGTAGTTTGACGGTCGGCGGCAGTCGAGGAGACGACTCAGCTTAACGGCGTCTGCATCGGAGCTTTGAGGAATTGTTGCTGTACAAAAAATGTTACCTTGTAAGTGGGGATTATATAAGCGTCAGTGCGTCAGTGGGTGAGCGCTGCTGCGTGTTGGAGCGGTTGTCGCGCGATGTTCCCTAGGCTGCTGCGCCCCTAACGCCCTACGCACGCATACTTGTGCAAAAGAAGCGTTAAATAACTGTTGCCGTATTCTGTGATGTGAACGTTGTGAATAGGTAGAATTAGGGCTTGCGGTTGGTAGCCCCCAGCAGTATGAGGGATTCTCATTGAAGGCAACAATTCCCTTTCGTTCGATTTCCTGTAAGCTGTTAATGGTCTCCTGCAACGACCAACAGTAGGCTTCGACTCACTCGTACAAATCTAGCTACTCCGGGCGCTTGCGACGCTAGCAACGTAAGGATGTGTCCTTATAGTGCTTGAGTAGACAGGGATTTGAACTGTCTACGCTTCCTAGCAGGATTCCCTGTGGCGAGCATAGCCTGTGGGTCTAGGCAGGACGACCCGCTGGGTCAAAGCAAGTGCGCTGGACGAATGCGTCTTGATGCATCACCTGTATAACTTTGAGTGCGCTGTAAGTTAGTTCCTACCTATGCAACTTGCTTCCTGCGGGAAGTGGAGTCAGAAGGTAATTGTCGCCGACTTCGTCATTGGCCTACCTTTGTGTACACATTTCTATTCCTTTAGACAAAATGAGAAATAAAGAAACTGCGGTAGCGTCAGGGCGACGCTTACTCGTCACTTGGATTGCTCGGCAACCAGGATGCTTTGCACTCTAAAGGCACTTAAAGGCATACCTAGCATACACAATTGCTATTTGATCTTGCTTAGGTAAACGGATACGGCCTCTTATTACGAGTTCTGTTCCTTGCCACACTGGGGCAATCATGTCTACCCATGTGTTGCCGCTGCAGGTCCCGCAAGCAGAAGACGGCAACGCCCGGCCGCTTCCCTTCCCCGCGTCCTCGAGCATGCAACGCGAGGAGACGACGGTATTGCTTGGACCACTGCGGATTCGCCTGCTGCAGCGCCCCCAAGAGGTATGAAGCGAAGCAGCTCCTCCGTGGGGCTTACTTCCGGCGTAGGCTTCCTTCAACGCGCTAATCATCCCAATCTCGGGATGGTGGAAGACTTCCACTTCCGTTATCCAAACCCCATGCTGACGTTCCTCACAGGTGCCGCCCGAGCCCGCTTCAACCGCCGAATCAGCATGCAACAACAACAACCACCTCCAACAGTCGCCACAACCTGAACATTCACCACAACCGCAGCCCTCACCACCAACACAACCGCTCCCTTCCGAGGCGGATTGCCTGCTCGGCTGGGAGCTCTGGCCCGCAGCCTACCGCCTTGCCGCTTTCCTGGCATGTGGTTACGGAGCCGAAACCGTACGAAACGCCACCGCAATCGTCGAGCTGGGAGCGGGTCTGGGCCTGCCTGGAATCGTAGCAGCTAAGGTCGGCGCCAGCCGCGTCACCCTCACAGACCTACCGCAGGCGCTGCCACTTCTTGAGGCTAACGTACAGCTGAATGACGTCAGCAGCGCTTGTCATACTGCCGTACTGGACTGGGCTGCGGTTGCAGCGGTTGCTGGGGGCGCGAAGCAGGACCCAACGGCTTCCGGAACGGTAGCGGCGACCCTAGCGGCGGAGGGATCGGAAGCCCTTACCACAGCATCAGAAGGGTACGTCATCAGGCAGGAGAAAGCGAATACGCACGGTAATAAGCTCGCAGTAAACGAGCAGCAACAACCGTCAGCTTGTGAGCATCTCGGCAGGTACGATGTCGTACTGGCAGCTGACGTGGTGTACGTCAGTTCGTTGGCACCGTTGCTGGCTGACACGATAGCCGCTGTGGCGGCAAGTCAGGGCCCGTGCACGGTGCTCGTAGGGCACACGGTGCGCAAATCGGTGAGATGGGAGCTGCGAGCGAAGCGGTGGGGAAGAGCAGCTTGGAAAAAGGGGGGGTAAAAGACGATAACGAACCATAGGAAATCACAGGTTGGGGCAAGACAATGGGGAGAGGGAGCGGCAGGGAAGAGGGGGGATCTAGCGTGCCTGTATCATTCACTTCTCCCCGCATGTGTGCACAGGTGTGGCTGGATCGTACGACAGGCGCCGTGTGCGTGGATCCCACCGACGAGCCCTGGGAGGCCTTCCAGGGTCGCATGACGGGGGCCCATGGCTTCACGTGTCGCCGTGCGGAAACAGACCAGGAGGGCCTGGCCGCAGCAGCAGCAGCAGCAGCAGAAGAGGAGGAGGGCAGCGGTGCGGGCTTTGAGCTGGCGCCGGACACGTTTGTGTGCGTGTTTGAGCGGTGTTTATGAGGTGTTTGAGCGGTATTTATGAGGTGTTTGTGCGCGTGTTTGAGCGGTGTTTGAGCGGTGTTTGTGTGCGTGTTCGAGCGGTGTTGTTGAGAGGAAGCACTGCTGTGGGGTGTGGGATGTTTGCGAAGGACAGGGCTGGGCGAGCGGGCTGTGAGTCAGGTCGCCTGGATTGGAGGTATGATTGGAGGTTGGGTGGAGCTGGAGGGTGAAGGCTATGCGGGTATGCGTGCGAAAGTGTGCAAGTGCAGAGCACTGGGTGCTAGAGAAGATTGCAACCCTTATAGAGGAGTGGGCAAGGTTCTACCAAAGGTGGCAGACACGATACAGGCTGTGCCGGTAGTGGCACGATGATCCCCTTAGGCCATGGGAAGGCTGTTATCCTTGCCGTGCAGGGGCAGGCCCCTGCGGTCACATCGCAAAAACCGCACATGCTCTTCCACAGATGGGGGGGGCAACCCCCTTGCATGGAATGCAACGACCGCAAGGGCGTAGCAGTCCCCCTTTTCGCCAACCAAAGATGCAAGGGGCCACGACCCGTGGTCCGCATCAATGGTCATTTTGTTGTTTTCGCATGCCCCGTCCTAACAGCATAGATAATTCGTGATAAGGGTCAGGCTCAGGAAATGCAGTGAGTCGCGACAAAGGGCAAACGAAATGTATGAGGAAACGTCGCGAACACCCTGCACAGTGTGTTTATGATCCAGAACCAGCGAAAGAGGGGTGGACATTGCGTGCGTTCTGTGATACTTTCATTATCATACAGCCAAGCCAATAAAGGACGTCCTCAGCTTTGGGGCAGGTTTCCGCAGAGCCCACGACGTTTAGGACGCAAGGGCCAGCATATAGGTATAGACTATGCCTGAAGTACAGTGGTGTGTCGAGGACGCTTGGACATGAAAGAAATCTAGAGAAAACATCGGGAATTTATGGTGGCGAATCGAGGGAGGGCTGATTGCCAACGCGTTCTGTTATACCTACCAACATTACTTGCTCCACAATAGGCCGATCTCCTTGCCTCTGCCTACTGGCCGGAGGCTTTTCTCCCACGCACAGACCTCCATAAATTAAGCTACAAGGTGGGCTCACCTCGACACCTAGCCACGCAAGCCTGCCGGACCTTTTGCACTATAGCCAAATTTACCTTAGTATAGGCATAGCTGTGCTGGGATGGTTTCCACCCGCTCATATACACAGTGGTAGTGTTCCTTACTTCCTTTGCGGCGGCGGTCCTAGCTAGCATTACGTGCGAGATCAACGCAAAGGATTATAGCTTATTTGGACTGCACGTCAACCTGAATTGTAGGAAGCACGGAAATGGAGTAGGCATTACATCAGCGAGATGCCTGGGCGGCCAGGCGCCCTGACAACACCGCTCTGCTGACGGTCATCAATGGTTAACAAAAAAGGAAAGGGGGCTAAGGCCAAAGGGTCTAAGCCCCCTATTAAGAAGCCCCAACAGGTGCGGCGGCGTGCATGCGCGTTGTGGCACGGCAGGGCCTCCGTTGGGGGTCTGCTGGCCAACAGAATCCACCCAATGACGCAGGTGACGGTAAAGGACCTCACGCAGCAGTCACCGCAGGAGCGAGTCGCTCTGGTTCGACCTCTTTGGGAGACATTGCAGCTGGATGAGAGGGCTAAGCTGCTGTCGATTGACCTGGAGGGCGTGCGGGCGCGTGCAAAGCAGTTGGCAGAGGCAGCTCGTCAACAGGCTGGTGAGGCTGCCGCTCCTGCTTTGCTAGATACGTGCCGATGGCGCTGCAGCGCTTGACACCACGAGCAGTTTTCACGGCACAGATTTGTGTTTCTGGTGTCCGATCAGTTAGATGTATTATTACTGAACAGCATTCAACAGTTTGGTTTCGCTTTCTGTCTCAATGCGCAGTTGCGGATGCACCAGAAGGAGAGCCTCTGGACCCAGCGCTTTTGGAGCTAGAACCATCAATAGAAGACGTGCTAGAGGAGGGCATTAGGCGCCTGAAGGAAAAAGGGACTTGGAAGCTGTGGCAGTGGCCAGCTGACAACACTTCGGTCTACGATGCCGAGTCCTTTCGGCAGCATATCACGGTATGGGTTAACCCGAAGGGACAAGAATCAAACACTGGGACAAGCTGCATATGCGCTGGCTTGCGGGCGGCCGTTCGCTCCTGTCCTTACGTCTTCTCCAGCACCAACCTCGGGGCCCTCCCTCTTCGCACCCTGCTGCACCGCTGCCCAACCCGCGTTCATGGGCCGCTATCGCCATGGGTAGACTCCGCATGCTGTGGACGGTGCTTTTGACATGAGGGTTGACGGCCGGTCCCTGATCTTGGATCCTGATCTTAAATCCGCCCTGCACAGGAGAAGCACATCCGTGAGGAGCTCCGCCGGTTCCTGCCCCGCGAAGAGGGCAGGTCCACGGAGAAGCCAGCGGAAGCGGCGTTCAGGCAGCGCATGTGAGTACGGCACGGCGGTTTGGCGGGTGGTTGGTTGCTCGCTCGCGCCTTGAGGGATCAAGCGCTGGCACAGCATGGCCTTGGGTGTTGCGTTTTGCAGGGGGGTTGTTATGTTTTGGCATGGGTGTGAGCCAGGAATCCCAGTTTCTACGCTGCATGTGAAGCGCCTGCTGTGGATTCCCGCTACTTCAATCAGATCACCACTCATCAAGCCGCATGCAATCCTCCTCCAAGCACAGCACACCGTGATCCTGCCACCCACCCCTGCATTGCCTTTACCCCTAACCCCCGCCAGGCTGGACCTGCTGTCAAAGGTCCAGCAAAGCAACAGCTCGAACAGCCTGCGACCCACGGTAGCGGCGAGCGGCGATGAGTCCAGTCGCGCATACCGCCGCCGGGGCGAGTCCGGCTCGCACCTGCGCGACGCCAACATCGAGCTGCTTGCGGTGATGCTGGAGGCGCTCGCGAAGGAGAACGACCACCTGTACCACTCGCTGCTGACCCCCATCACCACCTACGTGATGGAAATCCTGCCGGAGGGGCACCGGGAAACCACGAAGCTGGAGCTCAGGTAGGGCGGGGATGTGGGTGAAGGAGCTGGTAGGGTAGGGTGGTCGTGGGCCCGCTGAATTTGCGTACATCGATGGGGAAAGAGCGGGTGGGGACACTATGACTTGGGTTCCCAGGTATACCGCGCATGTCATGCACGAATGGTTTAGCTGTGTACGCGAGAGCCCGAACGAAGAAGCACAGGGCAGAGCATTGCGTGTCGGGTATGACGTTACAGCACTCATAACACTGTAGCGGCATAACTAGGGTGTAGTTTCCAGCGTTCAGCGGTTCACCCGAAGCTGCATGCCCTGCACCCCCGTATGCGTGCACAGCTTTGAGGACTTGGAAAACCTGTTGGCGGACGATGTGTCGCGGATTGTGGAGTGGCTCACGGAGAAGGTGGATGCGCTGTCCACCAAGCTGAAGCCGGAGCATAAGGATGACGATGAGGTAGGGGCGCGGTGTTCGTACGCCCGGGGTGGCTATCCCTAGGCGCGGAAAGGGCATGGGAAGACTTGACGTCAGGATTACCATGCGGGGTGTGCTATGTTGCTGTCCGTGCTCTCCGTGCTGGGTTTCGTGATAGCGGCCGTACGGCTTGATAGGAGTTCTAGTAGTTTTGCGAAGTCTGTGGCCACCTTGCACCTTGCATGACACACTGCACAGGAGGAGGAGGAGAACATGGGCGACGTGGACCTGTGGGCCCTCACGGAGGACGGCAGCTGCGTTACCGTGAATGCCAAGTGGCTGCAGCACTTGCAGGTAGGCGTTCGGGTGCGCGCGTAACCCAGCATGGGGAACAGCTGGGGAGCGGTTAGGTGCGCGCTTGTTGCCCTGCATGCCCCCTGGGGAAACAGCACCCTCACGCCAGTCACATGGCGTTTGAAAGCCATGCTGCGTCACGTCTGCCGCCGGACCCACATCATGTGCATGTGTGTGGGTATGCGTTCCCAGAGCATGTGGTCTGGCTCAGTCACCGGTAGGTCGTCTTCATGTCGGTAGCACTCCATGACTGTAGCCCGGTCGCTTTTGCCCTTTGGTTCAAAAGCAGGAGCGCGTGCTTGGCGAAGACGGGCATCCGCGCCGCGCAAAGCCTGGCGAGGACGCGGGCCGCAACGGTCTGGTCCTGGAGTGGGTGTACGGCAGCATTGTCAGCACGGCCGAGAAGGCACGTGACGGCGCCAAGCGCTGCCTGGGCATGCAGCCACCCACTGCTGCGGACGCGCACCTGACCCTCCTCAGGTGCGTCTAGCCGTCTAGCTGATGGAAGGTCCAAACATGCCACCGTGTTCCTCCTTGGCAGCGCGCTCCATCAGTTGTTCCATCAGTTGTTTTCCTTCCCCCAGCGACTTCACGGAACTTTGCGGCTGACTGCGGAAGAGTGGCATGCGCACCATGGCCTGTTCTTTCCAAGTCTCATGATGCACGCGCACCGAACCTTGTTGATGGTTTCCAACCCCCCAACGCGCAGGGCGCTTGACGAGCACTTGTCTTGGGAGACGCGCGCGAAGCAGTGCAAGGACTTCCTCAGTGAGATGCTGAAGAGCCGGCTGGAGGTTGCGGAGCTGGCTAAGCAGGGATACGACCTGCGCCCGCAGCCGAAACGGGACTTGCCTGGTGGGTGCAGACAGTGTTCAAACTGTGAAAGCTTTCCAACATCTTTTGCGGCTTTGCCTTGTGTAACAGTAACACTCCAGTCATACGTACCATACCTGCATGAATGTGTGAAGCATGGTTTACTAGACTAAGCAGCAGCACTAAGATCAACAGGGTAAAGGCGAAAGCGACGGAAGTGTGAGCGCAATGTGTGTAAAGAAAATTGGCCAATGTGTGTCCTACACCCGCGTAACAAACGCAGGCATGGGCGACGGCGCCTCCATGCCGCTGCTGCTGGAGGACGGCGGCGCGGGCGGTGCTGCTGCGGGCGGCGAGTCCAAGCCGCTCACTGACGAGGTCATCCTGTTCATGCTGCGTCGCGAGGCGCTGCTCACGCGCGCCAAGCTGCACTTCCTTATCTTTGAGCACCTGATGCAGGAGAAGGAGCTGCGCATCCTCAAGCAGGCGCTGCGACAGGTATGAAAGGAGTTGTTTTGCGTTGCGTACTTGCGTTGTGTTTGATCTGTTGGGACGACCATTACAACCACCAATACCGGTAGTGGCACTCATGTAGCAAGCATCTGTAAGCATTCAACAAAACCTTTGGGGTCCAGGGAAGGGCTCCGGCAACTTTGGCGTTTGAGTGGGGTCAACTACTTGTCAAGGCTTTCCCTAACTGCGCGGGCAAACTTGCACAGACTCGCCCCATGCTCGGCTTGGCCTGGCGGCAGGGGGGGGGGTCTGATCTTGAGCACCCGCGCCCGCGCCCGGCTTTTACATGCACCCTCGGTTCCCTTTCCTCTCTGCAGGGCGAGCCCGAGTTTGAGCGTCTGAAGCGGGAACTGGACGAGGTGAAGCACCAGCCGCGGGGCATGGAGGGAGCCTACCGCAGCGCGGCGGAGATGGAGCGACACAGGCATCAGGTAAGGAAAGCGTTTTACGGAAGGCTTGCATGCATGGGGGTTGGCGCTGGTGGCCCTAATATGGGCCTCCGGTGTTGGAATTGTGATACGAGTTTGCGTAAAGGTGTACGACGCGGCTTGGGACGCGGCTTGGGATGAGTCGATGAGTAACCAATGTGCGCGTGCTACCCTCCTGCTTGTGGTTGTGCTGTGTCCGCAGCTGGAGGTGCAAACCGCGTTCCGCGAGCAGGGCGCCCGACTGCAGGCTACGTACGACAAGAAGCAGAAGGCGGAGTACGAAATGGCCAAACGGTAGGTTGCAAAGAGCCGTAGCCATTACCCTGGCAATCCTGTTTACCGGTATGTGTTGCCAAACGTTGTGGGGAGATACGTTGTATAGTTGGGAGCCCAAGCCCAAGTGCTGTCGTCCCTTGCCTGACATGCTTCTTGGAGCCTGACTCGAATCCTGTCTTGATGCTTGCTGCAGGGAAACCGAGATCAAGCAGCTGCAGGGCTGGAAGGGCACTGTTGACAACCTGGTGGACAAGTTCCAGGAGCTCATCAACACACGCAACGAGCGACTGATGGCGGCGAACGGCGGCGCGGACGGCACGGCGCCCAAGGAGGGCCACGAGGTAAGGGTAGGGGTAGGGGTGCTCTTGAGGAGGGCTTGCCCAGCAGCGGTTACCTAGCTTGCCTATCTCGTCTGCATCGGCCCCTGCGTCCTGGGCTTTTCTCTTATGCCTCGCCTGCAAACATGCCTGATTGCACATGCACTATACTCGGCACGGTTGTCGTTATCAGCAGTCCCGTTACCCGACCCGGTTTACCGACAACCTCCTCCCCCTCACCTCCTCCCTCACCTCCTCCCTCGCCTCCCCCAACCCCTCTCGTCTCCTCACACAGGCGGAGACCGATCTGGAGGCTGCCTCAGGTGCGCTGACGCCGCAGCAGTACATCCAGCTCACCAAGATGCGCAACCACTTCAACAAGGACGTGCGCAAGCAGCTGTACGGGGACGCGGACGACCGGGCGTTCTTTGACAATCTGAAGACCGCTCTCAAGGTGGGCGGCTCCACACACCGGGGCGGTTGCTGCGGTGCCGGTTGTGTATAACCCACGTCATTGTCTGCTGCATGGCCTCTTGGGTAGCTCGAAAAGGACAGTCGTAGCACGTGGTCGTATGGCAAGATCCTGAAACCAAACGACTCTGTCCGTACTATCATAACGTCAAACGACCTTGTCCGTACTACATAACGTCTCACACATCGCAGTCAGATACCGTGTTGTTGTATTCCCTCCCTACCCCTACCATTCTTCTTTTCCGTCACGTCAAACGCCGCCGTCAGATACCGCGTTCTCCGTACCCAACCATTCCCCCCTCCCTACCCCTGCCATCTCCCAGGCCATCGAGCGGCGGCTGGAGGACAGCTCCGTTGCGCTGCAGCACCTGGAGATGCAGCTCATCAACGTGGCGTGCGACGACCCGGGAGCCATCATCGGTGCGCAACTGGCGCTGCCGCTGCTGCAGGAGCGGCTGGACCAGCGGGGGCTGCAGTACGCGGCGGAGCGAGCCAAGTTGGCGGAGGATGAGGTGCTGCGCATGGAGGTACGTGCTGGGTGGGCTGGATGCTTTGGGAGCTGGGTGCTTTGGGAGCTGAGGAAGCATCGCATGAGCATGGCATGAACATGGCATGAGCACGAGCATATGGGGAAATGCAGGCGCACATTGTTGCATGGTATGGTCATGGGCATGGGAATAATTTGTGACGGCATCCAGCGCAGACGATGAGATAAGCACAACACACCCGACCGAACTATGGGGGTTTCTAACTCAATAACCAAAAACTTTGATCCTGATGCGCGCCGATGTATATACCTGCCAGTCCATGGAATTCGCACATGCACGCATGCTACTGCAATGCAGCATTGGGACGCCGTTGGGCATCCTTGCACCTGTCATCAAGTGCACACTCTGCACTTTCCCGCGCCCTCACATAGCGCAGATGATGAGTTAAATAAACGACCCGACCGCTTTATGGGGGTTTCAACATTAATTACCAAAAACTTTGATCCTGATGCGCAAAGTCTGTTTCCGCAATCTGCACTTGACGGGCACTTGACTTCCTCTGCGTTGCTGACTGGAATTACCGACGGGTCTCCTAACACGCGCCGTCGCCTCCTCCTTTGCTCTGCCACAGCTGCTGGCTGCCGAGCGTGAGGCTGCCGAGAAGGAGCGTAAGAAGGCTGCCAAGGCCAAGAAGAACGAGAAGGCCAAGAGCGAAAAGGAGCGGCAAGCGGCCGAGCGGCAAGCCAAGGAGCAGGCCGAGCGTGCCGCACGGCAGGAGGCGGAACGGGAGCGAGTCATTCGCGACGAGGAAGAAAGGTACGCGTGTGTGCGCGAGATCCTCATGGCTCGCCTCCCAAGGTGCTGCCTGGGTGAAAGCAGCCGCCGGTTTTTGCCTTCCTGTGTTGCGGCTAGTGTACTTCTGTCACGCGATGCGCGAGGCAGTGGTGTTCTCTTCTAACTGCTGCCTCAAATGCCAAAACACACGTGCCAAAAGAACCCGTCCTTTACCCATCATCCTTCCCCATCGTCCTTCCCCACTTCCTTTACCCATCATCCTTCCCCATCATCCTTCCCCATCATCCTTCCCCATCATCCTTCCCCATCATCCTTCCCCATCATCCTTCCCCATCATCCTTCCCCATCGTCCTTCCCCACTTCCTTTACCCATCATCCTTCCCCATCGTCTTCCCACTTCCTTCCCCAGGCGCAAGCGCCTGGAAGCCGTGGAGGCCATGCGCAAGGCGGAGGAGGTGGCCATGGAGCAGCGGCGCAAGGAGCTGCTGTCCGACGAGAACGGCTACTGGCGGCAGCGCATGATCCTGGAGGAGCGCATGGCGGGTATGGGCATGGGCGTCAGCGCCAGCAGCGGCAGCCGGGATGGCGTGGGGGCGGCGTCCTCACCCGAGCCGTCGGAGGAGCCGGAGGCGCCGGGGCCATCCCAGGAGGTGCGCTTGGTGCGTTGGTGAAAGTCCCGGGCAGCTCTGGCAGGGTTCACAGCCTTACCTCGTGTATTTTTCGCCGTACCGCGGCACCGCCTTACCCTGTGCCCCGTATACAAAATCTCCTACAGGACGCTCGGCGCACTGCGGATGACGACGAGGGCTTTGTCACGGAGAGCCGCCGCCGCCGCCACAAGGACACACGCGACCAGGACGAGGAGGTTTCCGGCTCCTCCTCCTCCGCAGCAGGGGCAGCAGCAGCTGGCGCTTCTGGCGGCGGCGGCGGCAGTGGCAGCTTGCGCTCAAACCTGCGCAGCGGCAGCCGTGACCGCGTGGGGCCTGCGCGTGAGGGCTTGCCCCCTCGTGAGCGCGGGGAGCACAACCACCGTGGCAGGGAGCCCAGGCGACAGGGGAATCAGGCGCCAGTGCCGGCGGCGGCGCGCAGGAGCGGCAGTCGCGAGGCTGGCAGCGGGCGGCAAGGCGGGCCGCAAGGGGGCCCAGGCGCTCAACACGGGTCCCGAACGGTAACGCCAACGCCTTTGCCACCAACAGCGCCCCCTGCGGCGGCGCAGCAGCCGACGCCTGCCCAGGCTCCCGCAGCAGTGCCGGCGCCTGCTCCTGAGGGTGCACCTTTGCCGGCACCAGCGGAGCCCAAAGCAGCGGCAGCGGCAGCAAGCGCCCAGACCAGCGACCAGCCGGCGGCTCCGGCGTCCCCAGCCCCAGCTCCGGCTCCGGCGCAGCAGCAGCCCGCTGCAGCCTCAGCCTCCCCGGCGCCCGGTCTACGTAGGCCCAGTCCAGCTGCAGTGCCGGAGGAGGCCATCCTGTTTGGGGACATTGCCGTGATCCCAACTGCCGCTGCCCCCGCAGCCCCTTCGCCACCGCCTGCCCGCCCCACCACGATTCCTATTCCCGTACCCGTGCTCCCCGCAGCAGCAGCTCCGGACAGCCAACAGCCAGCTGCAGCACCCGCACAAGCCGTCCCGTCGGCTGTGCCGCAGCAACCCCAGCCGACCGCCAAGCCCGAGCCGACCGGTCCACCTCCTCCTCCTCCCAGCACCGGAGCTCCGGCGCCTGCAGCGCAGCAACAGCAGCAGCCCCTGCCTGGGCCACCAGGCGGCCACCCAGCTCCTCCCAAGGGTCCTCAGCCCAGCCAGCCGCAGGCTCATGTTCCCGCCGTGGCCCCAGGGCAGCCAGTGCACCACATGGGCCCGATGCCGCCCATGCCTCCCATGGTTCCGGGGCCGCCCCCTCCGCCGGCGATGATGCCTCCCATGCCTGCAGGAGGCCCGCGGCCGCAGGGCGCACCCTCGGCATCCCCGCAGCCTCCCTTCCTGCACGTCAATGGGCCCATGCCCGTACCCATGCCCGCTCCGGGCGGCCCAATGCCCCCCATGGGCCCCGTCCTAGCCAAGCAGATGCCAGGGCCGCCGCCTGGCACGATCCTTGTCCCTATTCCGGGGCCGCCCGGCGCTCGGCCTCACATGCCGGGTCCTGGCATGCCTCCAGGGCCGCCTCAGCCCGGCATGCAAGGCCCGCCGCCGCCCCAGCCGATGATGCAGGTTGCGCCGCCTCCTCAGCAGCAGCCGGGGCCCATGGGGCGTCCGCCGGGGCCTATGGGGCCGCCGCAGGGCCCCATGCACGGCATGCCGGCACCGGGTCCGCAAGGAGGCATGGTAGCCGTACCGCACCCGCAGGGACCGGGGCACCCCCAGCATGGTCATCCTGCAGGCGGTGCCCCCCGTGGTGCTCCTGGGGCGCCTGGGCAGCACATGATGGTGCAGCCCATGCAGTTCCCAGGTCCCATGCACGGCGGCGCGATGGCGATGCCCCACGGCCAGCCACCCAGCGGACCCATGGGTCATGTCCCGCCGCAGGCCATGTACGTCTTCCCTCCTGGCGGGCCGGCATTGGTCCAGCCGGGTCCGGGCGGGCCGATGCCTGGCCATCCGCACATGTTGCATGTGTTGCCGGGCGGTATGGCGATGCCCATGGGTGGGCCACCGCAGATGAGCATGCAGCAACCGCCACAGCCGCAGCAGCCCCCGCAGCAATCTGTGCAGGGCTCGCAGCCTCCTCCTCCTCCTAAGAGCCCATCTTCCAGCAGCGGCGGTGCCAAGCCAAGCAGCACGCTCAACGCCAACGCTCGTTCATTCGTTCCCTCAGGCAAGCCTGCGGCGCCATCTAGCAGTGCCGCCAGTGTCGCCCAACCATCGCAGCCGCAACAGCAGCCAGCTGGCATGCCCAGCCAGCAGCAAGGGCCACGGCCACAGTACCCGCGACCAGGCGCTACCAGCGAGGGTGTCGTGCAGGTGCTTCCGCCACCCAGCCAACAGCCTCACCTGCAAAGCCACCAGCCGCAGCCCTACCGTCCGTCGGGCCCGTACGGCGGGCCAGGTCCTGCAGGAGGTCCGTACGGCAACCGCAGGGATCGTCGTGAGGGGCCTCGCGGCGGCAGCGGTCCGCGTGACGGACCAGCGGGCGGTATGGCCCGTAAGGGCCTTCCCGTTGGTCCAGGCAGTCAACACGGAGCTGTGCCGCAGCCGGTCGACATGTCCGCAGGGCAGCCCATGCCGCCGCCTGCGCATGGCGCCCCGCACCCGCTTCCCATGATGGGTGCGCCCTTGATGGTGATGATGGGTCCGGGTGGGCCCATCCCGGTTCCTCCGCCACCCAGCATGCCACACGACCCAGGCATGGAGGCGGTCGACGGAGCGGTCGAGCGTCAACCTCGCGACGCGCCGGACGGCACCGCTGAGGACCCAGGCCGCGCTTCTGCTGAGCAACCTGGCGTGCAGCCATCGCACGCGCCGCCGCAGGTTCCGGGACCCGCTCCTCCGCCTCACCATGTTGCACCGCCGCCACCGCCCGGCATGGCGGCTCCCGGCCACGGCCCGCCGCGCATGATGCTGGTGCTGCAGCCGGGCATGCCAGGCCCGGTGCAGGTACCCGCACCCATCCCCATGATGCCAGGGCCCATGATGCCCATGCACCTGCCGCTAGTCATGCAGCCGGTCGCCGGGCCGCCTGCTCCGGGACCGAGCGATGGACCCATGCAAAAAAACGGGTCGGCAGCTGAGTCGGTGAGGGCGCCCCGTCAAGCGCAGTCCTCGGCCTCCGCCGCCTCTTCTGAGGCGGACGGCAAGGGCGCGAGTGACGGGGGTGACTCAGCTGCCACGGCTTCGGCCACAGCCCCAAACACGGTAACGAACGATGGTCAAAGCAGTTCGCAGGAGGCGCAGGCTGCGACGCCGGCGAAGCCGGCTCAGCCAAGCATTGCGGAGACGCTGGCCGCACCGCCAGTGCAGGAAGGAACAACACAGCCCACAGCATCGCAGCCAACAGTAGAAGTGGTGGCTCGTGACGCGTCTCAGCAGCCGTCACCTAGCGGTGGAGCGGAACCGCGGCGCCAACAACAGCAGCGGCGGGGGTCGGGATCCGGCAGCTCCTCAGCGGCGGCGCCAGCTGCCGCGGCGCCACCACCCGGCCGAGGTGCGGGCGGAGCAGCGGCGCCGACGGCGCCAGCTGCCACGGCGGCCGCTCCCAGCTGGTCTGCGGTAGCTGCCCGACGAGAAGGCGGCAGCATGGCGACCTGCAGCACTAGCAGCAGCGGCAACGGGCAGAACGGCGCAGACGCTTTCCCATCCCTGGTTGGCAGCACTGTTCCGACGTCATCCTCGTCCGATGCCGGACAGCACCCACACCCGCCCGCAGCCGCGTCATCATGGAAGGCCAAGCTGCAGCAGAACGCAGCGTCATCGCAGCAGCAGGGACTCGCGACGGGCGGCAGTGGCGGCGGCAACCGTTCACCGGGTGCAACGGCCAACGGTAACAGCCCTAACGTGCTGCGCGGCGCTAGTCCCCGGGGAACCCTGCATGGCGGTGTGCAGCTGGCAAGCAGCCTGTCCGACTCGGCAATGGCTCACAGCGGCACCGGCGCCGGCACCGGCTCTCCTCTGCTGCTCCGCCCGGCTGGCAACCGTCCGTCGGGGCCTGCGCTGCTGACTGGACCGCCATCGCAGCTGGTCGGCAGCCTGTCGCTCTCACCCGCAGCAGCAGCTAACAGTAGCGCTGCCGGCGGCGGCGGCGGCGGCTCCTCGGGCGTGGTGTACCATCCAGGGACGAGCGGCGAGTCGCAGCGGCTGCAGCTGGTGCGGGGGTTGCAGAACCTGGGCGGGCAGCACAACTGCTTCCTCAACGTGACCATCCAGTCGCTTTGGCACCTGCGGAGCTTCCGAGATGCGGTGTTGCGTATGGACGTGGAGGGCATTGCAGCGCGTGGTGCCGTGGCTGCTGACGTTGCGGTGTTGCGTGCCCTGGTGGGGGTGTTCCGAGCCATGGCCGCGCCCCTTGTGGCGAGCGGCGGCGCTTCCAGCACCGCACCCTCGGCGCCCTCATGGGTGGTGTCGCCGCTGCCGCTACGGGAGGCACTCAGTCTGCTGGAAACCGGGCAGTCGGCCGTACGCCTGGACCTGAGCGAGATGCACGACGCCTTTGAGGTGCTGCTGGTGCTGCTGACGTGCATGCACCGAGCGGAAGCGGGCAGCTGCGCTTCGCAGGGTCAGGACCCGCAGCTGCCGCGGCGTGTGCGCGTGCGGGACATTGCAGCTGGCCGGGCCGGCGGCGGCGCGAAAGCGGCTACGGCTTGGGGCGCGGCTGCCCCTGCCAACACCGCCATGGCCAACGGCTTCCACCATGCAGCGCCGTCAACGGCAACACCGAGCGGTTACGCTGCCGCCGTGTCTGGTGGCGCCGCGTCGCAGCAGGCGCGCGGCAAGGTGGATTCGGCTGTGCCGAGCACTGCAGCGCACAGCCTGTTTGGCTTGGACGTGCAGGTTCCCTGTACGGCAGAGGAAGAGGACGCCAGCGGCAACTGCAGCGGTGGCGGCAAGGAGCGTCAGCATCAGCCACAACAGCGCGGCCGGCGCGAGTCTGGCTGCGATGAGCCCTCCACCGCGTCCTCACATGCGGCGGCGGCTGCGCATGCTCCGCTGCACCTGCCGTACAGCGCCGTCGCGCGCTCCGGTGGCAGCTACAGCAGCGGCAGCCGTGGCGCCGCCGCTGACGAATCCGCGACGTCGACGACGGCGGCAGTGGCGGAGGTGGAGGTGTACACCAAGTACTTCCACCTCGTCCATGCACAAGCGCTGCGCAAGGCATTTGCCGCGCTGGACGGCTCTGTAAGCGGGGCCTACTTCGAGGACGTGCTATGCGCCGCGGAGGCTGCTGGTAGCCCGGCGTCGACGGCGAGCCTCTCCAACGGCAGCGGCGGCGGCGCTTCGCGCCGCTCCGGCTCCGCCGCCGGTACGCCGACGGCCGCCAGCTTGGCTCATGCTCACGGCTGGACCCCCGGCGCCACCGCCGCGGCGCACCCGCTAGCGACCCTTCTGCGCTTCCCTGCTGTGTTTACCTTGGCGCTGGTGTGGGAGAGCCCGCAGGCGCCTCTAGACGCGCTGCGAGGCACGTTGGAGGCGCTGGGCCCGCGGGTCGATCTGGCGCTGCTGTTCCGGTGCGGCAGCGGCTCGGGTGCGGCGACGGGCGCGGGCGTGATGGGGCCTGGAGGTGCAGCGGCGGCGGCACCGGCGTCGGCGTCTTGCGAGTTGCGGTCGGTCATTTGCTACTTTGGGCACCACTACCTGGTAAGTGGGGGCGAGGGTGGTGTATGCTGGGATGGTGCTGGGGACGTCTGAAGAGTGCTCTCTTACCTTGTTGAAGCTTCACGACCTAGGTGAACAGTGGCCCTCATCCGATTGCATGATTTGAGGATCTAAACATGACATGACCAACTAACACGTGCTGGTGGTGCCGCAGGTCTTTGCATTGAGTGAGGAGCTGGGGTTGTGGCTCATGATCGACGACGCCAACATCCAGCTGGTGGGGCACTGGAGCGATGTTGTCAAGGCCATGGTCGCAAAGAGGCTGCAGCCCTCGCTTCTCTTCTACGAGACGGAGAGGCTTCAAGCACCGGCGCATTAAGGAACGGCTCAGGAAGCGTAGCGCGCCTACTACATAGTTTACAGCATCTTCCACCACGTTGAATGGGGAAAGGGCATCTGTGGTCAATAGGCAGGTTGCAGGAGGGAGGTAGTAGGAGGTAGTTTAAGGCGCTGTTACGGCTGATGCGCAGTGGCGCGGCTACTATGGCTGAGGCTGAGGGCTGTTCGCATGTGCCGGCGGCGGCCCGAAGTATTGCCTTTCCGGTCCTATCTTGGCGGGTATGTTTGCCTGAAAGTTAGCGGTTAGTACGTAACATGGCGCGTCGGCCTCTGGGGATGAAAGGATGACAAACTGTCCTTCAACCGGTGCCAGTTGACTTGTGGCTTGACTTGTGGTCTTTTGCATGCGTCATGCGCGTCGGCTGTGGCTGACAAAATTAAGAAACGCAGTTCAATGGTGGGTTGGAGCTGACGTGGGTTCTGAGCTCCGAGTTCTTGTAGCGGAAACCATGGTATATGGGTAGTAAGCGGCATGACACGGTTGTGTGGACCTGCTTTTGTTGTTTTTTCGCCCAAGAAGCCTTTGATCGCGGTCGGACAAGTTGTTTTTCGCACCTTTTTGGCTTGGCGGTAGTGTTGCTCTTACTAGACTTCAGCAAGACCATTGAGCCGGTATATATCTTCGGGTCCTTGTGCGTGTTCTGTTTATCTGTTACCTAGTGCCACACATGTTGCGAATTGAGGGAGGGTGCAGGGGTTTTGGTCATGTGCTTGCAGGATTTTGAAACGCAGCAAAGTAGGAACTGCATGCGATCGGTGGGCGCGAGCAGCAAGTTCGGCACCTAGCCGCGCCACCGCCCGCCCTTGTGGAGATTAAACCTTAGCTAATAGACGAGTAGACGGAACAGGCATGCGGTGGGGAGCAGAGGACAACCTTTGGTTGGAGAGGTGCTCAGGCAGCTTTCGGTCGTGCGCGTGTGCACATATCGGCGTAAAGTCTTCAATTTGACTTTCTAACATGTGGCTCGGGCACCGGGCATGATACAGTTCACCCGGAGGCCTTTTGTCGGTTGGTGCGACGGTGGAAGTAACCCCAGGGTAGCTGATTGGTTCCGGTTTCGGGAACTTGACAAGTGGAGGAGACTGTGTCTGGTTTCGATGCGTATGGGCAAATATTCCTTGAGCACAGCCTATGCGCCATGGTTTGGCAGCGCAGCTGTCCGCTGGGAGACATGAGAGGACAAAAGGGATACGCTCAGTTGTCCGAACGTAGCCCAACTTGACGCAACGTGCACGCCAACAACTTGGCAACTAAAGGAGGGCTGATGTGTTAGCAAGGTTTGGTAGCAGGATGTGCATGCCGGGAAGCAAGCCATGCGCCACAGATGCTGGGCAGGCCCGGGTCGTGTGAATGTCACGACCCGGGTGGTATTTTGTTGTGGCGTTTGTGTGTTTGCATGGCAGCGGCACCGCGATTTGGTGACGTAACGGATGCGGGCAGCCGTTTTGGGGCTGTACTGCTTAGAAGCCGGTATTGAGGCAGTGTTGTAGGGGCAGGGGCAGGGCTGAAGAGACCCAGTAGGGTAGTAAGGTCTGTGAGTATTGCCACGGCATGAAGAGAGACCTCGGAATGGTGAGGCACGGTTGTGGATGCAGGCGTCGGTTTTGCAGTTACGCCTGATCCGGCGCAAACCCACAACATAAGAAGCGTATCCTGGGCTAGCAGCAGAAGTCTTTCCGTTGTTGTCATGGACTCCATGAGGGCTGCTTGGGCGGCATCTGCCCACTGACAGGGCTGGTTCCGTTTTGACCCTTTGAGGTTATGCCATGCTCGTCAGCAAACGGAGCAGCGGTGCCATTTTGACATGCACGTCATGTCTTTTTTTATCTGATGGCGCCTGGAGCGGCTGCATTAAGCCCCAAGGACCGAAAGGGCCCGCTTCGTGCGTGGGTTTGACTGGGGGGAAACATTCGCCTGCCGTTGCGCTGTTTGGCATTCTTCATAATTGCTGTGGTGGTTTGCCGTGTGCTGATTGCCTCGTGGGCAGGTTACAGACAGGGCTGGCCTGCAGTCACTGCCCCTGGAATGTCGTAGTGGTGATTGACAGGAGGAAGATATGCGGGGAAATGGTCTTGCAGCGTGGTTGTTGTTATGGGCCGTTCTGTAGGCGAAGCGGAGCGATGTGTAACGATCTTGCTCAGCTTTGGATATACAGCCCGCAGCCCACATTGTCTCAATACCATAGCTAGACGGCACCACAGCATGAGCATTATGGCGTCTCGTCTTCCGGGGGCATATTTGACGTACAACGATGGCTCCCACGCGATCGTTTTCTTTGTGAATGCAAAAGCAAGTTACACTCTTCACTTCTTTAACAGCAGCTCACAACTTCGTAGCTTTTGTATCAATTGTCGCAAGTTGCCCTAGCTAGCGCATTGCACACGACCAACCGCGACCGCGACCGGCCCATTTCTACACAGTTTGCTCGTTCGCAAAATGTCGTCTTCTAGAGAGCTTGCAAAGCAGTGCAAGGTGAAAACTAACAGCGTCAAGCGGCTGCATAAGGAACTGGGATACTATGAGAAAGAGCGCGACAAGGAGCAGGCACGGGTAGACAAGATGAAAGCAGAAGGCGCAGACGCTAGTGATCTGAAGCAGGCGGTAAGCAAGGCTTTCGGCGCCAATTGCATGGTAATGCCGCGGGACATGGACGAGCAACACTGATTACAGGAGAACGTGTTGCAAGAGTCCGCGATGATGATCCCTCAAACAAGGCAGCGTTTGGAGGCCGCCTTAGCGGAGCTCCAGTCCTTCGTGGTGAGCTTGCAACCCGCATTCGTACAATACCTCCGTTGTAGCTGGTAAACGCGCTTGCTCTTACTCGCTAACATTCAACAATCCGTATCTGTCATACACAGGCCGAGAATGAGGCAGACATTGCGGACACGGAGGAGCTGCAACAGGCAAAGGAGACATTGGCCGAGGTTGAGAAGCTGCTCAAGTGAATCGGCACGAGCACTTTGGAGGGCAATGCAGTGTGACATTGGGAGAAGGGGGGAGCGGTATTTGGGAAATGGATGGATGGGAATGACTGGGGAGCCACTGAACCATGGCTATGCGACATGCCCATTTACGCATATCCAGGCATAAACAGAGAGCGTGAGCCCGCGATGTTGCATCCGGCTCTATTCTTGTAACCGTGAAGCATTGCACTCAGCTGCAAGGCGACTGCTGACTACCGTGTTGGCCCCGGGCTACCCGACTGCATTATTCACGACTGGAATGCCGATTATGGCGTCTCGTCTTCCGGGGGCATATTTGACGTACAACGATGGCTCCCACGCGATCGTTTTCTTTGTGAATGCAAAAGCAAGTTACACTCTTCACTTCTTTAACAGCAGCTCACAACTTCGTAGCTTTTGTATCAATTGTCGCAAGTTGCCCTAGCTAGCGCATTGCACACGACCAACCGCGACCGCGACCGGCCCATTTCTACACAGTTTGCTCGTTCGCAAAATGTCGTCTTCTAGAGAGCTTGCAAAGCAGTGCAAGGTGAAAACTAACAGCGTCAAGCGGCTGCATAAGGAACTGGGATACTATGAGAAAGAGCGCGACAAGGAGCAGGCACGGGTAGACAAGATGAAAGCAGAAGGCGCAGACGCTAGTGATCTGAAGCAGGCGGTAAGCAAGGCTTTCGGCGCCAATTGCATGGTAATGCCGCGGGACATGGACGAGCAACACTGATTACAGGAGAACGTGTTGCAAGAGTCCGCGATGATGATCCCTCAAACAAGGCAGCGTTTGGAGGCCGCCTTAGCGGAGCTCCAGTCCTTCGTGGTGAGCTTGCAACCCGCATTCGTACAATACCTCCGTTGTAGCTGGTAAACGCGCTTGCTCTTACTCGCTAACATTCAACAATCCGTATCTGTCATACACAGGCCGAGAATGAGGCAGACATTGCGGACACGGAGGAGCTGCAACAGGCAAAGGAGACATTGGCCGAGGTTGAGAAGCTGCTCAAGTGAATCGGCACGAGCACTTTGGAGGGCAATGCAGTGTGACATTGGGAGAAGGGGGGAGCGGTATTTGGGAAATGGATGGATGGGAATGACTGGGGAGCCACTGAACCATGGCTATGCGACATGCCCATTTACGCATATCCAGGCATAAACAGAGAGCGTGAGCCCGCGATGTTGCATCCGGCTCTATTCTTGTAACCGTGAAGCATTGCACTCAGCTGCAAGGCGACTGCTGACTACCGTGTTGGCCCCGGGCTACCCGACTGCATTATTCACGACTGGAATGCCGAGACCTCATTGTTTTTTTTTGCGCAATGGGAAAGCACTCAGAATACCTGAAAGGCCGGCACGTTTACTGGGCAAAGCGTCGGTCCCTGCAGGCGATGAATGCAGTGAAAGAAAGAAAGCTCCCCTGGCGTCATACCAGCAGCCCATTTACATACACTTACATACAGCGCCAGCTCTTCCAGAGCGACATGCTGCATTTTCCCAAGCAACCGCAATCCACAGTTTAACACGTCAGAGCTCTTCGGCATATCACACGACAGCCACCCTTTCCCTTCCATTGAGCGCGCCACGACGACAACGCAAGCTTTCGGCATATTGTACGGAAGTGACGCAAGTAGCAGGTCGAGGAGCCCCGCGCAGGTATCGCTAAATTATATAACACCTCGGTCCTTCCTCATCGTCCCATTAAATAGCAACCTAGCTTATATGTTGCGACATTCTGGCCAGAGGGCAGTAAGTCTGCTCGGTTCTTTTATTCCAAACAGCTTAGCGTCCCGAGCTATTATCAACCCAGCAGCAGCTGCTGCCCGCAACAACTTCCCAAGGTCCGCCCTGCTAATCAGAATGGCAACTACCGAGACCCCGACGCACCCTTCCATCATTAGCATGATTAACCAGGTGCGTTGCACGGTCGATCGTTGATATGAGAAGTGGCGTAACGACCCATGGGTCACGCCCCGCGATCCTTCCAGACAGTGATGTTCTCGCAAGCGCTATGCCTCGTGCCAAGTCGCAATCTCGTTAAAGGAAGCACATACAGAAATACTCAACTTTGGCGAATGGCATTGCCCGCATTTTGCTGTCTGGAGGCGTGGCAGTTAGCCTTTGCTAATGACTGCCGATTGCAAATAATTCAGGCCGCTTGCTGCTGCCTGCCTTGCTGCTTTGCTCTTCCCCACCTCCGCCCTGCCTTATTTCCCATTCCAACCAGGATCACGCACGTTTCAAGAGCATGTGGTCCGAGTACAATGGGCCCAACATGAACGGGGAGATGAAGCAGAAGCTGGTGAGTCTGAAGAACTATTTACATGACCGACAATTAACAGCCCAAGGCAATGCTGACAAACAACAGCCCTTTGGCATTTGTCTGTACCGACAAGAAACATATCCTAGGCGGCGCATGTGTCGGCAGTAGTGCCCTAGTGCCCAACGCCCCGGCGGAGCCTGGTGTATGTCATCTCACGCGCATGGCTAACCTTCTTTCATTATGTGTCCTCCTCTGATGCCGGTACACATGCTGCCGCTTTCCTCACCCGCCGCACGCCGCCGCCAGGCCTGGGCGCTCATTCGTGAGATTGCGATGCACAGCAGCTCCGAAGAGGAGGTGATGTACCCCGAGGTGAGGTGGGGCCGCAGGATTGGTACCTCGGGTTTTGGCACCAATAGACAGATATATAGACGCTGATTGCAACTGAATAATTGAAATAACTGTTACGCTAATCCCAAACCAGAAGGCACGGGAAAGCGGACGATACATGATTGATCTATATGTGTATTCCCTGTCCACGCCAACCCCAACCCCACGTCCCCCCGACCCAATCCCCCCCCCACCCCGCCAGGTTCGCAAGCGGCTGGGCGACGAGGCCGCGGATCACCTCTTGGGGCTGGAGGGGCATCAGAAGCTCAAGGACCTGCTGTATGAGGTGGGGGTGCGGGTGGGGTGGTGGGGGTGGGTGCAGGGTGGGGTGGGGGTCTCGAGGGGGAAGACGCACACAGTGGGGGCCTCGGCGGGAGGGAACGCACGTAGTGGGGGTCTCAGTGGGGTTGTCGGTGGGTTTCGGACTTGAGCGCTAGTAAGTGGGAGGGAGTGTCAGACCTATGGGTCGCTGGGTCAGGTTGAGCGGTTTGTCTTCATTGCGGATAAAAAAATAGTGTGGAGCTCCCGTAGACAGGGAGGCGGGCAAGGACACAGCGTGTGTGTTTTGCGTTGTCAGCCTGCATGCAGTGCGCTATAAACTCCTACACCTGGGTGCTAGGGCGCATGTTATCGTCGTTCTGGGAATCATTCCTCGGCGGTCAACGTCAAGGTATGCACAGTACTTGTTGGATCCCGGTCGTCGCCCTTGGCCTTGCGTAAGCCCGCGCTCAACACCGGAGCATCCCGACCTTCCTCTCGCTCTCGACCTGGCCCGCATGCACGCTGGTGTGCGCATGCGCGCGTGTATAGGCCAACAACATGACCATCGAGAAGAACGGCGAGGGCGCCTTCACCGCCAAGATGGCAGAGGCAATGAAGGTGTGGAGGGGCGGGCGCTGTGTATGTATGGCAGTGTGCGGGGTGGTAAGATACAGATATGTGTTGTATGAGGTAGGGTGGGCGTGCGTGTCGGATGCGTCCCCGTTTTAATACATTAGATACATGACGGTGCGATAGGCAGGTTTGGGGGCGGCGTTTACGGTAGGGCGGCGTTTAGGGCGACTGACTCGGCAGAGATATGGCGCCTGGGGAGTGCTTGTGGGCATGCTAAGACAGACACCTCGTCAAGAGGTGGCGACCGGCGAGCGGTGCTGGGTAGATCGGTGCTGCAAATCGCCAGCTGCTCCTGGGTGTCGGTTAACTCGGCAGTAAGGACGGCGGTTGTGCCCATGTGGGAAATCCCAGGACTCCTGGCGAATGGATTTCCCAGGCGCAGCTGGCGTCAGTGCTGCCCAGCTAGCCAGCAGCCAGGGGCAGCTGACCACACTCAATGCCCAGCTAGCCAGCACCCAGGTCGGAGTAGGGAAGCATGGGGAACATGCAAAACCCCTTTTTTCATGCAGCCAGGATGCACTGTGTGCATCCTTCCTTACCCCTCCTGGCGCTCTCGCCACCTCTCCCTTCTCCCTCTCACCTCTTCCTCCTCCATCCGCCTCTGCCCCCGCCCCGCGCGCCCTTCCTGCCCTTCCTGCCCTTACCGCCCCCCCGCCCCGCTTCCCCCCAGGTGCTGTACCACCACATCAACGAGGAGGAGAACCAGTTCTGGCCGCGCTTCCAGGCGCTGCCCGGAGTAGACGCGGACCTGCTGAGCCATCTGGGCAAGAAGTTCGAGGCGGCCAAGGGACATGCGGTCACCAGGTGAGGTGGCGGTGGGGTGCGGCAGTGGGGGCCGGGGTACCGTATCCGGTGATGACGAGGTATGGTGGTGAAGGAATGCACTGAATTACCGGGGAGGGGATACTAAAGAGCGTCACCCCTTTCCCCCACGCCTGCACGCCTGAATTCCAATCCCCAAGGCCGTGTCACCCCTGTTTCCATTATTACCATTCACCACTCATTTAGCCTCTGCTTCATTCCTTCCCCCTCCCGCGCCACCGGCCCACTTGTCCACCCGGCCAGGCCACACCCCTGGGCCCCCAACAAGCCGCCACTCAATGTGATGGCCAACACCATGACCGCCCCGCTGGACGGACTGGCCGACATGTGGCGCTTCGCGGGGAACCCGCCGCGCGCGTGAAGGGGCCGCGTGGGCGTGTTATGTGGTTTGGGGCACCTTTGATGCATGTTTTTGAGGACTTTGATATGATCGGGGGAGCTGTATACAACGAAGTACATGTGCGCTCTGGAGCGAGGGAGAAGACGGGGCCAAAAGGAGCTGCAGTATGTATTTGCTAGGGGTGGTTCCTAGTTGGGAAGTTGTGTTAGGTTAGTGGGACTGTTGTGTGCTTGTGGACTGTTGCGAGGCCAGGGTAAGCCGCTGGATGTGAAGACTGTTGAGAGGCGGGGGGATGGCATGCTAAATTGAAGTTGCGCAGAAGTGTGGAAAGTAGGGTAATAGTTCGGTTGGATGAAATCTGTGTGTAGTCTGAACAGCTGAGCAACGGGATGACAGCGTAGACCCCTGTGGGGAATGTAGGCGGGATGCCCACGTATCCTTAGTTTACTAGTTGCACGAATGGTACGACTGTGCACCTGGTAAGGATGAACACGGATGTGCGGAGGGAGGAAACCGTGGTTGAAGGCGGGATGTTGCGATTGAGAGGGAGTTGGAGTGGGACACCAGGAGATGCAACGGGTGGAGATGATCTGTAACATATACACTGCACGTAACAAAGTGTTGCCCAGTGCCATATACACGACAGGGTATACTCGAGAGGTTACACATCAGCAAGCAAATTCCATTTCTGTGGCAAGCTGAGTTTGTGAACAAAACAGCCTACCAAAGCCCCGCACAACATGCATGTAGCAAATTGTTATATTGGAGGCACTTCACTCAGGTATCCGCACACTGCACACGGTGTGCGACGCACAAATGTGCATCATTTGTGGAAAAACACCAAATGTAGCAGAGTTTATACTGCCAACTTCCTTCTCTGACCACGTTAAAGCGTAAAGTCTGCAAAAACGCCTTAAGAAATTATAAACGCGCTAAGATTAAACCATACTACATCGGCACAAGACGTGAAGATCGCACAAGAATAAGGTACGACACATAAGGTTTGGACTCGAGAACTTTGCTTTTTGTACCTTGCAAATTTCTTTCTCTTAGCTTACGGGTACATAGGGAATTCAATGGACCTGTGCAACGTACCGGCCTTAGAAATGTGCGCTTGTAGCCAACAAACCGACGAAGGTCTCCCTCCTTACACACACCCGTGCACAATAGCAAATGTCTACAAGGAAAAACACACGGGCTTCTGACACCCACCAGGGACTGTCAAAATTAGCCGCCAACCCGAGACAAAGTACCAAATTATTACCCCCAAGTACCAAATTGTTACCCCCAGGTCCCTTCACGGCAATCCTTGCCTTAACTTCAGTGATACTCGCCTCTACCCTTCTCACCTCAAATATTCACAAAATCCGCTAGGGAAAAAACCCGACCACGCTCACTCAACCCTCCCTCAGAAAGACAAGGGTTGCGTCAGCCACAAGCTCGCTTGGGGCATAAGTAGAAATCATCTCCCTTCGCCCTCACGGTCTTCCACCCTCGCTTCCACCCTCCGCCCGGGCTAACTGCTCTAGAGGTGCCGTACACATTCCAGGCACAAGTATTCAATCTTTAGTCATCACACTCTTGCATGCCACAAGAGGCGCCTGGAAATTCAGATCCAAGATATCACGTTCAGGCACACATACCTGCACGTGTACCCATCTGTACGGCCCTGTACGAGATCTCACATGCAACCTGCGCGCAAGGCTGGGTGAAAGGTGTTGACATGACCCTTCAAACCTCAGCAGCTAATAGCCGCCGCCAGCCTGTGCTAAGAAAACATGTATGATGCAAGACTACGGATACCTAGCCGCTCCATATCATACCAAAATCACCAACAGGCTGTAACGACCAACCGAATGCTACTTAAATCAGGGAACCAAAGGGTGGGATCGGAGCGGTGACATGGCTCCCAATCCGGTCTGCTTGGGGTTCCCATAAGTGAACAAGTTCATAAAAAACACTCGAGGAAAGGTAGGTCGATGGGTACTGAGGCTACACATTACCCCACATACGCACCTGGCTCACCCAGCAATACCCAGCCTGCAGCCCAGGGATAGTTGTGCTACAGCTCCCTCTACCACATTCAAGGGGCAGCCGCTCAACTACACACTGGACAGACCCATGGGTCACCTGGACAACTTGAGTTGTACGGGGGCTTGGACATCCACCTTCCGTACCACAATGTGCCCGGGACCTGTTCCATGCTGATCTGTCTACAAACTAACAACAGAAGGCAAACCCTTCTACCATGCCCACTAAATGCCTATTAAAAGGATAGGCGGTATGCTATGGCAACACGAAAAGGGCCCACGGTTTGACATTCCGTGACCCTTCCGCTACTGCCATGTTGACGTGCGCCTTGGCTGGGCTATGCGCTATACCGTATACTGCTCCCAACCTAACCAGCAAATTCCATTTAAAGAACAAAATGCTCTTTTGAGACGCGCATTGGCGCAAGCAACCTCTTGCCTCTTCTCTCGACAACAGCTTGCCTCTTCCCCTCACGAACAGACACACATGTCGTAGTGGCTGCTTCTTTCCCTCCCGGTTCAGCGCTCGAAGCCCCTCATCACGTGGACCCCTCAAACCTGCGGCGCTCCATGAACTGAATACAAACAAAAATTAAACGCCGCTCACCGTGACAGTATCCTCTTCGCAAAGCGGTAACAGCCAATGTGCTCAGTTGCACGCAAGCTGTTCACGGGTGCTTGGCGATCAGTCGTATGCTGCCGCGACGGCTGCTGGGGCCTGCCGTACTAATTCTGCCGCCGCCGCCGCTGTCATCGACGGCGGCACTTCGTACTTCGCTTTCGGCGACAGCATTGCCGTACCGCTCCTGACGAGATCCTGTTACCTGCAATGTACGACAATCACCGCCGCCGCCACCACGCGCACGGTATACAGTATCGCCATCGTTGCCGCTATCGCCGCCACCGTCGTCGGAAATAATGCGGTACAGCGGCGGCGCAAAGGATGAATGCCGCGCACGCGCGTTATGGTTAGCCTTCGCCTCCGCCGCCTCCGCCGCCAGCTCCGTCGCCGCCAGCGCAAAGTTCAACATAGTCTTAAACCTCCGCCGACCGACATGACTGCCGCGTCCGCCTCCTCCTCCCCCACCGCCGCCGCCGCCGCCGGCACTAGCGCTGACGCCATCTGAAGCTTCGAGGCTAAGCCTCTTGACTGCCGCCGCCGCCACAGCCGCCAAGTCCACCGCTGGCGTCGCCGCCGATGTCGTCGGCACAGCCGCTTTGCGCCACGGAGCGTTCTTAGCGCCTTCGCCGGCGTCACTGTCGGTGCTGCCACCGCTGCTGTTGACGTCGCGACCTCGTCTCTGCGCGGCTCCCCGATCCGCTGTCCCGGCTGTTCCAGGTAGCCACGCGCTCTGCAGCGATAGTGCCTCCCCTTCATTGTCCTTACCTTTGAAGGCCCCACGCTTATTCTGGCTTCCAGCGTTCAACGGGCCGCGTGCAGTGCTTCCCGTGAACCGGCTGTTCTGTGGCATCGGCAACAGTCGTCGTACTAGCGCCAACGCACCGCCGCCGGGGATGGCCACCGAGCCAGCACGCTGCTGCTGCTGCTGCTGCTGCTGCTGCTGCTGCTGCTGCTGCGATGGCATCTCAGCTTCATCGTCAACCTCGGTTTCCATTGTCTTCTTGGCCGCCGCGGCGGCGGCGCCGCTGCCGCTAAGAACGCCGCCGCCGTCGACACTGTCCCGGAGTCCACCCCGCATTGTTAATGCGCGCCGCAATCGGCCGTACAGGCTTACGTCATTGCTTCTGGACTGCTGTTGTTGCTGTTGCTGCGCTGCTGTGGCGGCGGCGCTGGCGGTTTTGTTGGCGGCGGTGGCGGCAGCAAGCGCCGCCATCACCGCCGGCGGCGTGATGTCCGGGTTGAAGCGCCATCGCAGCGCCATTGCCGCGGCCGTCATCGTCGTCGCAGTTGATGGCGGCAGGGGCCTTGCAGGCCCTGCTGCAGGCGTTATGGCCGCCGCTGTGGCTTGGATGGATGTGGCAGAGGGTCTCAGGCTGAAGTCTGCTGTCTTCTGTCGCTTCATGCTAGCGAAGCGCCGAGCTTCAGCCCAGGCTGCAAGGAGTGTCAAGTGGCGTTTCCTTGGTCAGCATAAAAATGGTTAAAAAATACTTTTATGGACGCCCCACAGCAGTGCAGGCAGGCAACTTGGCGGGATAGATACGCACAGCATGAGAAACATGCATCCCGCCACAGCCTTCTACAATAACATGGTCGACGCCCATACACATTCAGTCAAGTACGGTCGGTATGAACAGCGCCCTTCACAGTTGCCAGCTTGCAGCACACCTGCTTCCCGCGCCGCCGCCTGTCGCCTCGACGCCTCCACGGCATCCACCGCCGCCGTCCGGGTACCCCTCCACGCCGCCGCCACATTGCTCGCAGCCGCCGCCGTCGCCAGTTCCGAATAGATGGGCGCCCCACGCCGTGCCTCGCGCCACTCTCGCTTCTTGCGCAGACGGTTGGCGCGCATGCGGGATCGCCAGCGGCGCTGAATGAGCAGCACACTGACAGCGACGGAGAAGCGCATCTGAGCGTCCTGCTGCTGCGCGAGCTCGAGGTCTCGGAAGAAAGCCTCCACGAGCGCCTCCATTTGGTCCTATTGCAGCGTGTAGGGGGTTGTAAGTTAGGCGGTTGCAAGTTGGGAGGATGTTAGTAATTGGGGTCAAGGGTTAGGGAGAAAGGCGGCTGCATGAGGCTTCATGTTGGGACAAATGGCGGTGTGTGCATACGGGTTGCACCCTGGTGTAAAGGTGTATGCTGCAGACACGCATGTTGACACGCTTGATGTAGACTAGGGGTTGCACCCCAGATTGTTTGCGAGTACGCGTGTGTGGGCGGTGGATTACGACCCAAGACATCTACGCCGCAACTTCATCTCTGCTCAAGGTGCATGCAAAGGAGCGCGGGTCCACCCGGACCCATGGGCACGGGCCACATAGGCCCAGTAGGAAGCCATCTGTGCGCTCCGACCAGTTACCTTGAGCTGCCCCTCGGGGATTTCGGCCTGACTGATCCGCCGTACGAGCTCAAAGGCGGTCTTGTGGAAGGGCACTCTGCCGTCCACCAACGGAATGTCTAGCTCGTACACGAACCTGCACACAGGCAATCACGTACGACATGCTAGACTCAGCATCCTCATTCGGCAACACAAGCGCTCTGTGTCGCAAGTGGCATGGTTCCCAGTTGGCTTGTTCATAGTGTTAGGACCCATTCCCTTTATCTCCACTCCTATCACCCGGGCATGCTATCTTTCCTAGCCCTTCCATCTCTACGTACAACACCTCGCGCATCTCCTTGTTGTCCGTACACGCCCCACATGTGCGCACCCAAACCCCAAACCCATCGCCCTCCGCCCCCAACCAAACCCCACCGCCCACCGTAGCACGTCCTTGTTGTCCGCGTGCGGCCCCAGCCCTAGCGGTGGCTCCAATCGCAACAGCAGCTCCTCTAGCTCCTGAGGGGTGATGGCGCCGGAACCATCATCGTACTCGGACCACAACGTCACAAACTCCTCGAGGGCCTGGAAGGAGAGAGAGAAAGAGTGCCGTGTAAACGGTGAGATTGAGTGTTGGGCTTTGGTGTTTTGTCATGATGTTGTCTATTGACCGGTAGCACCGGGGTTAAGTTGAAAGATTGGTGTGCAGACAAGGGTTCAGCAACCATGCCATGGACTGCCCTGCCGTCGGTTCTGCAACAAAGGAATTTCAGCCCAACCATAAGGAAAATGGCCCAAGACCCACGGGTCTGCTGCACTTTCTGCAGCTTAGTACCTGCGGAGTGAGCCTCCAGGCGTCCTGCTCGTGCGTCTTCTCAAAATTCTCAATAATGACGGCGGTGAAGAGGTTGAGCATGATGACGGCGATGAGCAAAAAGTACGTTAGGAAGTACGGCAACGCCAGCCAGCTGCCGCAATCCCCGGCGGCACGATCACAGTCGGGGGGCTGCGGGGAGGGGTTTGGGTGTTTCGGGGTTTGTGAAGCACACCCGGCTGTGCAAGTGCATGTGAAGAGTGAGGTACATCATTTTGGCATCCTGTTTATATTATATAGAATGGCCCAATCCCTGTTCCCTCTCCTTGGATAGGACAGGCCCATGCCTCTAATCACTCTCGTGCGGGAGACCCTCTGCCATCCAGTCGCCCTCCCCCTCGCTCCGTACCTGGACCATGCAGCCGTACATGATGTCCGTCCAGTTGTCCCCCGTGGCCACCCTCAGCAGCACACTCAGCGCGTATCCAAAGTTGGAGAAGTTGGCCGCGTTGTTGATGGAGGAGCTGGCCTGGATTCGAACCCGGCCGAACAGCTGCACGCCAATGTAGGCGTACATGAAGAGCAGCAAGCCGATCAGCGCGCCCACGTTCCCGAAAGCGGGCAACGACATGACCAACGATTGGAAGAGCGTCTTGATACCCTGCGGCGCCAATTCATTAAACAAACAATCCATCTCAGTTAGAACCAATTTGAAGTGTCTTTCAGTCTCACACTCCCACATGGCCACCTTTCGCAGGCTGCAGCGAAGTATCCCAGCAGGAAAACACACACGCAGGACAGATGAAAACAGGACAAGATGAACAGGACAGATGAATTCGCCCTTGTCCTCCCGCCATCGCTGCCAGCCCCCTTCCTCCTCCTTTCTCTTCCCGCTCCTTACCTTGCTCTGTCGGGCCAGTCGAACGACCCTCACAAGGCGCTGCAGCCGCACCGCCCGTAGCACCCGAAGGAAACCCAGTCCGCCGCCGCTGTTCCCCAGCAGTCCGCCCCAACCCGTCGACCCCACCCAACCCAGTACCGCATCTACAAGCCCAGCCACAACCAGAATGGCATCGAAGCGGTTCCACGGGTCACGAAGGTAGACCGCCGTGCCGCAGCCGTACAGCTTCATGCCCGCTTCCAACGTGTAGATGAAGATGAAGGCGGTGTTCAGGCGAAACTGCGGAACGGTTGAGGGGAGGTTAAGCGGGACGCAAAGGTATCCATGTCATGAAAGGTTCACATTCAACTCTTTCAAACCCACATATACGGCACCCGTACCCCCCGCAAACCCCGCCCCTATCTCCGCACGTACCCCTCTCTCCCTGGCACCCCCTAGCTAGCACCCCGCCTTCGTTGTTTCACTTTTATATAATTTTTCCCCACCTGCACCAGATCTGCTGTGTGCGACTGGCCCCACCAGGTGGAAGCCAGCACTGCTGCATTAGCCAGAATCACGCCCATCATGAGGCGTTCGTAGGCGGTGGAGGTGACCAACCGCCGTACCCTCACACGCATGCGGCCCCGAGGAAGGTCGCTCTTGTCGGGAGGACGCAGCCGGAAGACCTGCTTGCACATCTCCACCCATTCCTAAAGGCAGCAGCAGTGTTGCGAGGTGTTTAGGATGAGGGCAGGTGGGGTGGGCGCAGGGTGATACTTATGTGGTGGAGGGCCGAGGCGGTGGAAGGGACGGACTGACCCATGGGTCATCAAGGGATGGAAACGCAGATACAGACTGAAATGCGGGTGGAGAAAGGGCCTTGCTCAAAAAGCCCATGTGGACATGCGCATCCCCAGCGTACCTGTTGTTGTGCGGTGAGGAAGGCCGAGCCTGTGGTGCTCATGTTTCGGATGCGTGAGAACTGACTGAAGATGACTCCCACGTACAGGTTCAGGAGCGTGAAGGAAACCACGACTGTGAAGGCAACAAACCTGCGAGGAAAGAGGATGGAGGGTGAGTGAGGAGGCAAACGATGAGTCAGCATGCATGCAAAGACGTGATGCCCGTCGGGCAGGTTGCGTATCTGGTTGCTGTATCTGGCATGGAAATGCAGCTGCCGTGCAGCGCGTTCAGCGACCTTACACAGCACTTCAGAACCAACCCTCAGAATCAACCACATTGCACATTCAGCAGTAACTACACAACGGGCTACTGCCGTACTGCCGTACTGCCACCACGGTCGCCGCCGCACAGCCGTACCGCCCCCCCATGATGAGTTGACCACCTCACCAGAAGAACGCCCCCGGGTTGGAGTTGTCACGGGGCTGTTGTCCGTCCCCGCCGCGTGCGCTCATTGCCGCCCGCATGAGGTCTGAGTAGCCGTTCAGGGAAGCCACCACGAAGCAAGCTAGCAGCGCGTTGCCCACTGGAAGGGGGGTAAAGGGGGGTAAAGAGGAAACAACCAACGAACCGTGGGATCAGGGGGGGGGTATGCAGAAGCGAGGGGGAGGGGTGAGAGGGAAGAGACTTAGGGGGATGCTGTATTGGTGCAGGGCACAAGGAGCAGCACTTCCTGTCTTATCCGGTACCGCTTAGGGCACAAGCGGAGTGACGGAGTGGAGATGCGGCTTACTTCCCGGCTGCGTGCCATGAAACCGTGTATGCCGGGCTCCGTACCGTTATCGAAGTTGGGCCATGCGTTGCGCCACGACCGCTCCAGCATGGCGTGTGTGGTGGGGTGTATGAAGGTCCCAACACACTGCTCGCGGTGGTCAACAGACGTGTCGTTACAACTACAAGGGAGGCATTTGTAGGCAGTGGGCAGGCCGGGGGAGGGCATTGGAGGTTCAGGAAGGTGTAGGGTCTGAAGCAGCAAGTAATCCAGTCCTCCCGAACCCACAAACTGCCCCTGCCACGTAACATGACTAAATGACACAGTGCGCAGCAACGCACTATCAACAACACCAATGACAAAAGCCTATCCTACTCCTCGCTCTCCCCGCTCTCCCGCGTCCCCCACCTGTGCATCTTGCCGCTGAAGAGCTGCACTCCGAGGATTGCAAACACCGCCAAAAACAGGACACACAGAACAGAGACGTGTGCCATAGCGCCCAGGCTCAAGGCCACGCTCTTGAACACCAGCCGCATGCCGGCAGACCCACGGGTCAGCAGCCGCAGCGGCTTCAGCGCCCGCAGCACACGCAGCGCGGCAACAACCTTCGTTCGGGGCAGCAATGGACAACACAAAAGGGTTTTAGTCAATTTCCAGATAAGAAGTGAGCGAAGGCAGGGCGGTAACGGAGGAAGGGCAGGCAGCACGGTGGTCTAGTGTCCTAAACAGGCACATCTGTCCTAGGGGCTTCCCTAGTGTCCTAAACAGGCGTCCACGTACCTTCACACCCGAGGACGTGAGGGCCATCTCCAACAGCCCGGCGATCACCACGAGCAGATCCACCTGGTAGCGAGGAGGGAAGGACGGAAGGAGGGAAGCCAAGGCAAAGAGGAGGACTTAACACCGGTAGTAGCGCACAGGGATCGAACGTCTCTACCCCACCTTATGTGGGCGACGACTCCTAACACTTGCTACTCTTTTGAAAAGTATTATACCCCTTTCCCTACATGTATATCTCTTCCCGGCTCTTGTCGGCCTCCCTTCCGCTTTTTTCTTCCCCGTTTTTCTTATTTCCTATTCCTTCTCCTTCTCTGTTCCTCTACTTTATATATAAAAATGCAGTGCGACCAGCCCCCCTCCCGCTCATCACTCACCTGGTTTGTCATGTCCCTGATGTACCAAAAAAAGCTCCACGCAAACACCTTGGCGCACATCTCCGTCGCAAACACCACCGTACACGCCTGCAGCAGGTCCGGACAGAGAGAAGTAACTGGTATAAGAAACCGCGGGGAGCCAGCAATGAGGAACACAAACAGGCAACACCGCCCGAAAGCAGGGGTACGTGCACCCCGCCCACCAGGTTCCCATCCAAGCAAGCAACCAAGCAAGCAACGAAGCAAGCATGCAAGCCTCACCGTGTTGCCCCAGAACAGGAATCGCCCCAGAGTGGAGTCCGGATCCACACCGGGCGCTTCTAGCGTCATCAGTCCGCAGTTGACCACGATCACCGCAAACAGAGAGTACTCAAATGCCCTACGTAACGTAACGAAGGGGGATAAGTGCAGTCCTGGGGTGTGACCAAGAACTGATGACTAATACGGTAAGCCAGTGCACAAAGCTGGGCTACCAGGAAAACAAGAAGACAGGAGATCGCATGTTTAATTCATCTACGTAGTGTAGGAAGAGATCATGCAATCGCTAGCACACATGTGGTAGCCTATGACTGGGAATCTTGGCGTGCAAAATCCTGCCGTACACACCGATCCGGTCGTACCCCGCCGCCGCCGTACGTCATACCTGCTGCATACGATATCGTACACTCTGCGACGGAGCTTGTTCTCCGGTCCCAACAGAAACAGCGCCCGACCCTCCAGCGGAATGTGAGTGTCATGGTGCCAGTGCTTGTGTTCCTTCTCCCTCTCCCTGTCTCGAGTGACGCCGCTGCTGCTGGTGGGCCTGCCGCTGCCACTGCCGGGGGCGCCCATATCGCCTGGATCAGCAGCGCTAAGGTTGCTCATGCTGGCGAGGACGCCCCGCTCCGGGCTAACCGGTGAAGGTGGGCCCGCACCCGCCGGAGACTTCATATGCGGCGGCCCACCAACAACAGGTGGGGGAGTGACGGCTTCAGAGCGATCCGCAGCTGCTGGAATGCTCACAACTGGTGGGGTCTTGGCGCCTGCACAGACACGACGGGGAAGCGCGGAAGGGCGGAGGGCGGCAGGTGAGCAACATAACAGGGGCACTGAGGACGGGGCCTTGCAAGCGGATAGCCCTGCAGGGCCACCCAGCAGGACATGGACAACCCCACTCACGTGAGCTACCAGCAGCAGCCACACCACTACCACTACCACCAACAACAACAACACCAGCAGCAGCAGCAGCAGGAGAAGAGCCCTTGCTGTTTGCCGCATCGTAGGGGCCACCGCCGCCTTCAGTAACCTCCGCACCCTTCAGAGCGCTGATCAGCTCCACCAGGCTGTCCTCCGACCCAAACGACGACAGCCGTCCCAACATGCCGCCGCCTGCGCCGTTGCTGCCAGCTGACGTGGCAGCAGCAGAAGCAGCTGCAGCTGACGCCTTGGCTTTCTGCAGGTGCAGCCGTAGCCCCTCTGCCGCGGGAGCCGCCACAGGGCCCCTTAGCTCCTCCCCTGGAGCAAAGCCCGCAGCCTCTGGAGGAAGGTCTATCACGACGCGACCGCGGCGGTGTCGCACGGCAGAGTCCTCAACGCCAGCAGCGATGGCGCTACTGCCGCCGGCAGCGCTGCCGCTGACGCCGGCGCTCGAGGATTGGACGGATGGTTGCCCTGCAAGCGTCTGCTGGTCGGTCGCGGCATAAGCAGAGGGCGGTGAGGGTGGTGGCAGCGGCGACGACGGCGGTGGTGATTGCGGCGAGGGGGACGAGGACGGCGGGCCCACGGGTTGATCCGGAACGCCAGCAGCTGCCGTCGGGGTTGCTGACGCCGACAAGGAAACGTTCGCCGGGCTGCGGACTGCTAAGCTGGATGACCCGCCGGGACTGCAGCCGCCCCTGTTGCTGCTGTCACTGCGGCTGCTGCTTCGATTGCGACCACTGCCGCTGTTGTTAGCAGCGTCGCTTAAAACAGGCTGGTCAGCGCTGCTGATGACGCCGCTGTTGTTAATTCCGCGACAGCTGCTTTGGCGACGGATGGCGAACACGTGTTTTGGATTCTTGACCTCCGGGGCAGTTAGCAGTTGAGACGAGGAGGCTGAGCACGGGCCCTGCAGGGATGGACACGTGACATCCACAACGGGGCTCTCTGCACCGAAGCCCAGGACTGGCCCCGTCCTTGGCCTGGGGCATGAGTCTCCACGGGGCAAGTAGCGATCCTCAGCGATCTCGGGAGTCAGGGATGCTTCCGCCGGAACCCCCAGGGATGGGTGCTGGTGGTCTTGAGACTCAAGTCGCCTGGAAGACCCGGCATGTGCTTCCCGGTTGCTTTGCGGACGGGTAAATGACGCCATGCCTCTCTGAGACACCTCGTACACGTCAAAGATGGATGTTTGGTGATTCGTCTGCGTCTCGAAGTCAATCTGCTGGCCCGTTGAAAAAGGTGTTGGAGATATAGCACACAGCGGTATTGCCGTGCCGCTGTCCGCAAGGGGGCCGAACGCATTCGTTGGGTGCTCACAGGGCCGCGTGATAGCAATTGCGGTATCGGGTTTGCCGCCGAACTCAGCACAGGAGGACCGCGGATGCGCGCATGGTGCAGCCTGGTTGAAGCCGCCGCTGCCACCATTCTTCCCATCTTGAACGCCGGGGCGGGCGGATGCCACCTCGCGGCCGAGCGGCGAGTGTGACACAGAATGTGCGGGCGACAGGCCGGCAGAAAAAGAAGCAAGGCAAGCTGAGGAGCCCGTCCTGGCTTCCACCGCCATCACCGATGCCGCCGCTGCCAACTCCTGCTGCGCCATGATGGACGGCTGTCTGGGAGGCCCGTCCAGCAAACGCTCGACTTCATCCAAATCGGAAATACGCGGGCGCAAACGAGGTGAGGACGCAGGTTTCGTGGCCGCCGCCTGTAAGGACCGCGGTAGCGACGGTTGCGGGAGCGGGGGCGATAGCGGCAGCTGCTCCTTGGATGGCAGTAGTGACGGCTGAGCCGGAACAGCGGCTGAGGCAGCAGCAACGGAAGGCTCGAGGCGGAAAGCAACCGAGGGTTTCCTTGCATCTTCGGCGTCGGCTTCCTCGGAAGCAAACTCCTCAACAATGCTGCCCTCAGAAACCCTACAAGGAAGGCCGACCCGTGGGTCATCAGCGCCACAGCAGCTGATGTCACCTACAGCCTCGTCTAACGTAGTAGCTGGGGTGGTTAGATCGTGCCAAACAGGCGCTTGCCGCCTCGTTCCAACTCCAGCAGCAGTTGCTACAGGAAGCTGCGACGGTGATGAGAGCGATAACGGAATCGGCGGTGCAGGTGAAGTGGTCGCATCCGTTATGGTGTCTGGCGCGGCGAGGCCGTCAGCTAGCAGGGCATTGGGCTTCCGCTGGGCTCGGCGTTGTTCCCGGGGGCTGGGGCCTCCATCCGCGCCCATGTAGACGTTGTAGGCTTGCATGGCTGCCCGGCTTATCCTGGGTGATACCGCCCCGAACCCTTTCAGCTGCGGCTGCTGTTGTTGCTGTTGTAGTTGTTGTTGTTGTGTGGTCTTGGGTGAGCGAGAGAGCGACGTGCGGCGCGACTGTGGTGACGGCGTCTGCATTGCTGCTGCTGCTGCTGTTGTTGTTGCATCGAACGCTCCAGAAAGTCGGGAGCGGCTGCGTTCAATGGTATTGTTGCTGTCCGGAATGGACGTACGTCTGGGTGGTGCGGCTGCTGCTGCTGCTGCTCCTCGGTAGGGAGAGCATCCAGCGGAGATGTAGGGGCTGCGTGTGTTGGATGCACACGACGACTCTCCAGCCGCGGCACTGCTGCGGGCACCCATACTATTGCGCTCAAGGGAGGTGCGCCCGGGTTCCGTCGCCTCGCCAACTGGACCAGGACCTGAGGGCGCGGACAGCGATGGCTTGTCAGCAGCTTGGCAGCTGCGCTGCCGCCTCCTGTCGCCGTACAAAACGCTCTTTGCGCTGTCGTATATTCCTAATGTCGTACCGCCGCCGGTGCCCTTGTCGAAGCTGCCGTGCTTGCCTTGCGCCGGTGATGACGGCAGCGATAAGCCGTACGGAGATGCTGCTGCTGCCGCCGCCGCTGCAGCGGCGTCAAACTCGAGGGGAGCGGAGCCTTCCCCAGCTTCCTGTTCCGCACCGCTCTGGCATGCATCTCTGCCACTGCCACCACAGCCATCACCACCACCATCACTACATGTTGGAAGGAGAGCTGCATACGCGCCTTGCTGGTGCTTTCGCTTTTGTGCACTTCCGTCGCCCTGCCCCCCATTAGCACCCGCCATTTGCCCCTCTCCTACTGCTGCTGGTGCTGCTGGTACTGCTGTTGCTGCAGCGGCTACTCCTGCACTGCCACCGAAAGCACGCTCGCTGCCGCTGCCTAAGGCGATTTCCTTCCGCGAGCTGCCGTCTGCCGTCCTGACTGCCACTGCTGCTCCCTCCATAGAGCCCCCAGGGCTGCCGCCAGAACCACCGCAGGGTGCTTGGACCCGATCCAAACCCGCTGCACCAGCGGCAGCAGCGGCTGCCCCGCCGGTCATGGACACCATGCCCGCTGCAGACCACCGCCTGCTGCTGCCAGTAAGGTGAGTATTGTAGTTGCTGTTGGGCGTCGTGGGTTTGTTGTTGGTGTTGGTTCCGGCGGCGCCGTTGATGGATTGCGAGCGGCGCATGGAGCCCACTGCAGAGCCCACAGCGCTGCGCATGCGGCTCACCCAACTGCTGCTGGCACCCTGCGGGGAAGTGCGGGATGAAACTTTGGACAGAAGCTAGGGCGGCAGCAATGACCCATGGGTCGCACACGCAGTGCCAAACGCAGTACGCACTGCATCACGCTGGTGCATGGCAAGGGGGGTAAAGTGCAAGGTTGGACAGGAGTTAGGGATTACCTATGGCTTGCCGTACTCCGTACCTGCGTGTCGTACTTGGCTTCGAATGCCTCCAGCGTGACCGCCAGAAACAAGGTAAGCAGGATGTATTTGCCTACCACAATCCAAGCCACGTAGAAGAGTACGGAGGCGTAGTTGGAGGCACGGATGGTGTCGAACATGTTGGCTGGGTAGTTCTCCAAAGTCAGGATCTGCGTGGCAGGAGTTGCCGTACGTTTCCAGCGGTGACAAAAAATGGGTTGCAAGGAGGAGTGAGCTGTCAAATGCTTTTCATGCGCTACCGAGATACCGATGCACCCTGGAAGCAACTCAAGCAAGATGACTTGGGGAGGTAGATAGAACTATCCCGTGAAATAATAATAATAATAGTTACGCCGGGCAAGCCCTGGCGTGGATTAAGGGGGTGAGGCACTGAAGGGGGTCAGCCCTTGGATGCCAGCACCACCATCGACGTGGTCAGAGATCGCATGTGTCCTTATCCCTCCTCTTGGAGGGTTGCTCGTGGGTTGTTTTCTAGCATCCTTCGGCACCTGACTATCTTGTTGAGATGGGTAAGGGCGTGGTGGTGGAGTGCTTCGCAGCACTTTGTGGCTTTGCTTGGGGTGACTCCCAGGTCTATGAGGGTTCTTCGAAGGTCTTTGCGGATGGTGCCTCCTACTCCTAGGCTGATGGCCTCCTGGGTGGTGTATTGCACGGTCCATCCATCCGCCCTGAGTAGTTCGGCAAGGCGCTTGTGCTGGTTGGCCTTCTGATGCTGTTTGTCAGCATGTCTGAGGTCTCCCGCGTAGCCTATCTCAAGGATGTGGATAGGGTAGGGTTTTGGGTTTCGTGTGCGCTTCCGGGAGTTCTGCATCGTGTTATTGCTGGCTGGCAGGCCCTGTACGACTAGGATGTCAGGTCTCATCTTGTCCCACTCTGATGCTTCGGTGTGTGGGGGTCGGAGCCATTCGGGTAGACGTTTCCCCGCGATGTACTCTGGGAGCTCTTCTTCTTTTCCCGCGTCCATGATCATGTAACTCCCTCCGTGCTGCCCCTTGTGTATGGCATCCGCTACGATACGGACAGCTCCGTCATGTCTTGTGCAATACATCCCGTGCATTCGCGGATCTTTGCAGCCACCCAGGATGTGGCCCCCTGAGTCACAGGCCTTACGGCATACGGGGCAGGGGGGTCCGTGCCCACGGTCCTCGGGAGGGGTGTCCGGGTGCCAGCGGGTGGGGTGTCGAGAGCGCATCTTGAACCGGCGCCTGAGCCCTTCATGGAAGAGCTGGCCCCATCTGGCGTCAAATGCACGTTTGACTAGCGTGTGCGCGTGTCGCATGGTAAATGCGGCGTTGCTTGCTTTAGGGCAGAGGTCTTTCCCGTGTTCCTCCCATAGGGCCGTGTACTGAGTATCGTTAGTGTATCCTTTCTGGGTTTTGGCTGGGAGAAGGTTCGTGATGCCCTTGTTGAGGTCTGTCGCGTACAGGTTGCTGGCTCCGTCTTTCACCCACCATATCCTGTCGTATGGAGCGTTATCTGCCGTTTCGGTGACATCGGGGGCCACCTCGCCGCGGGCCGCCGCCGTTGCCGCCTTGTCTGCTGCCTCATTTCCAGTGATTCCTGTATGTGACTTCACCTTCAGGATGGTGGTATACTTGTTTTCGCGTGCTCTGGTCGCTAAGTGTTGAGCAATGCTTTCGAGTAGGGGACGGTGCTTGGAGATGTGTAGTTTACAGGGTTCAGTGATAGATCGCTTGATGAGGTGGATTGAAACCAGTGAGTCAGTTGCGATAATCAGGTGGGGCCGTTCTGAGTGGGCTTCCAGTGCCGCGCGGATTGCAGACAGTTCGGCTCGTTGGATTGTCATTGTCACTCCGTTTCCATTGGGGTTGACGTGTAGGGTGAGTCCTTGCGGATCGTGGACTGAGGCTCCGAGTCGTACGTGTTGCTCTCCATTGGCTGTTTTGCACTCGATCTTGCTCCCATCTGTATAGATGATTGCGTTTGGGTTGTATCTCAGAGGGTGCCGTCGCGTAGAGGGAGTGTCTGCGGGGCTACGAGCCGCGTCCGTATTCGATGCGCTGACCGTGACTGTCGGGCGAGGAGGTACTGGTGGGGAGGCTGCGAACGCCTTGATTCTTTGGAGTACTCGCTGGCTATATGCTCGCTTTCCTGGGTCGCGACGGGGTCTATCGGACAGGTCGTCGGGAATGGATTTGGCGCCGAGTCGTCTGAGTCGCGCCTTCAGGAAGGACCATGCTTCCGCGTTCAGAGAGGTGAGCCCGGCTTCATTGGTAATTAGGATTATCTCCAATTTGCGTGGGCGGGGGCGGTGGTCAGTGCCCGGAACCACTTCGGGGGTGGGGGTCAGGGGTTCACCGCCAGGGTGTGCTATTTGGATCTCTGCGATTCTGCGTGCGTAGGGTGTGTCGTATATTTTCGTGTGCGGGGCAGCTGGTTTGCACGGGGCAATCAGGAAGGTGATGCACCGGGTGTGTGAGGGTGCCCATTCTGCGCTGGCAACTGCCCATGTAGCTGCTCGGAGAGCGGAGGGGGCATCATGGGCTGGGTAGGCAACCGTGCTGCCTGTGAAGGGGGTTGAGAGGGCCCCCAGGTTTGCACCGAATAGTTGGTCTTCCACCTCGTCGCTGAAGTAGGCTTCTGTCAGGGGGCTGCACGTAAGGGGTGTGCCGAAACGTTCTGTGGTGGGGCTATCTGGGTTCACCCGTTGGAGGGCGGTGCCTAAGGCCTCCATGAGCTCGGGCGGGGTGCCCGTTGGCTTTTGTTGGTTACCGAGTTTCCTGTTGCTTTGGTTCCGCAGGAGGAGGCGGGCTACGTTTTCCTCAAAGCTGCGGCCTCCTGAGAGGCTGCGGTGGAGCTCGCTGTGTGTGGACTGCATGTGCAGGTAACGCTTCCGTAGAAGGAGTAGGCGTGCGGCGGGTATTGTGCCCAGGCAGATTCCCCTAGGACTGTATACGTGGGCGGTGTCTTTATTGATTGTTGCCGGCATTGCGGGCCCTCCGGCTGGGGGGGACATGGGTGGCGCCCCGGTTTGGATGTGGTACTTTCCAGTGGGGTGGATATCGCTGTCGGGGTTGCATGGACTGCTGACGAGTGTTGTGTGGGCCCTTGTGAGGCTTCCATGCTCAATCCTTCTGGATATGGGCGGGGCCCAGCGTCCTTGCCTTTGCTCGTTAGTGAGGTTATTGTCGGGCGGTGGTGTTGGGTTTACACCGGTGCCGCGCCTAACTCTTTTGGCGTTGTGGGTGGCGAGTAGGGCCGCCCAGTTATCCTGTATTGCTATGTCGCGCTCCGGCATTTTGCTAGGCTCCCATTCGACGTAGCTTAAGAGCTTACCACCCCCTCTGCCCAGCTCCCGTATTGCAGGCCTGGAGAGCCGTGGATGGTAGCCCATTGCTTCGTACGCGCGTATCGCCAAGGGCGTGATGATGGTAGGTGACCAGTCGACTGTATAGTAGCGTGCGTGTGTCTCGCTTGTAGCATGCGGGGCGGGGTCTAGGGCGGGTGGCCTGCTGGATGTTCGGGTTTTTGCTGCTCTTTTAGCCTCTCGCTCGGTAATCTCTCGCATGGTGGAGGGGCCGTCTATGATGCTGCGCACCCTCTCGGTTCCATTGTATGTACCGTACACGAGTTGGTTGGCGGCTGTCGTGTCTTGGGGGTGGGCGGCGATGTGTGCGGCTATGGGTCCGGATTCGTCTCGCAGCCAATTGAGGGTGTGTTTCTGCATCGTGCGTGACGCCTTGTGCCTTTCCCTTTGCGTGTGGCCATCAGGGGGCGGCTGCGGGTTGGGGTGGTACCCCGGTTGCTGGGCCGCGTTGGTGGCGGCCAGCGGGGCGCGTTCGGCTTCGTCGTGCAGGTAGGACATTACGGGGTTGCCATCGGGGTTTGCGGCGGCATTTTGGTCTAGTTTGGCTTGTAGGGTTGCGCTCATTGGGCGGTGGTGTCCGTTCCTGTTTCCCGGGGTGGAGGTCGGTGGGGAATTGAGCGTTGAGAGAAGGTGTTGCTTCGCGTCGGTGAGGGATTTCTTTAGTTTACGAGATACCCGGGTGAGGTCTGCGTACATGGCTGTTGCGTAGTGCTGTGCTTGTCTGTACGTTGTTCGGTTGCGTGCATCATGTTCTTCTAGGGCGGCCTGGAGCCTGTGGGATTGCGATGTTGTGGTTCGTACTTGTGTGTTGTGCACCCGTGTGTTGGTGTCTATGAAGGCCTGTTGCCGTCGGTGTGCGCCGGGTTTGGTTTTACGCCGTGCGGGAGGCCCGATGGGTCTTGCTGCGGTCATTTCAACCTCGGCAGTAGCAGCGTGTGTTGTTGCGACATGTCTAGTTGCGTTCACATGTCTGGTGGTCGTGTCACTGTGTACAAGGAACGGTGTGAGGGTGGGGACGAGGGTTCGTCTGGGGGCCGGTACAGTGGTGTTGTGAATCAGGCCACTTAGGGTGGGGAGAACTATCCCGTGTCATATTGTCAAACACCCTCCCCACGAGCGTGCTGACCGTTCAACGTAACGTAGCCCACATCACCGGATCATGCCCTCGCCCTCGCCCTCCTTACGTCAAACGTCGTGACCAGCGAATTCAAAAAGGTGTTGAAGTTGGGGTAGGGCTGCCGCGCCAGTGTCAGTCCTCCAAACACGTGCAGCCCCACGATCGCAAACACCACCCAGAACAACCCGATGAGGCTTGCGATGGCAGCGAAGGAGGAGGCAGCTGTCAGCAGCATTCCCGCGATCTTGCGCAACGGACCCACGTAGCGCAGCGCCTTGAGCAGCCGCAGCGCTCGGAAGCCGCGCAGGGCGGCCATGGCACTGTGTTCGGACACACACACGCGCAGGAGGAATCAGGAAAGCTTAAGGAATCAGGAAAGCTAAGGTATGGAAGCTAAGGATGCACCAGTGTTGAAGATGAATCCGTTTGTACACATCCACATGAGACTGGGAATGTCGAAAACCAGACTCATGTACCATGTGCTATAAACCAGCAGTGCGCCCACCCACCCACCCACCCACCCACCTCAGCCTGCCACCGTGCCCAAAACACGACAGAAGGATCTCCAGCCAAGAGGCCGCCACCACCAGACCGTCGAACAGGTTGAAACCGTCCTGGGTACGGGTGGTGGCAGCAGGTGGGAAGGGAGGTTTGTGGTGGCGGTTGAAACGGGATGTGGGAGGTTGGGGTTGAGGGTTGGTGCTCTCTTCTGGTAAGAAGGTATCGGCAAGCAAGCTAAATGATTGGTCTCGTAGGGGGGCCAGACGCTCAGTTGAAGGAGGGTTGAGCTGCAGGGCTTGACCCCTCGAGACCCTACAGGCACCCAAATCCACATTCCTGCAGGCTCATGTTAATTAGGACCCACTGTTTATTCTTCCTCCACTCCACGCTACAAAGCACGGTAGAGGATTCCGGCACTCTCGCATAGCACACTCCGACTGTCATTTTGCAGCTTGGAGAACCCACAGCTTGCCACGCCTACCACCAGCCACTTCCCCGCCAGCGCCCGTCCCCACCCCCCACCCCACCCCATGCCAGCACCGCACCTGCACATAGTCCCAGAGACCCATGCCGTACAACTTTGCGCCCATCTCCAGTGTGAACAGCGCAGTGAACACGTAATTGCTGTTGCGCTGCGGTCAGCCAGCAGGCGCACGATGAGGAGGGACGGGGTCAGAGAGGAACCAAACCAACTGAAACAGCGAGTTAGGGCAGGGCATATAGGGGCTGCAGGGGGTGGAAAGCATGCATGTATGTCATCCTTTATACATCCATTACAAACCCGGTACCCCTCACACCCATACATATGTATACAAATTCAGTACGGCAAGTTTCTACTCTGGGTCAGGTTTTTTTCTAAACACAACCACAGCAGCCATCCCACTCACCAGCGCCGCTGCATACGTATCACTCATTCCATCGTACTCCATTGCCAACAGGACTGTGTTCGCCACCGTGATTCCCAGCATGGTGTGTCCGAAGGCAGGCGAGTGCACCAGCAGCCGCAGCCGAAACATGGTGCGCAGGTGCAGGCGCCGCAGTGGCGGCTCGTCCGCCACAAACTCATCGAACTCCTGAGCAGGTAAGTAAAGCAAGCAGCGCATGAGCCAGGAGCATGGAGGAAACGGGGGGCGGGCGGACAGGCAGCTGAGCGATAGAATAGAGGCAGTGCAGCAGCACGGCAGCAGGCGGCGATACACGTCGTAAGGCTCCAGGCGCCGCGTTCGTACTGTGCCTCATCTACCCGTACACGCAGCGTGTGCATGGGTTAACACGCCACGCCACGATTACACACATGAAGAACAGTGGGACGCAGGTGCAGGCCGCCCCAATCCAAACACAACCAACCCCGACGGCCCTAGCAACAACAACACTAACCAAAGGTCAACACAAACCAATGGTCAACACAAACCAAAGGTCAGTTGCGCGCTACCGGGCACGCACCGAGGGGTCCATCATGAGGGCTGCGGCCGCCAGATTACCTCCCAGCAGTGCCTGAGGGTCCTGCGAGCTCCCCAGCAGCAGCCCCAGACTGCCGCCTCCCGGCCCCATCCCAACACCGCCGACAGCACCACTGCTGCTCATAATCCGGCCGCTGTTAGCGCCAAACCCGGAAGCAGGCGAGTGAAAGGGACCCTGGGGACCGTGACCTGAGGCGCTGCGACGACCTCCCGCCGCTCCGCCGCCGCCAACGTTGCCGTTATTGCCAAAAGAAGACATGGAGGACGGCATGTGCCGGTAGTCGTATGACATTCGGGAGGCGGTTAGGAAACTGGTGTCGTACGGCGGTTGGTTGTTAGCGCCGCCGTCGCTGGTGGTTAGGCTGGGAGGCCGTGGGAAAGATGACATGGAGGAAATGAGGATGGAGCGCTGCTGGGGAGCTGGCGACAGGACGAGTGGGGGAAGCGACGACGACGTCGGCGGGATGGAAGATGACGAGGGGAGGTCTGACGGCGGGGCTGCTGCTGCTGAGGATTGCAATGGTACAACCGCATTGCGACTGTGGCGGTTGTTGCTATTACTGTGTGCATTGTTGCTGTTCTTGCCCCTTTGAGTCCAGAAAAGAAGCCTGTTGTTTTGGAACCTGCCCTTGCCTCGAGCCGAAAATGGAGCTGAGTTAGGCTGCTGAAGGAGAGGTGGGTCCGAGGCTCCGTGGGGCCGCTCCAAAGATTCCGCCAGCGGTCCTCCTGCGGAGGTAGAATTGGCGCCGGCGGAAGCGGTTTTCGCCGCCGCCGCCGCGGCTTGCGATAATGATGACGGCGAATGCGAAGATGGCGACGTTGACGACGACGGAGACTTACCGTCCGCGGCGAACGCAACGGTTAGTGCTGCAGCGACTGCCGTCACTGCCAGCCCCAGAGAATCCCCTCCACCCACTTCCTGCACCTCCACCGCCGCCGCCTCCACCCCCGGCTCCCCCGCCGCTCCTGCTGCTGCTGCTGATGCCGTGAGGACCGGTGCCACCCCCTCAAGTGGCTCACGCGGGCCAAGGTCGCCAACAACTTCTTGACCTTCCTTCAGCTCCTGAGCAGCAAGCGGGCCCTGAAGGACCTCATAGCTGTCAGTGGGTCTGACGCCTGATGCTGGTGGTGATAATGATGCAGCCTGTGAGCCCGTTTCATGGTGGGTGCCGAGATGGGCTGGTATCACCGCGCTTGCAGGCCTTGTAACAGCAGCAGCAGCAGCAGGGGGCGTCTTCGGCGCCGGCGGCGGGGAGATCCTGCCGCCGGCGTTGGGCCCTGCGGCGTCCACGGCGGCGGCAGGTATACGGGTGCCGTACAGCTGCTGGCGCGGGGCAGGCTGGGAACAGTCGTTGATAGGGGTGAGGAAAGCGCTGGCGTTGGCATCGATGTCGGAGGCGGCGGTGTTAGCAGCGGCATGGAGGGCAGCATGTTCGCCGCCGTCAGCGGCAGCGCCGGTGGAGGAGTCTGCCTGGGAAGGGGCCTCTCGAACTTCGCTCCTCAATGCAGTACCGCTATTGCTGCGGCTACCGCCGCTGAGTCTGCCGTACGATTCGTGGCCAACCTTTACTGCCCCTTGCGATACCGCCGCTGCCGCTGGCAGCAGCGCTGACCTCGCCGGCGTGTTTGACGACCCCTCCTGTGACCCTTGAATCGAGCTGAGCTGCTGTGACATGCGGGTCTGAATGAGTGTAGCGAGACTGGAGTTCAGGGTGTTCTCCTGCGGGGTTCGGCAACATGGCAAACATTGTACCTTCATGATGCAAACCCATGTAATGAAGCAAAGAGAATGGAAGAGAGAGCCCAACTGCATCGAAGCTCTGCGGCTCGTTTCCCTCACGCCGCACCACCCTCCATGCATGATCGCATGCCGTACTCACCGCGGACCTCTTGGTGCCGTACTGCGATATCCGCGACTTGGCTCCCATGAACAAGCTGACGACGGTGTTGCGCCGTGTGTTGCGAGCGCGGCTGGCGGTTCTCTGGAAAGCGCATCGCAGTGGAAACGGCGAACGGGTGAAGCGTCAATGTTCAGCGCTGGTAGCTGAGTTGTTGCGAGTTAACAGATGCTGGCATGCAGGATTGTAAGCAACAGGTTGTAACCGATAAGAAAGAGAGGAAGTGTGAAGCATTGGAGCATCGCCCGGGGGATGGGCTACAATGGGGCTGGGTGTGGGATGAGGTGGGCTTGGAGACAGGGAGGAGGAGCAACACCTTCCGCACAGTCGGTGTTCAACACCCAAAACGTCATCCCGCAATGCCCCCCCGCCACTTTCACGTATTGAGTTGCACCTAGCAAGCATCCTACCGCTCGAAACGCTGTTTGAGCTCTTCCGTACTTGATCTTGAGCACCGCAAGAAACAAATTCACCTGCAGACCCGTGGGTCAGACGGGGAATGTGAGATTCAACAAAGGCAACCGGGCGGGAGCTTTCACCGCGCTCTGCCTCACAACTTCAACCCATCTCGGCCTTGTCCTTCCCCATTCCCCACTAGCCAGGACACCTAACAGCCAGAACCGACATTCATGGGGCCCCTTTCATCCAGCTTTTGCCCCTATCCCATCTATCCACCCCCTCCCTCGCTTACCAGCACATAAGCTCCCACCATCACCAGCAACACGTAGTATAGCATGGCTCCAGGGTTGGTGTTGTCGGAGGCACGATACGCTGCGAAGCTCCAGCCGGTTAGGGTGATCGCCTGGAACACCGTCAGCAGAGCGAGAGCCGTGTTGTCGAAGCCGGCAATGAAGACCGCATCATTGCCGTGGGTGACCTGCGGGGAGTTATGATATGGGTTATGTTAGGTGGTGGGGCTAAAAAAGGTTTGGGAGGGCTCGGTGTGGATTTCAACAACGACAACCAAGCAAGTCTTTTTGCGGGATGGAAGCTAAGCTGCTGCAGTACGCTCTAAGTTTCAAGGCCAACTACGGTCTACTTTGACATCAAGCTTGTTGTATAGGACGGCAATTGGCAAACTCCCGTACCACCTCCCTTTCCGGGCCTCATTCCCCCACCATGCGGTGTTGACCGGCACTTACACTGCATGTGTAGTTGGCGGGGCAGCTGCGCCAGTTGCCGCACCCAAGCATGTCGGGGTCTTCGGGACTCTCCTCCGGCGACCCGTCAAGCACCGAGTAGCACTTTTGGTGGTATACGTTGCCGTACAAGCTCGTCCCCGCCACCGCAAACATAAACATGAAGAGCAGCATAAGGCCCACAGCGGAGCCCAGAAGCGGTACGGCCTGGGATTGAGAATTTGTTGGTTCCCGTGTTTAGGAGGTGCGTGGGAGGTAAAACCTTACCATGATTTCCAAGAAGATGGTGTGATTAAGCAACCTTAATACCTTATGCCTAGAATATAGAATTCTGGAAGATGCCGGTTACGTATTTTGCGCTCACTTATTAATGAAACAGCCCTAGCTTGAAAGGCCCCGACACCCATACCCGGTATTCAGCCCTTTCCGCCTTACCCAGTCTTACCTCCATAAAACAGACAACGACCGCTCGCAGAGCTTCAAAGCGAGTCACGGTGCGTAGAGGCCGCAACGCGCGAAGTGCACGTAACGCCCGCACGCCTGCACTGGACATCGACGATGAAGACGAGGGCGAAAGGCCGGGAGGAGGCGGAGAGCCGAGTGGCGCCAGGGAAATGGAAGGTGAAACGACGGAAGACGAAACAACGCTGCGGGCTCCAGTGGGCAGGAAGGCGAGGTAACCAGCAACCACCATGAAACTGTCAAACACGTTCCAGGGTTGGCGAAGGTACGGCAGCAGGCCTCCCAGAGCAATGCAGCGGAGCGCCATTTCAATGGTAAATACCACGTTGAATGCGGCCTCTGTGAAAAGGAGCAGCGGCGCAGCAGCAGCAGCAGCAGCAGCAATGTCAGTATCGGGTATTTGCTGGAACTGGAGGAGGCAGGATTACAAGCATACGGCGCCCATCAGGGCCAAACCCTTTCCTCTCATCGGCTGCCACCCCCTTACCACCCAGCCGTCTCCTGTCCCACCCTCCAGCTCGACCTCTCCCCAACACACATTGGGTTGTTTTTGCTTCCCCCAAGATTGGACGCCCAGATACGACCGCCGCACCTGACCAGAACAGCGCTGCATTCCAGCTCGAGGTGTCGGCTTCCGTGGGTCGATACAGTGCCAGCGTCACCGTGTTCCCAAGAATTACGGCAACCACCATCAGTTCAAAATCCGGGTGCCCACAAATCCGTACGGCAGCTCGCCGTAATGCACTGTACGACATGATTTGTTGCTCGTCACCGTACTCGCCGTACTCGACGCCGCCGCCGCCATCTCCCCTGGAGTTGATGCTGCCTGGCGTGTCAGATCGAGGCCCAGCCACAGAGTATTTGGGCGGGGTAGGTGGCGTTGCTTGGATCCGCTGCGGCGTCGTAAGTGGACTAGGAAGAGGAAGGGGAAGGGCCGCTGGCACATGCGTGGTGGAGCCGGCGGCATGGGTGACATCTGGGAGCTGGGAGCGCCTGCGAGCAGTGGCAACGGGTGCTGCTGCTGCTGTTGTTGTAGCTGCTGCTGCGCCGCCTGCAGAATCTGCTGCTGGGCCCATGGCTACGGTACATGCGCCTGCATTTGCACTCCCCTTTGCGAGATTAGTGGCAGCTCCAGCACCTAACCCGTGCTCCGCTACCAACGCTGCAGCTGCTGCTCCTTGTTTGGCGCGGGGCTCCAGAGGCGCCTCCTTTGCAGCCAGAGCCAGGGCCAGCGCTTGCGTTGCCGGCAGCAACTGCGGATGGCCTGGCTCGGCTTTCGCCTGCTGTTGGAGCAGGCCTTGCTGTCCTTGCTGCTGCTGGTGCTGCACCGAAGGATGTGGCTGTTGGCGCGGGTCTGACTGGGTTCCAGCTGCAGCCGCTGTCTCGCTGACGCTCTCCACAACAGCTGCCTTTGCGGAGGCGCCAGCAGTGCTGGAGCCGCTCGCGACGTTACACCAACCGTGAATATGCTGGGTTTGCTGCCCGGCCGTCGCGGCGAACGAAGGCTCTCGAGCGGCCATCAGTTCAGCAGCGTTGCTAAACGAAGTGCCGCCGGTGCTGGCGTTGACACCCACATACGCTGCGGTACTACCAGTATCAGTGCTGGGATGTGGCAAGCGGCTGTTAACGGAGTCTATAGTAGCACCGGCGTTGCCAGTAGCCGCTAGTGGCGCTGGCAGCCGCGTTTTGAAGTCGTCGCCTGCTCTTGCATACCTGCCCAAAGAGCTGTTAAGGACGGTGGCTGGTAATAAGTCGGTATCAGCGGTGGCGGACGTTCTGGCGCTGGGGTCACACCGCTTGCACAGCAGCTGCGTATGCGGGCTACCGGAACTGCTGGAGGTATCGGGCTCCAAGTCGCCGCTGCTTGCGTCTGCAACCGGCCACCGGGGTCTTTCTGGGTCGCTAGCGGTTGTGGCAATCTCCAGCCTGTGCATTTTGTCAGATCCTGCTGTTTATTATACCCTCAGGTGCACACGCCTGAGGAGGACTGCTTCTTGGAACGTTCTCGCTCATCCATTGCAAGCCAATTGCTGCGCGCTCCAGCGTTTGCTACTAGGCTATGACATGTAAGTCTGTGTGAAATACTTGATTGTGAAACGACTATTGCTGTTCCACGGGAGTAACCGGCCTGGCGCGGGTGACTGCATGCAAGCATGCCAGACATAGACACGACTCTTCAGTTTCTACTCTTATGGCAGGCCACTCTTATAAATGGTTGCGTGATATAAAGCAACCCAAACGTTGATATGCATATCGTGGATGCGCTATGCAGAACGCATGGCTGCAACTACTGTGCACGAGACTTACCGGCCGTAGGGTTAACTTGGTACCGAAAGCGATCCTCCTCAATCCTTAAACCATGTGCCGCTTCGGTCTTTGTATGGTCTGCCGCGCCAGCACTCTCGCTCGTAACTCCCAGGTCAACGTTAAATTTCGTAGCGTGCACCACTGACTTCGTGAATTAATCCATCTCAGTAAAGAGTTTTAATAAGCTGCAGTGGCACGTTCGGTTTGCTGCTAACATTAATTGCAGAGCACTGCTCCCCCGGCCCAGGTAGGGCCGGACCGGGATGAATAGGTCAGGCGCTCATCTAATACTCACTACCACTCGTCGAAGACTACTTAATTCTAGTATCAGGACATTTAAGTACTCAAGGTGTATTATGTGCTGTTCGCTTCCGCCATCTGCTTGCAATCAACGGTTTCGGTGTTAACTAAACACGTAGTACACTTGGATGATTCGCTTAGATCCTTACGTAAAGTCGTTACTACGCGAGTCTTGCAATACTGATTGTTTGTGGCGATGTACGGCATCTTGAGCGGCGCCAATGACTGCGCTGCCATTAGCCCTTAAAATGGTCGGCCTGGCATTCATTCATTTCATTACGTTTAACTTTACAGGCCAACGTACGGTGACCAACTTGTACCTAGACAAGAGGTGGAGTACGTTGCGTACGGGTGTGGTCCAGCGAACTGCATGCTGTTTCTGCTCTACACGTCCCAGTAACCATCGACGGTGAGCAGCCTTCCCAGCAGGCACCCTGACGTGGTACCTTTGGCGTCAACACCTGCAGGGAAAACTGGTTCCGTACGGTTCACCTGCGTGTCCAGAAAGAGTGTGATACTGTGGAGGCCAGGAGGCTCACGGACAGCTGGCGTGCCACTGTCAACCCCATCAGGTTTGTCAATCCCATCAGGTTACAGGACAGAGTTCCGTGGTTGCCGTTCTTCTTGCGGCCCAATGCAATGGCATGCATGATCCGCACACCCGTAACTAACCTCACACACTTCTTGTACCTTTGACTGCGGATAATCATTTGTTGCGTATATAGAAAAGGTCATCCATTCATTCCCACACATGCAGCCAGCCCCTCGCCCGCACAGGGCTTTCAAAAATGGCGTAGGCCCAAGTGCTTTTGCCAGCGCTGGAACTAGTCCAAGATACTCCTGCCACAAGAAGCCTGTTCCTTGCCCCGTATGTCACAATTTAGGTATGGAAAGGCTGAAAGTACAAACAGACATCAGACTCATGCGATACACGGACACATCCAGGCTCACCGCAGGACCCTACCTCCCACACAGTGCATCCACGCAGCAAGCGAGCACAAGGCACAGTCTGTTGTCTCATGTACCGAGTGTCACAGTGTCAAAAGTGAGCCATTCTGGGTACGTCGAAGCACCCGGGCATATAACCGCAACGATATAAACCTACCATAAATACTACAATACGACAATAATGCGTCGCTGTAATGTACGGTTTGACCGTATGACCGTTAATAAGCAGTCATTGCGTCTTCGCCCGAAGACGCTGAACCAACACATTAAAAGATCTGTATTTGGGGAACCTGTGCCCAGAACAGAATCCTTGCTTCACACACCAGCGGTGCCATTGCTGCAGCACCAAAGGACTGCCTGCTTAGATGTTTAATATCCCCGGCAAGGTGAACACCACTGAGCTTGCAAGCACACAACGAATATGGGGAAACATGTTTCAAGGGCGACACACAAGCCGTAGCTTACTGCACACGTCCTAAGCGCAGGGAGGGGGTGTCACGCCGTTCAGTGAATGCACTTCGAAGCCATGAAGCAATGCACAGCGTTACGATAAAGTGCCGCCTTGCATATATCCCCACGCATCTCCTTCACCACCACCTTCACGCTCACATACAGTATATTCCATGCATCCCACTGCACAACCGGCGAAGCATCCATGATCACAATCTGAATACCTGAGGCCGTATACCGCCGCTCCTCCTGCAACAGTTGTCACAACGCGTCACCATACACCGCTATACTTTCGACACGAGGTCTCTGGCCAGCGGTGAATCTCACATGGGATTGCACCACGTAACCCGACCCATGCATGCGTCGTCGTCATTATCATACCGTGGTTGTCGTCAACATCAACCAGCATCCGCAGACACATACACGCACCTGTACCCCTGCAGCTTCCCACCCGCGGCTTCCTAACCCCCCAACCCACTACTAGAGCGCGTAGCACAGCTTCGAGTCCGTGCTCGCCAGCGCAATCCCAAACGCTTTCTGGAGGTTGAGCGGGTACGTGAAGTCAAGCGCAAAGTCCTCGCTGCCCTTGTTCATCTTTCCAAACTGCAGCACCAGGTCCGAACCCTTGCGGTCCGTGTTGTGGTCCCAGTGCACCAGCTGGAAGTTCTTCACTGACGAGGCGCGCACGCGACCCTGGAAATCCAACGTGTACGACTTGGCCGCGGGGTCCCACTCCGGCGGCCGCGTCGCGAGCATGCACAGCTGCCGCTCCAACCGCGGTGCGAGCTCGTGTCGCCGCGCTGCGTCAAGGCAGCTCGCCAGGGAATCCGACCCGTCCGATGCGCATGGAGCCCAGTTGGCCTCCGGCAGGGGCGTCGCAACCAGCATCACGCGCGGCCCGCCCTTGGAGGCAAGCGCAGTCTGCTTGTAGTGCACCGCCAGGTCCTCCCGGGCGAAGGTGTCCGAGGGAGGCGCGATGCGGCCGCCTTGCTGCCCCGCGGCAGCGCGGCTGACCAAGCTGTACTCCGTGCCGACAAAGTTGGCGCGGAGCTTCGCGACCACGTGCTCCGAATCCCTGCCCAGCTCCCCCAGGCTCGTGGATAAGACAAAGTTGGAGGCCTTTGACTTCTTGCGTTTGCGGGCAGCCATCAGGAAGGTGTCACCGCTCTCCAGGTGGAGGTGGTAGACGAGGGTGTTGCCGAGGAAGTTCTTAATGCGGCGCATGGTGCAGCGAACCATGCCGTCCGACGGCGCCGCCCAACGCATGGCCTCCTCGTGCCTCCCCGCGAGCAGTAACCGCTTAATCTCCTCCTCCCACACGCGGACCGAGCTGCTGGTGATGGTGGCTGTGGGCCCGTGCCAGTTGGATACGGCGATGGCGTCGCCATCCTCCGACTCAGAGAGCTCGTCCATGGCTTCTTTATCAAGCGAGGTGATCTCCTGGACTAACGTCGAATTCTTCCCTCGCTTGACGGCCCTGTTGGAGCAGACGTGGGGAGTTGGGATAGGGATGAGGAAGGTTTGGTAAGGTTGGGATAGCCTTTGGTAAGGTAAGGAATTGGATGGAACGCGAAGCATCAGGGCAGGGAGTCGGTGGGTGGCGGTTGGATTGCTGACAGGATAAAAAGGGGAAGTTAGCAAGGGGGAATTGCCGGCTTGGTAAGCAAGCTAATAGGATCCGAATGCACACCGCAGTCCTGGTGAGTCACTTACGAGGAGGTTCGGGCTGGAGCTTTTGCTGGGGCTGAGTAACCGCTCGCCCGTTTGCTGGCAGCCGAAGAGGTTTGGGGACTCGCCCACATTGTAGCTCCTTGCCCGCAATCGCGTGACCGAGGCGAGACACTGCGCGGCGCAAAACGATATTAAGTACATCAGTAAGACGGCTGTACATGTAGCGAGAAGTACATGTAGCGAGAAGTACATATAGGCATCAAGACATGACATGCTGCGGTAGTAGGCTTGCACTGATGCGGCTGAGATACATACGACTTACTCCATGGATGTGGTGGTTTCGTTGCTTGTTGTAATCATGCTCTTCCTGTTGTTGTCCAACGACGCCGCAGCCTTCCCATATGGCGTGACAGCAGTCTCATCCGTCTCTTCTTGGAACGCAAGGTTCCTGAAGACTCCGGTAGCACCCCGTTCTCTCATTGCCGTATCGTCCTCGTCATGCGTCCTCCCCCCTAGGATGGCAGAGGGAGAGAGACAAGCGGGATGCAGTTAGTGCCCAAAAGCAGACGTAGGGAATCTTGAGGAAAGGTGCGCAGCATAAGGACACAATAATAGTAATATGATATTTCATGTACATAGCCGATAAGCTGCACACGCAATATAAGTACGCGAGCGCTGACCAAAGATTGGGTTTTTAGGGGCGTCGCGATGGGACAACAGTACACGCGGCAACAAGCCTTACTTAGGGAGGCGCTAACATGCTTAAGGAGCCTTGCCATCGGTTAGCGTTCAGGAAAAAGCCGAAGCCAGAGGCAGCACACCTGCAGGCAAACAGGCCGCGTATGGGTATGGATAAGTGACGATTGCAATTGTATTATACATGAAAGGTTCTCTTAAGTGCCAAGAACAAAAACGATCCCGAGCGCGAAACGCTGGAATGGCATCAAGGGGCGCTCCCTTCGTTAACTCACCGTGAGCAAGTAAGTATCCGGCTCACAAGCGCTGCTTCAATCAAGATTTAAGTGGGCGCCCAAAAGCAAAGTTCAGTGTCCAGGGACAATGGACACTAGGAAACAGCCAAAGCAACTGACAGCCAGGGCGAACAGTATATTTTGCGGTCTAGAACGCAGCAGGTAACACGAAGCTAAAGTAGATCCGCTGCTGCTTGTAACTGTGGCTACCTTGCGTATGCTTGTAGAGCCTAAATAAAGGCGTGGTTGCGGATTGGTATTGGCGCTGCTGGATTATTTATAATCTAAGGCTTATGTTTGTGTGGTATCGCTTTAGTAGAAGCCTTGCTAAAAGACGGACCTTAGAATCGTACGTGCCGTATCGCCTTGCCTCGGTTGCACCCTCTGCCATCGATACCGATTGCGTGCTTATAACTGGACTGCTCCTTGATGTCCTTGGAGATTGTATCTGTAGTTGGAGTCCTATTACTAGGATTGCAGACCCGGGTTGTTCGGCGTGCAAGTTCCTGCTGTCCCGCGCCGCAATTCCACATTACAGGGCACAAGCACTGCACAAACATGAAGCCTTGCCTCACATGTTGCCGCGGCGCGATGATGCCGGCAGTTGATAGATTTCAACTTCTTCACGAACAGCTGTGGGTGAGCCTTCTGGCTTGGACGGATTTTACGAGCTCTGTACGAAGCTTGTAACACATACATACACACATACGGATATCCCTACAGTTACCCTCCGCCGGTGTATTTTGCTGTGTCGGTGACGAAAGCCACTGATGATAGCACTTTGTACGCGCGATCGGACAAAGGTTACACTTGCCCTCGCGAATCTCGAACCACCAGGTTGCTGTACCTGCCTCATCATCAAAAGCCTCGGCGACTCGGGGCCCTACCTAGACGCACGGCATGCATGTACCGACATCACGATACCGGTAACCAAGGTAGTTCAGCGAACAGAATGCAGACACCATACAATGCTCCGATGCGTCATCAAGCCAAAAATTTCCTGCATATTTCAAATGGCGACACCACCCGCAATCCAGGCCTACAACCGGAAGCCGTGCGCGATACAGTCACATCCCCAACCCCTCCAGCTTCACTGCATTACCGTACACGCTTACACCCCACAACTTCCCTCATCTGTCCTATGCCATCCATCCGAAGCCTCATCCGGAGACCCCTACATCCACACCGGATCGCTCACGCCCCCTTTATGTCGCTTTTCCTTCTGATGCTGCTGCTGCTGTTCCTTTCCTTGCTGCCCTATTGCTGGTGTTTGAGCTGTCCTGTCTTCATTCACTGCTGCCCCTGCCCTTGCTGCCCCCACTCAGTGCTGCCCTCTCGCACCTGCTGCCCCCTGCCCCTGTTGCCCCCCCCCCCCCTGCTGCAGCCTCTCATCCCTGCTGCTGTCCCTGCTCCTGCTGCTTGACTCGCTTCACCTCCTCAATCAGCTGCGGCAGCGCCGTGAAGAGGTCCTGTGCCAGTCCGTAGTCGGCCACTGAGAAGATGGGCGCCTCGGGGTCGGTGTTGATAGCCACGATGGTGCGCGAGTCCTGCACGCATGGCAGCACGCACGAGGGGGCATGGCAGCACGCATGAGGGGCCATGGCAGCACGCATGAGGGGGCATGGCAGCAGCAGGGATGAGAGGCTGCAGTGGAAGGGGGTTGGGAGGGGGCAACAGGAGACACCCACACGCCCCGGCAACCACAGTACTTTCCTACTCGCGGCCAGCTTTTGGCAACAGGAGCACCTTCCAGCACACTCCCGCAGTGTCTTTGACCCCCTGGCCATGTTGTTTCATGCTGTTCCTCCTCTCCTCTCCTCCCTCCCTCCCTCCCTCCCTCTCTCTCTCTCCCTCCGTTCCCAGCTAGTTCACCACTATCACACCACACATTGGAATTCCTTTCCTTCCCCCAGCCCAGCCCACCTTCATCCCCGCCAGGTGCTGTATGGCTCCCGAGATGCCCACTCCGATGTACAGGTCGGGGGCCACCACCTTGCCCGTCTGGCCCACCTGCGGGGGAGGGATGAGGAGATGAGGGGATGAGGGGGCGAAATGATGAGCGGATGAGGGGGCGAAATGATGAGGGGATGAGGGGGCGAAATGATGAGGGGATGAGGGGGTGAAAGGATGAGGGGATGAGGGAATGCGGGTTTAAAAGAGAATCCAACCCATTCCAAAGGAAACAACACAAGTTAGGGCAAGGCGGGAAGGGATGAGGAGGGAAAAGAAGAAAAAGAAGAAAACCAAGTTGGCGAACGATGATGACACCGGTACCCCCCCCCCGCCGCCCCTCCAACGCACCCACCCCTAACCCACCCACCGCCGCCCGCACCTGCAGGTCATTCGCCACGAACCCCGCGTCCACCGCCGCCCGCGACGCCCCCACCGCGCCCCCCAGCAGGTCCGCCAGCTGCTCCAGCAGCCGGAAGTTGTCCGCGGACTTGAGCGCACGACCGCCGCACACCACCACCCTGGTTGGGGGAGGGGGTGAAGGGGTAATTTGAAGGGGGAGGAGGAGGCAGGCAGGGTGGGGAAAAGAAGAATACCCAATGTGTTGAGGTAGGATGCAGGACGGGAGGGGAGGGGATAGGTGACCGAGCCGCGAGGTGGGCAGCATGCGGGGAGGTAAGCGGGAAGGTACGGAAACGCGCTTCGTGAAACCTCTCCCCTTGCTCCCCGGGAGCCCGCGCTCCCTCTCCCTTCCATGGCTCTCCCCTGGCCTTTCCCCTCCGCCCCTCTACGTGCACGCTGCATGCGCGCTCTACCCACTTTGCCGCCCCCAGCTCCGGCCTGCCACTGCTGCGCAGCTCCTGCCCCTCCCACCGCGCCGCCACCAGGCTCCCCAGCGGCGCCAGCAGCGCAGCAGGCAGCGGCTCGATGGGGGCTGGTGAGGAGGTGGAGGAGGCTGAAGAGGAGGAGGAGGCGCTGCTAGCTGGGAAGGCGGTGGGCCGCACCTGGCAGAGGAGGACAGCCGGGGGGTGAACATATGTGATGATGGGGCTGCCAGTGCCAACCAACGGGAGTGTTTAGGCGGGCGGTGAGGGAGGGTAAGACCAGGCAGAAGTGGTGTGGAGAGGGCAGGAGGAGACGGAAGTGGGGCAGTCAAGGATGGTTGTGGAAGGAGGCGGCGGTGGAAGGAGGTAGCCGACAAGGGAGCGCGGGGTGGGGGCAGTCGTCGAGCTACAGACCGAGCTGCAGCCGGTTTCCTCATCCGACCCTCCTAAGCTCTTGAAACGACTCTTGTACGACCCAGTTCAGTTGTGCTTCCAACCAGGGCACCCACCGTGATCACCCGCACGCGGGGGGGCGTCCGGAACTTCACCGTGGCGAAGGCGTTGCCCGCGTAGATGGGTCTGCCGTACATACACACACACACACATCCACACATCCATGTTACCGGTAGCCGTAACCAGTGTACGACAGGCAACGTACGGCATCCAACTCTATATCAGCAGCAGGGCCAGCAGTACGGCATCTTGGCAGCAGCAGCAGCAGCTATACGGAAGAGGAGGCCTCCATGCCTCAGGGCTGCGCTGCGCAAAGAACAACACAAGCAAGTCCTAACCGCGCTGCCGTACCGTACGAACGTGTCCTCATCCAGGATCTTGACCACATCCGTGACGGGCTGCGTGCCCAGCAGCGCCGCGGCTCGCGGCATCACGTTGCGTCCCTGGGCGCTGCTGGCAGCCAGCAGGTGGCTGGGGCGGTGGCTGAGAGGGAGGGGGCGGGGGGAGCAGGCAGGAGAAGGGAAAGGGAAGCAGAGCCGGGTGGGGTGGGGGGGTTGAAGGAGGGGGTAAGGTAGAAGCCAAGGCAAGAGGAGGTTGGGGAAGGAAGAGGGGTAGGACTGGGTTCCGGTCTACTGTGAGGCTTATCTCCTTAGCAGTGTCTGGCTTCACGTCATGCTTCTGCCATGCACCAGCTGACTTCAGTTCTGGGTCTTCGGCGCAATCCGCAGCTCACCTCTCCGCCACAAGGGACAGCAGCTTACTGTGGGTCTCCGCTAGGGGCCGCTGCAAGCTGGGGTCGGAAGCCAACCATACCTACGGCAAGGGGTTGGGATTGGGTTTATGTGATGGAGAGGAATAAAAACATCAAGGAGCGGTCTGCGCTGATGGAACGCGCATCGATGTGGCCATCTCTACCAACCTTGCTCACTCCAGCCACACCGGCTATGGACTCGGCAGTGCGTGCAAGCGAGTCACCGAAGCCGCACACCAGGGCTTCAAGCGGCCCTTGAAGGTGCTGCCTCGCAGCAGCCGCGGCGCTCAAGGTCGCTGGAGCAACACCACCATCGCCATTATGTTCCACGTACAGGAGCGTTGACGCCTGTTTCGTCAGTTATAATCGCCATAAGGGTTAACCCAATGTATAACGTCGGCTCAGAGTAGAAAGATTGAAGGCGTGGCTCCAGCTGTCGCTGACCTGTCGCGCTGAGAGGGACGAACGAAGACACCACCCCGCTTTAGCCCGTTGCCGGCTCACGCGCATTGCTACCGGCAGCATGTTGCAATAGCTTAACAAGTAGGTTAATAGGCGCCAGGTGAGCCTAGGGATGTGCAATGTGACGTAGAGATTTGCTAAAAGGTTGGCACGGACGACACGTCTACTGTATAGCGATAAAATATATCATATAAGCAGTCCCTGGCCGAGGTTCAATTGTTACTACACCACAAGAGAGCTAAGGGGGTGGAGTGTCGTACGTCAGTTGGTCCTAGCGGTGTAGTCTTGCCGCATAACGGGGCGCCCTTCAAGCAGACACTAGTCAGCTTCCTATTTAAGGGCGCAAAGGCGCCTTTAACAGCCGCATCCGCGAGTCTTCCACTTCCGCTAACCAACAGTTAGCTTGGCGTGATTGGTTTCTGGGGTGCGGGCTTGTTTGGCTGCGGTCTTGCACTTAGCTTACAGCTTGGTATCATCCCCAAGTCAACCCGGCAAGGTGGGCTCCACAGGGCTGCTCCCACCTATTGGACTCGACAGCCCAGCACCTTCCTCATTCATCCTAAACTCCCAGCCCGAATGCCACAGCGCACGCCACACTCAGTGGTAACACAACCGCTTAGGGGGGAGGTCACAAGGTTGCAATACCCACACTCTTACCACTAACAACGTCCATTCTCGGATCACAGGAGGCCCAACTCCACACCCTTCCAGGTCCGTACGGTTAGGCGCACACCGGTGCACCGTCCCGATTTCACTACCGTTCCACGACAGTCCTAAGCTGTATCTTTCACGATGCCGCACAAGGCAACCGTCCTACGTTAACTGCCATTCCTTAGCTCTATGTGCGCCCTCTCCCCAGCCATCTCAACACGCCGTCCTTCCCAACGGCATCTACACCCACAGCGCCACGCTATTGCCGCTGCAAACCTGCAAACCTACGCATCATCCTTACACATGCTATAAACCTATAATAACTCGGTCGCTGAAAGCACCCTACTACCATCTGGTCACTATCCGCGGCACTGCCTACCGCATCCACTCAGCAGCATCGCCTGACGGCCCACGAATCACAGCACCCTAGGGGCATCTAAAATCCAAAATCCTAACCCCCAGGCTGCTAGTATGCTTAATCAGCTCCCAACCTATGCCCCCCTAGCTCCCAACCGTTGACGGCTCCGTAACAGCCACCAAGCAGTCCCGCCGACACAGCCGCAGGATGCCGTAGCTCCCAGGCCGCTGACCACCGCCCGCCCCACAGCCGTCACCCACCCACTGGCCCGCATCGTCCTCCCCAACCTCCATATCCTCCACGCTCCCATCATCTCCGTCTCCATCGCCACCGTTGTTGCCCCGATACTCCGTGTGCAAGTCAGCGTCCCGTACGGCAGAAGCTGCAAAGCCAGCTGCCTCAGCCAGTCGTACGAACGCAGCTACCTCGCCGCCATGTCGTACTCGGTACGACACGTACGTCACGGTGTACGGCGCTGATAGCCGTTGTACGGCAGCCATGAGAGGCGGCAGCAGCTCCTGGTGGTACAACACGTCAGCGGCGGTGATGACGTCAGGCTGGATGCCTGCCAGAGGAGACAACGTCGGCGACTGGAACGGCTCCCGTTCCCCTCCACCGTCTGCTCCTGCGTCCGTACCACTCCCGAAGCTGTGCTGTGCAACGTTAACACGTGCGGCAGGGTCATCGCCCCAGCGGTAGGAGCAAATGGTCGTCCGACAGACCCGTGGGTCACAATTCGCCGCCACATTGGCCTCCGTCAGCGGCAACACGTGCGGCAGATCCGTTAGTAAAACCCTCGCGCCCGCAAGCGCCAGCGCAATCCCCACCACGCCGCTGCCCGTTCCAAGATCCACAACAGTCAGCGAGCGCCAGGAGGAGGCTGCGTCATCGCCCTTGCGCTGCCCTGCAAAGGGTGCGACACGCAGAAGGTACTCCGCGAGCAGGAAACCCGCCTGCCACACCACCAGACCCACATTGGCCAGGCTGGATAGCGGCGGCTTAGGGCCCACCAGAGGCGCTGCTCCACGACTTCTCCCGCAGCCGTCTTCCAACCTCAACTGGGACTGCCCCACGCGGGTTACTGTGACGTTAGCAGCTGCTGCGGCTGCGGCGGCAGCATGTAACTGTGGAGTTGTTGGCTGTACTGCTGCTGCTGCTGTAGCTGCCGCTGATGAGGTCGCAAGTGACGTGAGGGCAGCTGCGGCCGGCCCGGGTGCTGTTGCGTTTCCCGGAAGGCTGCAGCAGCTGCTGCTGCTGCTGGCAGGGGCGGTAGTGGAAGCGGAAGCGGAGGCAGCCGAGGCACCGCTGAGTGCGGGCCATTGCAGCAGCCGAAGTGTAACGCCGCCAGGGAGCTGCAACAGCCGCTCGGATGCTCGCTGGTCGGCAGCGGCGCCGGAGACACGGTACGGCACCAGAGCCATGATGGATCCTAGATCCGGAAGCTGATCCGGGTCCAGGGAGGCTAGTCGTTGCGAACTTCGCGGTTCTGAAGGAGCTGATTTGGAAGCTGACGGCGGTGACTAGAACGGTAGGCAGTAGCTGGCGGTAGTGTCGGGTCCGTTCTGGGGCTTATACCGGGTTCTCCACCTAACTAGTTCTCACCAGCCGCACCCACCCAAGGGTCAGACAGGCTCACGAGCCGTTTACGGAAGCATTGCCATGGTGGTAGTGACCTAATTGTACGGCACCAGATCCCATACCAGCCGTACCGTTGCTACTGCTGCGGCCTTCACCGCTGCTACTGATGCTGCCGCCGTCGCCGTTAATGCCGTTAGCCCCTGTCCCCACGCCCTGCCCAGACCGGATCCTACTGCCCTGACCGGTCCTACCCACGCCCAACGGCTTGTAGCCTATATAAGATGAAAGCCGACTCGAACTCGGGCTTGGAATGAGCAATCTAAGATCTTTAAGGCTGTTGCCGTACTGTCTAAGGATTCGCTGGCCGTACACCAGCCCGTGCTCGAGATCCACGAATCGCGGTTCGGGCGTAAGGCCCAACCTGCTCCAAACGGCTCCTGCCCAGGTCTTAGGGTACGACGCGGATGAAGGCGGCGGCGGTGGATTCTGCGGGATGCCGTATTTTCGCTCCCAGAGCAGAAGGCCCCCGGCACACAGCAGGACGCCTAGGATGTCAGCAACGAGGTCCTTGGCGGAGAGAGCGCCGGGCCAGAGCTGCATGGGGCCAGCCCAAGGAGGTCCGAGGGTTCCGGAATATGGGGCATGGTGCTAAGGTGCTGTCGTTGCGGTGGTATTGAGGTGCTGTGTCCAAGAAAGCAAGGAGGCGAACGGGGACATTGTACTTGTGCTGTGGGGGCCTACACGGCGACTTATCACACCCTTGCGCCCTTCACAATGTGCCAGCATGCGGCTGTATGCCCCTCAGTCCGCAGCAGCTTAAGCCGCTAGGAACCCGCAAATGCAAGCAACCACCCATGCTCTCACCCCCAGATAGTCTCCCAGCTCCTTTAGCAAGCCGAGGACGACCCCCACAAGGATGCTGAGGGTGAACCTGCTCCGGTGAGCGCGGTAGTTCCGTACGCAGAGCCAGTAAACACCGATGGTGCATAGGCCCTACAAGGATGTGTGTTTATATGGAGAACAGCATTAGGACATGGCACAGCGAAGGCATGGAGCAAGGCGCTGGAGTAGTTCGGTTTTGCAACGACATCTGTCTCATCAAAAAGCCCATCTGCACTTACGCAAAGAACAAAATGCTCCAGCTTATCAATTCCTAGCCAGTAGTCGCCCGCCCGGGGGCCGTCAGGCCCTGCAGCAGCGGATGCCAGCCTTCCTTCGATTGGGCCCAGTCACTGTCCTGGTATGTGTTACGCATGCATAGATGATATGAACAGATGTGGAAGGACTTTTGATAATTTAAGTTTGCAGCTCGTCTCTTCTCCGATTTCCTTTTTCTCAAACAACGCGGTTTCTGACCGTCACAGATTCACAGCGAAGATGTTAGGAAGATACCACTAGCGTTGTGTATCTATGTAAGCATCGTCGAGGTGCAGCAGTAGGGATCAAAAATAGCTACATGACTGACGCGACTGATGTACGTGATGTACGTGTTGATGTCACCTGACGGGGTGACATGGGCATACCAACCCTTCGTAAGCAAGTGATCCTCCCGGACTGGACGCGCATACCCGACCTGGCACGCAGGGATTACATCGCCTGGCAAATGCAGCTCCCTGACTCGCCTAGTCCGCGCTGTCATGTCTGTTGCCCGCCAGAAGCGCGCCACACCAACAGGGCTGTGTATCGTTACGGTCGCCATGTAGCCTTGCTGCTTAGCTCAAGAGGACTTCATGCAAAAACCCTCGGCCCTCCCTTGCGGACACTGCACGGTACCGGTATACCTAGCAAATGGCAACCAGCCCGCATGCCAGTAGCTTCAGTCAGTCGCAGCGCTGAGCTGTGTCCCATGACAGCGCAAGAGGGGTGGCACACAGAGCCCGGGCATGACCTGATCCATGTGTTTAGAGCGTGCGGGAAGCCATGCCCCGTGCCTAGCGTGCGGAGCAACTTTCTGCCACCGCACAATGCATGCGGGAAGCGTGTAGCGGTTACTGGCCATTGAAACCTCGTTTACGGGGCCCAGGACTGAAGCTCGTAGGAGTACAGGTGGCAACTGCCTGCCAGTCACCTCCTTAGGTCTGCGTATTGCACGCGTCATTCATTGTGAAGCGATGTCCAACCGGTATAGGAGCCCACATAGGCAATCCACCCTACATCCTTCCGTACACCTACAGAAATGTGTCTTCCAATTGTTTCTTTTAACTTCGTCTGGGTTGAATCGGCAGTAACTTGCAATGTAGGGTAGCTAGGTTCGCTTAACGGCCACACTTCAACAAGAGCCGTCTGGATAGCAAGGGCGTTACGCGGCAGGGGGTCAGGTAGTGATAAAATAGATAGGGACAGATGAAAAGGTTGGACGAAGCGAAAGGGCTGTTGAAGGAAGGGCAACGCAAGGCAGCAGGGTGGCCATGGGTACAAAAGTGTCTTGAGATTCTTTGCTGCCAGCTTGAGGTGAAAGACATCTAATTACCGGTAACCTGCCGTTGTAAAAGGAAAGGCTATAACGTATGCGTACTCTGACTCCGGCACTCCACCAAACGGCTGTATGTACGGCGGAGCGACGACGGAATGCGAGCTGTCCGCTGATTCTCGGAACGTGGAGTAACATGAAGTTTGTTGAGCCGTATAATATGCCCATTCTGTTTCACAAGCATTGAGCAAGCTGGCTGTCCAATAAAGCCTATAAGCCGGCGAGTTGCTAAGTCGACAAGGTCGCATGCGCCTACCTGGGGCTGTTTAGTTTACGCATATGGGTTCCGGTTGCTCCACATCGGTGGTAAATGAGTCGGAGCAGTCGGAAACACCTCCGAGGCCGGTTTATCAGGCTTGCGACCTCGTGGGCCTCGCAGTATTTGAAAAGGTTCAGTTAAGCAGCATTGACGGTTTCTTTGAGCAAGCAGCCCAGTTTTCACAAGGGCTTTGCGAACTCAATGATGCTGTAAACGGTCTCCTGCTCGATGTCCGGCTTGCCACTGGCCTTTTGCAAGGAGGCATTAGCACAGCGCTTATACCTTCGCCTAATGTCGACATCTTTAGCGTGGAATTACTGACATCCGATGGGCGTCCACTTGATGTTGCTGAAGCAGCTCGGCTGCGGGGTCGCGATTTGGCTGCCCATGGGAACCTAGCAGGTTAGATGCAGCAATTTATTCTGTTAACGAGCCAATAATTTGGGTATATGAATGTCGATGGTATTTGTGTATGGTCTTGCAACTGACATGCCTGTCAAATGCCGTTCATTTGCCCTTTCACACGGCCGGCCAGCTTGCGACAAGCAGCTGGCAAGATGCGTGGAGGAACTCTCCGACTTCTTTGTCAAGAACGTGGGCAGCAAACCGCCCGCTTTATCTCTCAGCGCGCAAGGAACGCTCGTGCCGCGAAGCTCGGGCGAGAAGCTCCATCCGGCCGTTGAAGCCTTCAACCAAGCCATGCTGGACATGCGAACAGCCCTCGGTTCCGATTACCTGTTAGCCCTCCACCTCCATAAGGTAAGACAGCAGCGCGACCCTTAGTGCCCATCCTCTCCAGCCTTCTGTCTCGTTTGTTTCTCCTCGTCCTCGTTTCCTTCCCTTCCAACTCAAGCCGAGCCGCCCCGCGCCTATTACACCCCTTTCCTCCATTCCCTGACCTGTTCCGGTTTCACACTTTCACCCTCCCATGCTTCCTGCCCTGCTCCTCCTCTTTCATAACCCTCCAGGCCCAGGCCCACGGCGCTCCGTCCTTCCGCGTCCGGCTCCTGAAGCCCACCTCCTCTCCACCCCCCCAGTCTCCCCAGCAGTCTCCACCACCGCCCACCTTCCAATCAGCTCCAGCTGCACTGCCCACCACTACCACCACCTCACAACCCAGACCTCTCCCCATAGCCGGAACGCTCCCCGCTTCCTTCACCAGCACCAGCACCACCACCACCACCACCGCTGCTGCTGCTGCCGCCGGCCCCTCCCCACTGCCCCCGCCTGCTGTCTTCTGGGAGCCGGTGACGTTGCTTGATCAGGCCTCCTGCCCCAACGCCTCCCAGCTCCATGACGCCCTGCATGCATTCCATGATGCAAATGGACGCCTAGCGGCGGCGATGCGGGCAGCAGGTGGGCGGCTGGGGTGGGGTGGGTTGAGGTGGTGTAGGCGGGCCAAGTAATGGGCTTGGAGGGAGGGAAGGGGCTCCGAGGGGTCAGGAATGGGGCCGGTAGCGCATGCCGAAGGGTATAAAATACACCGACGATGAAACTGACGAGCTGTATGACAAGGCTGCATCGTGGGCATGCAGAGGGATTGTTTCCAGAGGGATGGGTGGTGGGTAGCGCAAGCCTGGATGGGGTTGGCGGGATGTTCTGCGGGTGAGAGCTGCGGCTCATCTACGCAGACGTCCACATCGGGATCGCTCGGGAAGCCACATACGCCCTTTTGACTGCTCAAAAGTCCCCATCCCTTTGTTGCTCGATTGATGAGGCCGCCGACTCGATATACCACCCATGTATTTCTCTTGTTCCTCATTTTCCTCAGGTCTCACGGGCTGGGATGCCCTGATGCTGGCATCCCCGCGCTTCGTGCGCCTAGCAGGAGGAGCTACCCCCACCGCCAGCACGGCTCCTACAACCAGCTCCACCGCCGCCACCGCCGCCTCCGCCGCCGTCGCTCTCTCTTCCTCAGCCTCCCCTCACGGCCACAACCGCCACCATCGCCACCACAACCACCACCACAACCACCGCAACCCCACCACCACAACCACCACCTCTGCTGCTGCCGCCGCTGCCGCTGCGCATTCCGCCGCCGCCGCCGCTGCCGCCGTTCCATCCAACAAGCCCACCGCACCCACCCCTTCCTCCTACCCCCACACCACCACCACCACCAGCTCCACGGCGGCGGCGGCTGCGGCTGTACGGTCGCTGCCGTCAGCGACACGTGTGCGGCTGTCGTACGCGGTCGCAGCCCTGAACTCCGCGTTGCACCGTCTTGCCTCCGCCGCCGCCGGTGCTGCGGGTCCTGCCAGCTTCGCTGCGTTGCTGACGCACGTGCTGGGCGAGCTGCGGGAGCGGGTGGCGGGGGCGGCAGGGGAGCGGGCGCTGGTGAGGAAAGGGCGGCAGGAGGGGAGGGAAGGGAAGGGGGCTTAATGGAACAAAGCGGCCGTTTGCTACATGCATGCGACATCCCGTTTCCCCCACCCAAGCCCTGACGGCAGCTCTTCCACCACTAACGCTATCCCATTCTCTGCCCCCCTGCTCACTCCACTCTTGTAATGAACCCCCTTCGTAGGAGAGTTACCGGCCTTCCATACACTTCACACGTGGTGGCACCGTCGCCGCCGTCGGCCCCAACGGTACGGCAACTTCCAACGGTCCCAACGGTCAGCCCCCCCTGCACCCTCTGACTGTCAGCCTCACCCTGGATGCACGCCTGGGGGAGCTGGTCAGGATCGCCCCTGGAGCCGCGGGGCAGGGCGGCCTGGGGCTGGGAACAGCAGCTGCAGCGGCAAGAGGAAGTGGAAGGCAGCAGCAACAGCAGCAGTCGCTGCCCCCCTTCCCCGACTGCCTAAGTCCGCCGGTATGGTTTATGCAGGCTCTGTGGGTTGGCAAGGCACATGTAGTGCATTGCCTCGAGCATGGCCACATTGTAAATTACACATGCAGTGTATGCCTACCGGTATTTGTTCATTACTCTTTAATTCGAGCGCGGGTATCAACTTGTGCACACTCCGTGCCCAATCTCCCGGCCACCTGTCAATCTCCCGCCCTCCCTCTCCTTCCTCTCCCTCCCTCCCTGCCTGCCCCTCCCCTGCCCCCCAGATCCGCCACGCCTGGCTGCTGCTGCAGGAGCTGCTGCGGCTGCACAACGCGACGGTGGGGCAGCTGGGCCCGCTGAGGCAGCTGGCGGAGGACTTCCAGGAGGGCGCACGGTGAGGTGGAATCGTGGGGCGGCCGGTGTGCCCAACGAGCTTCCCTCGCCCTCGCGCTCTCTTGCCTCCCCTGCTCCCCTGCCTCTTAACTTCTAGAGGGTTTCTCACCTCCTACCTTCCACACGCTTTCCCATGTTCCCCCCCCCTGCTCCCCTGCCCCCGCAGGCTGCGTCTGGCCTCTGTGGCGGGTGACGCGGCCGCCAGCCGCCTGCCCCCACACCGGTCGGTGGCGGTGCGAGCCGCGGTGGCTAGGAATCTGGAGGAGCTGGGGGTGAGGGTGGGGGTGGGACAGGAGAGGGGGCTGATGGTGTAGATGAGGAGCGCGAGGGTAGGGGGCTTTAAGGACTTGTATGCTCATTTCACGAGTACGGTAGTGGCGAGAGGCCTTGCTCCCCTGTCTCGCCTTTTACCGCTTGCCGGTTGCATGCTCCTTGTCCTCTCCTTGCGTACGCCTCATCCTCTCCTCTTGTCCCCCCCCCTCCCCGCCCGCCCTCGCTGCCAGGCATGCTGCCAAGGCGCGCTGCGCACCCTGACCGCCACTGCGGGGGTGCTGGCGGGGGAGCTGGCGGAGGCGGCGCAGCTGGCCTCGGTGCAATGCGGTGAGCAGCGCTCCTGCCCGGGGGGAAGCGGAGGGGGGCAAGGAAAGGGGTAGCAGGGCAAATGCGATGGTGAACCTCTCCCTTCCCTTCTAGGAACTAGGAAGGTCGGGCTATCGACGTGCTTCGCGCGCAAGTGACCGGGGTAAAGTAGTTGGGATTCAATGCAACGCGGGATGTATGGATCAAAGTGACGGATCCGTACCAGGGCGCAGCAGGTGCAAGGATGTTGCACCTGCTTGTACGCTGCTTGTTACCCACATCCACATCGTCAGGAGCCCTCACTTCCGCCCCAACCTCACCCTCCAAATAACCCCTTGGCAGCGTTTATGAGCCCGCTCGCCTGGTCGGTAAGCGTAGCGTCATCTCTGGAAGGGCTGACGGCGGCGGCGACGGCGGCGGCGGCAACCGGCTCCTCCTCCGCCTCCGCTGGCGGCGGCTCCTCTTTGCCGTCGCTGTACGACACAATGCACAGCATGCTGGCCGCCTCCGCTGGCGGCGGCGGCAGCTCACCAGGAAGCAGTGCAGCGAATACCTTCTTCGGCAGCGGCAACGGCGGCAACGGCGGCAACAAGGACTGCGACGATGGCGACGGTAATGACAACACGGAGGAGGAGGTTGAGTTGACTCCGTTGCTGCCGCACTATCCGACGGGGACAGGTGACGGCGGCGTCCCATGTACGGCAACGGCCACCTCCGTCGGCTCCCCCGCCACCAGCGGCAGCGGCAGCGACCGCTACCCGGCGCCCAGCTCGCCGCCGGATGTCGTACTGCGACCGGACCAGCAACAGCAGCACCAACGGGCACCGCAGCTGCCGCTGCTGCCGCAGTTTGTACCGGTAACGTCATCGTACTCGCCACAGCCTGCCGGCACAACTCCTCCGCCCCGCCGAATGCTGTCTACCAAGGCCCCGGATACCGGGAAGCCCTCCGGCACCGGCGGCGGAGGAGGAGGAGGCGACGCCACCGCTAAAGGCTCCTCGCGCACCCCACAGCGCTCTTACACCATAGGGGGGGCTTCAACGGGGCGTGAAACCGGGTCTGCGGGATCCTCTGGCGGCGGTTGGATGCCGCTCAACGGCGGCGGCGGCGCCACTGCCCGCGAGGGTAGTAGCGCTGAGTTGGCGCCGTTGACGGCAACGGCGACGCGTGTTAAGGTCCTTAGCGGCGGCGGCGGCGGCGAGGGTCGTACGGATCGGCGGCAAGGGACGGTGGCGAGTGAGCCACGAGCGGGGGAGAGCTTGGCGGAGGAGTACGCCCGAACAGCCCTAGCGCACCTCAATCTGCAGCCAGTGTGGTAATAAGGGGCAATCACCAGGTGGGCATAGCCTGGTTAGGCAACATTAAGCTGCTTGGAGCATTACTTGCTTTCGGGAATGGCATGGGAAGCATTGTGATGCCTAAGACTGCAGGCTTACCGAGCATATGTGGATGCGAGGGATGAAGCCGGGGTGGTATGACAGTTGACTGCATGCAAGGAAGCAAGAACGAGCTTGTATCGTTGTATGTATAGCACCTGGCTTTGTAGCTAACGAGTTAGCTGTGGTGGCGTGCAGCGGCTGTGCAGCAATACTCATATCATTTGGCGGTAAAATTTGGCGGTGTTGGGGACATCGCGCAACGGGGTCTTCGGCACATCGGGTTCCTTGTAGTAATGCAGCATTGCACGAGACAGGAAGTGTGTACTTATACTGACTCAACTCCTTGGGATAGTTGCAGAATGCGAGTTGGTGTACGCTGCACGACCTTGCTGTCCATCCTCGTTTCTGGGGTTTTCCGACAGGTTTTGTGGTTTCGGTTTTTTGGACGACACAGGGCATGCTTGATGACTGTGGCAGGCGGACGCGAGCAGCCCATGTATGTGTGTGACATGTACGGCTCGCGTCAGTAGTGTCATTATTGAATACATGCAATTGCTGTTGTATTGATGTTTCTACATGCAAGGACTGCTCTTTCGTCATGCACACGCAAGGGTATAAAGCATGACGCCCGAAAGTCTCTTACACTTCTGGGCCGACGAAGGCGGGAATGAAACGTATATAGCAATTGTTGAGGGTACTCGTCGTGACTCCTGGCATGGGGGGAAGTCTTCAATACATGTCATGGAAACCGCTTTGTTAGAGTTTGGTTTGTTCTGTTCACCTCCCTCGGTTCTTGCTACTGCATGGCTGGGTTGCGTTTACATGTCTTCATGGAATATACGGGATGGTTAGTGCTTGGGGACACGCGGCTTGGACGTTTCCATCAGCGTCCTTGGCTGGGCTTGAGTGTATGCGGTGTACAAGACGGTGGTAAACGGCAATTTTGTCCCGTGCGTTCATCGCACCCTCGCTGTGCATGAAATGTGGCTTAATTTAGCAATATGGCATGGCCGCCTGCAGAAGGGCCGTGGCCGCTGCAGCCAGGTGTACGTCCTGTGGGTTGGCTGTTCGTGGCATTTTCTGTATCCAGTGTCCGCACGGAAACGTGTAACCGGTAGACGTGCTGGAGAAGGAAGAAAAGACTGCGAGGGTGGCGCCGAGGTGTGGGGGGAGGCAGAGGGATGAGGGGAAGGCAAGCTGCATCCGAACAATAGCGTGCGCCCTGGTACCATGAACTTGCTTAGCGGGACCTCGAGCATATACATTGTACTGTGTGAGGCGGAATGCTATGTAGCCCAAGCTCGACAGGATTGTACGAATGTGCTGTTGTTGGTGGTGGCAGGTAGGAGGTTGCTTGTGTGTTGTTGTTGGTGGCTTGCTGCTCTCGACCTATATGCTGTTCATTAGCGGTTATGGCTTGGATACGATACTGTATACCCGCAATGGCAGAGGACACTTATTGACTTTTGCTGTGTGGGCCCGTGTGGTTTGTCGCGCCAACCCCAGGCCAACGCCTGCCTATCATCATCGTCTAGCCAGAAGCTGGTCGCATGCAATATATGATATGGGCTTGAAGGAGGAAACGAGCTGCGATTGGATCCGAAACCATGCGGCGTCTCGTGGCTTGCTTGTTCTGGTGGTCACAATGGTTTGGCTAGTCCCAAGAGTTATTGTCATTGAGCCTTAAAAGCTAGGGTCATGATTTGTACACGATGTAAGCTGCTAGTTCAGACGGCACCTGTAATAAAATAGCCCTCACCGTCAAAGTGTTCTCGGTCAAGGGGCAGACCTTGCAAGCAGCCGTAGTAGAAGGGAATTGCCGTATTTCCGTACTGTTATCAACTCGCTTTCCTGATCACTAACCCTAGCCTCATGCATACGGTATGCACACTGCTGTGCCTTCATGGGTGCTATGCACACATTCGTTAGCTTACACTGCCTTCACCCAATCACGGCAATCAGCCAGCTAGAACACGTAGTCCTGGTTTTCACACCAGAGTTGGACTTCCTGTCTCTCGAGGTACTGAATCTGTGTTCTATCTGTGGTTTAGATCTGTGGGCCGATGGATGCTGACCGTTGCAGTGCTTGTTACGTCGTTCCTTTCTACGCAGCCCTCATACGGGCTGCCTACAAAAGGACCGTTCTAACCCATGTGCAGGATGGTTGTGCCACAGGTGAAGGTACAAACATGTGCGCATGTTAACTAGCATGTCACTCGCTTTCTTTTACGCATTTATCACTTTCTCCAGCAACCCAAAACTGCATCACACTGAAAGCCGGCGCAGTTACTGTCAAGGCTTAGGGCCATGCGTTGTGGGTTGTCATGTCCGAGTCACGGGCTTGCCAGCTCGGCAAGTGGACCTCGCAGTTCGCTACAATTTCAGAGGGATTTTTATACATACAACTAGGCCACAATTAAACGTGAAACGCCATGACGAGCTCATAGGCCTTGATCAGGTTCCGTTTAGTCGTGTCAATCGTACGGTCCAAATAACAACTGACAGAAATTGCCAGGAACAACTGGGTAAAGAGATTCCCAAACGCTAATCATTATTAAACCAACCCTGATCAAAGGTTTCAAAACAGGATAGGCGTCACCTCTTCTCTTCGGCGGAGGTGACGCAAGACGTACTGGACCTTCCTACCCAGCCATCGTTTGGAGAAAATCCTATTAATATCACTTCTGGCTTCAGAAACAGGATGCAGGTGAGAGCAATCCTTTAGAAACCCCCAAACAAGGTGCCTCACGTTCTAAACCTTGCTGCGTCAGGACCCAACGCCCCATATTTATTATCCCGCGTTGGGGATCTGGACTACATATCGTGAGCGGTGGGAGTTCCGTTGGGGTGTTCAGCCTCATGTTGCTGGAAGTGGAGATCTGCTTTGACTCATCTGTCTTTGTCTCTTTTGTGTGATGCAGCGCTTTGAGCTATTGGGACGCAACGGCGCTGGTGCAAACAGCACCGTGTTCAGATGCAGGGATTTGGCTTCCGGCGCCGTTGTTGCCGTCAAAAGACCGGATGGCACGGCGACATGCCAGCAGGCGAGTCGTTTGTCGTGCTCAAGTACTCTCATGTAGCCCCTGCTATTAGTCCGTTTTAGAATTATGTCTTCTACTTCCCATATGCCGCAGGTCTTGCACGAGGCGGCAGTTATGCGTGCTTGCTCGCATGAGTACATCTTGAAGCTGCTGGAGGCATACCAGGGAAACTCCTCCGGTGCTTTCTACATGGTTCTGGAACATGCGGAACACTCGCTTTCGCGCGAGCTTCTTCTAAACCCGCGTGGTCTACCGTTCGATAAAGTCAAGCTAATAACTTACCAGCTTGCGCAAGCCCTGGAGCACATGCATGGCAAGCAGGCGAGTGTAAGATGACCTGGCTTTAGGCCAAGGCTTATTCCCTTGGTAACCGTTATCCGCAGTGCAGGATTGTACTGTATGCCACCCTTCCGTATATGGCCACAATCTGATTCCAATCCCTGTCCCGCATGGCTTCCCACAGATTACACATTGCGACCTGAAGCCTGCCAACGTCCTCCTCACATCCCAATGCAATGTCAAGCTGTGCGACTTTGGCTCAGCACGCAGCCCCTTCCTGAGCGGCGCCCTCACCGACGGCCGCCTCGCAGCCGCCGGTAGCACGGGCTTACCACCCGATGTCGCTGCCGGCACAGATGTAGCTGCGACGACCACCGCAGCGGCCAGCCGGTGGTACTGCGCGCCTGAAGCGCTCCTGGGCGGCGAGGGCACACCGGAAAGCGACATGTGGGCATTAGGTGAGTAGGCCGCGGCCCGCACATTGGCAGACGTCATCCAAGCCCCAGCCTATATCAGGCCAAACTGACCCACGTCGCATCATAGCTCTCCTACCCAAATCACCGCTCATCATTTTCAGTCTTATTCCTCCGACCCACATGGAATCACGCTCTTTCCACACCACTACCATCTGACCCACATGGCAAGATGGCATGACAAGATACCAGTATGCAATTTCTGACCGTGTCGCACGTCTTTACACGACAGGTTGCATCATGGCGGAGATGGTCACGGGCAGGCCATTGCTGCCCGGCAGCGATGAGGAGTTGAACCAGCTGTGCTGCGTGGTGACCATGCTGGGTCGCCTGTCTGACAGCCAGGAACGGCTGATGCAGCTGCTGCCACCCAAGCAGCGGGCATGTGTGGAGGCAGCACGGGCGCAGGGGCCGCTGCTGGAGAGGTAAGGGACATAGGGCACGGGATTGTCTGAGAGTTGGGACCTGACGCTACAGTCTGCCTTTGGCATGTGATTCCGGTAGTCCACCCATTTGGGTCGGGTTGCCCATAGTATGAGAGCTGACGTGCTGTAACCCCTCCACTTACGACGCCATTTTTACAGGATCCCAAGAGTAGCGGCATGTCCGGAGCTTGCGGAGGTCCTCCACGCTCTTCTCAACCCCGACCCTGCCCGCCGTCCTGCGGCGCGACAGCTACAGGACATGCCGTTCTTCGCTGACGTACGCCATGTACTACACGGCAGCAAAAGCGCAACCGCAGTGACCGCCGCACCTACCCTGACTTACCCACTTCCCATCCTGACTCGGGGCCGCTCGCTCGGATGCGTGGACTGCATCGACGGGCTCCAAATCCAACGCCGGGCATCATCGGGTGTCATCAGCGACGCCATCGCAGCCGCCACTGTGCCTCCTATATTCTCCGATAGCACCAAACCTGTTGCTGCAGCCCTACCGGCAGCCTCAGGTGCCATGCCTGCCTATGAAGCCGTCAGCGCCGTCTGCGGCGGCGCCCTGGCAATCGCGGGCTGCCCGAAGGCCCCTGGCCTGGTATCCGCTTTCGCCACGGCGGCTGGCTGCGTCCCACCCATTGCGACCGCATCGGAGGAAGCCCCTTCGCCTCAGCTGCTGGACGCTCGCCCGCGCGTGTCGGCGCTCACTGCGACCATCCGTGGCCGCCTTCTTAAGGACGACGGCGGCTACACGGACCTCATGCCGGCGGTGCTGCAACTGGTGGCGAGGTGGGAGGAGGCGCTGCAAGGCGAGCGTTTGGGCCCCATTGCCATGGCGGCTCGGCGCGCTCGCTCGGCATCTTTGGGATGCGCGACAGGACCGACGGCCCCCGGCACTGTAGGTCCGCAGGTGCCGAGTGTCAGCGGGTCTTGGGCGAGCGTTGATCCGGGTTGTAGCACTGCTGCCATCGCGGCAAGCATGGCTGCGGAGCACAGAATGGCAGCCATAACTTGCACCACGCCCGGCGGTATTGTGGGCGCCGTCGCAAGAGCCTCGGCCATGGAGTTCACCCCCCCAGTTGCGCCAGCGATGGCAGCAGCCGGACCGGCAACCGGAGCACCATCCACGCCTTGTGATGCATTGACGGGAGCTGTCACCGGCGGCTGCAATACTGAGGGCTCAGAGTCCATTTCTCGCGACGCCTTATCCTGCAACGCCCTGATTACACCTTCAGCACCCAGCGACGCTTCACTTGCTCCTCCAGCATCCACAGCGGTTGCCGTATCCGGACCAAGCCCAGCGTTGCAGTCCGGCCGCAACTTGACCAGCCGCCCGCGCCGGCTGCACAGCCACGAGCTGCACTCCCTGGGCTCCGTTCCGCTCTCTGTCTTCGCCACCTGCTATTCACGCGCTGGCGCAGGCTTCAGCGGCACACAGCCAAAGGCACCAGCCCGTGCCCGTGCTGATGTACGGCAGCACGGCGGCAGCAGCAGTGACGGTGGTGCCCGCCGGGTGCGGGTTTCGAAACATGCAGCCCGTCGGTCGTTTTCAGGCCTTTCAAACCTTGCTTGTGTGGCTGAGTCCGCACCCTTGGAGTGCGCGACGCCGCCCGACGTCAAGCGCAGGCGTGCTCAGAGCTCCGTACCTGTCCATGCTGCCAGCTCAACGGCGTTGGATGGCGTGCCGTGTGGCGGTAACGAGAATGATTGCACCGGCACGGACCAGCGAATGCGGCAGAGCGACAGCGGGGGTGGCTTTGGGTTTGGCTCTCCAATGCAGGATCTGTCGGCGCATGCATGGCAGCCTTTAGCTCCTGTCGGTATCGTAACCATGGGACGAGCTGTCAGCATGCCACAGCCGATTGCAGGCCGGTGCTCAGGCATGCAGGCTGGGTTGGCGGCAAGCGGCGGGAGGGGGCTGGGTATTAGCTTCTCTAGCGAGGTGGTCGGTTCGGAGGCTTCTGATAGCATGTTCTTCAGAGGAGATGTAGTGTAACGCGGCGTATCAAAGGGGAGCGACAAGGAGGTGTACAGTGTGGAAAGCAAAATAGCGTATTGTTTTTTAACACTGGTTATTGGTGGCGGGAGTGACGTGTTCGCGCTTGCAGTGGCATCGGATGCGTTGTTATTCCAGAGATTTTGAACCTGCAGGACCCGTCGGGCCTTGTCACCGGAGCATTTCAACTGCGGGGGCAATAAACCATGACATGTATTCTTCCGACCGGTGTGTATTGACACCCGTCGTGCATTACCGGTATTCATGCAGTAGACTGAGTGCGCAGGTCGGTGGTGTGGATATATATCATAGGCCATACAATGTGTATATGAAGGTCTAAGCTGAGCGGCAATGTCACGGTCTTATGGCCCGTGTATGTATCCGGGGCAAGTCGTAGTCATGTGTGCACCTACAGCCTTTGTACATGTCAACAGTCCTAGCTTTCTGATGCAGCCGGCCGTGGTTGCAGGATGCATAACCTTTCCTGCTGGAATAAGGCACGCCCCGTTTGGCATGGGGCTTGTGGTCGTGGCACACTTGGCCACCGGTGGAGGTCACGACACAGTGAAAAGGTGCGCCAGACATCAGATTGAAGGGGGCCATGTGTGAGGCTCCCCAACACTCGAACTGTGTAAAGTTGCAGCCTCACACCCCGCCTGCTACCGGTATTCATGCCTGGCTATTCATGCCACGGGTGCGCCGCACTTTGGTGTTTCAGTCTAGTCAAGAGGGCCGCAGACACAGGTGGGAGGCTGGTGTGAGTGACCTCTCAAGGGTTTCGGCCAGGCTTTGCTGTTTCAGCATGTGATATCCGGCGGTGCACACCATACCCGTAGAATAACATAGCGCACGGTGTCGGCTCAATGATTCGCTTCCACAGTTAGCAGTGGCCATGCTTTCGGTTTCCGGCATAAGAACGGGGACAGCGAGAAAGGCATTGCAACTTGGCGTCGTTGGAAGTAAAGCCGGGCCGCTAGGTGAGACTTGAGAAGCGTTACTGAGAGTGCGTCCCTTCGTAGTCAGCTGCGCAGCCGGCCATGGAGCACGACGCTCGCGAGAATTAAGAAGAAGTCGTTCGGGAGATGCTCGGAGGATAATACTATTGCACTTTGACAAAAAGTTGCAACATAGGAGTCGTACGACTCCTAGCAAAAGGGGGTTTTTAACATTCTAGACGCGATGGAGGATGAACTGCATGTCTTAATGGAATGTCCTGGCTTATGATGAGATTGGAGCGGAACTGGTGAATGAAGGAGCTGCTTTGTATCAGGGCATGCTTGGTGTCATGAATCAGAGGTTGTTTGCAAGTATCGGTGACAGGATCAGGCATATATTCAACTTTTCCGTTATGCCGCACACGTCGTCTTACAAGCGCGTGGGCTTGCCGTACACGTAGTCTGACTACCATCCCTCATTTTATAGTCTAGTGCGCTATGCACATCTCCGAAAGCCTATAACGGTGTTCCCAATCAAAGACAGCCAACTTTACTAATACTTCCCGAACCTTGGTCGGTATGTGCGACAGATAGTTGCGTTTACGAGCAGGTTCTTAAAGAAAGTTTGCTGTTGACTGCTTTGCTACGTTGTAGTTATAAACGTATGTAGCTATTCCCTCGCATAACAGCTTGGCATTGGAGAGCTTTCCTGGAGTGGCATCGTCAGTCGGACAACTCTTGGACTCGCCACCGACCTTGCCAAGGCAATAGAAAGCTCCTGAAGGCATCGCTAGCACGTTGCCCGGAGTCTACTGCCATACCGTCTGTCGAATTCCCAGGAATGGCGCTAGCAATGCAAGGACCTTCCCGCGAAAGGCCGCTTGAGGAGGTGTTCGCATGTGTGCTTCCAAGTTTGCCATACGCGGACCGCGCCACGCTTCGCAGCGTGTGTACACCCCTTCGCAATTTAACGAACGGCGCGTGCTCACAGTTGACGCTTACAACACCAGCGTTTCATAACTTGGCAACGTTGCAGCTCTTGAAACGCTTTCCGCGCGTCAATTCTGTGGAGTTGATGCTTAGCAATCCGCAGGAGGCAAAGGCGACAACGATGTTCCTCTTGACATCCCAGCCTGACCAGGCCGCACAGCTCGCGCGACTAACGTTAGGCGAGAATCGTATCGCTGCGCAACAGTATCACCAACAGCAATCACAGGGCGGCGGCTATGGTGGTGGCTACGGTCAGCCTGAGTCGCGTTTCCAGCAATATGGCTACAGCAGTGGCGCTAAGACAAGTCCTCAAACTTTCGACTTCACGGAGCCCATACTGGCGTCTGTATGCAGCTGCTTGCGTTTAAAGGCCATAAGCATCGACAAAAACGCGTTGCTTGAGACGGAGGCAGCGGCGCTTGCACGTCTGACCGGCCTCCAGGAGTTGCGTCTGGCCACCAACTCCTCCGCACAGCCCCTGCGGCGCCCGCTGCTGCAGCTCATGCTCAATAGCATGACACGGCTGCGGGTGCTAAAGCTGTCGTACATCCGAGACACCACAGCGGACATGGTCCTCAGCCTGCCGCGCCTGACCCACCTCACCAAGCTCTCCTTCCAGTACGCCAACTGGGGCGAGTCTGGCGCCGGTGAACGCGTCATGGCCGCGCTCGCAAAGCATCAAAAGCAGCTCGCGGATCTGCAGTTGTACGAATGCTGCGTGAACGACGACATGCTGCGTCTCATCATGGGCATTACCTCCCTGCGTCGGCTGCACATTCAAGACGAGGACGCTGCTGAGGAGAGCTGCCCCACGAACAAGGGTGCGTTGTAGTACCTTTCGATTTTCTAAGCCCCATCACAGCACCCTATGCCATGCCCCAACCTATGGCTACTACTACCAGGTCCCCAGGTACTTAGAACCCTTCTATGCGTTCTCGTTCAAACACGCTGCCCCTTTGCAACATTTCCACATCCCTTCACCCCTTCCTCTCCCCTACCTCTCCCCCTTCCTCTCCCCTACCTCTTTCTCCCTACATGTTGCATGCGTGCGCAGTTTACCACGCCTGGCTCACGCAATCCACCCCCCATTTCCTCCCCTTTTCCTTCTACCAGGCTTGGCCCGCATCACCCAGCTGCGGCGACTGGAGCAGCTGGAGCTGTTTGGCGAGGAGCTGCAGTTGGATGGAGAGCTGCTGGGGCGGCTGGCGCAGCTGCCGGCTCTGCGGCACCTGGCCATGGCGGGGCTGGACTCGCTGCAGGCGGATGACGTGGACTCGCCCGCGGCGTTTGAGGCGATGAAGGATTTGGATGCGGATGTGGAGGGGATGGAGCTGTCGAGCAGCATGGGTGGGTGTGGATACGGGTATGGGTGCCGTGTGAGGGTGACATGCTGGAGGGTGGATGGGCGCCGCAGCAGCATTCAGCTGCTTTTGGGTGGTTGCAAGTTGCAACGTTGGATGTTACCCCCCACCCCGGCTGCAGGTGACGAGGAGACTGAGGAGGACAGCTTCAGTGTGTCGGTGGGTGGTGGCGACGAGGCGACGTCTCGACCTCAGCCCTCCCATCCTTCCCCTCATGGCGGCCGCAGCAATGCAGCAGCCCCGCGGGATGGCAGCAGCATGGCGGCCGCGTCGTGCCCCGATTTAGGTCGCGGGCAGCAGTCGCGGCCCTCGCACCAACGACCGCAGGCCAGCGCTGGCGAAGGCAGCGCAGTAGCTGGTGGCGCACTCAAGCCCCAGCTTGAAGGGTGTTCCCATGTGGGTCACCAGCAGCAGCGCTTTGGTCAGCATACACCGGGTTGGAAGGCACCTCGCGCGCTCACACTTACGACGCAACCGGCCCCGACAGCCGCTGCTGCTGGTGGCGCCCCGGTTGCTCCCTCGCCTGCGCCGCTACAGGTCCTTCGGCGCCTGCAAACACTCCGCCTGTACGGACCCAGTAGCCTTTGCATGCTACCTCCGCCGCTGGCACTGCTGCTGCCTCAGCCGCAGCTGCGGCACCTGAAGCTTTCCGCCTGCGCCTCGCATGCAAACCTGCGCGCGTTGTCGCAGCAGTCCGGTCTGCACAAGCTCATCGTGTCTCACACCAGTGTCCCGCAGCTCTACCCGCCTCCCGGCACAGCCGTACCCGCTCTGGAACCATCCTCGGCAGCAGCAGCGGGCCCCGGTGCTGCCGCTGCCACCCTGCCGCCACCGGGCGCCAGCATCCTGGGCTTTCACTCGGAGGTGGTGGTGGGCTTAGCCTCGCTGCATGTGCTGCGGATCAAGGACTTGCCGGGCCTTATGGACTGCCACCTGTGTGACCTGGCGTTGGCGCTGTCCAGGCTGCCGAACCTGACAGAGCTGAAGCTGCGGGCTCTGGGGATGGTTTCGGATGGCGGCGTGGCGGCGCTTGCGAGCGTTACGAAGCTGCGCCGGCTGAAGCTGTACGAGCTAGGTGGGTCGGCCGAGGTGCAGTTGCGTAGTAGGGAGTCATGTGTGTTCTGCTGCTGTGGCTATGATGTGGCTAATGCACTCGGTCTGGTCTAACAGTTAGGTAGGGTTCCGGGTCTGGGTTTGGGATGCAATAACTGTTCGAGGGTGAATTGTAGCGTTGCAGCGGCTCCGCCCCGCTTCCAGCGTTACTGCATGTCCTAACGACCAGTCGATCGCTTTTGCTACATTCTGCGGCTGCCTTGCCAAACTGCGCCTTGTCACCTCGCCATGCTTCAGGCGACGGAGTGACTGAGGCGGGTGTGGCGCACCTGGCCGCCTGCCTGCCGCTACTTGAGGAGCTCAAGGTGAAGGACTGCAGGCGGGTGGGGCCCTCGTTGCGCGGCACCCTCATGGCATTCCGCTCGGCGGCGGCAACCGCAGCAGCGCAGCAGCAGCAGCCGTCACTGCAGCAGCAACAGCAGCCGGCGATACCGATTGTGCGACATGGCCAGAAGGAGTGTGAAGGAGGTCGCAAGCCACCTGCTTGAGAAGGGAGATGCCTATAGCTGCAGCAGTTGAAGCAGGTGTAGTAGGTCTGCGTAGTAGTTTTAGTGGGTCTGTGTGTATTGCTGTTTGCTGTGGGCGACTTGTGCCCTTCTCATGGGGTATTGGCATTGGCATGCTGCGGGCGTGGGTGTTCTAAAAACGTAGGTGTGGGTTAGGAGCATGGTTGCACCGAGCTTCATCCGATGAATAGGCGATAGGCTCCGCGTAGGGATGGCGGTAAGGCCTGATTTTCCCGACGCCTGGCCGCGTTGTGGCGACATTGGGGGATAGCATGCATATACGGGCACACGCTTTTGTGTAGCTGAGAGGGATGGTCGCTGTGCGCTGGGAGTGGAAAACAGGGTAGGTTATTGGGCAAGCCAACGCAACGCATTTAGAGTAAGAAACTAATAATCGATATTTATACTGGTATCCAAAAGCAGTGAACGCACTTGTTTTCCGTTTTCCAACAGTTTGTGGTAATGTGGGGATTTGCAGCAGCTAATTTCCTTCATGCATGGGGGTTGTGGCAGCTTCAGTTCTCAGGGCGCATGTGGGAAGGGCGACGCTGTTACGGGCGGTACGATGTAGGAAGCGATGAAAGCGGACCGCCCCTCATTTGGGGCCTGTACCCCCGACATGCATGCAGCGTAATTGCGCAAAGGAGAGGCCCCTTGCTTTCGACGTGACGTGGGGCCGCCCTCAGTGGCGTAACAGTTAGCCATGTTACAACATGTTTGCGACTGTATTACGGTGGGTAGGAAGGTTCACAAGTTCAAGAATTCATACCGGTATTGTTTTTTCTCTATCGTTTGGCGTTCCTGGAGGCGACTCCCTGGGTGTTGAATCAGCTGGGTGTGTACGTATCGTTTGTTTCGGGATGTGCCTTCCAGACGTTACACGGACTTCACCTTCCCCCTATTGCTTGAGGAGCAATGCTGCTACCATACTGGGACGTTTGCGTGGTATCTCCTTGTTTGAATGCAGTGCGACGTGCCAGGCTTGGGTGTTTCTTTCATAGGGGTTAAGATATGGCTGAGACTTTGCAAAGGACGTCTGGTTGTCCGTCAGTGGTTATGGTATAATATGTGGTGTAACCAAACCTGTTATCGTTACTTGCTTATTGCCTGAGTTCTGATGTCTACATAGCTATTCTTGCTAGCTATGCTTCAATACCCTCTTCACGTAGTATGTTGCTGGACGCTGTTTCGCCTCCGTGCTTCGTAGTCAGTATGAGGACGCTGTAACCGTGATATCTATCCTTGTCATGTTTCAGCGCCCCATTGCGAATTACGGCGAAGGACAGAAAACGTTTGCTGGGGAAAATGATTTTGCCCTGTTTGCGGAATACCGGTAGTGCGGTCAACAGGGTTACCACCTGGGAGAGGCTGGTACAATCCAGCCAGTCAGCAATACCCACGGCAGCGGTCGTCCCTGTTATTGCTCGCGACTGTCGCGATCTTGCCTTCTATGGCCGATACTTTAAGAGGGTATCTGTACATCAGGAGCATTGCCAAACTAACGGGGTTTGCGCACGTCCTCGTGGTTTACATCCTTAGGAGGTATAGGGAGCATCCTCGAGGTTTTCCCCTTCTGGCAGGGAGGTTAAATAGCCGGACTGTAGCCTCTGTTAAGAGGAAGTACGTACGAGCCCTTGTCCCCTGCTTGACGAGGAATGGGTTTCCCGGCAGTTCTTCCCCTTTAGGAAGTAAGGCTTTCTCATATACTTTCAAGGTTTTCTGTTACTTCTCGACGTTGCTTGCTGAATTAACCATATGGCTTTGGCTCGTAAGGCCCAGCAAGGCCCAGCAAGGACATGTATTGCACCCGGATCGTTCTGCCTCCCTCGTCATATCAACTACTGATCTTGTGCTAAAGTTTGCACATGCTTCATCTTTTGACGACTAACGCATTGCTGTGTTCGTTGCACATGGTCGGGACATAGTCATTGTGTTAGGGCCTACTATGGCTTCGTTGGCCATTTTGCCTATGCTATTGCTGTCTTTAGGTCTCGGTTTCTCGCACGCACAAAACGAACAGCTTCTACCTGGATTATCGTGTCCCTCATGGTTGGACGATAGCAGCGGAGCTGGCCAACCAGGAGAGGCTACCCTTTGCTCACTAGACAACCTCAAAGAATGTCAGGCGCCTGACTTGGCTGGCCCCGTCTGGTTGACGGGTTCCCCGCTGAAGCCTATATGGAACCTGGGAGCGGGCGGCGATGGAGTATTAAGCCTTGGGCAAGGTATCTATGCATAGAGCTTGCGTCGGCCAACTTTAAGCCCTTGAGTGGAAAGAGCTGAAGCAGCTGGACTTTCTCCTTCACGTGCAGTCGAGAATCTCACGGCCTTTTGCTTCAGCTTCTCAATGCGGCGCCCTGATGCAGTTCAACTGCAACCGATATCTATTGAGACTCTTCTGGCTCCGCCTATATTTGCAAGCCCTCCTTCGCGCCTGACCTTGCGGAATGTTGGTTTCGATTTGGACTGTGCTCAGCTAAAGGAGTGGCAGGAACTGCTGTGCAGTGTAAGCTTGCCAGGAGCAGCGCAGGTGGGTAAAATACGTATGCGCCAACTGCATGGCGTGTATTTCCTTTACAAACTTGCCTTGTCCTGCCTAACAGGTGCAGGGACCCCTCATCAACATTTCTCGCTGGGAAACCGAATTCGTCCTGTTGGAGAATGTATGGCTATCCTGCGATGACGATCCAAACTTTCAACCCTCATGCTCAATGGCTATCGTCAACAATGTGGAGGACATCCTTAGCGCCTCCGACGCCCTCCTTGAGCCCTCCCTTCCGTTGGTGCTTGCCCTTAACACCCATCGGCTGGAGTTTAACGACTCCAACTGGCCAGCAGATGGCGTCCGCATTACTGCCAACGTATCCCTAAGCGCCACCTGGATTAGAATGGTCACAATCAGCTTCGGTTTGAAGACGGTTCTATTCCAGGTGGATTCAAGGGCCTCCTCCGCAGCTTTCATGTCCTTTCGGGGCTGCATCCTGCTAGACCTCCCGCTCAGCTACCTTCCCCTGGACCACCCCAGACGGCCTTTCGGTGTTTTGTCTACCGGCCTCTGGCCTGTGTACAGGTGCGGGGAGTTCGCGGAACACGCTCGCGTTGACTAGCCTATGCGCCATGCACCGCCTGACACCCTCCCATGTAACTTGATTACTGCAGGGAGCAAGTTGCCATGGGGCTTTACAACTGCACGCTGATCCTGACAAAGGAGGAGTTTATGTTCTGGTCCTTTGTAAGTCTATGGTGGAATACGGCACGGGGTGTTGTTGAGAAATGGGCAGGGTCTCTTGTAGGCTTTCTATAAGCCGCGCCTCGGCAACAGCTTGCCATCGTTGCCAAGTATGTGTCCTTGTCGTGTGGAACCCTTTCCTCCCCAACAGTGGCTGTCAATCCTCATTTCACCAATCCCATCCGTCCGCAACCTGGCTAGCTGGAGCGCTGCGTCTCAAGTGCAGGTAAAAGCGGCTAATGTGACCTGCGGCTGGCGGCAGCAGTTTCTTTCCTGCGAGGGCTCCGATTGCAAGGGTTCCTATTATCACCACACCCATCCTTCCCGATGTCACGCTGTTTACCACCGCACCGCACCTGGGTCGGCATCCCCAAGCGAGAGCCATGGGGCATTCATGTCCGCCAGACGCCGACCCACAACTCTTGACTTCACGCCAACCATGCAGTACCCCCTCCCGTTCTCCCGCCCGGCTCGTCCCCGGTTATTGCTGCAGCTGGAGCCCTCGGGCGAGGACTACATCAAACTCGCCTCCTACTACGGCCGCTACACCATGCTCTCCAACGTAACCTACCAGGTCTCCAACGGGGACTTCACAACGCAGCAACGCAACAACATTCTGCAGATCACGGGAGACGCGCAGGTGCCCCCCACTACCGTATTCCAGGTCCGGGACAGCGCGGACATGCTCAACACCCTGCTCAACGCCACCAGCAGTACGGCAGCACAGTACGGATTGTACGTCATCCTAACCGACAACGTCGCGTTGCCCAACTCAACCGCTTGGCCCAGCGGCGGTGTGCCCATCAGCTACTCCACCACGTTCACGACGTGGCCGTCAACAGTGGCGGCGCTTGACTTCCAGCTGACGCAGGATACGTTTTTGGTGACTGCGCCGGTGGTGGTTAAAAACACGGTGCTGCTGAACCTGCCGATGGGCCCAGCAGCGGAGCAGTACGGAATGCTGGCTTCGGGGCTTTGGTCCTTCAACTTCAGCGCCTGGTAGGGCACCTGGCGTCGGCGTCTTGGGTTGACCTCCGCTCGCGTTTACAATGCAACATGCGGCATGACAATCCACATCAGCTGGAGCTTCAAGGCGCGCGCTCACTGAACAACCTAACACAGCCGTTTGCGTGGGGTGATGTAAAACGTGGACCCTGACCTGCCCTTGCTGGCGTTTTAACATTGTTTGCCCGCCCCTGCACAGGCCTATGTCAGACCCGAGTCGACTTTTAGTCCAGGACGGCTCCATAGTGGTGGCGCAGCAGGAGGTGGGCTTTTACTTTGCGGCTACAGTGGACGCGACCGACAAGGGCGGCACGGACTGGATCATCGCGTACAAGGTGCGTTTCAAGGCGCCTGCGTGATGCCGTGCATCCTCATCGCTTCTCCCATGCATGCATTGCTGCAGAGGGGTATCCGCGCTGACTAGGTTCTGGTGAAGGGGGCCGAGTGCCCTGCAGCCGCGGTGGCATGAGAGGGCTAAGACGCAACCTGCCACAACTGCCGGCCGTACAAAAGAACGTTAGCATCTCCCGTCCATAATCCTCCTGGCTCGTCTGGGCCTTACGAGCCTTGAAGCTTGTACTCGTCATCATCATCACCATCATCCTCATCCTCATCACCACCCCGACTGGGCGCAGGTCCATGGCTACGACCAAGCTAACCGCACTTGGGTGTACTACTCGACCCTCACAACGCAACGCTTCACGGCGACGAACCTCAACATCACCAGCACTGTTCCCGTGTTAACGTTTAACACCATTGCCACGACGCCAGCATCGTCAGGTGAGAGGGGGCGGTCAGGAGGCTAGGGCGCATCACGACAAACATTGAAGGCGCCTAACAGCAGTAAACATCCTCCCTTCTTCATAACGATGTACTTTTTCAACAGCCCGAAGCGCTCAACCCCTTGCGTCCCCACTCATCCATCCATCCGGGATACAGGTGTCACGCTCATTACTGATGCGGATCAGGGCTCCAACGGTGTGGACCGGCAGGAGGTCCTGCTATTCGCTTCCCTAGCCATCGCACTGCCAGCAGCTCTGGCGGCTGCACTGGTTACCTACGTTTGGCTGCGGCGGCGCCGGCTGGGCGGCATATGTCGCAGCAGCTGCAACGCGGCGAGCGGAAAGCAGCAGCACGGGTCCAAAGCGGACGGTGACGGTGCGGCAGCAGCGGATGTGGAGGGGGTGCAGACGGACGCGGAGGAGGGCGGGGGCGGTGCCAATCGGAAGGGAGCTCAAAGACAGGTATGTTTAGTGCTTTCCTGCAGGAGTCCCTTGCCTCCCTAGCATTGACCCTTGCGTTGTTGCGCTTGGAGAACAGCGGCGGGGCGCGGCAGAGACCGCCCTCTGCCAAAACCCTTGCTGCATCGGGCAATGAGGCTGGCCATTGACCTGCCTTCCTGACGTAACAGCCTGCACCTAACCTCCCTGCCGCTGGTTGCCACCGTGTGCTGCTGTGCAGGACATGTCATGCTGCTTGCCGCTGTCACTGCCGCTGCGCAAAGCAAAGTTCGTCAACCCGCTGTTTGAGGGGCCAGGGGGCGCGGGGGCGGACGAGGTGGTGCTCACTGCGGTGTTGGGACCCAGCACCCGCGCATCACCTGTCAGGTCTCGTCAGCTGGCGTCGCCGTCGGGTGCTGCGGGACTGGCTGCAGCAGCAGCAGCAGGAGCCCCCATACCCCTGGCAGGCGCCGGCGGAGAAGGGCAGGCGGAGATTGGTGATGGAGAGGAGTCGGGCAGCGGAACGGAGTGGAGTGAAGACTCGGGTGGTGGCTCGGGCGAGCATGCGGGCAGCATTGCGATCCTAACGGAGTTTGGGGGAGCCTTGACAGCAGGCGGCTCGGAGTTGAGGTTGAGCGGGCGGCTGAGCAGCGGCAGCGGTGCTAGTCGCCGGCAGCTGCCCCGTTCAGCTGCAGCTGCAGCACAGCTTCAGTACAGTCCGGCCATGTGTTCAGGGGCGGCGGAGGTTGGGGAGCTGCGCGTGGGATCTGGATCTGGGCTATCCTTACGGCAGCCGGTGGCAGCAGCAGCAGCAGCTGCTAGCGGCGGTTGGGACCAGCATGCTTCAGCGGCGCGAGGCATGGGCTGTAGCGGCGATTGGTCTCTGCACGGCGAGCCGCACGAGGTGGTTCCGGAAGACCTCATGACGGCAGCAGCGCCGCCCGCTTGCACGCAGCCGGGAGGGAGGGACGGGGGGCTCGCAGGGACGCAGCATGGACAGCAGCAGCAGCAGCAGCTTCACCATGCGGGGGATGGCTCGCAGCAGGGGTTAGGCTCCTTTGGGTGGCAGGAACACCAACAACAACAACAACAACGACATGAGCAACAAGGACAGCTAATGCCGCAGCAGCACTCGGGCGGTCGTGGGCAACAGGCGTCTCAAGCGGAACCCAGTGGTAGCGGCGGCGGCGGCGGCGGAGGCGGCGGCGGCGGCGGAGGAGGAGGAGGCGGCGGCTTCAACCCTCGGCTAGCTGAGATGCAGCGGCTGGAGCAGCTGCGTCGGGACATCGGTGACCGGCACCTGGAGGTGCAGCACAGCCTGGGCTGGGGCGGCTGCGGCGTGGTGTATAAGGGTGAGAGCGGTGGGGAGGGAGTTTCAAGCGGGCCAAGAAGGGGTGGTGGGGACTCGTGTGGCTCGTTGCGGTGTGTGGGCTTGCGTGCTGCTGGCATGGGGCCTATCACCGGTGTAACAGGGGTATCCTGCATGTCGTGACCCTGACATGATACGTGTCAAACGTGTGGGTCCTTGCCATTACCGGTTGGCGTGTCCGGGTAGCTTACAGTGTACTCCGCGCGTGTGTTGCCCCGGTGTGCTGCCCCTGTCTGCGCAGGCACCTGGAAGGGTCTGCAGGTGGCGGTGAAGACGGTGCTGCTGCAGGGCGACAGCAAGCAGAGCCGCCAGTTCCTCACGGAGGCGGCCATCTCGGCCAGGTAGGGGGGCGGGGCGGGTTGGTGGGTGGGTGGGCAGGAAGATGAGACGCATCTAAGCCAGGTGGGGCGGGAAGCTTTGGGTGCGCTACAGCACCAAGGGCAGCGCTGGTCTTCACGCCTGTGTGCGCGCGGCGCTTGCTCCGGGTCCGTTGTGCCGTTTTAAAAGTACCGCTAAAGGCACTGCTAAATCAATTGTTTCCGCTCCCTTCGCTCCCCTTGCTCGCTTCCCATGACCCGCTCCCCTTCCGCTCACTCTCCCTTGTCACACTTCTTCGCACCTTTTCCTCCCCCGCCACCCCCGCCTCCCCCCCCAGCCTGCAGCACGCCAACATCGTGACCACCTACCTGTACGAGCTGCGACCTCTGGATGAGGTTGATCCCGGGATAGGCAGCATGGAGATCCGTGTGACGCACCGCCACCGCCACCACCGGCATCACCACGACGGAAGTGGATTGGGATTGGAAGCGGGAGTAGGAGGCGGCGGTGGTGGCGGCGGGGCAGAGAGGGACTTTGCCTGCTGCTCCACATCCTCGATCTGCTCGGGGGGGTCGGAGGAGCAGCAGGAGGAGGGACGGGGGGTGGGCAGTCCAGGCATGATGAGCTGCTGGAAGCTGTACATCGTGCAGGAGTACTGCGAACTGGTGGGTGGGAGGCGAGGGGGGGGAGTGGATGATATGAAAAGGGAAGCAACTAGGGTCCCAATTCTGGGGGCGGGGGAGGAGGGGAAGGCGAGGGTAGGGGGGGAAGCGGATGGGGGATTGTTGGCTTCTGCTGCGAGCGCATGACCTGTTGGTGCTGTGCCATGTATGCATGCTTGTTAAGAGGACTGTTCGAGAGAAGTAACGTGCTGCGCATGTGCTGTGCTGTGCCTCGCTGCAGGGTACTTTGAAAAGCGCCATAGACCAGGGCTACTTCCAGGGGGCGCAGGGGGGGCTGCCCAACATGGTGGGTGGCTGGCTGGCTGCGGCCAGATGACCTGTTGCGGGTTAAGCAGGAGGGTTGACCAAACTTGACCTGCTCTTTCGTATGCGCTGCTGCTGCAATGCTGTTTGCTTGCCGTGAAATGCCTAAACCGCTACCCAACCCGACCCCCACTCCCTCTCTCCCTCTCACGCCTCGCCTCGCCTCGCCTCACCCCCTCCCTCCCCCGCGCACCAACACCGCCACAGACCTTCCTCCTCTCCATCGCTCTCGACATGGCGTTGGGTCTCAGCCACGTGCACTCCAAGCACGTCGTGCACGGCGACATCACCGTCAGCAATGTGCTGCTGCAGGCGGCGCCCAATCGGCCCCAAGGCTGCATCGCAAAGGTCGCGGACTTTGGCCTCAGTGTTCGCCTTGAAGCGGGGCAGAGCCACCACTCCCACACGTACGGTGGCACGCCGCATTACATGGCGCCGGAACGCACCCGAGGCCACCTGTCCAAGGCTTGCGACATCTACTCGCTAGGGGTGTGCCTTTGGGAGCTGTTCTGCGGGACGCCGCCTTGGCGACGCAACTCGGCAGGCGCGCACAACAGGGGGCGTTACGGAGGAGGGGATGCCAGCAGCGTGGGCAGTGACAGCGGGGGGTTGCACGGAGATTGGGGCGGGCCGGGTGCTGCTGCTGGTGTCACTGGGGGCGGCGGGTCGGATGTGTTTCGCATGCCGAGGAGTTGTCCGCAGGAGTATGCGGCGTTGGTGCTTGGGTGCCTAGCGGCGGAGGCGCAGCGGAGACCGACTGCGGAGGCGGTGGTTGGGACGTTGCAGCGGTTGCAGCGTAGGTATGGGTGAGGTGGGCGGGAGTTGGGATTGGAAGAGGATGGGTGTGGGAGCCGAGGAGCAGCCTGGTGGGTGGGCAGCAGTTGACGTTGCTGAAATGATTGCAGGGAAGGTCAGGAGGTGGATGGGGTACTGCTAAAGGTTAACTCGCAGCGTTGGACGTGTTGCCTGTCGAGTACACATGAAGGAGGGCGTGGTGTTCGTACTGGTGATTGGGTTGCGGGGCACATGGATGGCTGCGTTCAGCGTTCTGAGTGCCGCAAGCACGCCGCTTTGTTTAGCACTTGCTGATTGAGTGGTGGTTGGTGGGGGTGTTGTCTACTGGATTGCGCGGTTTCCGTGTGACGGCGGAAAAGCAGAACAACAAGGATTGACGAGGAGGAGATTTTGCACACACTTGATGGGTCGGAGGTGTTTAGGACGCACATCTTAGACATAAATTGAGGACACACGCAATACACGTTATATAACACATGCTCGAAAATACCTGTCTTGGCGCGAAATACGGGTTCCGGTTTTACCCAAAGAGTGTTAGGTTTAGGAGGCGTTGATCGTCCTCATGTTCATCCATTATGTCTTGTGTTCATACGCCCGGCATTGCTGCTCTGCCCCGCTCTGCTCTGTTCCTCAAAGTATGACTATTTGGGGATAGGGAGAGGTGGGGAGCGCTGCATTGCTTTGTGGGCACGCAGCAAAACGGGCAGCCTTGATGCGAACGTCTTGGCTCAGCAGCCGTTCATGGTGTCCACGACTGGAGGCGTTACATTGGTGCACGTCTCCTCGAGTCCGAGGCTTACAAGCGGACCTTGTCTCCTCACACGGAGGGGCTTTTGTGCTTGGTCGGTGCGGTTTCCTGTTTTCCCTTTTGTTGGTGGCTGCGAGGTCCCTCCCGCGGGAGAGTGAGGTGGCGGGGGTAGCACTGCGGGAGAGGCCGAGCGGTACCGGATCCATTTCTGTGTGTCTTAACTGGCCGCGAAACTGACGCCGCCCTTGGAGTGGCTGTTGGTGTGGCGTGGGGATGCGGTTGCGTGAATGCTGTTGTAACGCGTTGGTCTGTGGCCCGACTGACAGTTAAGTGCAGGTGAGGATGGAGGGGTGAGTAGGTTGGTGGAGAGGGATTACCGATACTAGTTTATCGGGGAATTGTGGCATGGCTGGTGAATTGGTTTGTGGTGGCTTGTTCGAAAGCACTTGAGCAGCGCAACGCACGAACGCAATGCACGTTCTGCAGGGATGGCAACGCATTAGTCGGCACCGTTAGCGCCGTTAGTGTGAGGCGGCGCCCAAGTATGACCCAACAGAAGCGGTCGAGAAGGGGTTTGCTAGCGCCTTTTCAGTATCTTAACCGGTAGGGTACGTTGCTGTGTCTATCAGGGGGTATACTTGCGGGGGGGGAGAGCCGCATCGCGGCTCCTTGGAAGCGAGGGGAGGTGGAGGTTGTTGATGTAAATCTGTAGCCGAGCGGTGAGGGATAGGATTGGTGGGGCATGCGGTTAAAAGCTCGTCTCGAGGTTTGGGCAGTGTTTACATGGTTGCTGTGCTTCTTGAGTGTACGGTATTGAAAGCTGTGGTGCTTGTTTGGGTGCGGAGGCAAAATTGAGTTATGTAGACGCGTAAAGTTCCAGAATTTGTGAGCACTGTCTAGGATTTGCATTGATGTAAGTGTGTGCGAAGACGTGGCATGGCGGTTTTACAGTGACAGCACTGTTTGACTGAGGACTGATGATGGTTGTATGTTCTACATTCGAACATACTGGGTCGTGCAGACTTCACAGGGTCTGCTGGGGATCACATACCCACGGAATGTACTGAACATATCGTATGAGAAAACCCGTTATGCGCTTCCTGACCCTTTCTTGCAATCCCCTGTAAAGCTTGGGTATTGCTGCTGCGTTGGCGGGAGGCCCCGTTAGGCCTGCGTGCCGTACTTAGGACATGTACCCTAAGGTTAATCCCTGTGGCATGGATCGTTCATACCATGGTGAAAACCGCCCATCCCATCAGCACTGGGCACGTAAGCACCATTGGGCCAGATCAGTAGTACGGTGGGGGACCACGTGCGAACCCCTGGTGACGATCTGTTTTGCAGCCCCCACAAACCGACGTTTTGCGGGTTTGGCCGCGGAACTGGGTTGGCGGGCGGCCCCGTTAGGCCTGCGTGCCGTACCTGCACCCCATGCAAGTAAGGTCCTACACGGGTTTGGGTAAGCCAGCACCGCTGTCTTTCGGAAGCACGGGAAGGGGACCCGAGTGTCGTTGCCTCTACCTTGATAGCATGATGCCCGGGCAGCCCGGCTGATGCGGGGAAATTCTGGTTTCGGGGACTTGACAGTTGCCCGTGGCCTTCAAGGATTAGGTTTGCTACTACCGTACCTTCACGATATCATCGCGCAAAAATAAATAATTATTTCGGAAAATGCACGGTTTCGCGCAAAATTAAATAATTGCTGAGAGGGGTGCGCGAAACCTGGGAAACCCCACGGGACCCTTCCCCGCACCCCCAACATGCCCCAGCACCCCGTCAGCTCCGCTGCCCAGCCCCGGGCTGCATGCTAGTATGCCCCATGGAACACATAGCGGTATTTGTATACCTGTTTTGGCGATCTGGGCTTACATGGATGGGTTCTTTCAGTCAAAATGCAGTGGTGGACATGAGCTGCGCGAAGCTGAAAAATAATTCCTGACACCCCTGCGCGAGCTTGAAAAATAATTATTTCTAATGGGGCTGCGCGATGATCACCCGAAGGTACGGTACTTAATCTTTTACGTCGATCAACATATAAGCTTCGTGCTACCGTGCACAACGCATCGGCAAACTATGGCAGTACTGAGCTATTCCCTCAGGGTGTTGCATGGTCAGTCCTTTCCCATTAACATATATCAGTATCTTTTTCGCTTTGCCTCAAGCTGAACAGCTATCAACGTAGCAAGGAAGCAACAGATATAGCGACGTTACTATGCACGTTGGCCTACAGATATCGCTTCACGCTCGCATAACTTATCCTTCAACAAATACGTAGACGACAGGCTATGAGTTCATCAATGACTGTCGGATACGAAATTTACAGCGGTGTTTCCGCTGCCGATAATGGCGAAACAATGCAAGAAAGTGGCCCCGTCCCAACTTCTCTCGCCCTGCCTCCCGAAATCCTACGTTATCACCTGGCCCCGAGACTGTACCGTAGCTCCTTGCGCGCTTTCCGCCTGGCCTCCAGAGCCAGTCGAGTTGACGTGGCAGCGTTCGCCATTACAAGCATTCGGCGCCCGGCTGGCACCCATAACTTGCCGCCGGACCTGGGTTTTCGCTTTCCGCGCCTTGTCCGCCTAGACCTCTCAGGGGACACGCAGCTGGACGGAGGCTTATCCCTGTTTCAGGCACTGCAGTCTGTCAGCGGCCTCACATGGCTAAATTTGTCGGGATGCTGCGGGCTTCGGGCGTCCTTTGTGGCACGGCAGCTTCCGGCGGCCTGTCCCAAGTTGCAGGTCAGCAGGGTGCTGATGCTGATAGGGGCCTAGGCTAGTGGGGAGGGGTTCGGAACAACAACCAAGTGCAGTCGGACCGAGTGACTGCAGTCGGCTGTCAAGTCTTCCCATATGACTGCTATAGCGGCAATCGCCAAAATGCGGCCCTGGGGTGACAGTTGGGCGTGCCACTCGGGCTGGACTTGGTGGACAGACGGACGGACACATCACACATGTGGCGCTGGAACATGCAGTTGGTGGCACGCGGACTAGGCGTGGGTGGTGTTTCGGGGCCGCAGTTTTTTTCTCCCATGACAAACGCTTCCAATTCCTCCCTTCCTAACCCTCGCTTTGGAAAAATTGCTTACCTCCGTTGCCTGCCTCGTCTTCCTCGTCAACCCCCCACACAGCACCTCGCCCTCAGCTGCAGTTGCAGCTCCGGAGCTGACCCCGAGGCGGCGCTGCTCACAGCACTCGCCTCCGCGCCCCTTGCAGCCTCCCTCACGTCCTTGGAGCTTCACTGCACACCCGCTTTCCAACCAGAACTAACCCACATCACATCAGCAACATCAGCGTTTGCGGTACCAGCAGCAGCAGCAGCAGGTGGCGGAGGTGACGAGGGTGGCGGCGGCGGCGGCAGTAGCTGCTGCAATTGGGTACCGGTGTGGCGGTTGCGGTCCCTGCACTTGTACGGCAGTCGTACACTGGATGACGCGGCACTGGCGGGACTCCCGCGTGCCGTACCAGATCTGGCGGAGTTGGTCCTAATCGAGCAACACTCGCGACGCGGTCGGCACATTCGCGGCGGCGGCCTGACAGCGTTGACCGCATTGACCGGGCTGACGGGGCTGACGTTGGGCTGTACGGAACCCGACACGCGGCGGTTGGCGGCGGCGGTTGCGACGCTAACTGGATTACGAGATCTAGACCTGTCACGTTGCGATCCGCAAATCCTCGATGCCTTGGCTCCCTTGTCAAGCCTGCTATGCTGCAGGAGCATCGGCGGGTTCGGTGGTGAAAGCCTCCTGCGGTTGTCCCTGCCAACGGCTTATACGGAACAGCAATTGTCACGTGGCCTGCCGACGGCGCTCGGCGGCGGCGAGGCATCCGGACTCCGTTCCTTACGGTTGCATGCCTCCTCGGCGCTTCCAGATGACCTAGTCCGCGTCATGTCAGGGCTTTCGGGACTGCGAGAGATGAACTTGGCGCATTGCGGCCCGCCGCCGGGGGGAGGCCTGCTGGCGGCGGTGGCGGCGGCGTTGACCGGGCTGACGTCATGCCAGCTCACGCAAGAGTACGGCAGCGGCGAGGAAGGTGGCGGCGACGGCGGCGGCGGTGGCGGTGTCGACGAGGGCTTACGCGAGGCGGACCGAGCTGATGTCAGCAGCGACCGAGGCGTCGTCCGTGGCTGCGGTGGCGGTGATGGCGGCGGCGTCGGCGGAACCCGGATCGTTGCATGGGTCGACGCCGTACCGCTCTGGAGAAACCTACGTCAGCTGCTGCTCACTGACGTGGACGCATTGTACGACAAACATCTGTACGACATGGGCCGTACATTGACTGAATTATCGTACTTTTCCCTCAGCCGCAACACCCGCGTCACCGGCGAGGGCTTTTCCTCATGGCCGAACGGTTGCTGCCAACTGACAACCGTTACCTTGTACGACTGCTGCCGTATCGCCGACGCCGCTGTCATACACTTGGCGACGCTGCCGCGACTGCAACACTTCTCTTTAGAGCACTTACCCGGCATCGGAGCCGACGGTGTACGGCACCTCGCGGCCCACTGTACGGCACTTCGTTCGTTGACGTTGGAGCGTTTGTCTGCCGTACCTGGGGAGGTGTTAGCGAACCTTTTCTGGCGGTTACCGCTGTTGGAGTGTCTATCATTACGGATGTGTGATGTGACGAACCAGACGTTGGAAGCGGCGCTAGGAGCGCACCCCCGGAACCCCCCGCAGCAGCAACACCAACACCAACAGCAGCAACACCAACAGCAGCAGCAACCCCAGTCGCAGCAACAGCGGCAGCAAGGGGAACAGGAGCATCAGCAAGGGGAACAGCAGACCCCCGCAACACGCCCACAGACCCCCGCGGCGCCCCCGCTGTGTTGGTTGGAGCTGACCGGCTGTCAGCTGCTGAGCACCGCCGGGCTGCGGGCGCTGCGGGGAGCAGCCCCCGGGCTGACGTACCTCAACCTGAGCTACTGCGTCTCCGTGGGGGAGGGCGTGGTGGAGTTGCTGCTGCTGGGGGGTGGTGGTGGGGGGGCAGGAGGGGGTACGGCAGGAGGGGGTACGGCAGGAGGGGGTACGACAGGAGGGGGTACGGCAGGAGGGGGTACGGTAGGAGGGGGTACGACAGGAGGAGGAAACGTAGCAGCAACAGAAGCAGGAGCCGTGGCTACTGCTGCTGCGGGAGGGGTGGAGGCATTAAATGAAGGGTTAGACCAACTTCGGCTGCATGAGATTGCTCCAGAGGAGCAGCTGCGGCTATCAGTGCAAAGCGAGCCGCAACAACACCAACAACAAGAGCAACAACAACAGCTGCTGCTGCATGCGGGACAGCTGCAACAACAACACCAACTTGGTCCTGAGCTGCAGCCGCAGCTGAAGTCGCATCCCCCCCAGCGGCGGCATGCGGCCAATGCTGCAGTTGCTGCTACCACCCACAGCCCCAGCAGCCCCAGCAGCAGCCCCAGCAGCAGCAGCAGGTGGCTGCTTCCCTCGCTGGTCCATGTGGACTTGCGGGGCTGTCCGGTGGGGGAGAGGGGGCTGTCACGGCTGAGGGCTGCGGGGGTTGCTGTCAACCTGGCTGCGGGCAGCTGGCGATGATAATTATGATGATGATGATGAGGAGGAGGAGGCGGGCCACAAAGCCACTCACACATGACTTGAACACAGCTGACTGTAACTGTAACTGATGTGGGGTTGTAGGCGTGATTGACGTTGCGTAGCGAGGCAGCGGGGAGATGGCAAAAGGATACACCGACAATGGATGCCGCACGACGGGGAGGCCTTGTGTTGCTTCACATGGGCCCTGAATCGACCGGATTTGAGATCTGTGCGGTAGTGATAAAAAGAGGGCTGTCCCCTTTGCCTTTGGAGTGAACTTGTTGGAAGCGACTCTGAGCGGGCTTGCGATAGAAGTGGATTTGGATTGAGCAAAATTACATGACCGTAGTTGTACGACAGCCGCCGTACGACAGGTCTGTCCAGCTCATATGCAGAAAGGCTGGTGGCCAGCTTTGTCATCACGATACCCAACCTTGTCAATCCTGGGTCAAGCAATTCAAGACTTTGCAGGTGTTTGTCTTCAAACATATCTCTTCTCTTTTGTCTCTTCTCTGCACACCTCCCACGCAGGTCGTGGCACCCTTACGCTTTCCCTCCGCGCTACAAAACCGCCGCCAACTGCAACTTCCTGACAACCGCTGCCGTACCCTGGTATTCGTACCAAGTGCATGAACAACGGCTTTCGGAAGCAGCAACCGTGGTGTCAACTTCACAGCATTAGTCAACCCCTCCTCCAGTCATGAGTGTGCATGCAAAATCGCCGTCACCACTGCCCAACCGCAGATTGGTAGCATACAATGCCACCAAATCTTCACCGCGGGTTGTCAACGTGGTAACGACGACGAGCCAACCCGTGCCATGCAGCTTCCGTGACACGAGCCTGCTGCCCCTCCCGCTTGCTTGGGCAGGGCTAGGATGAAGATCGTCGTACCCAACAAGCTGAGAAGTGCGGGCCGCGCCGTTTAACTTATAGCCAGTTTAGGCAATGGGGATGGACACACTGCATTGGAAAGAAGAGGAGGGAGACGAAGGGGCCTCAGTAACGGAAATGCCCCGCATCACCATGTGAAGGCCCCGCTGCAGCAGCCCCTCCCATCCAGGCACTGCCCCGGGTCCCTCATACCCCTCGAAATGCCCGCCCCCACAGCTGCCAATAGCAACTCATCCTTCCCACCCCTCCCTGTCCTGCCCTGCCCTCACCCGTTGGTGGCGAAGTTGATATGGGCGGGGTCATCCAGGTGGTCAGCCAGGTTGTCCAGCGGGCCCTTGCCTGGGAGAGCAACAGGACAAGCGTTGTTAGAGCTTGGCTGCCTGTACTTCCTGCTCCTTAACCAGCAGCAAAGGGTTTCCCAACCAACGACAGAGGACCAACAACCACATGGATGCTGACATGCATGCATTCGGGGGGCAGTGCGTATACCCGGAGTGCCTAGCGGGCAGCAGCCCAACCAACGACAGAGGTCTCCCAGCCACATGCGTGCCAACATGCATGCATTCATTCGGGGGGCAGTGCCGTATATCCTGGATACCCCGGCTACCCGGAGTGCCCAGCGGGGACTCACCGGTGGCGGCGTACTGGGCAGCGAAGCCCAGGCAGGCGATCTGAGGGAAGAGAGGGAGGAAGGAGGGAAGAGGGGATCCGAGAGGGGAGGGAAGATGAGGCGGCAGCAACATCCATACACAACAGAAAGGTAACAGCCGACAAGATACAACATATACATTGTCGGAGATACACATTTCACATTCACACGCGCTCTCCTCAAGCCCCTCCTCACATGCAAAACAACCAGGCATGGCTGGATTCGCTTGTCGGTTCCAGATTGCTTTCTGGACCCCTCCCCCCATGCAGCTCGTCAGTTGCCTCCTTGCTATCCCCTCCCTCTCCCGGGCGACCCACCATGGCCAGGCGGCCGTTCTTGATCTCCTTCTGCTTGTACTCCTTGTACTTCTCAGCGTCGCCGCGGGACAGGCCGATGGGGTCGAAGAAGCGGCCTGCGGGGCGCGGCAGTCATGCGGGGTTGGTGTGTTGTTGGTTGGGGGGGAGTTAAGAGAGTGGGAGCATGCATGCACGTAGCATAGACAACTCATGCAGGACATACAGCCCTTCTGGCCCCTTCCTTCCCTCCCTGCCTCCCTATATAGGCGGTTCGCTCCCTCCTTTCCCTCCCTCCTCCTCACCGCCGGGGTAGCCGTTCTCCACGCCCTTGAACTCCTCCGTGAAGCCCAGGAAGGAGCCGTCGGCCTGGCTGCCGGGGGCCTTGAAGTCGTACCAGCGCTTGGTCTGGAGGGGAGGGGAGAGAGGAAGTAGACAGGCAGGCGGGAGGGAGGTGAAAGAAGATCAAAGGCAACATCAAGGTGTGGAGGTGGGAGGCATGGGCGGTGCGTTTGGGGTTGATCCCTTCGCATACATCGTGCAGACGTGTCAACAGGGAGCAGACGTGTCAACATGGCAGTGTGATGGGCTGCGCGGTGCTGTGAGTGCTTACCTCGGCCCAGCCCATCAGGTAGAGCTGGGTGACCAGCAGGGTGGGGAAGTCGATGCTGTTCTTCTCCACAACCACCTTGCCGGCGTCGTACCACTCGGGGAAGCCCAGGCCCATCTTGGCGCCGATGCTGGTCAGCACGATGCCGGCAGCGCCGAGCATGGCGAAGCGGCCGTGCACCAGCTCAGCCTGCACGTACCTGCAGGAAATAGGTAAAAAGGCGATTTGTGTAAGAGTATGCGAAGGGCGACAGCCTAGAAGGTTGCTAGTCCCAAGCGCGAAGGACACTGCATCTTGCAAGTGAAGTAAGGAACCGAGAGGCCTTTAATAGTGATCCCGCTGCTATATATGTTCTATGCATTAACGGCTTTTAGCATAAGTTCACTTGATCTGCTTCAGCGCTGAGTTCTTCCCAATGTCCCTAGCCGTCCCTTCATCGGGCTCACCACTTGAGCGTCTCCGGCTCCTGGCCAAGGAAGAGAGGGTCGAAGCCGTAGTCGCCAGCCAGGGTGCCGTCCAGATGGGCAGGAGCGGGGTTGCCGGGGAACCACACCGGGCGAGCGGCCGCATGGGCGCGGACCGAACGAGGGGTCTGAGCGGACCGGCGCACGCCGAAGGCGGCCCGACGCTGAGCAAGCATAGATGCGGCCATTTTAATGCTTTGTGGTTTGTGCGGGGCGTCAAGCAAAAAGTCTCTAAAGCTTGCGCACAGTCGACTTCGGCCTGCGCTCCCTTTCTTAAGTGGGAGATCTCATGGTCGTACACATGCAATGCGATCCAGCGAACTGCAGTGCAAGGCTCAACTATGTTGAATAGTAAATGCTTGCTTATGAAAGGACAGCTAGTTAGTCGTGGCCAATCATTTAGTTGTACTAAGCAAGCTTGGAACAGCAGACTGCCTCGCTGTTTGGAACGCCATATGAGAGACATATACCTGCGGTCATATGTCACTTTCATGTTATAGGCTGCTGCTATCTGCTGTAGAGATGCTTGACCGTCCACGCTGAGTCATCCCCGGGCATGTTTCCTTGCGTCGTTTCCGCCAGATATACAAAATGAAAAACACCTTGTCCAATAAATTGTTTTACTGGACGAATTTTACTGTTAGCCAACCTGCAAAAGGGGGTGCCATAGACAGACTCCTTGGGTAATTGGATTTAGTGCCCGGTACACTGTTCATAGGGCATATCTAGAACAGCTTATTTTAAAACAAGCGAGCTCCTCCCTTGAATACACAGGTGCCTGATGCGTGCCATGGGTCCGCTCAACACCACCTGTTCGTCCGCGCAACTCATCATCCACTTTTGCCCATGTGCCCATCTTATGCATATTTTCTTAAACGGGTAACAGTCAGCGATTTCACCGAAGACTCAAATAGAATGGCAGGACGGCCCCCGACAGACGAGGAAGCTCTCCTCCCAAACAACAACGACGAGCAATTGCAAAGGTTAACACCCTCCTCCCTGTGCTTCACCTTTCATCTCGTTTTTCCTCCCTTGCACCATTTTCGTTTAGCTTGCACTCCAGCCTACAGCCTCGTGACAACACGCCAAGCCACACCTAATACCCTAATGCTCACCCCCCACATACACTCCCCTCTCTCACCCTCGCACACCCACACCTGCGGCCAGTTAGTTTGACCTAACCCACTCCTCGGCTCTCCCCTTCCTCCACCACCTCCCCTCCCCCTCACTTTCCCCTTCCCCCCGCCAGCGCCGCCGCCGCCGCCAGCCCCTGCCGTACCCAGCTCGCCGCCACCGCCACCCGCTGCTCCGCCGTGGGTTGCCGGTACAGGTAGGCGCCCCGCCGCAACATCGCAGCGAGCGGACCCTCCAACGTCACCGCAGCAGCACCCTTCACGCCCTCCTCCTCCTTGCTGCCCGTACCTTCCCCGCCTCCTGTCGTACCCTCTGCACTGCCTGCCGTACCGGTAACCCCACCCGCTGTTCCGGCACCGGTGGAGTTGGAGTTGGTGTTGATGCGCACCCCGGCTGCGCTGAGCAGCGGCGCCAGCAGGGGCGAGGCGGTGAGGGAGGCGGCCAGGGGCTGCGGCAGCGGCAGCGGCAGGGCGAGGGCGGCGTTGAGCTGGCCCAGCGACATCATACTGCCCAGGTGCTGGTACCTGTGAGGGGGGGGGGGGAGGGGGGGAGGGGTCAGAGACCATACCAAACCATAGGAAGCCACAAGTTGGGGGGGAGGAATGAGTGATAAAGCGGGCCTGAAGCGGGGAAAGATAAAATTATAAGTGCAGCAACGAGGAGGGGAGGGGAGGGGAGGGGGGTTAGAGATATACCGGTACCCCAGGTGCACTGGTACCTGCGAGGGGGGAGATGAGCAATAAGGAAACAGTAATAAGGAACCTGACGAGGCAGCTAACGAGCTGTATGGCATGGGGTGCAAACATGGTAGCCGAGAAGAGAGGAGGGGTTGGAGGGGGGGTCAGAGATAGCCCAATACCACAGGTTTAAGGCAAAGCAATGGGGATAGAGGGAAGCAGAGAGCAGGGGGGGGGTAAAGACGAACGGGTGGGGAGGAGGAGAGAGAGAGAGAGGAAAAGGAGAAAGCCAACCAAATAAAGCAAGAAAAGGTGGGTGAACACGCTCTCTACAGTTTCCTGAACCCACTCACGCAGGTCCCCCCCCCCCGCTCAGCATCCCCCTGCCCCCCCTCCCCTCGCACCTGAACGGCAGCAGCGGGCGGCCGTTGATGGTCGCCCATATGTTCCACGCCACGTAGTCGGCCTGCTGGAAGGCGACTTGGGCGGTGGCGGGCAGCGGGGACTGGGAGGGGGAGGGCTGGGAGGGCTGGGACTGTCCCAGAGTAGGAGAAGAGGAGGGCGAGGGCGAGGAGGATGTGACCGCCACATCCCCCAGTGCGAACACTCGCTGGGTGCCACACACCCGCAGGGAGGGCTCCTGGGGGGGGAGGTGGGAGGGAAGGGATGAGGGGGGAAGGGCGGTTGAGGTGCACAGGGTGGGGTGCAGGCAGGGTGGGGCGGTGGCGGGAAGCAAGCGAAGCCTGTGCCCCCGGCCCCCCCGCACACAACCTTACCGTGAGTATGGCTCCCTTTGCAGTGGTGGGGAAGGGGAAGCCGCTGCGCCCCTCACCACCCCCACCACCCCCACCACTCGGCTGTTGCAGCGGCCTGCCTCCCGCTGCTGCTGCTGCTGCCGCCGCTTCCGAGGGAAGGGGTTCAGCCGCTGTGGGCGGTGTTGTTGCTGCTGCTGCGGTGGCGGGACTGCTGCCCGCCGTCCACACCACCAGGTCCGCGGAGAGCTCCTGCAGCAGCGGGGGCTGCTGCTGCTGCTCGCTGGAGGGGGGCTGTGGTGGTGCTGCTGCTGCTGCGGCTGCTGCTGGCTGGCCCTCCTGTTGGTACCAGGACTGCCGCTCTCCCCCCTCCCCTGCATGCTGCTGGGGGTGCTGCTGGGGGGCGGTGGGTGCGAGGGTGAGGGTGCAGGCGGTGGGCAGGGCGGTGTCGGAGGGGGGGGCGCTCAGCCGGGTGACACGGGTGCCTGGGGGGGAGGGAGGGGGGAGGGGAGGGAGGGGAGGGGGAGGGAGGGGAAGGGGAGGAGGTGGGGAGCGAAGGGGAGGGTAAGCGGCCGGTCAGAAGCAAGCCAGTGCGAACCCTCCAAACCTTAATACACACCTCTGTTAAACCCCGGAGCCCCCCGCGCCACTATTCCCCCCTCCCACCCACCCGTGGTGACCCGCACCCCCAGCCGCTCCAGCACCCCCTCCGCCGCCTCCCGCTGACCCGCGGGACTCCCCTCCAGCAGGACCGACCCGGGGGTCACCAGCCGCACCTCCACCCCGCCGCCACCTGGGCAGGCAGGCAGGTACGGTAGGGGGACAAGAAGCCGGCACGTCACATCTCACATGACAAGCCACGACGTCACAAGAGCCAGGAACATGAGCCATGAGGTACGACACATGGAGCATGCGAGCAGCCAGAGAGGAGCATGAGGGACGACACAAGAACACAACCGGGGGAGGGGGGGTAAAGGTTATGGTGCGGGCGAAGTACCATGCGGCATGCTAGACGGCCCCACCAGCTTCTCACCCCACCCACGACATACCGCACACCCACTAGACGGGTTACTCGGCTGGGTTACCGGTAGCAGTACAACACCCCACCACCCCCTCAACCACCCACCTGCCCCCCCCGCCGCCGCCCCCCTGCCCGCCACCCTCTCCGCCAGCACCGCCGCCAGCTCCACCCCCGCGTAGCCGCCGCCCACCACCACCACCCGGCCCCCGGAGCCGCTGTCGATCAGAAGGTCCACTGCACCGCGGACCTTGAGTGGGGGGGTCGGGGGGAGGCAGGAAGGGAGGAAGGGAGGAAGGGAGGGAAGGGAGGGAAGGGAGGGGGAAGAAGAATATCCATTGAGAGGGGGTCAAAGACCATACCGAACCATAGGGAACCATAGAGAGGGGGGGAAGGGGCAGGGGAGGAGGGGGAATGTGCAGGGGGAACATACCGTAGGAGAAGCTGTTGGCAGGGGATACAAAACGGAGAAACAAGCCCTTCGCATCCACCCCCTACCCCTGCCAGCCTTTCCTAAAGGCCCTTACCCCACCTCTTTTCCCTCCCTCCCTCCCTCCCCCTCCCTGCACGTCAGTTCCCTCGTCAGTTCCCCCCTCACCCCCTCCTCACCCCCCCTCACCCCGGGTCGGGCTGGCTCACATGTTGCAACCCATGTTGACGCCTTATCCCTCCGTCAGTTAGTTGTTTCCTCTTTACCCCTCCCCCCCCTCACCCTCAACGCATCCTCCCAGCTGGCGAACGGCACCGACCACTGCCGTACCCCGGGCACCCCCCGGCAGTCCGGCTGCGACCCCAGCGCCACGACAAGGTAGTCGTACGGCAACCAACTGCCGTCCGACAACGACACGTGGCCGGCGGCGGTTGCCGTGTCGGTTGAGAAAGCGGTTGCGGTTCCTGCCTCGTCGTACGCCTCGTTGTCGGTGTTGGAGCCGTCTGCTGGGTCCGCTGGATGGACGCCCGTGACTTGAGCCTGAGGGGGAGAGGAGGCAAGGAAGGCGTGGAAGGAAGGCGGAATGGAGATGTGAGAAAGGAAGGAGATGTGGCAAAGTAGGCGGAAGGTCTTGTTACTTTGGTGGTTGGTTGTATTAAAAGCGAGCCGGGAGGTCCTGCCGAGCGCTACCTTCACCCCCCCCCTCGGCTAACTCGGTTCAGGTCATCAGGAGCTCGTCAGCTTGTTTGCTATCATCATTAAACACCTTGGGATTCTTCTTTACCCCCCACCCCACCTGCACAAACTCCACCCCGCTGCCGCCCCCTCCCAGCAGCTGGTTGAAGGTGGGCGCCACCTCCGCCAGCCCCGCCCCGCCGGCCAGCAGCTCGTACAGCAGCGGCTTGAACACGAACCGCTCGGACTGATCAATGAGGGTGACCTGGGGGAGGGGTTGGGGTTGGGGGTAAAAAGAAGAATGGGGGTTGATGGGGATACATGTTCCGCACTAGGCTGGATAGTGGCGGGGAAGGGGAACGGGGGAAGGTGTAGACGAAACACAGGCCGTGTGTCATGGCTCCAGAATGTTGCACCTACCCCTATGATGAAGCGCTTATCCCACTCGGTTAGTCAGTTGTTAGTTGGTTGTTTCCTCTCCCTACTTCACCCACCTGCGGCTTCCTCCCCCGCGGCCACATCAGCTGCCCCAATCGCACTGCCGCATACAGCCCTCCGAAACCCCCGCCCAGCACCACCACCCGGGGGGGCCGAGCTGGCTGCTGGTGGGGGTGGGGGTGCTGCTGCTGTCGTACGGACGAAGATGGGGCGGTGCCGTACGAGGCTGTGTTTGGTAGGGGTGAGGGATGGCGGGGGTGAGGGATGGTGAGGGTGAGGGATGGTGGGGGTGAGAGGGTTGCAGGGGTAGAATGGTAGGGTAGGAAGGTGGAGAGGAGTAGGGGTTGACTGAGTAGGGTTGCAGCAAATTGAAAAGGGCAGGGGAGCGATAGGTGGTTAGGAAGGGTTTCTCGTGTTCTAAGGCTGGGTGGGGTGGATGGAAGCATGTATGCTTTCCATGCAAAGGGAAGGGGTGGCGCAGCATGTGCGCGAGGAACGGAACAGTTGGACGGGAGGATGCTGCAAACAGACAATGGGTATTGCTTTCTTGCCCAGATAAACCGAAGGCGTCTAAACTAATCGCCATAGCTAGAACTTGCGGTCCTAAAGCCACCTGCGGGCGGTTTGACAGCTGCCGGATCAGGCTCAGACACTCACCGTGTGACCCCATCGAGGATGTCCTGCCGCCCAGCGAGCGGGCACCAGCATTCCTCCACTCCCCTAATAATGGAGCCGATAATAGCAAACTTAAGCGCTTCAAAGGTTTTATACAGGATGAGTGAACGCTATGAACCTAACACCGCATTCTAGACTCACCTAGCGCTCGGCCAAGACCCAGTCGGTTCATGCTAGCGAGCTGGCGAGTGCTCGCCGCTTTCATAGGAATAGGCGCCGCTGAAGAGCACGCAGGCACAGAATTGCTTGCCCGACTCAGTACTTGATGCGAGTGGTGGAGCATCTACCAAAAGCTATAGCAACATGGGCTGATATGAAGTGGTCAAAGCTAACGTGCTGATGTTTGGACCACAAGCTGCGACTGTCCTCGTGAGCAATGCATTGGTGAGCGGCTCCAGAGCCTGTAACGTACGGCCCTAACCGCTATGCAAGGGGCAAGCGCAGATTGACCAAATCGACATCAGAATTCACCTCCAGCTAAGCTATAAACACTGTCATGGCGTCGCTTTTTCTCGACCGCGTCCGCTTACCCCAAGCGCGGTCGACGTCGCGTCGCAAGCAGCGAGTAGGCGCAAGCCCGGCAAGCAACTATCTTAATGCCGTCATCCATTTTACTTAACGCCATAAACTAAACGCAGGCACAGCCAAAATTCTCTTGCTACGCACGGTCCAATCCCTCGCGACCCACCCATGCACAAACCACTGAACTGCACGAGACAGAGGAGCCCCTACGCGCCGGACCAGTGCCGCTCTTGCTAGCAGTCTTTACCACTATCTTCCTCTCAACTCCCATGGTTTCAGCAGCTGAGGCCCCGGAGCTGTTTCTGGGCAAATGTGCAGGTAAGTCCCGCTCTAGAAGTCATGAACGCACATCCAACTGCTCCTCCTGCTGTTTTGCATACGTTTCACCAAGCTACTCCAAGATCTCAATCCCAAAACCTCTCTCGCACTGCTTCCGGTCCACTGGCGCAACGCAGGTTGTCACATGAACGGAGGCAATGTCCTGGCAGTTGGCGCCACCCTCTTCCCAGAAGGTATGTTTGACTTACGAATGTACAGCTGCCGCGTTGTCTTTTGCCGTGCACCATAACTTTACTCACCAATCGCCTCCTTTGAAGCTCCTCAGCCCCCCAAGTACGGGTAACTACAAGGACCACCCAAATCCCTCTCGCGTGCTGGCTTTTGCTTGGGCTGGCTTGTCCTGGCTTGGGCCGGTTTGTGCTGCCTGCAGATCTGCGTAAGAACGGGCTAGACAGCTCAGAGGCGCTCTACCGGATCATTTACAGCGGCAAGGGCAAGATGCCTGGGTTCGGCAAGGAGTGCGCACCGAGGGTAGGTCGTACGACAGCCGTTGTACGACAGTCAGGACTGCCGCCTGCTGCAGATCTGCGTAGCTGCAGATGTGTGTCATCCTGTCATGAGCGCAAGTACAACCACCCACCCCCTCCCACGCTCCCTCGCAGGGTGCCTGCACCTTTGGCCCCCGGCTGAGTGACGGGGAGGTGGAGGAGCTGGTGAGCTTCGTGCAGCAGCGGGCGGCCGAGGGCTGGCGGCAGAAGCAGTGAGGGGAGGTGGGGAAAATAAATGAGAAGGGGGCAGCAACTGGAGTCCCAATCCCATTTCCCGACTCATGCAGTGAGCGCATGAGGGCATGGGGCGGCTGACGGCTGGAGGCAGCAGCAGTTAGGGGAGGGGGGCTGCGCTAGGTGCCGGGATGCCCGCAACGATGCACTCAGAGACGAAGGGAAGCGCTTTTGGTCCGTTTGTTTTGTGACCAAGAATGCAATATCGGTGACTACGCGGAGAGCTAGGGCAATCAGCGATGTAGCCTGTACGGAGTCATTGCTTGGGAAGCCGACAAACCAAGGAGTGGGGGTATTGATTAGGTGCTGAACGTGTCAACCTGCACCGGTTAGGTTTGAGACCCGCGGGTCAGAGTTTGACCGAGTAATCACAAGCCAGCTTCTACAGCGGTTGATTGATGTTTTCTGCTCCGTGTTAACGCGCCTGCAGCCATCCCACACGCCAGCACTGGCGGTCGCACGGGACAAAGAACATGTGGCATTGGGGAGAAGAAGCGGACCGGGCAACCAAGCCGTCGCTTCGTGCACGCTGCGAGGCGCGCTATCCAAGGCTTCATTGCTAGCCGTCGCTGCATTGTTGCCGATCGCTTCGCATGCAGCGCCGCAAGTCAATGATCAGCATCCACCCATCTCTGGGACATGTGATAAAGAGGGCGCCGGTTTGTCCGTGGGACGGGACAGCGTTATGGATTCATCGCTAATACGCAGGTCTTCGAGCCATGCGCGTTGTTGGCCTGTGGTTTTGAGTGATGGCGTTGGGCAATCCTATGGATCTGGGTGAAAGCGTGGGGTATTTCCTGGGTGCTCCAGCAGGTAGCTTAGAGTTGGCAGATCTTCGTGCACATAACGGTATAAAAGTTCCAAAGAAACCCGCGCGTTCCGCGGCACCGGATTGAGTGACAAGCCGCCATAGTGTACGAGCTGTAATTCCGCCTCTTCCTCTTAACCGTCCAATTATCCAAGTCTTTACTTCGTTATCTTACTACGTCTAGCACTTAGCTGTCCTTGATACAGTTCTATCTTAGTTTTTGCCAAAATGTCGGATTGGGCTGACCAAGTGGAGAACGAGGTGCGTTCATCTGTTAGGAACGGATATTTGCGATACATGATGAATTACCCCGGGCTTCATTCTAAACCTTGGTTTGGCAACCTGCTTTGCCACTGCAGCCGCCTCCAGTGATGCAGTCGCCCGTTTTCCGCGCGCAGTTCGTTTTTATGACTTTAACCACGTTATCTGACCTTGCTGAAACCCCTTTGTTGTATTTCCCTTACAGGAGGCCAGAAATGGCGCCCTCGCAAACAAGTCGGACTTCCCGTCCCTAGGCGACGCCGTCAAAATGCAGCCCAAGAGCAAGGGCAAGAGCAAGGGCGTTAAGCTCCAGCTGGGCGAGTTCCTTGCTACTCAAAGTGGAAGCAAGGGAGAGTTTACCGACAAATCGTTGCAAGACAAGCAAATTCTTGCGAGCTTGCCGACGGCCCCGCGCGGTGGACCCCGCGAGGAGGGCGAGGGCAGGCAAGGCGGTCTTGGAGGTGGCTTCCGTGATTACGGCGGTGATCGCGAGGGGCGCGGTGAGTCCAGGTTCATGTGCAACTGCTTGAAATCGGCCATGCAGCAACGCACATCACTTTCCTGCAGGATCCCGCTTCCAACGCGATGACCGCCCTCCTCGCGAGGAGCGTGAGCCTTCTCGTGCTGACACCGTGGACGACTGGGGCTCAACCAGGAAGTTCGTTCCAGGTGGCGATGGCGGTGGCTTCGGAGGCTCTCGCGGCTTTGGGGGCGGTTTCGCTGACCGCGGCGACCGTGGTGACCGCGGCGACCGACCACCTCGTGAGCCTCGCGCTCCTTCAGCAGCAGATATGGTTGACGACTGGGGCAGCGTTCGGAAGTTCGAGCCATCTGGTCCATCTGGGCCGCGTGGCGGATTCGAGGACCGCGAACGCCGGGGCCCTGAGCGTCGCTTCGATGGGCCTCCGCCCGTCTCCAAGGCTGACATCGAGGACAGCTGGGGCAGGGGCCGGGAGTTCAAGCCTGCCGAGCAAGCTCCCGCACCGTCGCGCGGTTTCTCAGGCAGCCGCGCCGACGCGCCGGTGCGCGAAAACACCGCCGCGGACAGGGAGGAGCGTTGGGGCCGGCGAGCGGCGGAACCCACCGCCACCTCCTCTTCAACTCAGGACGCTGCTCCTGTGGAGCGCCCTCGCTTGAAGCTCGCTCCGCGTTCGGTGCCGGCTGGTGAGCAGGCCAGCAGCAGCAGCGCCGGCGGCAATGCTGAGGAGCGCAAGCCCGCGGCGAACCCCTTTGGAGCCGCTCGGCCGCGTGAGGAGGTGTTGAAAGAGAAGGGTGTGGATCCGATCAAGGAGGCGCTGAAGCTGGAGCACGGGGAGGTGATCCGGTGAGCTGTGCGGGAAGAGGAGGGGAAAGGACGGGCTTGCTCGAGGAGGCTTTGGATGTATGGGTTGGCTTGCTGCTATCCCTGCAGAGGGGCTTCCTTGACGGCATTTCGGCTTAGTTCCTACAACATCGGGCGAAGCTCTGCTATATTAAAACCCTTTCCGCCTTTGCACGCCGGTTTTAAAGGGCACTTGCCGCAACCGTATGTGTCGGTACTGATCTCCCCCGCATCACCTGTCGCCCTTTCTTCCGCCCCTCAGCGACGAGACGCCTGCTGAGAAGGAGCTCAAGGCCCAGGTTGAGGCCCTTCAGAAGCAACTCGCGGACCTCAAGGCCTCCGCACCCTCCTCAGAGACGCCCGCTGAGGGCGACGAGGAGGCCGCCAAGCCTCAGCAGCAGGAGCAGCAGCAGCAGGTGGCTGAGCTGGAGGCCCAGCTCGACGCCAAGGAGCGGGAGCTGCTGAAGCTGCAGGTGGAGGAGGATGACCGGGTGCGATTTGCACGCGGCGGCGGCAAGGACAAGGAGAGGGAGAAGGAGAAGGAGGGAGGCAAGGAGGGGGCTGCGAAGGAGGGCGGTGCGAAGGAGGGAGGCAGGGAGCGGGGAGGCCGGGGGCCGCGGGAAGAGAGCCGGGAGGGAGCTGGCCAGTCGCGGAAGGAGCGGTGGTAAGGGGCTGCTGTTGCTTGCGAGTGTGTGTGTGTGTGTGCGAAGACCGGTTTGTTTTGCTGGTCTTGAGCATGACATGACGCGCAGCAATGGGTGGCACCTTGACTCTTGGGGCGGAGATAGGGGCGGAGGTGGCGCATCTGCTTGGGCTTTCCGGGCGACGGTGGCGTTCTTCGGACACGGCGGCACGACATGTTGTCGAAACACCGCCAGTGTGAAGTCATCGGCTTGAGAGCTGTGTTGTGAGCGGCGGAGAGAGATGCTGGCGTGTGTTGATGGACTCTGCATGATATGTTTGTAGTTGGTTTGGTGGTAGGGTAATGAGGAAACATCGAACTGGTGGTAGGGGGGGCCCAGGCAGGGCGTGCGTGTCTCTGCATGGGATGTGTGTATGGTTTGATGAGACCATGAGTTACATGCATGCATCGGGCTGTGCTGCGGAGGAACGGATATTCGGTTTTTGGCAGCCGTGTGCTTCTTCGTTCCTGGTTGTTTGGTGCACGCTTCTACCTCGAGAGGGAGAGTGCTTGGTGTGGTGGATTGTGTTGCGCAGGGCAGGGACGCGGCATTGACCGTCAGATGAGGACAGCGGATTGCGGAACTTTGTTTTTTTAGGCAGTTGGATAACGCGACCACTGGGTGATACGGCAAATGGGGAAGAGCGGGTAGTTTGGGGCAGTCGGTTCAGTGCCATTTTCGTTGCCAATGTGACATAGAGGTGAGGGTTTAGGAGGGTCGGGAGAATCCGCGGGTGACATGAAAAGCTGCTGAGCAGTGCTGTTAAGATGACTTGTAAACTAGGTGGTGCATATACGTACGCGGGAGGATTTGGGAGGGTCTTGAACATCGCCGCCGCGTGAATCCGGCGGCACGTCGGAGGTCCGGTTTCGAATCACCTGTCCGGATGTTTAAACGGGCTGGGATACCGGTACCTGCCCACTTGCACTGCGCTTCCGCTTTTAGATCGTCGCATCTGTTGCGATAGATGTTGTAGGTGTGGAGGAGAAGGACGGCTCAGAAGCTGCGACTCATCTCCCGCACGTTTATAGCTTGGCCGTTGTGGTTTGTTGAGGGTTGCCCATTCTTTGGACGACGGCCGTACGGACGAACCCGCCGTACAGACATCGCAGGGCCTTAAGTTTTCCTAACAGTATTGGATCACTAATGCTTCCTCCCATTTTGACGGCGGCTCCTGTCTCGTCATATGGTTCATTTATGCGGGTTTCTTCTCTTAACTGACTAATTGGCTTGCTACCGATGTGCTTTTTTCGTGTAACGGCGTATTAACATGACAGGTCCACTAAACCTCGTAATTAGGTAACTGCAGAGCCAGCTGAGCTACGTAAAAGGACAGTGTCATCACAAAAGGTTCTCCCGACGAAGAAGCCGCTGGCTCACCTTGGTATTTGTTTACAGCAAACGCAGGGGCCGCTGCAATCGGCTCCTGTCGACGTTCTGAGCCGCAGCACACCGCTCTTTCTCTCCATCCCACGTCATGGTTCAACAGCTGAACAGCTCCTGCACTGCTGTCGTCAACTCCTTTCGCAACTCGGTCACCGTCTGTCATGTAGGCAAGTCTGTCCGTGTCCTGTCAAACATCACATGGTTACGTCCGTCGGACACGCGTCCCAAGCTCTTGAGCAACACTTCACGTAACCATCACAACACGTAACCCGCATGCGCAACAGTCCCCTCGCCCCTGCACATAATAACATGCACCAGTCGTCATAGCCGGGGGTAGCTGCATAGCCCTAAACAGCAAAACGGCCATGTTCAATATTTTACTGGTTGGTTAGTACCGGTAAATTAACCGTACAAACGGTATAACTTAGAGCGCTCAAGTGTTCCACCCCAAAAAGGTGCATGTATGCATGGAGCATAAGATACTGAACACTCATGGAGTGGGGGTATGGCGCGTGAGGCCAACAACTGCAAGCAAAGTTCCCTTGCCAGCCCTTGCAAAACATGCCCCACCCGCAGCGTGTGCATCCTCCTCCTCATCGCTGCGCACACTTGCCTCTCCTACCGTACACCCCCTTTTACCGTACACAACACTGCCGTACGGAGTAACAGGATCCAGAACAATGTGTACGACAGCCGCTCCATCCGGCGGCGGTTAGGATGGAGGCCTAACCGTCTCGAAGTGAACCCACTCCTGCAACATCGGGTACTCGAGACTCCTCCTCCTCCTTCTCACCACCATCACCTCCATTGCCACTGCCACCAGCCTTCAACGCCTCATCCTCTGCGGCCTTCAACGCCGCAGCCTCCGCTGATGCTGCAGCAGTGCCCAGGGCTGCACTCCCCTTACCGTTGCTGCCCCCCACCTTGCTGTTACCGTTACCACCACCCGACGACGCTGCTGCTGCTGACGACGACGACGACGACGACGCTGCTGACGTCAGCGGCGTCCCCGGTTGCGCCGCCTCCGTACACAGCGCCGCCGCCACCGCCGCGTCCCGCTCCGCCGCCGCCGCCGCTGCCGCCGCCGCCGCCTCCCTCGCAAAGTCCTCCACCTCCGCCGTGAGAACCAGCATGTCCAGCGAGGAGAAGGCGGGAGGCACGGAGTCGCCCGAGTGTTGTAGCCACCCAGCCAGGGCCCGGGTCCTACACGCAGGCAGGCAGGCAGGGGTGTGTTTAAGAAAACTGGCCGCGAGTAGGAACAGGGGTGCGCAGGGGTGTGTGTGTGTGCTAAGGAAACTGGCCGCGCGCGTGTGTGTATGTGTTAAAACCCCCAACCCCCGCTCTTCCCCCCTCCCCCCTCCCCTCGAGCTCCTCGACTTGTTTGTCAGACTCATTCAACACATTGGGTATTCTTCTTTTCTCCCCCCTCCCCTGCCCGCCCACCTTGCCGCCACGGACTCCTCGATCCCGCGCTTCAAGAAAGCCAGGTCCAGTCCCGAGGCGCCCAGCCCCCCCAGCAGCCGCGCCCCCAGCGCCAGCCCGGCCTCCACACTCCGAATGACGGTGTCATCGGCGCCCGCCTCCGCCAGCTCGGCAGCATGGCTGCGGGGGAGGGAGGGAGGGGTGGGGTAAAAAAATTATATAAGTGAAACAACGAATCCCAATCCCATATTCCATATGGGGTAGGGAGGGGTGGGTGGGTGGGTGGGTGGGTGAGGAGATGAGCTAAGCCGCGGGAAATACTGACCCCAACCGTAGTATACCTACTGGAGGTTTCAAACCAACCGCCAGCTTGGACAAAACACGCAGGTGCGGAGGGGGGAGGTATCCCGTACAACCCCCAACGAACAGTCGAGTATCGGTACCTCCCCCCCCATTTCGGAAAGGGATGTCATCTTCTGACAATCCAGTACGTCGCGGCCAGTTTTCTTAACACCCACACAACCTTACCGCAGGTCTGCCGCGCATGCATAGATGGTGACGGAGGGGAAGGCGGCCCGCATGTTGGCAACCGCCTGCAGCGCCGTTTCGGGGTCCGGGTAGGCCACCACAACTGCCCGGGGGCACTCCACCCCGGCAGCTCGCAGCACGGCACTGCGTGTGGCGTCTCCGAACAGCACCTGTTGGATGGGGGGGGGTGGCGGAAGGTAGAGGGGGTTGAGGGTAAGGGTGTGTTAAGAAAACTGGCCGCGAGTAGGGGTGGAGGAGGGTGATTAGATAAACTGAGCCGCGGAAGCGTGAGGGGTGGAGCAACTGGGGCCCTATCGGTACCCGCGGTGGTTCGCCACTGCTTTCAGTTTCTCTCAATCTCCACCCTCCCTGCTGTCTCCCCCCCCTCTTCCCTCCCACCTTGAACCCAGCCTTGCGCCCCGCCGCCACCCTCTCCGGGTCTAGGTCAAATGCCAGGTAGGGCGGAGGTGCGGATCCATCGGGGGAGGCCAGCGGGCTCTCCAGCATGTTGGCCACCATCTGACCCGCGGGGGAGAAGCCGCACAGGATGATGGAGGAGGAGAGCTGCGTGCGTGCGGTTTGGGGGAGGAGGGGGAGGGGAGGGGAAAGGGGGGGGTAACTTGTAATTAATAATAAGTGCAGCAGGGGGGATGGGGGATGGGGGGAGGGGGCAGAAGAATACCCAATGGGGATGCGGGGGAAGCGGAATGCGGTAAAGGGCAATGAGGGGGGGGGCAGAGGTAAGGATGGCATCGCGGCCCAACATATGAATACCCCGTAACCCCTGTCCCAAACCCCTGTCCCAAACCCTATCCCAAACCCCCACCCAAACCCACCTCCGGGTGCAGCGAGGAGGCCCCCGCCCCCGCCTCCGCCTCCTCCCGCCCCAGCGCCGCAACAGCCGCCCGACTCAACCGCTGCAGCCCCTGCACCCCTCCCTGCCCCTGCCCCTGCCCTTGCCCCTGCCCCTCGGCAGATGTCAGCAGCCCTGACGACTGGGATGAAGCAGCGGCGGAGGAGGAGACGGGGGAGGCGGACACATCGATGGTGATCGCCCCCGCACCCCCCGACCCCCCCGGCAGTGGCAGCTGCGGCGGCTGGCCGGGCGGGGGCGGGGGCGGGTAGAGCTGGTCGAGCTTGTTGGCCACCACTTTGCCTCCCTCCGCTAGGAAGGGGGTGAGGGCCATGGAGAGGACAACCTGGGGGTGGGGGTGGGGTGAGGGGGTGAGGGAAGGTGGAGGGGGGGTGTAATGTGTACGTGTGTGTATCGGGGGGGTGGGTAATTGCGAAGGAATCCAGGGAAAGTGGTGAGAAACACCCCTCCTCCGCCGCCATCTTCAACATCATCCCGCAGTACTCGTCTGTGTGTTTGCCGTACACCTCCCATCAAACCACTCTGCCGTACACACACGATCGATACGTACCACGATAATGAGCAGTTGGTTGAGGTTGGTTGGAAGAATTCGGAGTTGGTTGGCCAACGACAGCAGTACGAACGCGAATTCGCCGCCTTGGGAGAGAGCGAAGCCGGTGCGGATGCTCTCATTCCTGTGGGTGTATGCGTGTGTTTGGGTGGGACACAGTTGGCATGACCCATGGGTCACCGGGAGGGTAGGAAGGAGGAAGAGTGGAGAACTCCAGGGAAAGACTGAGTTGCACGGGTGGGTTAAAACCCGCGTGATCTAAAACGTGTGTTGAGTTGACGGAAGGGTGAGAGAGACCACAATCCAGTACGTTCTTTCTCGCGGCCAGCTTTCCGAACACACAGCGCCGGGTCCAGGTTCAGGTTTGGTCACCTCTGTTTTGCCTGTACTCGAGGTTCACATGCGAACCTATCCCAACTGCTTGCTCTTGTCCTACTCAACTACACACAGCCCCGGGTCCCAGGTAGCAAACCAACCCAGCGTGCAGCTCCCTCGTCAAGTCGTCATGCAGCGTACAGCTCGTCAGTCTTCTCTTTCCCCCCCCCCTGCTCCTCCTCCTCCTCCGCCCTTCCCTCCCCCCCTGCACACCTGCTCAGCCCGAACAGCTGTCCGGTCACCGCCACCACCCCCGTCTTGATGCTCACAAGACCCGCCAACATCCACAACACCTGGGGGGGGGGGGGAGAGGGGCAGGCGAGGGGCGGGCGTGGGGAGAGGGGAGACAAGGGAGAGGGGATGGGCGGGCGAGAGGAGAAAAGGGAAATTGAATGAACCCGATGCGTTGAATGAGAATGGCAAACAGGTAGCCTGGTCCTACAGCTCGTCATCTTCCTCTTTTTAACCCCCCAGCTCCCAAAACCCCCACACCAGCTCCCCCCCAAACACACATTGGAATTTCTTTTCTCCCCCTCCCTCCCCCACCTCCTGCCAGTGCGCCTGCAGGAATGCGAGGTTGATGGAGGAGCCGGTGGTGACGAAGAACAGCCCCAGCAGCAGCCCCTTGAAGGGCCGGATGTCAGCCTCGATCTGCAGGGGGGGGGCGCGGGGGGCGGGGAGGCGTTGGGTGGAGGTGTTGATACATGTATACATGCGTTTTTGTTTTCTTAACACTTCACACAGTTTTCCTTACCCTTAACACCCCCCTCCCCCCGCTGCATGGGCCGGGATATGGGATTGACACTCTCCAGGTGACTGCACTTCCCATTCCGTGTTTTCCCACCGTATCCCCCCCCCCCACCCCGCATTGGGAATTCCTCTTCCCCCCCTCCCCCTTTGTCCGGGTTCAGTCAGCACCCCCCTCAACCCATGGAGAAGCCTCGTCATCCAGCCTCGTCAGTTTTCCTTATTCCTACCCCCCCCTTTATTTCCACCCCAACCACACATTGGAATTTCTTCTTCCCCCCCCCACCTGCGTCCTGTAGTTTGTCTCGCTGAGCAGCACCCCCGCCAGGAATGCCCCCATGGTGTCGCTGAGCCCCAGGCGCTGTGTGAGCAGCGAGGTGCCGGCCACGGTGAGCAGGCAGAGCGCGATGAAGGTCTCGGAGTTGCGGGAGTGGGCTACCATCTGGGGGGAGGGGGGCGGGGAGGGGAGGAAATTATATAAGAAATGCAAACAACTGGAGTCCCAATCCCGTAGCCCGACTCATGCAGTGAGTGCACGAGGGGAGGGGAGGGGGAGGGGGAGCAGGGGTGGGAGGGAGGGTGATGGAAGAATACCCAATGCGTTGAGCGCTACACATGGCAAACGAGACGACAAGCTCCTGGTGAATGGATTCCACAAACCATGGGACACCACCACAGGTTTTAGGGCAGCACCCCCCCCCCACCTCAAATATCCTCTTCATGATGAGCCGGTCCGCCAGCAGCAGCGCCCCCAGCCCCGCCACCGTCTGCAGCGCGGTGGGACCCAGCATGGTAAGCAGGCTGACGGGGGAGGAGGCGGCACCCTGGGGGGGGGGAATGAAAGTCGTGGTGGAGGGGGAGAAGGGGAGGAGGGTCAAAGACCAGATACCAAACCATAGGAGACCACAAGTTAGGGCAATGCAATGGGGGTAGGAGTTGGCCCTGGGGGAAAAAGAAGTTCCAAAGTGTGGTGTGTGGGGGGAGAATTAAATAAGTGAGGAGTGAGGAGGGGGAGAGGAATATGCCCAATGGAAGGGCAGGGGGGAAGGGAGGAGGGGCGGAGGGGGAACATGCTTAAGAAGTGGGGTCTATGCGTGGCGTGCGACCCCACTTGGCGACGTGAGCGGGTGGCCTCACATCCTCCTTGCGTCCCCCCATTGGGTATTTTGTTCTTTCCTTCCTTATTTCCTTCCCCACAATCCGCGGCTCAGTTTATCTCCTCCCCCCACCTCCATGATCTCCGCCCCGCCCTTGCTGGTCACCAGAGGCAGCAGCACCAGGAAGGGGACAACCGCGATGTCCTGGAGGTGGGGGGAGGGGAGGTGGAGGGCAGTAGTTGTGGAGAGGGGAATCATGGGGCAGGCAGGGGACGGGACGGGATGGCGAGCACGCACACGCACACCCTACTCCTCGGCTCCTGTGGCATTTCTGGCACTTTCCCAACCCCACCCCTTAGGACCTTTCTTACACCCCTCCTCTCCCTTTCTCCCTTCCCCCATACACAAACATAGTACGTTCCGACTCGCGGCCAGTTTTCCTAATACAATAGTCCAGTACCTTCCTCTTCCACTCCCCGCCCACCCACCCGCCCGCCCACCCACCCACCCACCCTCACCTGGAACAGCAGCACCCCCAGTGTGGCGCTGCCGAAGCGGGTGGCCAGCTCGCCCCGCTCCCGCAGCAGCTGCAGCACGAAGGCGGAGGAGCTCATGGACAGCGCGGCGCCGATCACAACCGCCTCGTCCACACTGCGGATGGAGACCAGGCGGTGCGGGGCGTGCGCGAACTGGGGAGGGGGGAGGGAGGGTGGAGGGGGGTGGGGAGGGAGGGGAGGGAAATTATAAATAAGTGCAACAACACAGTCCCAATCCCGAATGGATGGGATGGGTGGAGGGGGGTGACGAGGGAGGGGGGTGACGAGGAAGGAGGAGGCAGGGGAATGCGGATGCAGCTCCCCTAACAGGGGTTCGGGGAAAGGTGAAGGCGACACGTGCACTAGTAGTAGTAGTAGTAGAGTGTCTCAGGAGAAGCTGTGCGTCGGTGCGTGTATCTGTGCAGCATTGTGTGGATGAGTTCGATTTGGGTCGCATGGCAGCACCCGAGTGTGTGCAATTGATTTGGGTCACGCCGACCCGTGGGTCACCCACATCTGGCTCTACCCCCTCCTCCTCCCCCTCCTGCTCCCCGCGCACATCACACATCCCTCCCCACCCACCCCACCCCAGCTTGTCGTACTGCTCGTCAGGTTCCTCTTTACCCTCCCACCCCCACTCCCCCCTTCCCACGCCACCCCACCTCCAGTCATCTAGTTCATCGGTTTTCCTTGGTTTCACCCACTTTCCTCCCTACCAACATCTCCACCCTACACCCCCCCACCCCACCTCCTCCAGGAACAATGTCCCCAGTCCGTGTCCCACTGGCAGGGCGAAGGAGGTGAAGATGCCGGTACACAGGATCACCTGGAGGGACCCCAGACCGAAGGCGTACTTTGCTAACGACTGCGTTGGGGGGGCGAGGAGGGGGGAGTGGGGTGAGGAGGGGGGAGGAGGGGGAAGTGGAAGGAGGGGTACGAAGGATGGGGGAGGAGGCAAGCGTGGCCCGACCCAAATCACCGAGGCACTGCCAGGGAGGCTGCCCCCACTCCTCTTGCCCCTGATGCCTCCACCACCATTATTACGCCATATTGCGGGTATTGTTGCCCACTAAGCAAGTACCGGTACCCACATTAGCCACTATGCGCAACATGGGGGACAACCCATAATTCGGGATTTCCCCCAAAACACACACACACGGGCATGTACTGCAGTACGGCAGCCAGAGGCAACACCGCCGTACCTTGAGCCGTTCGTACGACAGCTCCAGACCCATTTCAAACAGCAAGAACAGCACTCCCAGCTCGCCGAGCCGCTCCGTATCCTGCAGGTCTTGGAACAACCTGCGCAGGAAAACATCGTCTTAGGTGGGATGCAAATTCTGTCATCATGAAAAGGCTATGGGGCAGGATGAACATGTAAGAGACGTACAAGAAAAGGCTAGGCAATGTTTCGGGACGCCAGCCAAGGACATGTAGGATGTGGCCCGGGGGTTCAGCGTTGACCACACAATAGCAGAGCAGCAACATGAACACTGCTTTCGACTTTGTGTAATACTCCAACGATGAAAATTTGAGTTAGGGATGTCAGGAGGGAAGCGCAAGACTACATGGCCCCCGTACTGCTAGTCATGCGGAGGTGCGCATGCCACCACCCACCCAAGCTGCTTCAGCACCACGCCGCTGAAGAGGAATCCCAGTACAGGCGATAGCTTTAGCGACTTGAAGAGCGGGATGACCAGCACCGTGGCTGACAGGAAAGTCAAAAAGTCCAAGCCCAGCGGCAGCAGCATGCTGGACTCGGACGACGCCATGATAACCTGGCCCCGCGGAACATCGTTGCTGCATCGCTTCCCCCATAAGTACTTATTACTGGATAAACTGCAACTGTCAAGATGTGAAGGTTGGCTGGGTTGGCCTAACGCCGTGCCGCCCCATCGACGACGAGCGCCCAAGCGTGGCCGAGCTGATGCAGTTACACATACTGGCGACCGGATAGTATTTTGTTTATAAATACGAGCTGTGCATGGCATGCCGCATCGGAGGTTCATCGCCCTCCACAGCCCTGTGGTTGGGCCTCAACCCTATGTAACTGCACCACAATTCCAGTTACCAAAATGATGATAAGGTCAGTCTAGCGGTAGAAACCGCTAAATCTGCATGGCATTCGTCACACGCTTGTTTGCACGCTTGTTCGACCGCACAATCAGATGTAGAACTAAGATTAACACAAGTAGATAGTCAAGGATACAGCATACAAGGTACAACGATGTGGGTAAGTCAAAAGGGCTTCGTCTGTGTAGAAAGCCAGCTCCGGAACCCTTAAACGGCGATCAGTCAAGGCAAGCAGGCGGCCCAAGAATGCAGTCATCCTCCTCTCCGTGCAAACGTATAATATTAACTATGGATGAAAACATGCATGGTAAAGTTGGCACCATTTAAAGGTGCAGCTAGTGGTCTAGGCCACTCCGCATTTACGAAGAGCTCCAGCGGGATCCTCCTGGTACTGCGCCTTAGTGATCCAGAAATCCGTGTGGTCCTGCAGTGCGCGATGAAATATACACTGGTTGGATGTTGCGTGCAAGACGTGCGTGGCCACAACATTTATATCCTATACCCGACGAGCCGGCTGACGTCAACCAGTACTCATCGACGTTAAGCTAATAATTGGATATGCTTTTATGCAAACGCACTGCCGAAAAAACCTCGGAGCCGATATTCAACAATGTGTTGAACCATGCAAGCCAGCATTAGCACAAGCCAGTCCGCACCCCACTTTACTCCACCACCATTTACCTTCTTGGAGCCCACCAGCACCGCCCCTCCCGTCCCCACCCTGCCATCCAACTTCACCCATAGCATGGTGTAACCTCTTCCTTCCCTCCTCCCACCCAGACGTCGCACGTTGGGCCTGACTAACCCGATTCCATTCACCAGGGGCGCGTCGCCTGGCTTGCCATTCTCACTCAATACACATTGGGTATTCCTCTTTTCCCCCCACCCTCCCACCCATCCTCCCTCCCTCCCCCCAGTTGCATCATCAGTGTCTCATTATATTTTTTCCCCTCCCCCTTCACCTTCATGATGTCTGCCAGCACCGCCCCGCCCAGGAACACCATGTGCTTGCGGTTGGGCGGGTCCGCGATGTGTAGCTTCAACTTGCGCAGCCCGCCCATGTCGCCCTGCCAGTCGGGGGGCATACCAAACCAACCACGGGGGTCATACCAAACCAAACCAGGCGAGGGCATAGACCATACAGTACTAAACCAAGGGTGGGGGTGGGGGTCATAAGACCATACCAAGTTAGGCAGGAGGGGCAAGAAGAGGAAAGGAGTGAAGCACTGGTATTAAAAATCCACATGTTTCAATGCCCTCTACGCATGTCGTACACATGATGTCGTACCTTGAGCACCCGCTGCACGTACAGCTCCCGGATCTCCTTATCCATGCGCGTCGACATGCCCGGATACATGGTGGACCCACCGCTGATCACGATGTGTTCGTACAGCCCCCGCCGGTTATCAATGGGCGCCTCCTGGATCGCGTTAAACGCCATCTCGGCAATTCCCGGCGCCTCGATATCCAACAACCGCGGGTTAAACATCACCTCGGGTGCCATGAAACGCTCAGGCCCAATGCGGATGACACGCCCGTCCGGAAGCGTGTACGAACGCATTACGTAGGTGGTTTCGCGCGCAAGTTTGAGTTCCTTTTGCACGTCAAATGCCACGTAGGCGAGCTGTTCTTTGATGTCCCGCACGGTGTCGAGATCTGCCGTACGATTGAGGGGGTAGCCGCGCCGCTGCAGCAGCTCCAGCAGGTGGGCGGTGACGTGACGACCCGCGACGTTGAGGCGCTTGGTCTGGGGTGGGAAAATGGAATGGGGTCGGGGAAGCACCAAACTACAAGTGGGAAAATGGAACGGGGGTCGGGGAATAGCACCGAATCAGAAGCGAGGGCCACTAAAAGAACCCAACCCGTTGGAATGGAAACAAGTGAGGGCGGCGGGATGCCACAAACCCTCCTCTCCCCTCCCTCACCTCATGTTGCAACCCATGTTGACGCCTTATCCCTCAGTCAGTTAGTTGTTTCCTCTTTTTCCCCCTCCCTCACCTGGTGCGGGAATGCGTACCCGTCCACCACCGCCACCGCATGGGACACCCCGTCCCCCGAGTCCACCACTAGCCCCGTCAGCAGCCCCTGCGCGTACAGCGTGAGTACGGCCTGGATCTGCATGTTGGCGCCCGCGAAGCCGTACGACTCGAACATCACCTCCAGCATGCGCTGGCGGTTGGCGGTTGGGTTCATGGCGGGGTCGGTTAGCAGGATACGGCAGTCGGTTGGGTCGATGGAGAGCTGGGAGGGGCCGAAGGCGTGGTCCCAGATGAGGCCTGGGAGGGGAGTGGTATGGGGATGCGAGGGTGAGGGGATAAAGAGGAAACAACTAACAGAGGGTGAGGGGAGGGGAGTGGGATGCAGTACTGGAAAGATAATAAAGCCAGGTAGAGCCCGGCTAGGACAGCCAACCAGGGTTTGGGGGTGGGGTGGGTGGGATGGGGTGTGGAAGAGAGGGTTGTACCATGGTGTTGCGAACAGCGGGTAACCTGCAGGGCGCCAGTGCAAACCCAATCATTCCATGTTTGCTCGTCCCAGTTGTCGTACGCTCGTACCCATGTCATCCCAGCTCTGTACGACGCCGTTCCTCATGGGGTACGACAGCTCCAGCTGGGCCTTGTGAGCTGAGGACTCCGCGCCCACGTAGATGTCCTGAGCGGGGGGCAGCAGGGCGGCAGGGCGGCAGGGGCAGCAGCAGGGGCGGCAGTAGCATGATACTGAGCTGGCAGGAGATATCACTGCTCGCATGCGAGGTGTGAATGAACGGATACGGGGCAGGCTAGGGCTGCGAAAGCACTAGACGGGCTAGAGCTGGGAAGCGCTAGAGCGGGACTTGCTGCTGTAGCCTCGAGCGCTGCTGCCCCGGTGCCGGTTGCATGGGGGCTCCGTGTGGTTGGTGCAGGCCTCCCTTCTCGGGCCCTTCCCGCAGCCCGTGCCTTTGCAGCTGCCCTCAGCGTGTCTTTCCGACCTTCCCAAGTGTGTTACTATGTGTCATGTGACCGCCGTACTATAAGACACGCCCCAGGCTGCTAACCTTGAGCTGCTGATGCTGGGAGAAGGGGTCGTTGTAGCGGAAGGTGGGCCGCCCCACCATGCAGGGAAAGACTGCCCGCGGGAAGCTGTCGCCAGCGAACCCGCATTTGACAAGCTGTGGATGTGGAGGAGAGGGGAAGCAAGGAAGCAAGTCGCTGGTTGAGGTGGATGGAGATGAAAGCGGGGTCGGATTGCAGAAATGGGTTCGGAACGGCACCTACGCCTGTGCCATTGTCGCACACAACCACTCGGCTCCTTGGAAAATCACCCATCGCGCAATGCCGACGAGCACAGGTCAAAAAGTTGTTCGCTAGTCAGGAGACGCATGGCAGGGTCGAGCCTACGGTTGCGTCAAGGTTATTTGTGAGCAACGTAGCAATTTGAGTTACATCGCTACGTGGTAATTGCATGGTAGGAAACGCGCTCCCGATCTCACGGATATGGCCTTCCCGCTGCACGGCTCTACGGCACCTTCACGTCTTCTGCATTTCCTTCTTGACGCTCTTCCTGCAAAGTATTGGTGCTTTGTACAATTGTATTTATACAAGCAGTAAGTTGATGTGCAGCAATGTCCACCAAGCTTGTGAAGAAGCAGCTGAATTCCTTGATTGAGCAGCATAGCGCAGCTGACGGAAAGTCAGGCAAAACTTTACAGAAAGCCAAGGAGAAGCGGCGTCAGGCGTCGCTTAAGAAGAAGCAGAAGCAGCTGCAAAAGCAGGCACAGGCGCAACGCAACGCTCGGTTGACAGTGAAGAAGAACCTAAAGTACTTCAGCAGCACCAAAGGCCCAAGCGAGCAGAACGCCGAATTGATGGGCAAGCTTCTGGCGTCGGTTACGAGCTCCAAGAAGTAATTACGCCGCCGCCCAATAGGGCGACAGCGACCCGCAGACGCGCTGTCCCCACAGCCATTCTGCTGACTCGCAACTCATACGCAAATAGCAATATTTGCGGCTCGGATGCCGGTGGCCTCGAGGGCATCCGCCTGGGTAACCACAGGCGATGGGTGCAGCACCTCGCACCCGGCGAGAATTACCGCTAGGATTACAACCTTTGGAGGCTACCACCAACCCCGCACCGGTCAACCTCGTCCGGCGTGGTCCTTAGCTACGGCAGCGTCGGCATCTGTCAGCCCTTGCCAACCGCTGCCAGTATGCTCCGCGACCGCGGCCCCAGTCCTCCAAACAACCCCAACTCAAACCTCTACCCGATCTACAACCCAAATCAGCCCAGCTTATAACCGCCACCACCACCACAGCCGGCGACATCCGCATTCCCGACCAATGGCGCAGTCCATCTGCCGCTCCACCCCACCAACCAACCCCGGTCCCGGCTCCGGAGCCGCTGCTGCCTCTTCCACCAGCACCTCAACCACCTCTCCAAACACCATCCTCAACGACCCCAACGCCCTGGTCGGCATGCTCATGGCTTACGCCGCCCAACTCCAACAGCAGCAACAACAGCAGCTGCCCCAACAAGGCGCCGAAGTCCGAGTCGAGGACCTAGGCTTCCATCCTCCCGGCACGGAACGTCCGCTACTTCAAGGCATCAACCTAGCCCTTCCGGCAAACAGCCTAGGTCTGGTGATTGGTCGATCTGGGTCGGGCAAGACCACCCTGCTACAGCTGTTGGCTGGGCTCACGGAGCAAACCTCGGGGCACGTGCGCATCATGCGAGGGGGGCAGCAGGGGGGTGCTGCAGGGGGCGGGGGATCGGAAGCGGCGGAGGTCCGGAAGGCAGCAGCAGCAGGAGGAGGAGGCGGTGTAGCGGTGCAGCAGCAGGGAGGGGCAGCGGCGGGAGGGAGAGGCGCGCAGTCTGCGGGGCCCCAGGCGGCGGGGAGGGAGGCGGGGGCGGGAGCGGGCGCAGCGTCGGGGCTGACGGTGGAGGAGCGGATGCAGCAGGTGGGGGCGAGGGGGTGGCGGCTGGGGGAGGGATGTGTAGGGGTGTGGGGATTAGCAAATATGCAGGTGGGTGCGAGAGGGGGGGGGGAGGAAACAACCAACTGACCGTGTCATGGCGGCTGGGGGAGGGATGCGTAGGGGTGTGGGGATTAGCATGGGTTTGGAATTGGGGGTTGGGAAAAGATTGGACGCGGAAATCCAGGCAAGGCGTTGCGGAAAGGAAACCAGGGTGACCCACATGCCTCCCAGCCCTGCTCCCAACCCTCCCTCCTCGCCTCATACACACACCCCGTCTCCCTCACGCCCTGCACGGCGACCTCCCGCGCCCCATCCCCTCCCTCCGTTCCTGCCTCATTACCCCCTTATCCATGCCCCCGCCCCCTCCTCCCTCCATGACCTCTGTCCCCCAGGTGGGCCTGGTGTTCCAGTTCCCCGAGCGCCACTTCCTGGGTGCCGACATCATGCAGGAGCTGTCCTTCACCTGGCCCCGACTGCCGCAGTACTGGGGGGAGCGGCAGGCGCTGGCGGCGCGCATGCAGCAGGTGTGGGGGGAGTAGCAGAGATGCTTTTGATTCCGCATTCGGCTGTGGAGTACGGTATGCAGCAGATGGGGGGTTGGGGGGGAGAGGGAGCTGAGGGGAGGGGAGGGGAGGGTGGGAGGAAGAGGAGAGAGGGAAGGAGGAGGAGAGGTACACACCACCCCGCTGAGCTGGCTCCCCCCCCTGCCGCCCGTCTGCTGCTACCCCTGCTGCCGCTGCCGCACAGGTCCTGGAGGCGGTGGGTCTGGAGGGTGTTCCGCTGGACGTGCCCCCCTGGGCGCTGTCGGGCGGTCAGCAGCGGCGGCTGGCGCTGGCCATCCAGCTGGTGCGGCGGCCGGCGGCACTGCTGCTGGATGAGCCGCTAGCGGGGCTGGACTGGCAGGCGCGGAGGGAGGTGGTGGGGCTGCTGGGGAAGATAAAGGTAGGGTGCGGGGGGGAGGGAAGAAGAGTTCCCAATGGGCGGGGGGGGGGGAGGAAGGAGAGAGAGAGGGAAACCGTGTGTGGAGGTGTGGGTATAACCAACTAGCTGGTTTTGCGGCAGTTACGGTAGTTCAACCCGGTCCCATTCCGGTCTTCACTCAACGCATGGTGTTATCCCTTGTCCCCCCCTTCCTCCTTCCCCAAGGGCTCGTCACCTAGTTTGCCATGACTGGTAATAAGTCGACACATTGGGACTTCTTCTTTCCCTCCCTCCCTCGTTGTTTCACTTATATAATGTTTTCCCCCCAGACTCACGGTTGTTTCCACCAGGGATTGTCAGCAACTTTGTATCAATATCACACCACACATTGGAATTTCTTTCCCTCCCTCCCCCCTCCCCCCCCCCCGCACAGTCCCAGTGCACGCTGCTGGTGGTGTCTCACGACCTGGCCGAGATCGCACCGCTGGTGGACTGCGCCTGGCGCATGCGGGTGGGGGGCACCTGCGAGCGGGTGGACTGGCCGCCCCCTGACTTGGCGAGGCTGGAGCAGTGATGCTGCGGTATGGTTGGGAAGGAGGGACTGTTGGGGCGCGGTGTGGTGGTGGTGGTGGAGGTGCGCGAGTAGTAGTAGCGGTGTGGTGGTTGCGATGGCGAGGGAAGGAGTGCGCTTCGGTGCTGCTGGCCGTAACGTGATGGTAAAGGTTGGATGTTGGAGGCGTCTCTTGGAAAAACGTTATGATTATAGAATCTGTATAAGGGCGTCGCTAGGCACACGGGAAGGAGGGCTGGTTCGCTTTCATGGACCTAGAGAATTTGCCGGGTAGGCAGTACAAAGTAGGCGAAGGCCGCAATCGCGCATGGCTCATCATATTAACTTGTTTTGTAAGATGCCATTGGGTCCTCCGCTGGGCTTTGCGTAGGATTAGTCACGTGCACCATAGTGTAAGGTCTTACGTGAACACTTTGGAATAGACATCCGTCCTTTAGTGCTGACCTCAGGTATATTGTTTGCAGCCTTCTTAGACAGCTTTAACATCTGTACTACCTTGCTGTCCCGCAATCCTAGCTTCCCCTAGCTGACTCAGTTCAGCCCGTAGGGCAGTACGGAGGCCAGTACAGTCACGGGGCCGCCGCAGGGCTAGGCAACACCCCTAAGCCCGCATATAGGCCCAAAGAAGTAAAACTTACGTCTGCGGGATAGTTTGAAAGTACTTTCACAGAAGTCCTAAACTGAATATATGAAGACCTCAGCGCGCCTAACTTGGCTGCATCACAAAGGGCCACTATAGTAGCAGAGGTATCGATGGCTTTGGTGTTGCCGATTGGGCACACCTTGAAAAGCCTTGCCTGTTGGGAGTTAAGGCCACGGCGACGCTATGGCTTCCTTCGCTGGCACAGCGCCACCTCGCGCAGCTGTTAACGAGATGCACTTCCAGGTGGGACGTTTCACCTACGACGTTTACGCAGCCATTGGAGGCGACTGGCTTCACCCGCACTCTGCCCGGTCTCGACCGGTACGCTGCCATGGAAAGCAGGAACTGGACATACGAAATGACATCCTTGTAACAGCTCTTCTCATCGGCGGGATTCATTTGCATTTGGTCAAGCTGCTGGATCTGGCGATATGTTTTGGCGAGTCCCCGCGGTTGGGCAGCTCTACAAGTTATCCCTGCGACGGCACGCTTGCCTCAAAGCTACATGCAATCCTGAGGAGCAACTTTGCTGTTTGGAAGGCCGTCTGGGTGTTCAATAAATCGGAGCTATACCTGGTAGGCGCGGCATGAATGGTCCTGCGATGCGCCCTTGGGCGTCTGTTAATCGGAGTGATGACCTGCAACATGAAATACGGTTTTTATGTTGTAAAATTTAGATCGTGCGTCTTAACGGTGTCGTGGGCTCATGACACTGCAACTGTGAGCAACACCCTTCAGCCCATTGCCACCCTACTTCTCGCGCTGCATCCTCCCCTTTCCTTCTTGCCGCCTGCACATGTTGTCAACCCTCACACCGCTAAAGCCTATCCCGCCACCAACCTTCCACAGCCACCAACCTCCGCCAACCCCTCCGCCTCCTTCCCCCACCCGCAGCTCCCCCTCCTGGCCGCATCCCTCGCTTGGTTGCTGACAGCCCTTGCCAGCCTTCGCAACCCTGCCGTACGTCGCTTTTACACCACCGGAGGGCGTCTGGCGCTGCTCGCGAGCACCAGGTAAGCGACAGCCGCCTCGTTGCACTCCTGCACTTTGGGTTGCATTAATGCTTGGAAGCGCAGCGCCTTACAAGAGCGTCGTGCTGGTTGTTGCCTTGTTGTGGCTGCTGCGCGTTGCGGTCGGGTACAGTATACACCCCTGCAACATATGGCAACATACCGGTATAACAATATGTTGTATATGTGCAACAATGCGTTGATATACGGTAACCAGCTGGCCGCAAAATGGTAGTTTATCCGGTCCTTCAGTGTGCATGACTCTGTGTGCTCCTCCTCGCGTGCAGGTTTGCCTGCAAGGCAGCCGCCATCCTGACGCTGGCGCTCTGGCCGGCTGCACCCCTCTCCTCCTACTGCAAGCGCTACATGCCCTTCGAGGGCCTTGCGCTGCTGGTGCAGGCGCTTGCTGTGCAGGTGGGTGGGTGGGTGGGGGGCAGGGCTGGGGGTGGTTGGTGTGGCTCTCGCTCGGTTGCTTCTTACTTGTTGTTCACGTGTTTTTGACGAGGCTGTTTCGCAGCCTACGAGGCATCGTGTGTAGCAGACTGCCCTGCTTGTGGTGGTCTTGTGGGTGTGGCGCTCTCGGGGAGAGGCCTCTCGCACCTGCAATGGCTTGGCGGCTTGCTTGCTGGGGTTACGGAGGCCGGAAGCCGTGACGGGACGGGACGTGACGTTGTGCCTTGTGCGCTTTCCATTCTCTACTTGCGGCATCCCTCTTTTATACGTCTCATTGCCAAATCTCTAACGTCACATTGAAGAGCCCGGAGCAACAGCAAAACGCCCTGCCTGCCCTAACATGCCCTCTTGCCGCTGCTGCTGTTGCTTTTGCTGCTGCCGCTGCTGCTTTTCAGGTCCCTGCGAGCGCCCAAACCATTATCTCCGCCGCTGACGCCGCCAGTACCTTTTACTGCTGCTTGCTGCTCTCGGACCGCTGGCCGTACGACAACCTCTCAATGGGTGCCGTACTGGCCAGCTCAGTAGCGGCGTCGTACATCTCTCTGATGCTGACGTCATGGCGGGAGGCGCGGCGGCGGGTTGACGCGACGGCGGCGGAAGTTGCTGGTGACGGGGGACAGGAGGCTGTGACGGCGACTCCAAATAGCAGCAGTGGGAGCGGCAGGAGGGCCGTGCGTGCGGTTGAATCTGCTGCCGCTGCTGTGAAGGGTCGTGAGGGAGTGTCGCCGGCTATCGTGTGCGAGGTGCGGGTTCGGAATGCGGACGATGGCAAGGAGGGGGAGCGGAGCGGGTCCTCGAATCAGGCCAAGATGCCCCGGCAGCTGCAGCAGCTGGTGCCGCGGGTAGAGCCGGAACAGGGAAGGGAGGCAGCAGTGGCTGCAGTGGCGACGACGTTGTCCAGCGTACGGCCGAAGGGGAGGCAAGGGGATGCAGTTACGCCCGGAGGAGCGGACGATGAGGCAGCAGTAGCAGCAGCGGCACTGGCTGCTGTCGCTGCTGTTGCTGCTGCTACTGCCCCTGCTACAGCCCCTGTCCCAGCTGCCGACGCTCCTGCTGCCCCCACTGCTGCTGCCCCCACTGCTACTACAGCCGCCGCCACGGAGGATCCGACGAGCAATGTCCCCGACGCTCCCTGTGAGTGTCGCTGCGCAGACGTCGCTGCCGAGGGCGACGCCGCTGCCGCAAGGGCGAGTGACAGCGGAAACCAGCCGGTCAGCAGTGGCGGCGGTGACGGCGGCGGCGGCGGAAGGTACCTGCCGTACACCTCCGGCCCCGCCGCCGTCAAGGGTCCTTCGCCGCCGCCGCTCTCGCTGCCGCCGCCGTCGCTGCCGTCGCCGTCGCCATCCAACTGTCGTTCATCCTTTTCCGAGAACAACAGTGACGTCTCGGGCATTGGCAATTCCTCCACCTCCACCGCCGCCGCCGTTAGCCTAGCTTATCCGCTGGGTCGTCGACATGCCCGGTCCTCCGTTCCGACATTCGCTTGCAACTGCAGCGACTGCTGCTGCCTCCGCCGCCCTCACGCTCGATCGTCCCCGCGTGTCGACGGTCGGTCGAGCTGTTGCTGTTACGGCGCTGGCGGCGGCGGCGGCGACGATCGCCACGGCAATCGTCACAGCGGCGGCGACCTCCCCATTGGCGACGGTTGTCCTTCCTCGCCGCCCTTGTCGGTTCGCAGGGCCTTTAGCGAGGGCCCCCTGCCGTCCACCTGCTCCCTCGGCAGTTGGAGCGGTTGCTACGACCCAGCCACAACCACCTTAACCACCTCCACTGCAACGGTAACGACCACAACCGGTGCTTCAACCCGTACACCAAGTCTGTCGTCCGCGTCCCGTCAACTTCCTGTGGGCGCCGTGACGACGATCCGGGACAGTGTTACCTCGCACCACTCGAGATCTTCCATACCGGCTGCTGCGGGGCCTGATGCTGGTGGTGCAGATCCCCAACCTTCGGCCTCCGCCGCCACCGCCTGCTCCGCCGCAGGCTCAACGGAAGCCGCGAAGCAGCCTCAGCCTCAGCCCCCCGTGACCAGTGCCGCCGCTGCTATTCGAAACTGCCCGCCTGCGGGCTGCAACTGTCGAGGTGGTTGCGGGGGCGGTTGTGGTGCGTCGTCTGGGTCAACAGCGGCAGCAGGAGGCGGGCGGAGCGTCCGAAGTGCCCCTGCAGGTGTGGGAACCGCTGCGGTGGTGGGTGTGGATTTGGCCGCCCTGCTGTCCATTCACAGGGCACTGGCGGCGGACGACAATGCCAACACGAACGCCGTTGGTACGACGAACACGACCGTGACGAATACGACGGCCTTGAGACCTGCTGAAGAACCGCAGGTACCGCAGGAGCAACAGCAGGAGGAGCAGGATCAGGAACAGGAACAGCTGCAGCGCTTGGGGGCTTCGGCAACGACTGTTTCTGCTGCTGCTGCTGCTGATGCCAATGATGGCGCTTCCGCCGCTGCTGCAGCATCGACTGCAGAAGCGGCTGCGCTGCCTAGCGGCATGGCAGCGGCACCCTCCGCTGCGGCCGCCGCCACCGCAGCCGCCAATCCGCCGCCAGTGGGATCCCCACCATTCCGTCCCAACGTCACGCAGTCACCTCCACCGGCCCTCACGAGCAGCAGCAGCAGCAGCAACAGCTTCGCCCGGGCTCGCGCCCTGGTCGCCGGCGGTGGTCGATCAGCTACGTACGACAGTCCTGCCCTGCTGCACACCAGTTGCGGCTTCAAGGTCCCCGGCTTGACGCCGGCGGATGTCTGCTCAGCGCGGCTTGCGGACCGAGCTGCAGCGCTGCTGGCGGAGGGGCCGTGGGGCCGTGGCATGCCGCCGCCGGCGGCGGCGGCAGCGGCGGCGCTAGCGGCAGCGGCGGGGGCAAGGTTTGCCGCCGCCGACGACACTAGCTCACGGGCGACGGCGGTTGGCGTATACGTGCGTGAGGGTTGCATTGAGCTGGTGGCGGACTTGCTGGTGCCGTCGGAGGCAGTGGCGGCGGAGGCGCGCGTCGTCGCGGCCACGATAACGGCAGCTCCGGCTGCAGCAGCCGCCGCCGCCGGCGGCGGCGCTGCGGCACATGCGCCCGTGCGGCTGGACGACGAGCCGGCGGCGGCGGCGGCGGCGCCGTCGTCGCCGTCGCAGTTCGCGGCGGCTGAGTCGATGTTGGCGTTCCTCGAGCAGCGGCTGTTGCCACAGCTGGGGGCCGTGTTGCCGCTGCCGGAGGGCGTTCACAGCGTCGGTCTGCAGGCTGCTGGCAGCGCCGCCCAAGTCGCCGTACTTTCCGCCGGCGGCCGTTTGACCCCGCTGCCCTGTCCCGCGGCCATGCCGCAGGCGGCGGCGGCGGCGGCGTCTCCGCCACCTGCCATTGTTTGCGTCAGCCCCTGCTGCGTGCTGTTGAGCCATGCCGGCGAGGAGTTCGCCGGCCCCGCCGCCGCCGCTGACGTCATCAGCGGCAGCTCACGTGAGGGCCTCCAACGCAGCGGTGAAGTTCTGACGCTCACGCTGACTCTTGCTGCCGTTGCCGGCGGCGGCGGCGGCCGCCTCCGGCATCCACAGCAACTGTACGGCAACATAGACGGCGGCGTCGACAGCAAGACAGCGACAGACTCTCGGGTGCGACTGTTCGCACGTCACTGCGGCCGGTGTCTACCCATTGTCGCACGTCCTCTGGTGGCCTCAGCCACAGCAGCATCCTCCCCCTCTCCCTCCATGGCCTCCTCATCGTCCTTCACACTAGAGATTCCCACAGCGGGTTTGCGTCCTGGCGTGCTTCTGCTGGAGGCTGCATGGGAGGACGACGACGGCGGAAGCGGCGATGCCGTACAATCAGCGGTGGCGGCGGCGGCGACGCCGTCGCTGTCGCTATCCATGCCTTGGCCGGTGCTGGTGTTGGGCGATGCAGCTCTGGCGGAGGAGGTTTCAGAGCTCCAGTCGCAGCTGGAGTCGACAGCGCCGCTGCGAGCCGCCATGCAGGCGGCGGAGGCGGATCCATTCTTTCAGGAAACCCAGGCATGCCAGCAGCAGGCACAGCAGCAGCAGCAGCAGTTGGACGGGGGTGCTTTGTCGGTGCTTCTGGATCTGGGTGTCTGGTTTGAGGCGGTGGGCATGCCGGATGTGGTGGCGATTCCAGAAGACATGTGTCAGGGGGCCGCCAATGAATGGAAAGTGGACGGCAGCGGATACGACGGCAGCGGTTCTCCAGAGCGGTATGCAGCTACTGCTGCTGCTGCTACTGCCGCTGCTGTTGCAGCTGCTGCGAACTCGCCCTTCACCCATTCCCGCACGCACCGCCCGCAGCGCACCAAGCAGCGCCAAGCAGCAGGCAGCTCAGGCGGCAACAGCTGGGATAACAGCTGCCTTGGTGGTGGCGACGATGATGAGGATGTTAAGATCGTTCCTGAAAGCAGCAACATGAGCCGACCGCGGTCACAGCAACCCGCAGCTGCTGTTGCTTCTCATGCTGCAATCCTGCCCGGCAGTTTGGATTGTACGGCGCAGTACGAACGGCACTTTCGCAACGGTTCCGTACTGCAGTCAACCGTCTCCGCTCTGGGTCTGCGCCTGTTGCGGTTTGCGGTGGCCCGTGGCTGGTCGGCGACCTCCGAACTGCTGTTGCAGGGCCTTATGGTGCACTGTCGGCTGTCCTTCCAAGCCATTGCGACACTCTTCCCCGCAGCAGCAGCCGGCAACGGCGGCGACGCCGGCGGCGGCATGCCGCTGCTTCACACCGCTGTTAGCTCGGGTCGGCTGGCCATGATTCGAGCCGTCATGTCCTGGGGTCGTCGCTCCAGGTGCCCCTTTACGTGGGACAAGACTGCCTCCGCTGGCGGCGCCGCCCTCGCCGACGGCGGTGACGTCAGCAACGGCGGCGGCGGACTGACGCCGCTGCACCTAGCGGCAGTGCATGAAGACGGCGGCGCGCTGGCGGCTGCAGTACGGTACTTGTGGCCGGAGACGGCGGCGCTGTGGGCGGCGGTACGGGATGCTGAGGGAAGGACGCCGGAGGACTATGCGGCGAGCATGCGCGAGCTTGCGGAGGCGGAGGCGGAGGCGGCGATGGCGGTGCAGTTACAGGTGGCTGTGGCGGACATGGGGGCACTGGCAGTGCGGGCGGAGGAAACGGCGGGGCAGCCCAACAGGGCGGAAGGGGCAGCTGCGGCGGCGGAGCCGTTTGTTGCCACAGCAGAAGCAGCAGAAGCAGCAGCAGCCAGCGCTCACAGGGGCACCGGTGGGTGCAATGCTGCGGTAGCGGAAGCAGTCTGCATGGCGCCTGAGCCAGCGGCCACTTCCTTCCTGCAGCAGCAGCAGGAAGCACTGCCTCCCTCGCTGCTGCTACAGCAGCCGCTGCCACCCCTGCACCCTGTCCCAACGCCGCCTCCGCCGCTGCAATCTCGCGCCCTTCTGGACCTGCTAGCTGGCTTCAGCGGCGGTGCCTTCAGTGGCAGCGTCCGCGTCAGCGGCAGTGGCGGAGCCTTTAGCGGCGGCGGCGGCGGCGGCAGTAGCTCCCATGGCGGTGCATGCAGCTTCGGCGGCAGCCTAGAAGGAGCCGCGCTGCTGACCCCCAGTGACAACACCACCAGCAGTGTCTCCGGCACCGACCCGCCCTCCTGCCTCCTCCTGCGCTCGCCGCAGTTGCTGACGGCACCAGGCGGGTTTCAGAGCGGGGGCCTTATCGGCGGCGGTGGTGGCGGCGGTGGTGGTGGCCGACTCCAGGGCGGCTGTCAGGGACTGCTGATGTCGTCTCGGGGACTGCTGCAGCCGCCGAGGGGAGGGCTGCTGCAGGGGCCCCAGCCGGGCGCAGGAGGGCTGCCGGCTGAGCTGCGGGCGCTACAGCAGCAGCCCGGTGGGGGTGGGGGCGGTGACGTTGGGGTCCGCCTCACGGCGGGTCTGAGCGGGCTGTCAGCTCTGGCGGCTGCTGGTAATGCCGCTGCCGCTGCTGGCGGGATGCAGAGATGCATGTCAGAGGTGGAAAGGTGGGGCGAGGGGAGCGGAGCCAAGCGGAGTTTGCCCGTGCAACGATCTGAGATGCATGCGAGCGCGATGCATGCGTGCGCGTGTGTGTGTATGCCGCACGCACCCCGACACCCTCCGACCACCCCCCTTTCTTTGTTATCCCCCCGGCGGCTGCAGCCCACAACTCCACGCCCATCCTCACCTCCCCCACACCCACCCAGGCTGGATGACGACTGCGGCAGCGCCTCCGCGGGGCCCGACTCCCAGTGGTCTCGGAGCACCACCGCCACCGCCACCACAGCGGCATACTGCCAGGTGGGGTCTGTGGGGTCGGCAAGGGGGTGGCGGTTGCTCACAGTGTTTGGGGGTGCTGTTACCGGTACTACTTGGAACGGGCTGTGGATGGGCAGTTGGGGCTGTGGGGGCTGTGGGGTGCCTTAGGGCTTAGGGCCTCCAAGCCTAAGACGGGGCTTTAGAGCTGTACATGTATCTGCATGACCTCTGCAGAGCTCACTGCTGTGACCTTGCTAACTGGTTCTCTCACTTCTTATTGATTGCAAACTCCCTCTTTCCATCCTTCCCTCCTTCCCTCCTTCCCCAGGCGGGTGCTCTTCCCTCGGACATCCCCCCGTCCCTGCACGCTCCGCCTCCGTCCTCCCTCCGACCCTCCGGCATCCGGACAACCGCAGGCACCGCAGCAACCGCCATCTCAACCGTCCATTCCATGTCCGTTGCCGCCTCCGCCGCCACCACTGCCGCCTCCGCCGCCACGTCCTCCGGTCTGCTGCCGTCGCTTTCTGCGCTACCGCAAGACGGCCCCCCGCCCGGCGAGCCCGCATGCAATGATGGTGCGTTCCTACCTGTAGTGGTTCCCGGGGCAACCTCCAGCAGCAGCAGCAGCAGCTTCACAACTGCAGCAGCAGCAGCCGGAGCCGCACGGGCAGCAGGAGGAGGAGCAGCTGGAGCAGTAGCAGCGGCAGACGCATCGTACATGCTTGGCTTGCTGGGTCGGGCTGCGGTGGACATGGCAGCGATAGCGCCTGTGGCGTCGGCACCTGCACCAACGGCACAAACAGCACCGGCAGCAGTAGCGGTTAAGAGCAGCGCTGAGGCACCTTCAGTCATGGTGGCTTTTCCAGGCAGCCCCATCACTGCAGGCTCCTATGATACGTTTCTGCGGGATTGGGGCAGCGGCCTGGAGGCAGGGACGTCGGCGGGTGGCGGAAGCGGTCATGTTGGTTCGTCGACAGCAGCGGCGGTAGACGGGTCGACACCGCCGCCACGGAAGGCCGTTGTACGGAATGTCCTGACGGCGACGCCGCCGCAAGCCGCCGTCGGCGCAAGCGGCATGCGGATTGCCTTTGTAGGCGGCAGCGGCAGCTCTGGAGGCGGCGGCGGAGGCTGCGGCGGAAACGCCGGCAGCGGATCCACTGCGACTGTCGTACATGCAGAGCAGCAACTAGCAGCAGCGGCGGCAGCGGAGGCGGCTAGGCAGGTTAACATTGTGGGAAGCGTCCATGTTGCACCACTGGGACCTGCCTTGTCTTCGTCACGGTCTCCTCGCTGTGCTGCTGGCAGCGCGGCAGCGGCCGGGGTTGCCAGGCCCTCTCCAGCAGCCGCTCCGGAACACCCGCACCACTTTGCTGACGACTGGCAAACCCACCTGGCACTAGCGACTGCGTCGTCGTCGTCGTCGACGTCAGCGGCGGCGGCGGTAACCGCAAGGACGATGACGGCGGATGAGGCGGCGGCGGCGGCGGCACCGGTCCATACTGCTTGTCTCACCGGCTCCTATCCTGTCGGGGGATCCGTTTCCTCAAGGCCCCGCCGCCTCGCCTACGCCCAGGACTATGCGCCCTTGGGTCATCATCAAAGCAGCAGCACCAGCAGTGCTGCCATCACGACCGCTGCCGCTGCTGCTGCCTCCACCGCCGCCGCTGCTGTTTTTCCCTTCGCAGCGGCGCCATTGCGGCCACCGCCGGTAGCAGCAGCAGCCACGGCGGCACCCATCGCACCAGCACCAGAAGCAGCATCCCAGCCACCCTTCACCACCACAGTGGGGCCGCCCAACGACAGCCCCCGCCAGCATGTCCCGCAGGGCCGCGGGGAGCTGCCGCCGCCGACGACGACGACATCGTGTCAGCCGTCGCAGCGGGTGCAACCCCAGCTATCGCAGCCGCCGCACGCTGCCCTACCATGTGGTAGTGCTGTTCGCACGCCGCCGCGCTCAGGCAGCAGCAACGATGCTTCTGCTGCTGCTGCGGCGGCGGCGGCTGCAGCCCCTTCCGCCCGGCGCCCTGCGGCCTCATCGGTCCAACAGACCTCATCAGCAGCTTCATTCTCAGCACCAATCTCAGCAGCAGCCCCTGTCCCGGTGGCGGACCTAGCAGCCCCACCACCATCATCCGACACACCGGTCCCTGCTGTCGTCGCATCGGCTCCCGCCCCAACAGTCCCCACTGCTGCAACCAGCTGTTGGCATGGGCCAAACATTGCGGCTGCTGCTACTACCAACTGCTGGGCTGCTGCTGCTGCTGCTGCCGCCGCTTCCCCGGCCCCATCTGCTGGTGCGCGACTGCTGGTGCGCGGCGAGCAGCACCCGCCGGCTCACTCCCCCGCGCTGCCCGCAGCGGCTCACTCCACAAGAACTCCTCAGTCCGCTTCGACAACCGTGAAGTCCTCAACGGTGGCTGAGCCCTCCGCCGTAGCGCCCCTTGTTGTTGCTGCTGCTGCACATCCGCCTCCGTGCTCAGTCACGCCTGCTGCTCCCACAACCGCGCCCGCGGCGCCGAGGCAGCTAGGAGGAGAGGAGGGTGGGCACGATGGGGCCCTGCGTCCAGCTCCGTGGACGGAAGGAGGAGCTGCGGAGGCAGCAACGGGCGTGCCTCCATCGCGGCTGGGCGCCTCACCGCCGCCAGCTCTGAGGACGGCGAAGCCGTCGTCGCTGCTGTTTTACAGTCACGCTGTTCCGTTGTTGGTGCTGCTGCTGGCGCTGCTGGTAGCTGCATTGGTGAGGGCAAACACAGTGTGAGGCCGGCTAGTGGGAGCATGTAAAGGAAACTGGCCGCGAGTAGGAACGTACTGGATCGTCGGAAGATGAAGATGTCCGCGTGTGTCGGCAGGGGCGAGATGGCGTGGTGGGGGCGGAGCGCCGGCGTACGGTTGGAACTGTTGACGTCGCATCGGTTTGCCGTACATGGCATTGTTGTTGTTTGCATGGTATTGTGCTTGTTGTCGCATATATGAATAACGCCGAGTGCTAAACGAGAAATCTGCGAGGTCGCAAGCCCGCTGGTTTGGGCCAATCAAGCCTAGGGTGTAGCTGCCAAAGGAGGGTGCACGTGCGCGAGGAAGGGGGTGCCTGGAAGGCGGAGACGGAGGAAGAGGACATGCAAACCAGCAAGCGGCCTAGCAAAGCGTTTACGGAACAACGACCGCGAGCGAGAGGGGTTTATGCCAGAAGAGAATAAAGAGATAAATTGCTTGGGCTTGACTGGATAGGCAGATCTATAGATTGTTCGCTGGATTGTGGATTGAAGCAGCTGCGTCGTGCACTTTGCTTGTATGCTTTCATATTGCCTTGAGCACCTGCCAAGATTCGGAATTGCTTTCAAATGCTGCGTGCTCTGCTGTGCGCTTACACGCGCACATCTAGCGGCTATAGTCCTTTCTCTGCCGTGCATACATCGCAGCTCAGCCCTATTGGTACGTGCGCCCCTTCTCTGCCGTACGTTTGCGCGTTTATGCGGCGCGACTCGTACATACGCGTTGTCGCCCTCGGATGTCGGGATTACGCAGCTTCGTGCTCATTTTTTGGAGGTGGGGGCGGGGGGCTGTGTCGAGAGGGGGGCTGTGTCGTTAGAGCCCGACTTCAGTGCGCATGGTGCGCACCGGCGGTAGTGTTTGGCGTGGCTTGCACTCATGCGCGGTTAGGGTCATGATCGCGAGGTACCAGGGAGCGGTGGTTAATTTTCCTTCGTTGTTGTTACCATGCTGGGTTGCACTGGGAACATTGGAAACTGCAGAAGCTCGATTTGACTGGTCTGGTCAGTAAGCGCGTTTGTTGCTGGCAGCGGCATAGTGCCATAGGTAATAGTCGTCTGTGGCCATCGATTGCGCACTACATGGCAGCATTTAGGGTTTAGGGTCCAGCCAGTGCTCAGTCACAGGAATAAAATGCCAACGGCGACAGGGCTTGCGGCGGGTCGCTTGCATTGATTGGTTTTGCTGGTAAATTGCAGCGGATGAATACGAATATTTGACCTTTTCACTTGTTGGCTGGTTCGTGAGAGACCCCTCACGCAAACCTGCTTTGTTAGTCGTACCGTACTGGCCGTTTAAGCCAATGGTAGGCTGTTGTATGTCGCTGTGTTGCGCGCGTCACGTTCCTTTGTCCATCACATGCTCGATCTCTCATCGTCCTGGTAACGTCAGACTCGTCTCTCAAACTTTTGACTCGAGGAATGGGTTGTCCTCGAGCCACATGCAACACCCGCATTGCGTAAAATAAACAACACCCCCTCCCGGCTATGCATGGCTACCGTATATCACACGCGGTGGAGACCCTTCCTGTACCTCCAGCCTCTCCCAAAGCACATAGCACTAGCCTCACACCAGGTCCTCCTGCCACGCCTCGAACTGCTCCCTCAACCCCAGCAGCCAGGCCAGACGCCGCTTCCGCGCCTCCCCTCCCCGGCACAGCAGCAGTAGTGGCGCCTTCAGATGACGATACCGGCGCGCTGCATGCACACACATCCACGTGCCATTGTTCAAGTTCAAAGGCACCCTGGATAACATCAGGCGTTTGACTAACCGAGTCAACACACCGTGGCGGCCATCCCATCATATCCCCTCTTCCCTTCATACCCCTCCAGGCGAAACCCGTCATCTCCTGCGCATTTGCCACACCCGTCCGCACATTGTGCGATCCCAGCCACAACCCCCCCGCACTCGCATCCCTAGCTACCTCCCCCTACCGAAACACCACCTCGAGCCCTCTTGCTGCCCCGCCCTCCCGCGCTGCCCGCAACACACGCGCCTGCGCCGCCAGCGCTCCCTCTCCGCAACCGCAGACGCCACAACGGCTACAACCGCAACCCACAAACTCCAACCGCCGTAACCAACAACTACCGGTACTCCCACCCTGCGATGCGACCACCGCTGCCGCCGAGCCGCCCAAAGCACCGCTGCTATCCTCCATGCAGCGTGATAGCGCAGACGCTAGCACCGCAGCCGTGTCCGTACTCAGATCTCTGAAACCACGCAGCGTCAGCAGCCGCAAATTCCTCATGTACGGCAGGGCAGCTAGGAAGCTCGGTGGCAGGTTGCTGCCATTGCTCCCTTCTTGCGCCCCGAGATAAGCCCCCCTGCTACGGGTAATGAGCACTTCGCTGCCGCTGCTACCGCTGCTGCTGTTGCCGTACACAGGGTTGCAAGCTCCACACCCTGACGCCCGTCGACCCAAATCGACGGCCCTCGTCCAATGACAGCGTGCCGTGTACGTCGCTCCAGCGGCCTCCGCTCCCTCCCTGGAACCACACTTCTCCTCTCCTCCCTCCATGCCGGCCTCTGCCTCCTCTTCCTCCCAGTGCTCCTCTGCCGTGAGTATCAACTCCTCGGCTCCGCAGCGAGCAAGCGCGCGCCTCAACACCTCCCGCTTCAACTCCTCATCTACACGATTGATGCTGCTGCTGCTGCTGCCACCCCGGCTGGAAGGCCCTGACTGAGGCTGCTGAATTGAGTCCCCGCACCAGCCGCTATCCAAACTCGCCAAACCCAGCGACAGCACCCGCCTTCCGCCAACTCCACGCTGCATCGACGACGACGCTGTCTCAAGTGACCCACGGGTCACCACCGCATGACCCATGGGCCATACCCGAGCCGCCGCCTTAACCGCCGCCGCAACCATATACTCATCCTGCAGACCGCCGACATGAAGCCTCCGGAGCCTCCCAACGAACCCTTTCGCAGCTGAAAGATCTGTCGTACCATGCCGTACCGCCGCGCCTTCTGCTTCTGTCGTGCCAAAGGCCTCAACCGCCGCCGCTGCCTTCGTTTCCGTCGCCGTTGTCGCGGCCGTTGCAGCAGCAAGGCACTGCCCCATCAGCTTCAACTCCTGCTTCATGGGCCAGGGGTCCCGCAACTCCAGAACTTCCAGGTGCCGCAGCGAAAGGATGAGGTGCCAGGAGTCCGCTAGCGAGGGAAGCTTGCAAAGGACGAGCTGGCGGAGGTTGGGGAACATAAGGCCCAAGGGCGGGCAGCAGCGAGGCAGCAAGCAGCAGCGGACACGCAGGCTTATGATTCCGCTGCCGCCGCTGCTGCTGCTGACGCTATCGCCATCGCCATCGGGGTTGGGTTCCGAAACGTCAAAGGTTGATGGGTAGCTCGATGAGGAGTCGGGTTTGCTGCCGGCGTGCCGCCGTTGCCTGGGAGCAGCTAGTGTAGCCGGATGGTTGCCCCTCGTTGCTGACCGCTGCGTTGTCTGCTGGTGGGTGGAGGAGGAGGAGGAGGAGCCGTACGGCAGAGGAAAGCGACGGAAAGCTACGGCAGCAGGGCTGCTCGGCGGCGTTGTGAAGCCCAAATCGTCGTCGTCGCCGCCTTCACCTTGTCGTACGGTCGCCGCTGCCGCCGTCTCCGCCGCTGCCGCCGTCTCCGTCGCCGCCGCTGTCGTCAGCGATGCTCCTGTTGCTCCCCCTGAAGCGCCGTTGCCGCCTCCGCCCTCTTCATCCTCTTCAGCACAGCTCAACGACCACGCAGCAAGCGCGCCGCCGCCATAGCGGCTCCCAGCGCTGCCCCCGGCTGCTGCTTCCCCCTGCCAGGGCCGAGTCACGTCTCCAAGGTAATCCACTGCTAGGTGGCTAAGGCTGGGGCAGCCGCGCAACACCTGTGCATGCGCCAGAGACACCCCCCGGACGGAGGGCTGAGGGCTTGTGGGCGATGGCGGCGGTGTGACGGGCAGCCGGAAGGGGCTGCACTTGGGGGAGATGGCGGCGGCGGGTTTGATGTCCAGGGTGTGGAGGTACGGCAGCTGTTGCAGGGCCTGTGTACGGGAGCGGGCGCAGTGGAGGAAGCAAGGGAGGGAGGGAAGGGGAGCAGTGGGGTTATGATGATGGAGTAGTTGGGTCAGAGAGATGGAACTCCGCGTCCGAGAAGCAGGGCGGAAGGCAACGGATGAAAGCGGGAGCAAAACCTGAAAGCTAACAAGTCCCCTTTGCTAAACCTCGTTCCAGCCAAGCTCACCTCAAGGTCGCTGGCATTCGGCAACTCGCGCATCCCCAGTGTCAAACGCTGTAGTGACGGACCCCATGCAGGCAGCTGCCGTACAACGCTTGCAACCGTGAAACAACCGCCGCTGTCGCCGTCGCCGTCGCTCCTACCGCCGCCGATGCTCAGGGGCGCTGATAACACCACCGCAGCTTCCGCTAACTCCAGCACCGTCAGCTGTGGCAGCATCAGCGGCCATGATGGGGCTGAAGCCGGAAGCGACGGTGCGGGGCTACGGTCGTTGCTGCGCCGCAGGGTTTGCAACACCCCTGGCATGGGCCTTGAGTTGCATGGTAGGCTGCGGACGGGGCTGTGCAACGTGCGGCGCATTCTGTGACGCTGAGTTTGGGCTTGCGGTGGCGTGCATGGCGCTGACGGCGAATCCAACTTGTACGGCAGCAGCCCATCATCAGATAGCAGCCCGTGAGACAGCGGACCATGGGGCTCCGGCGCGCCAGCGGTGCCGTACCCGAGGATGCAGCAATCGTCGGTAGCGTCAGGGAACAGAAAGCCTTTCCCCGCAGTTGCCACCGATAAGCCGTCCGGAGCGGCGGCGGCGGCGGCGTGTACGGGCCGTGCTGCAGGCTGTAGCTGCTGGCGCTTTCTCTGTAGGGACAGCGCTTGCTGTGAGCGTGGTGGTGGTGGTGGCGAAGGGAGCCGGAGGGCTGGCGGCGAAGGCGGCTGCTGCGTCGGCAGCAGCACGAGGGAGAGGCGGTCGAGGCAACGCGGCAGGCCGGACAGTGCTTGCACCTGAGCGACGGAGTGCAGCAGCAGGGGCGGCGGCGCGAGTGACCGCGGCTCGTTACCCTTACTGTTGCCTCCGTCCAGGAGACTTAGCCGCAGGTTGGGTCGGCCAGCGCTCATGAGACGCAGCCAGTCATAGGGAGCAGGTAGCAGCAGCGCCGCCGACGGGGCGACGGCGGCGGGATCGGCGGGGACGCAGGCGACAGCAGCAGCAGCAGTAGCAGCGGAGCATCCGGAAACCTCCTCTGCTGGAGGTCTCCAAGAGGGTAGGACGCTGGTGGACAGCATCAGATGCCGTACATCCCGGCAACAGCGCTGCGGCGATGGGGAAAATCGCGGCAGCAGCGCCGCCGGCGAAGGCGGTGATGGAGGGTCTAACGGGCTTCCAGCGGGGTTACCAGCGGACCCAATTCCAGCAGCCTCGCTGCGTACGGCACTATCTTCGCTGCCGTTGATGAAGCTGGTGTTGTTGCCGCTGCTGCTGCTACTGCCGCTGTGGCAAAGCGCGTCCGCAAGCCCAACCCACCTGCGCAGCAACTCCGCCTCCCTGGCTAGCACCTGATGTTGTTGCTGACAGTTAAGCTGAAGTGGCGGGTGTGCACGTGAATGGCTGCTGCAGCCAACGGCCTGCAGCAGCCCGTCGCACACTGCTGTGCCTGCAGAACCGTTCACGGACCCCCCCGGTTGCTGTTGTAATAAGTTATGATTTGGGTCGAGCTCTAAATCGCATCGTTGCTCGCCAAAGTCGTTCTGATGGCCCAAGGATGATGTTTTGCCAAAGACGATGCTGGAGTCCAATCGTAGGACGAGGACTCGAAGGTTGCTTAACCGCGATACCAGAGCAGCAAGGGAACCCAAATCGGCTGCATCAGGTGGTCTCGGATAATACACATCCAAGCGAAGAAGGTTGCTGTTGTTGCTTGATGCGTAGGTGCGCAGGAGCAGCTCGGACAAGCTGGCTGTGCGCAGTACTGCGCTGCGAAGTGTTAGACGAGCAGCCCAGCCGCTCAGGACAGCTTCAAATAGTTGCTGGCAGCAAGCAGCTAGACTATAACGAGAAGCAGGCGGCAAATAATCGCACACGTGCGCAAGCAGATCGACTGGGAGCTGCGCCAAGCGTGCTGGGCCCGGCATGTTTGACTCTTCAAGGAAATAATCACGCACGCTAATGGATGTTGCGTATTCGCTTTATGGAAGTGTAAGTTGCTATAATTTTAACGTGCTTATTGGGGTTTATGATTAGCTCTTTGGAGCATTCTGAGGAAACGTTGGCGCGCGTGCGCCCGTCTCCTAGTCCAAGGTGTCGTACGAGAAGGGGCAGCCGCGGCGCTGTGAAGTCGCGTTGGTTGTCAAGATGAGCCACCGTACCGTATACAGCGAGTGGAGATCAATATTACAGGTTATTTGAGTAGCTGCAAAGCAATTGATTTAGAGACGCGCTGCAAGGACACCACGCAAGTGCGAAATAATACGGGTCAGAGGACTTAAGCCTCCGCCATTTATTAGCT